ACTATTGTCTCGCTGCTCTTATTTTTTAACCTTGCCTTGGTCAATGGGTATTTTCATTAATCAATGGATACGCATCTGATTCTAATGCTTGAACTAGGTTTGGAGAAGACAGTGCCATGAAGATGGTCGACTGGGTCGAAGAAAACTATGACTCTGAAAAGGAGACCTGCTCAGTTCTGGATCTCGGCTGCGGCAACGGTCATCTCCTTCTCGATCTCGCAGAACTCGGCTTTGAAGATCTGACCGGCATCGACTACTCACCCGCTGCCATTGAGCTCGCACGTGCTGTCGCCAAGGACAAGGAACTCGATCATATCATCAAATACGAGGCCGTTGACTTTTTGGCAGAGAAGGAGACACTGGGATGGTGCACTCAACAAGCAGGAGCCGAAGGAAATGGTCTGCCCAAGAAGTTCAAAGTCTTGCTGGACAAGGGCACTTACGACGCCATCAGCTTGCATCAGAAAAACAAGCGGGACGCCGATGTTACTGCTGCTGCTGCTGCTGCTGCTGCCACTATTGCAGATTCTGATGGGGCATCAAAAGAGGCCAAAGAGGAGGCTACTGCAGAGACGGCGAAGACAAAGGACGACATCGTGCTCGCCGAGAATGATGACAACATGGAGGAACTCGCAGACCGGTACCCCAAGCGTGTGGCGTCGATGATGCAGGACGATGGACGCTTACTAATCACTTCTTGCAACTGGACCCAAGCGGAGCTGATCCAGCGGTTCTCACAAGGTTTGTATCGTGTCTGCAGAGAACCCATCTTTTCATACCGAAATAGGTTCAGAAATTAACTTTTAATGTTTTATGTGCTCAATGTAGTGTTCGAGTACGACTCACATCTCAAGTACCCTACATTTACTTTCGGGGGTGTCAAGGGTCAGACGATATCCAGCGTTGTCTTCAAAAAGAAAGCATCATCGTCATTGACATAGAGACAGTAATAAATCGTCAACTGCGCCCTTTAAACAAATTTGAGCAAATTAGTCCCTGCACTCTATTACTGCGGGCACAACACCCCGCTCTTTCACCACTCTCAACGACGCAAGAGACCCCTCCTCAATTTCATTGGTCCTCTTCACTCAATGATATAGACATGAGCAGATATGAACGTATATTTTACTAAGGGCTAGTATCGCGATGATAAAAAAAAACGAAAGAATAGGGGGATGAAAAGGAAATGGCACGCCGACTTTAAATCTCGTCAATGTCGAACTCGACATCGAGCTCGTCCTCGCTACCCTGGAAGGTATCGGTCTCGTTGATCTTCGCGCTCTCAGGTAATTCACCGTAGGCCTTCAAGTTACGGGCCTCCTCAGTGTTGTACTTGAGAATGACATCGGCTTTATCGTCCTGGAAATCTCGAAGCGAGATCAAAATGATGTCTCCTTGGTTGATCCAGACCTAGTTCGTAGCATGAAGGAAATTACACAAAGACAACACTCTATTAGAACGAGTTCCATTGTTGTTCTCAGCTGGTTGAGATGAAATATATCCTGAGCGGCCAAAGGTTGAGGATATCGTTGCGCAACTAAGGCCGAATGTATGCACAATTCCTGCGCATATGTGTCTGATACTTCAGGGGCGCACAGACATTCCTGCCGAGAACCACTGAAGGGGAAAACAATCCATTGCGCCTGCGGACAATACCTTTTTTCTCATCTTTCCGCGGATATGTGCAAGTCTCTTCTCGCCATCGAAACACTGGGCCTCAACACGACCGTTTCCGAGCATCTTCAAGACTTGGGCATATTCTATGGAGAAGAGCCCAAATCGGCGGACAATGGCAGAGATAAAATATAGAATACGTTAAAATCCGGCAATGGCACAAACGAGATGATATCGTCGAGTCCAAATTCATAGCAGGTTGTCGTTACCTTGACCATCCTCCTTGAAAACCAACTCGCGCTTCTCGCCTTCGTTCTCGTTCTTTCCACGTCTTCTGTTCTTTCCTCCCTAGAGAATTAAAAAGGCGCAGTTCAAGAACAGAGTGAGGGAGGAGGGGAGGGAGGAGGGGAGGGAGGATTAGCAAGAGGGCCATATGCCAAAAACGAAGCGTATTGTCCGAAGTTATTTGCAATTATCTTGAGTACGTACTTTTCCCTTGTTCTTGGGCATGATTGATTAATCCTGTTGTAAAGTTGAGAAAGTATGGGAAAGAGTAAAGGATTAGATGGCTGTTCTTGAATGTCGAGTGAGGCTGTCAGTAGTGAGAGGGAATAGTGTGAGCTTGAGTCCTCAATGGGTAGCTCATTGCTCGTGCGATGTTAGAGAAGAACGTAAGGGCGGTTTGTCGTCCGAAAGAGTTCCCTGAATGCGGTGTCGACAAAACAAGCTGATGTTGGAGCTCCATCCCAGAGTGAAAAAGAGCGCAGGAGCATGTGGGTGTGGTACGTACGATTTGCGTGAGGATGTGGGTAAAGAGCGCAAAAAGAGATCAATCGTCTGTTCTTTTATGTTTACTGCTACTGCAGGCAGTTTGCCTGCGGCGGCATGACGTCACATGTCATGTGATATGTCGACTTGGTGGTATCCACCAGGGACTCAACTTCGGAGGAGCACTTTGCACAGCAGGAACCTGGAAGTTACTCGCCATGTCTAAACCAAGGAGAACTGTCGCTGCATTCTCGACCAGCATCGCAGCGTGCGCACCGACAGTATGGATCAGCTCATGCATTTCAACTGGACCTGCAATCTGATCCATCACAACCTATATCGACTCACATTTGGACTCTTCTAACCTGTTGTTCGTAGGCAACTGCATATGGCGCTTGTATCTCAGCAACGATGAGCGATGTGCACAAAGGTGTCTGTGAAAAGGAATTCATTGCCTTCAAGGAGTGTGTCCAGACGTCTGTAAGGCTGTGCATGCAACTTTACTCTGTGTGATCTCCTTTGCACTGTGGATATTGACCATACCGTAATTCCATGTGCCGTTGCTCTTATATAGATGAAACGGAAGTGGTAATGCCACACATAGTACGAAACACATGAAGTCCACGCCAAACCAACGCCGATGAGCCAATTCATCAAACACAGGAGGAAGGGATAGCGCCTTTTTCTCAGATCAGTTGGCAGGCCTTTTATAAGTGTCAGTTTCAGTATCAAAAACAAATGTGCAAAAAAAAAAAAAAAAAAGAGCTGCTAGAAACAAGGGCAAAAAAAAACGTGCAGAAAAAGATATGGATAGGATAATAGAATGACAATGATAGACAAATTCGCTCTGTAGCAATATCCTCGTCAAGTTCTCGTCCTAAATTGGCCGTGACATGCCTTACTTTCTCACTATCGACGTACTAAGGACAATTAGTCCAACTATAATGAAGACAAGAGGACGCATTAGATGTCTCCGGAAAGATGAGAACAGAAGATATGTATCCTTGCCATAGTAGAAACAAAAGAAGCTATTCTTACCTCCATCTCCCGAATCTTGATATCATACAATGACTCCATGTCCTCAAGTATCTGCTTCTGAGCCGGGTCGTCCCTGACACAGAAGTTGATCATCAGTGTCCGGAGGCCAGACCGACCGAATGGACCAAAGGAGGAGATATAATGGGCGACTCTCTTTGGCATCTCATAGTTGATCACCAAAGAAGAAAAGTCCAGATCGAGATTGTCCATAAGAATCGATTCTGAAACCAAGATACAGGGCTCTGGTGCATTGAACTGGCGGGCAACCTCAGTCTTATCAGCCATGCTCCACTAGGTTGTTATTCAAGTAGGGAAAAGATCATGTATGAGCATGCGGGGCAAACTATTTCGACAGTAAACGGATCCGCATCACCAATAAAGATAGAGAAGCTTACCACAGACAGTACAGGCAACTTTTGCGCCTCCAGCTTAGCAGTTAGTGCTTGGGTCAGACTCTGGGATTGGGTAAGGATCACCGTATGAGATATGTCTGGGTTCTTGGTCAGAATATCCATTAGCACCTCCCATTTGTGATCTTTTGGTGAAGAGTCGCTTTCGTGATCGTGGTCCTGGTTCTGGTCGTCGTTAGCTTGTTGATCCTTGTCAGGCGAGGGAATCGCAACAAAGTAGTGCTCGCTCCACTGCATCGTTAGCTCATCCGCCCTTCGAACAGCTGCGTCAGCTCTAAAGTTCTGTGCTTTAAGCACCTCGATCGGGGGTTGGATCCGTCCTGTCATTAAAACAACCTGTGCATCTCGCGACAACAATGCCCAAAACTGCTTGAACGCTTCAAAATTGACGAGCTCGGCTAACCGCATCGAAATCACAACCGTTTCGATTGTCTTCATGTCCAGGAGGTCATTCCTGAGCGCCTCCATCAACGGACCCAAGGTAGTGAGCACTACTTGCTTCGCCTGGTCAGGATCTGACAGTACAGCGCGACTAGCATCCGCATCGGTCGTAAGAAGAATGGATTTCAGCCCCGGAGCAGCCTCGAACCAGCTCTGAAAATCCTCATGTACTTTTTGTGGATTGATGCCTTCGGAGCAAATGACAAGCGCTTGGCAGTGTTTCTGGGCAGAAGCGGATGTGGACAGCTTTTGCAGCAGAGCGATTGCGAGGGTGATTGTGCGGTCGTTTTGCGACTGGGACTGTGCAATCACATCCTTGCCCTCAATGAAAGGCATTATCATCAGCTTTTGGATATTTGAGGGTATGTCAAGCCTATAGAAAATAATGCAAGAAATAAAAAATGCTGGTAAGTGGACAAACCCCTCCGCTTTGCATCAAGAGCGGTATGGCCATTTCCAAGCATAAATGCTACACGTACCCTGCCTCGGCAATCCTAGCTCTGACATTAGATAACAGGCCCATCTCATCCCAGGTCATCCGGCACTCCAGCGAATTGGAAAACAGAGGGGTCTGTAATTTGACGAAGATACATTAATTTATTAGCAAACAAATACTTGACATTCTTGCAACATGCAACAGTCCAAGACTACAATCAAGGACGCGATCGCGTCCCAGTACTTACATGACGCGGGGTCGCCGCTTTTGATTCCCTGGGCTCTCTGACCCTTAGACCCTTCCGTGTCTGCTCTGGCTGACCGACCCTATCCTTCCCACGACGCTGCGAATCAGCCGACACTGAACCCGAGGGATGATTGCTTTGTCCATGCTGGTTCGAGAATGACCCACCTCGTTGATTCGAGCGAGGATCGCTCTGGCCTGGTCCAACTGATGAACTCGTTGTCATTGAATGCCTGCTGTCAGAAGAGGTATCTTGCTGCCTTGACATCGAGCCAAATTTTGCTCCACCTCTATTCTCCATTGGTGCGTTCCCTGACGATTTCTTGTCAAACCTGCCATCAACGCCGCCTGGCGGTGGTCCTCGCTGAAAGCCCAAACGTGTATTCCTAGCGCCCAGCGACGAACGTGCATCATTGGGCAGATCAGATTCAGAGTCCTGGAACCTCCTGCCGCCTCGCTGTTGGCCCTGCTGTGAATTCGCGAATCTCGAATCATTGCCACTCATGGGCCTGCCTCGATTGTTTCCGAATCCACCTCTACCGCTTTGACTAAATCGCTGCTGTCCGTTACCCCAATTGTCAGTGTTGTTGTCTCTGTTCCAACCACTTTGTGAGTTGCCCCATCCGTCGCTGCGCCCTTTCGTAGGTGGATCTCCCCAGCTAGTGCTCTTGGTTGTTGCAGATGAGCCTCCCCAGCCATTCTCCAGATTCACAGGTGGATCTCCCCATCCACTGCCTTCAGTCTTTGCAGGTGGGTCACCCCATCCACTGCCTTCAGTCTTTGCAGGTGGGTCACCCCATCCGGTACTTTCATCCTTGGCCGGTGCTTCGCCTCCTGCAGTACTTTCAGGCGTCGTCGATGCTTCAACCCATCCACCGCTTTGTGCCTTTCCGGCCTTGGATGCCTTCTCCGCCTGATATCCGGCGTCCTCTTTCTGCTCCCTGGCACCCTTCGCCGGCGGACCTCTCTTGCCGTCCCTTTGACCCTTCGCTCCCTTTGTATCCGCATTCCTCCAGCTATCATTATGCTCTGCTCTAGGTCGTTCGCCCCTGCTATCGCTCCTACCTGCCGCGAACGAATTTCCCCGCCCATTCTTGGGATTCGCAGGTGGCTCTCCCCATCTGTCGCCGGTGGTCTTGGCAGGTGGCTCTCCCCATCCGTCGCCGGTGGTCTTTGTAGGTGGATCGCCCCATCCGTCACCGGTGGTCTTGGCAGGTGGATCGCCCCATCCGTCTTTGATTGGTACATTTTCCGTGGTGGGTTCCGTCGATGCTGTGCCGAGATCCTTGCCTGCGACATCCTCCGGCTTTGAGAACAATGCTCCCCCGTCCTTGTCCTGTGTTCGGTGTTCGTCTGGATTGCTTCTCTTGCTATGGTAAGGGCCCTTGGGGCTGAACGACTCATCGTTCTTCTTGCTCCACTGCTGATATTGATTCTGCTGCTGCTGATACGGTTGTTGGAACTTGCGAATGTTCTTTCCTTTAGACGCCCAACCAGACGGCGATGACCCCTCCTCCGTTTGGCCGGCAATATCCTTGCTATGCACTGCGCTGCGTTTCGCCTGATTCGAAACCATGCGATCCTCTCCCTCCTGGCTCAGAGGTCCGTTCCTGCGCTGCAATCCACTACTCTTCCTCGGCTCCTTGCCTTCGGTGGGAACTTCGACCTCCTTACCAGAGCTCATCGACACCGTCGAGGCGTCATCATCGTCGTCATCGTTCTTCTTCTTTCTGCGGAGCAGCTTAAGTTTCTTGGCGGATTCAGTCGACGCGGCAGATATGTTCGCTGCTGGTCCTCCAAGATCCCTCCGCTCCTTCTTAGTATCATTCGTCTCTGCCGCATTGAAACCTCTATCGAGGCGAGGCGACGATGGCGTAGGTTGGGAAGTGGTCTCGTTACTCTTCGACTCTGCCCCTCTCTCTCCGAACCCGCGACGTGGGGAACGTGGTGAGCGAGGCGACCTGGTCGCATTTTGTGCCTTCTTTACTCCGCTGACACCCGACGATTCCAATTGCTGTCCCGGACGGCTGTTGGCGGTGGTAGCATCTGTCGCGTCCGACGCTTCTTTCGCACCACTCTCCGCTTTAGTCACATTTCCAGGTACTTCCACTGTCGCCGACTCTGATGTGGAGGTATTCTCAGGAGCCTGACCCTGTCCACGGTTGGCCTTCCGGTCTGATCTGCTCCCTCGACTGTTCTCTTCATCTCCTCCTCCTCGCGATGAATTTCCCGGCCGGTCGCTGTTGAACTTGCCTGGTCCCCTCTTGCGGCCAGAATATGTCGATGACGGGGGCGTCTGTTGGTCCGACTTGTCGGTCGGTCCGGCAACCACTCCCAACCCAATCGCTCCTCCCGTAGCAGCTCCTGACTGTGAAATCTCTGTAGGTTCTGTAGAGTTGGTGCTGCCACTGCTCTTTTTAGCGGACGCGTTGCTGCCCCGTTTTGGCTTGGATGTTTTGGGTGACTGTGAGGGAGCAGCGTTCCCTGTCTTAGCTGAACCTGAATTTGGCGGCGTGCTATTGTTCGTGGCAGTAGACGCGACCTTGTTCATATCCTGTTGTTGCTGTTGCTGTTGTTGCTGTTGTTGAGGTGCCGATGGTGGCTGGGGGCTGCCATCGGCATGAGTCCTTGGTTCCTTGGTTGGTTCACTCATGGTCGCGAAAGACTGCGCCTTTTTGGATGAAAGAAGTGTGTGGAATGATCCTCTTGAGTGAGTGCGCACACAACTCCTATTTGTGTTGAGTGAGAGAATTTTACTTCCCAAGTGGCCCAGGTGACGTGCGCTTGTGCTTTGTCGCCTTTTTCTTTTTTTTTAGGGGTTAGGCTCGTTCCCATCCTGAGGGAGAAAATCACGTGCAATGCGTACCGCATTATTGCCTTTAATGGCAATTTTGCACAATCTTTCTCCTCTCAGGCTGGGACCAAACTCGACCCTTTACTATAAAGTGGCATTTTTCCTTGAGAAAAAAATCGCAAGTTGAAAATTGGCTGTAGAACGAGTCTTTGTGCTGGACCCGCGTGCAAAATATAAAAATATAAAATGTGAAATATGAAATATAAGAAATGCCCCTGAACGCTGCGTGCGCCTGGGCCATGTTGAATGAAAAAAAATAAAAATAAAAAAAGCTACGTGCGCTGTCTCCATGCATCACTCATCTCTTGCCTGAGCATTCTGTCTCCACGCGTCACCCCTTCTCTTATCATTGCCTCACCAACTCCTCTCTTACGCCAATCCTTGCTTACCCGTCTACTGCACTCATCCATTCGTTGTCCGTCATCCCACGCCTGTACTATAACCCCTTCAGCCTAATAAACACTCTCTTATTTCAGTCAGCCATGAACAGCTATACCAATACTGCAGTCAGTGATGCCCGATTGAACCATGTCTTTAACGCGATCAAGGCGAGCCGTCTCTCGCTGAATACTTTTCTGATTGCAAGCTTCGCTTCCAAGGACCGCCGCGTGAAGAGGCGTGTGGCCTGCTTCTATGGTGGTGATGGACCGGCGTCTGTTGTTGCTTTTTGGAAGGATAACATCAAGAAGCGAAAGCACACCAAGACTCTTCTTCCAGCTGCCATTGACTTGGTCGTCCACTACGCCACCAGAGAGCTAAAAAGGATTGCGAAAGCAAAAGTCCTGCGACTGCCACCCTCCGAGATGACAGCGGAGAAAGCAACGGACTTCACTCCCAAGTTCATCACAGAGTGCTTTCAGAAGCATGCTCCGCATCTTTTGTCGTTGCTGAACGGTCTTGCGCGAGTGAACGGTCCTACCAAAGACAATGCTCCTGCCGAAGAAGACGGTTCTACAGAGGAGAACGATTCTGCGGAAGAGAACGACTCTGCGGAAGAAAACGACTCTGCGGAAGAGAACGATTCTGCGGGAGAGAACGATTCTGCGGGAGAGAACGATTCTGCGGGAGAGAACGATTCTGCGGGAGAGAACGACTCTGCGGAAGAGAACGATTCTGCGGAAGAGAACGATTCTGTGGAAGAGAACGGTCCTGCGGGCGAGAACAAGGCCACGACTATGAAGGCAGAGGCTGTAGTCACTGCGATCGCGAGCATGTTGCTTTTCCTTTTCAACCGTCAAGCGAACTACCTTCAACTCCTTACAGGACTCTATTTGTATGGGAATGGTACCGCTCGGAGTGTCATCGGTATTCTCTCCAAAATTGGCCTGACTGTATCTCATCAAACAATCCATCGAACACTGCGAGCACTGTCCAACGACGCGTCTACTAAAGCGAGAGAGGCAGCCAATACCAAACCATTCTACATAGTGTACGATAATATAAACATTGCATTCCGCAAACACGACCAAAGGCTTTTCAATCAGGACTCGTTCGACAATGGAACGACTGCAACTCTCATCGTATCGGACGTTACTGCTGAGGAAGAGATGGAAACCAATTCTGCGAAGCACCTACGCTTCAAAGACCTCTTACCTAAACATGACCATAACATCGCTATGTTCGAAACTTTCCGCTTCCACTTGGTTGGGGTTTTACAACGACGTGTTGAAACCTTCAAGAGCTGCTCGTGGCCCACCCCAACAATCAAGCTTCTGCCGGTCAATGCGACCAAAACTTACCCGTTGCCTTTGATGCAAATTAACCAGGCGACTGTCCAGGGAAACAAGGACATCCTTGAGACAATTATGGAGATTGAGCTTCAGCTACCACCGGAATGGTTTGATGGAAGGCGGATACTTATCGCAGGGGACCAGCTTACAACAATCAGAGTTCACTCCTTGAAGAATCAGCGCTGGGATGACATTTCGACCTATCATCGACACGAATATGCAATTCCGATAATGCAGCTATTCCACCTACAGATGTTGTTGGGCGCCACCATCCTTCGCCACCACTATGGCTCGGCCGCAACGCCAGGATCAATAGCGTTCAATGCGTCGTTGCTGAATCGAAAGCGTGTCAGCCTTGATAAGCCCGACTTTCATGCAACAGATGAGTTGCTTCGCCAATCTTTTGAGGCGATGGCTTTGAGAGCATGGGAGATTATACTAGAGTGCGATAGCCTGAGCGAATATCAGCACAACGGCACAGAAGCAGAGCTCCTCGACCTTGTTGGCTCCAAAGTTAACACCATCCTCGAGCGGTTTATCATGAAGGGCAACCAAGAACATCTTGCTGACGTTGCTTCAAGAAACGCTGCCTTATTCCTCAGAGACATGATGCTGTACATCGAGCTTGCCTCAGCTATCAAGTGCGGCGATACCGGACGCCTGGAGAACGTCATCAAGCACATCACTGTCATTTTTCAGGCCGGCTCCACCAAAAACTATGCCAATGAGCTATTGCTTATGCACATTGGCCTCCATTATTCCTGGTCCCCTCAAACGAGGCGCGCCGTATTGTCGTGTATGCTGGTGAACCCCACCGGGAAGGAGGGCCGGTTTATTCCAACAGATCTCTACCAGGAGCACAACAACTTAAGGACGAAGGAAATTCATGGCTTGAGGGGACGTAGTGCAAACTGGGGGACAATGGGAAGAGCAGTTTCAACCAACATTAGGACCTTTGATGAAATCGGGAAAGAGTTTCAAAAGGCTTGGGGTATAACTCCCGCTGGCACCAACCATACGACAGTGCCAGACACCAATGACATTAACGCAATACTGCAGAATATCCAGGAGAATGGTATCCTAGGCAACGATATTCAACCGCTCTCGGATATTGAGGGAGTGAGTGATCTGTTTGAGGATGGCATGGTGAAGCTGATGAAAAATGGATATCTGGAGAGTTTTATCGATCGCAACACTCGTCTCCGGCAACAAACTGAGAGTGATGGAAGAGCAAGTCCCATGTCAGTGGACGATGAAATAAACAGCGAGATGGATGCTGAGGTGGACGAAGACATGGATGATCAGATAGACAATGAGGTGGGGTGGAATGGTATAGAATTCGGCATCGATGATTATGTTCAGGTTACAGCAGAATAAAACATTTATTTTTTCACCCGATACCCTTTTTATAACACGTAGTCTTCAGCTTTTAACACACTGATGAGGTGTGGCAATTGTTGCCCAGGCCCTAGGGGCACGCCCGTGTAATGCGATATGTCAACTGGCGACTATAAATTGATGAAGAGGACAACTGTGGTAGATCTTTGCTAGTTAGTCTGGTAGATTCGCAGAGTCATTTGACTAGAGAGACAAATTGTTATAAAATAAAAAAAATAATAATAATTTTTTCATCCATGCACTACTGATCAGGTTTTTTTTGAAAAATTCATGGCGGTCTTGACTCTGAAAGGGCATTGTGCTCTTTGTGTCGGTGGTTGTTTCCTTTGACGTTGTCGTTTAAGAGTCTGTTGCTCGTGTTGCTCCAACTGCTCCAGTTGTTCAATCTGTTGCCGCTTTGGCTGTTGCTGTTGCTGTTGCTGTTGCTGTTGCTGTTGCTGTTGCTGTTGCTGTTGCTCTTGCTCTTGCTCTTGCTCTTGCAGTTGCTGTTCCAGTCGTTGTTGCTGTTGCTCTATCTGTTCCATTTGCTGTTGCTGTTGCTGTTCCAGTTGCTTGTGCTGTTGCTTTAGCTGTTCCAGTTGCTGTTGCTGTTGCTGTTGCTGCTGCTGTTGCTTTTGCCATCTCTGTAGCAAGATCTGTTGCTGTTCCTGTCGCTGTTGCTGTTGCTGTTGCGATTGCTGGTGCCATTGCTGTTGCCGTTGCTGGTACTGTTGCTCTTGCTCTTGCCGTTGCTGTTGCTGTTGCTGCTGCTCTTGCAGTTGCTTCTTATCCCATTCCTGCAATTCATCTTTCGAATCACTCGATAGTAGTCGTTTGAGCTCTAGCATGTGCTGTTTGAATTCTTTGATAGACTCTGATGTGGCTGTTGGTGGTTCTGGTGCTGGTATCTGTAGCGTTATGTATGGCAAGCCTTGTTTGAGATCTATCCTGCTCTGCGCTCCGGCTGGCGCTGGTGCTGATGCTGGTACTGGTGCTGGTACTGATGCCGATGCTGGTGCTGGTGCTGGTAGTGCTGGTTGATGCGGCATTGTATTTTGCAAATATTGTCTGAGGTCTATCCTTTTCAGTCCTGACGGCCTTTCAGATCTGATTGTTACGTTCAGCTCTATGAGCCTGATGCTGAGCATTCGTCCGATTAGAGGCGTCAGTGGCTCCCAACGGACGACCTCAGGGAGACTCGTTACCTTGACGACAGCGGCGCTTTTGGCTGCTAGCTTGTCCATCATTGAATCAGGCATCACACTGCCTAAGCCCACTAGATAGCAGCGATCCTTGTAGAAGAGATTGAAAGCGTCAAGCCTCCAGGCCTTGATCACCTCCAATGCGCGAGCCTTCTCTGCTCCTGCCCGTAATGGTGGCCGACCTTTCTTAATTTTACTGGTCCCCGCAATTCCCGTTTCCATGACAAATTCGGGGTTACATATGTCGCAACAGTTTTCTAGATCCTGGTGTTGGTTGTTGAAATACGAATTCAGATATCTGCGTCGACAGGTGGTCGAGGTGACATATTTTTTGAGTGCCGGTTCAATCGACTGGATATCACGTCGTGGCACAAGAAGAATCCCGGACCCAGAAATGTGTGGATCGCGCGCCGCTCGACCAAGTCGTTGAACAAGAGTCGAGATATTGTTGGGATATCCATACTGGACGACGCGGACAACGTCACTGATATCGCACCCCATTCCTGCTGCCTCCGTCGACAGCAATACATATATGCGGTTGGCCTTGAAATCATTCATGCGCTTGACCTTTAGCTCGTCAGACTTCATCGCATGGTAGACGGCGACCTTGTCCGCGTCCATGAGTCCCCTGAGGTATCTAGAGGCAGCCTCAGCGTCATCGATCGATTGAAAATAAACAATCGTCTTGAGTCCATCCTTCAGAAAACGGAGATCCTCAAAAGTTTTTGTCTTGAAACGCTGAAACACGACGATGTATTTGACGTTGATCCTGTCGTTGCCGACGTTAACGACCTCAATGTTCTTCTTGAAATACAGAGTGCTGATGACTGTCGAAAGAAGGGCAGGTGGCAAAGTGGCCGAGATCGCAAGAAAACATGTTGTCCGGGCGACCTTGGAGCGCAGTTGTCCGAGAAGTCCATAATGCTTCCTGAATTCCAGGCCCCAAGTCCCAATACAATGGGCTTCATCCACAACGACTGCTCGTAACCGCTTTCTCCATTCGGGTTGAGTCCAAAGACCTACGAGACTCTGAAACACAATCTCGGGAGACATAAAAACAGCTCGGAAGACCCCTTTCATCAGGTCGTCGAAAGGGATCTTCATCCCACCCTTGAGGTTGATGCTAGATATCCCTGCGTCCTCGAGTTTTTGATGTTGCTCGTCTCCCAGCGCCCTAAGTGGAGTAATGACCACTATCACATCGTCCGACCAAAGTATCAGAGGAAGAAAATAGACCAACGTCTTGCCCCACCCCGTGCCAGCAATAAGGACGCAGTCTTCGCGCTTGCTGATCTTGTCTACTACTCTAAGCTGTTCTGGCTTCGGTTGATATCCAAAAACCTCTTGGCAGCGCTGGATTGTGTTGTTAGGGAGTGAGCAAAGGCCCGCAGTATTGGTATAGCTGTTCATGGCTGACTGAAATAAGAGAGTGTTTATTAGGCTGAAGGGGTTATAGTACAGGCGTGGGATGACGGACAACGAATGGATGAGTGCAGTAGACGGGTAAGCAAGGATTGGCGTAAGAGAGGAGTTGGTGAGGCAATGATAAGAGAAGGGGTGACGCGTGGAGACAGAATGCTCAGGCAAGAGATGAGTGATGCATGGAGACAGCGCACGTAGCTTTTTTTATTTTTATTTTTTTTCATTCAACATGGCCCAGGCGCACGCAGCGTTCAGGGGCATTTCTTATATTTCATATTTCACATTTTATATTTTTATATTTTGCACGCGGGTCCAGCACAAAGACTCGTTCTACAGCCAATTTTCAACTTGCGATTTTTTTCTCAAGGAAAAATGCCACTTTATAGTAAAGGGTCGAGTTTGGTCCCAGCCTGAGAGGAGAAAGATTGTGCAAAATTGCCATTAAAGGCAATAATGCGGTACGCATTGCACGTGATTTTCTCCCTCAGGATGGGAACTAGGCTCGAACCCATCCAGCCGACGGAAGCGCGTTGCACGTGACCGTGCACGTGGCTAAGGCCAGCCTTAATGATTTTCGCCTTTTAAGGCAATCGTGGCTTGGCTCTTGCCATTGCTTCTGTGGCAGGCTGGGGTCAAACTCGACCCTCTACTAAGGGTTAGCTTTTTGCGCACAAATCCCATGTAAACAGGTGGTCGTCGCACAAAATCCATGTAAAAATAAAGTTTCCCGCAAAACTTTTTTTTCACACACGGTCTTTTTTTTTTTTTTTTTTTCTTCATATCTTGCTCTTCTTCCTCATCTTCTTCCTTGTCTCCTTCACTCCCCACCCACCTACCTCAATCCATACTGCACCTCTATACCCTCTCTACCCTCCATACCCTCCATACCCTCCATACCCTCCATACTCTCCAAACTCTTCCTCTATACCATTCCACGAGACCGTCTACCATACCGACGCCTCACAGGTACGAGGCTATGCTTCATTTTTTCTCACGCTTTGTACCGGTGTAAGCCAACCTGGATAGCCTAGACCAACTAACCATACAATCTAACGTGTGTAGACTCTTCAGTCTATCTCCATACTCCTTCCAAGGTAGGTTGTCGTGCTTCATTATCTCGCGTTCGCGTCGTGTCATTCAGAACAATGCAGACCATCTAACACAGGTTTTTTTTTTTAGCACATCAATCCTTTAAAATGACTGCTCCTCCGCCCTATCCTCCTCAACCTGCTATTCCTTGCCAAGTCAGGACTGCTGAGCGCTGTCTGGGTGCTGATATGGATGAGAAACTTGTTATCCTTCCTCTTCGCCCTCCCACGATTACTCCTCGTCAAGCCCGGGCCGCTAAGCGCCGTAAGCAGAAGGAACTGGATAACAAGCTGAAGGAACGGGATAACAAACTGAAGGAGTGTTTTGCGGAAATGAGTGGAAACAACGCAGAAAAGATCATCAGGGTAATGAGCATGATGGATTGCACGATGTTGCAGCTCATGAATCAGTACTTTACGTCAAGCGATCGGAATGACACTAGGGCTGCCTTGTTCTACGGAAACGGAGGCCCCAAGTCCATCATGGACCTTTGGGACAAAAACATACGCAACACGGACGCAAAGAACTCATTCAGGGGCACCATCATGAAGATCGCATCAAACATAGCTCGTGAGGAAATAAACCGTGCCAAGAATGCCGCCTGTTTCAAAACACCGTCTCCAACGTTCACCCGACAAAAGGCAGTTGATTTCTCGCTCGAAACCCTTTCAAAAGACTTGCATTCGAAGGCGCCGCATCTTATGTTCATGCTAGGGCAGATGACGAGCGTGAGCAAAAGCAACGGGCGCAGTCAGTCAGTCATACTTCCATTAATTGGAAGCATGATTTTGAACCTTTGTTGTCGTACGTGCAATAGTTTGCAGATGGTTTTGGGTCTTTTTCTTTTCAGTAACGGAACTCCAAAGCAGGTCGTCGAGGTCTTTTGCCGCTCTGGTTTATCGGTGTCTCCCAAGACTATAGATCGAACATTAGAAACACTTGGAAAAGACTCCATGAAGAGAGCACAGGAGGCCATGAGGACGAAACATTGCAGTTTAGTCTACGACAACATTAATTTTGCACTTCGGAAGTCCGATCAGCGCTCCAACAACGCCGACAACTTCGAAAGCGGCACTGCCGGGACACTTATACGGGGTGAGGATCCAGGATTGCCAGATCTACGGACTGACCAAGAGATTTTCGCAGAGTATCAACCCAAGGATCTACGCATCTCAAGTGCAGACAATGCACATGCTGATTTGGTCTTCCGGAACATTTTCTCTGAGGTAAGGTTACTTGAATCGCGTCATGTATGCGTTTTTAGCTGACAAATACAATCGGGACAATATGCTGGTGGCTAATATATATTCATAACCCATCAACAGGTTTTACATCGCCGTGTTGAGTCGTTCAAAGGCTCCATGCTTCCAGCTCCGACAATCTTACCCCTTCCTCTGGAAAAGACAGAGACATTCCCACTGCCAACTTTGCCCATCAACCAGTCAAGCGTGGATGGAAACATAAGCGTTCTAGAGGAGTACTGTCGCCAACTCAAACTAGAACCAAAATGGTTCAACGACAAGCAAATACTCACCTTAGGGGATCTTCTTACCACTCTTCGGCTCAGGGGTGCGAAGATGGCACGGCGGGATGACACAGACAGTTTCAACAGGATAGATTGGGCGATACCAGTGCCACAGCTTTTCCACTTGCAGATGTCATTCGCAGGAACAATCCTCAGTACTCATTACGGAGATAAGAACGAAGCCGGATCCTTGGCATACAACGCAGAGATGCTAAACAGGAAGAGAGTCAGCATCAACAAATTTGACTTTCACGCCGTGAACGAGCTATTGCGACATACATTCGACGCTATGGTTCTGCGATTTTGGCAAGTGGAGCTAGGAGTGGAGGACCTGAATGCATTCGGGGAAACTCATAATCAGAAGGAGCTCTCAGATATGGTTTCCGAAAGGATTCCCCGCTTTATTTCAAGATGTCTAGATCCTGAGCAGAGATGCCAGTTCGACGTGGCCTCACGTAACTCATTCATCTTCCTCAGAGACACGGCTTTCTACTTGGAGCTGGCCAACGCTATCAAGGCTGGAGATGTGGGACGTATTGAGAGTGTGGTGAAATGGATATCAGTGATGTTTCAGGGTTCTTCGGCCACAAACTATGCTAATGAGCTGCTTCATCTGCATTGTGCGCTGAATTATAGGTATTCGGCTCAGACAAAGAGAGCTGTGCTGTCTTCATGGCTAGTTAACACGACTGGAAAAGATGGTGGATGGATTCCTACGGATTTGTACCAGGAGCATAACAACCTCCTTATCAAAGTTGTGCATTCAGCAAGGGCTAGCTCTACACCATGGGAGACAATGTCGACCAAAATTGCACCAAACATCGAGATTTTTGCAGAGGTCAAGAAGATAATTCCAGCAATGTTCAAGACTCCACGGAATAAGAATTGGCACAACCCCGTTTCTGCAGATATCGACATCAACAAGGTCATTGTGACGCTAAGGGAGTCTGGTATCTTCGAAGCGAAACAAGGCGACGACGATCTAGACTGCACGATGGACACCAAACCAGTGAGGGATCTCTTTGACACTGGCAATGAAAACATATGTTCTCTTAAAAAGTTCCGTGAGTTCCGAGCTCGCAACCAAAGCTCCAACAACTATCCGAGTCATCATACCTCAGAATGTGGCAGTCCATACAATGTCAATGATGGACCACAGCAATACAACATCTCGCAATATTTACAGGACATCCAACAAGACGAACTCTCGGACATGGATACGCAGAGCATCTGCTCCATCAGCCCAAACGATGTGGACTACGACGATGGCGCCGCCTTTGAGAGATATATTACTACAAATAAGGAGTTGGAACTGGATGCAGTAGAGGAGTACTTAGATCCTTCTGATAACAACGAGGACCAAGATGATGAAGACTTTGATGAACTTTGAAGCTTTTAATAAGACGCTCAAAATAAGAAAAATAAATCGTGCTCAGTTATTATATAAACGGATTAGCAGGGTCATTTCGATCGTCGTGTCCAGGTTTTGGAACTATCGTGAGTGGCGAATGCGGGTGGCCGCTTTCAATCGTCTGTTGGCGAACCTTGGAAGGCGTGTTTCCCGCCTCATATGGCTTCCACTTCAGAATTTTGGCGGGAGTCTGCGGACGACTGCTAGTAGGTGTCTGTTGACGAATCTTGATAGGCATCGAATCCTGGGGCCGATAATGTACCAATTTAATACGAGGGGTAGTGGGCGTTTGCGGCTGACTGATAATAACTGTTTGTTGACGATTACTAGTAGGTGTGAAATCTTGTAATTGATAATTTATCCGTTGAGCAGGAGTTCTAGTGGGCGGTCTCGGGTGTTCTTGAGCGCGGCCACTAGTAGGTGTCTGTGGACACTCAAGCTCCTCTAAATCCTCCAAATATGGCTCCTCGATCCGATGAAGCCGCAGGACTGGCGAATTCGGCGCATCGACTCCAAATTCTTTTGCCATAAAACTCTCCGTCATCTCCATATTGTTCTCGTCATATATCCTTGTAAATGGCGGCTCGTTTGAAGGAATGGCGAGCTGACTAAGAACGTCCCAAAGAGTTTGAACCACTGCGATATCCTCAGACCAATCGGCAACTTCCACAAGTTCCACAGCAGATTTGATACTTCCGAACTTTTTGATGATCCTGTCTATCATTTTGTCCGGCAGCACGTTTCCAACTCTGTATGCGACGCACTGCGTGCGATAGAAACGCTCAAACCGATCCTTTCGCCACTGCTCAATTGTTTCCCTGATTTGTTTGCCGTCTTTTGCTGAAATATTGATTTTGTTCTTACGGCTTGGAAGTACCAATCGGGCGCCCATCTGTGCTGGAGTCGCTACGTTAGGTTGACACTTGTCACAACAATTAACGATCTGCACCGGCGTGTTGTTGAAGAATCTGTTGAGGACAACTCGGCGACACGGATGGGCGTTAATATATTGTTGAAGATGGCTCTCATCCATTGTTGGTTGTGCAAGACGAGGAAATGTTTTCGCGTATAGTAGTATCCCTTCACCCTCCAAATTCGGATCGCGCGCAGCTCGACCAATCCTCTGGACAAGTGTTGACAAACTTGAGGGTATCCCATACTGCACTACTCGGACCACATCGCTGATGTCACAGCCCATCCCAGCAGCCTCTGTTGCCAACAATATCCAGTAGTTGTTGTTCGTAAATCGCTTCATAACCAACTCCTTGCGCTCATCTGACTTCCCCGCATGGTAAACGCCAATCCGTTTTCTTAAATTCTCCGGCGCCAGACGCCTCAAATATGTCTGAGCGTTCGCACACTCAGCTCGACTATCGAAATAAACGATGGTCTTTTTATCGAAACCCAAGAGAAAGTTGAGGTCCTGAAAACTGTTTGCTGGATAACAAAATGCCTTCGCTGTATACTTGACGTTCCTTCGATCGTTCCCTTCGTTGACCACCACGATGTCGCTTTTATAGCTCAGGCATACTTTGACTGCTTCTAAGGCCTTGGTCGTGAGTGTCGCTGTCAGGGCTATAAACGCCTTTCTTGGAGGTAACCATCTTCGTATCTCACCAATGCGCCCATATGCTTTCCGGAAGTCGTCGCCCCAATGGTTGATGCAGTGTGCTTCGTCGACAATCACTGCTAAAAGTAGGCGTCTCCAACTCTTATTGAACCATATGTCCTTCAATCGAGTACTGTCAAATACTAACTCCGGAGACATGAACACTGCTCGGTATTTTCCTGACGCCAGCTCCTTGATGCAGTTGCTATCAATGATCGTCTCCCGGCGGAGAAAAATGCTCGAGATATCGACGGCCTGAAGTTTTTGATCTTGTTCCTTGCCCAAAGCCGTCAAAGGGGTCAATACAACGATTATTCTGTCGGGCCAGAAGATAAGTGGAAGAAAGTACACCAACGTTTTGCCCCATCCACATCCTGCTATTAACACGCAGTCTTCGCCTTGACCTATCTTCCTTGCGACTTCAAGTTGCAATGGCTTGGGAGACACCTTGAAAGTTCTCAAACAGCGTTCACTGGCGTCTTCCGGAAGAGAGAGAGGAGAAAAGATAGCCAGGTTTCCATCCATATCAGCACCCAGACAGCGCTCAGCAGTCCTGACTTGGCAAGGAATAGCAGGTTGAGGAGGATAGGGCGGAGGAGCAGTCATTTTAAAGGATTGATGTGCTAAAAAAAAAAAACCTGTGTTAGATGGTCTGCATTGTTCTGAATGACACGACGCGAACGCGAGATAATGAAGCACGACAACCTACCTTGGAAGGAGTATGGAGATAGACTGAAGAGTCTACACACGTTAGATTGTATGGTTAGTTGGTCTAGGCTATCCAGGTTGGCTTACACCGGTACAAAGCGTGAGAAAAAATGAAGCATAGCCTCGTACCTGTGAGGCGTCGGTATGGTAGACGGTCTCGTGGAATGGTATAGAGGAAGAGTTTGGAGAGTATGGAGGGTATGGAGGGTATGGAGGGTATGGAGGGTAGAGAGGGTATAGAGGTGCAGTATGGATTGAGGTAGGTGGGTGGGGAGTGAAGGAGACAAGGAAGAAGATGAGGAAGAAGAGCAAGATATGAAGAAAAAAAAAAAAAAAAAAAGACCGTGTGTGAAAAAAAAGTTTTGCGGGAAACTTTATTTTTACATGGATTTTGTGCGACGACCACCTGTTTACATGGGATTTGTGCGCAAAAAGCTAACCCTTAGTAGAGGGTCGAGTTTGACCCCAGCCTGCCACAGAAGCAATGGCAAGAGCCAAGCCACGATTGCCTTAAAAGGCGAAAATCATTAAGGCTGGCCTTAGCCACGTGCACGGTCACGTGCAACGCGCTTCCGTCGGCTGGATGGGTTCGAGCCTAGATGGAACGAGCTAGGCTCGTAACCAGCCTGAGGACGAGAGCACGTGAGTGGAAATTGGATTGCCTTTTAAGGCAACCACTCTCTTTTCTCTCTCTCTCAGGCTGGGATAGAACTCGAGTTATTAGCAGGGACCAGAAAAAAAAAGGAGAGCAATTTTTTCAAAGTCGGAAATAGGCTGTGAAGTGGTTCTTTTGCATGCAAATTGTCTGCCGCACTGGAAAAAAAAAAAAAAAAAATATGCATGCATGCATGCCCCCCTACACTCCATCTGCTTTCTTTCAATTCACACGCTTCGCTTCTCTCTCAGCTCTTCTCTCCTTTCTTCACACTCCCACCTTTCCGTCTTTGCATCTTCAAGGATTTCGAAAATGAAACTCGATGACCGTTTGCATATTATCTTGACTACGATGGCCACCCATAACCTCACCTTGGGCAAATTTTTGAAGGCGTGCTTTGCATCGAAGGACCCAAGAGTGCAGTTCAAGATATCGCGTTTTCTCGACAGCACTGGCCCAGCAGGACTCGTGCAGGCCTTATCGGAAGGAGTTACGGAACCCAGGCCAGTCGCGGCTGTCATGGAGTCAGCTATCAATCTTGTCGTCAAACATTGCACGGCCGAACTCGATAGTGCTCGTTCGAGTCGCAGCTTGCATCTCCCCTCAACCTCCATCACCGCAGCCAGCGCGACAGGATTTGAGCTTACCACCTTCAGCAAACGCATCCAACGAGCCGCCCCTTTTCTTTTTCGACTACTGATCGGCTTGGCGAGCATCAATACAGCTACCACTCGGTCAGTTCCAACAGTCATCACGGTCATGTCCAGCATGTTTCTATTTCTTCGCAACCAGCATTGTAATTACTTTCAGATGATCATGGGGCTCTACATGTTCAGTAAAGGTGCGTCACGACTACTCATCAACCTATTTTCAAGGGCTGCCCTATCGGTCTCGTACTCAACCATTTTAACCGGCCTCAGGTCCTTAACAACGGACGCCTCCAAAAAAGTTCAAGCGGCAGTCAAAGAGAAGGATTGGTATGTCGTCTACGACAACATCAACATCGCTTTCCGTAGGTCAGACCAGCGACTCCTGAATACAGATACTTTCGAGAATGGAGCGTTGGCGACCATCATCATTTGCGATACTCACTGCGAGCCCGATCTTGACGACAACCCCGCTCGACACCTTACCCTGGACCACCTCATTCCCCACGCGGATAATGAAGATCATCTCAGGCTGGTTTTTCGGCACCATCTGACTAAGGTGCTTAATCGACGCATTCCGGCGCTTGATTCGCGCCCCGAATGCGTGATGCCTGCCCCCACGAAAAGGCTGCTTCCATATAATGCAACAACCACTTTTCCTTTGCCTTCAATGAACATTGATCAGTCTTCCATCCAAGGGAATCAAGAGATCCTCAATGCTATCATGGAGAGCGCACTGGAGTTACCGCCAGAGTGGTTCAATAACCGGAGACTCATTCTCGCAGGAGACCAACTAACTGTCAGCCGACTTCGATCGTTAAAACAGTTGCGCTGGGATGACGTCTCTACATACCATCGACTGGATTGGGCGATCCCAGTGATGCAGCTCTTTCATATGCAGATGCTTTTAGCCTCGACCATCCTTCGGACTCATTATGGCTCTATGTCTGCACCCGGATCCTTGGCGTACAATGCGGTAATGCTTGGAAGGAAACGAGTCAATTTGGACAAGCCCGACTTTCACGCCACAGATGAGCTCCTCCGACACACTTTTGACGGCATAGTTTTGCGGCTCTGGGAGATAGAGATGGGGCATGATGATATAGAATCGTTTGCATTCGAAGGGAGTGCTGACGAGCTCAAGGACTTCGTTGATCGTAAGGTCACTATCATCCTGGAGAGGTATTTTACCACAGTAAACTTGGACCAGCTTAACGGCACAGCCTCCAGGAACGCTGCCTTATTTCTGCGAGACATGATGGTCTACATGGAATTATCGTCTGCCATCAAATGTGGCGATATTGGGCGCATTGAGGAGAGCATTCGATGGATCACAATCATTTTTCAGGCTGGCTCAACCATGAACTATGCCAACGAACTTCTTCACTTTCACTGCGGTCTATTCCATTCCTGGTCTGAGCAGACAAAGCTCGCTGTGATGTCCTCGTTGCTGGTGAACACGTCAGGCCAGAAGGATAGGTTTCTGCCAGCGGATCTTTTCCAGGAGCACATGAACCTCCAGGTAAAGACCATTCACGCCGCTAAAGGAAGCAACGCCAGCTGGGAGTTTATCGCGAAAGCCGTGTCGACCAATGTTGGCGTGTTTGCTTCTATCGAGAGAACGTTGGAGACGCAGTTCGAGGTCCCCAAGAGTGGGAGCAAACACGCACAAGTATCTGCGGCAGCAGACATCCGGAGCATCATCTCATCACTCAAGGCAACCGCCATTCTGATGAGGGATATACCCCTATCTCATGAATGTCACAAGGACCTGACTCCAGTGACAGATTTGTTTGTAAAGGGTATTGTCAAGCTGTCAGAGGGGAAGCGCCTTCAATCATTCCTTGCCGCCCATGCCCGAAATCATAGCCGCCCCACAGAACCGATGGATATTGCTGTCGACATGGATAAGGCTTCACTTTTTGCCGGTTCAGGATCTGACGTGAATATGACTGGAGAAGCAAGGCAGTATCAATGCGACGACCATGACGAGTGTGCCATAGAACACTATTTACATGACAATAACATGGGACCGGCGCAGGAACTAGTCTTTGACATTGATGTGTATCTGGGAGAATTAGAATGAGATCGTTAGAAAATAAATTCTTATTTTTTTTGTTTATTAAAAAAGCCCTGGGGCGTCTGGACCTTGAAGTAGAGTTCTGGCCTTGCGCTAGGTAGCTGTCTCGGCCTCGGCTGTAAAAGAGAAGGAGCAGCCTGCCCTGACGATTCCTGGTCCGATTCAACTCCTATCTCGGTAAATGACAAGCGAGGGGGAGGCACTATCTTGTTGCAGTCAATATACCGCGTTCGAGATTGACGAGTCGGCGTTAAAGGGTGCGGTATGAATACGACAGTGCCGCGCTGTGGGGTCGCTGGACATGCTGGAGTTGTTGGCTGCGATGGGTATGATCGTGGTAGCGATGGGTATGGTCGTGGTAGCGATGGGTATGGTCGTGGTAGCGATGGGTATGGTCGTGGTAGCGGTGTGTTTTTTTTTGCTTCTTGAACCTCAATATCGTTGTTGAATTTAACAAGACGATTGCCAAGGTCCTGCAAAAACTCGCTCTTCAGCGGCAGCCAACTTATGGTTGTCAGTATCGACTCCGGTGTTGTGATCCGACCGCACTTCTCTGCAAGTTTCTGAATCGTCGCGTCCGTCATCAGACATTCCGGAGTAAATAACATGAATTTTCCCCTGTAGTGTTCGTCAAAAGTTTGATCTCTCCAGCTCATTATAATCTGCTTGGCTAGCTGCTTCTGGCCCGCCGTGCGAGGTTGTGTTGTTGCCTTCGTTGATGCGCTGCTTGAAGCCTCTGTGCCACAATCCTGCGCTGCATTTATCGCGTCCTTAGGTGCCTCCGTGTCCTCCTCTGGTGGTAAATCAGGGTGGCAGTTGTCGCAGCAGTGAGCATCAACATCTCTGTGCGTGTTCTGGAATACCTCGTTGACGTATCTGCGGCGACAGCTGGAGATGGTCACGTAGTCACGAAGGAACGGGTCGACCAGCGAGGGCGCCTGTGAGGGAACAAGAAAGATGCTAATCCCCTGCAGTGCCGGGTTTCTTCCTGCTCTTCCCAGCCGCTGAAAAAGCACCGAGATGCTGCCAGGATATCCATACTGGACGACACGTATGACGTCGCTGATATCGCAGCCCATTCCAGCTGCTTCCGTCGATAGCAATATGCAGACACGGTTTTGCTTGAAGTCCTCCATCTTGTTGCGCTTATACAGCTCTGACTTGGCCGCATGAAAGATTGCCACGCTATTGACTCCCACTAGCGCCTTGACGTAAACCGCGGCTGACTCGACTTCCATGAGAGTCTGAAAGTAAACAATCGTCTTGACCTTATCCTTCAGAAAAAAAAGGTCGTGAAAAGTGGAACGTCCATGCTTCATGATGCTAACAGTGTATTTAATGTTGATCCTATCGTTGCCTACATTGACGACGGTAGCGTTTTTGAACAGCATGGAACTGGTAAGCGTGGTAAGAAGCGCGGGCGGCAAGGTGGCAGATACTGCAAGGAACGAGACGTCAGGATGAGCCATAGCGCGCAATCGGCCAAGCTGACTGTAAGCCTGTCGAAAATCCATGCCCCAAGTTCCGACGCAGTGAGCTTCATCGACGACGATATTGCGCAAACGACTTCTCCATCCTTTGTCCTGCCATAACGCTGATAGTCGTGAGCTCTTGAAGATAATCTCTGGAGAAGTAAACACGGCTCGATATTTTCCTGATGCCAAATCTGCGATATTGGTACGCGTTTCTTGCTTGATATTGATGCTGGGAATGCCAAGCGCAACAAGCTTTGAGTGTTGCTCGTCGCTTAAAACTTTGAGTGGGCTGACAATGAGAATGATGTCGTTCGGCCAAATGAGCAAAGGCAGAAAGTAAACCAGTGTTTTTCCCCATCCAGTGCCTGCAATCAAAATGCAGTCTTTCATCCGCCCTAACATTTCCACCACTTGTATTTGCTCTGCCCTTGGACGATACCCGAAAGCCGCCTGACAGATTTGAGCGGTGTCTTCTGGAAGCTGCCTCTTGCGGTGCGCCGCCATGGAGCCTGAAGTAAGAGACTGTTGCAGTTGAAGATGCAATGGCGGAAAGGTGGGAGTATAAAGAAAGGAGAGAAGAGATGAGAAAGAAGTGGAGCGTGTGTGTTAAAAGAATAGATGGACTGTGGGAGAGCATGCATGCATTCTTTTTTTTTTTTTTTTTTTTTTTCCAGTGCGGCAGACAATTTGCATGCAAAAGAACCACTTCACAGCCTATTTCCGACTTTGAAAAAATTGCTCTCCTTTTTTTTTCTGGTCCCTGCTAATAACTCGAGTTCTATCCCAGCCTGAGAGAGAGAGAAAAGAGAGTGGTTGCCTTAAAAGGCAATCCAATTTCCACTCACGTGCTCTCGTCCTCAGGCTGGTTACGAGCCTAGGAACGAGCCTATTTAGGGGTCGCGTATCGATGTGTCAAAAGGGGCAATTGCTCAATGGGAGTACGTTGTCGATAGGGCACCTCTTCAACGGGACACCAGATATACACCGGGGTGTATTTACATGACCATGAATAAACTACAGGACTATGTCGTTGAGAAGCAATCATTCATCGATTTGAATCAGATATGTCTGGCCCTTGGCCATCGTCAGCACAATCGAGTCTTCCTCGCGCGCAAACACCGCCGGCTTGGTCGACCCCTTGATCGACACATGAACCTTCTCAGCCGGCGTCTTCTCCTCGCCCCCCATCGTCGCGATCCTCACGTTCAGGACCGCAGCCTTCAACAATGTCAAGACCTCGACCCTCCGCACCTTCGCATTCTCCCATGTCGCCGTAACATTATGACCCTCACGCGTCCTGAACCCCTGCACACCTCCCTTCTTCAACCACCGATCCGGAAGCCCAGTCTCTGCACCTGGCAGGATATCGACAAAACCCGGTGCTCGACTCTGGATCAACATCTCCACAATCGCTGCTCCCATACCTAGCTGTCCTGAAAGTCCTTCTTTAAAATCGAGCAAGTTCGGGTACTTAATGCTATACCGCTTAAACAAGTCAAGTGCATTGTACGCCTTGGCCCCATCACCCAGACGCGCCCATGCAGCTGCGCGCCAGCTCTTGGGCCAACCCAGGTCTTCCTCCGCCAATCCAAAGTCTCGCCTCGAAAGTGTCATCCGTGCAGCTTCCAACAGCTCATCCCGACCAACTTCCGTCTCGTTTCTGAGCAAGAAAATCTGATGCCCCGGATATACCGCCCAGAACGGCGCCAAGTGTCGATGCGCTTCGTTTGGATCATCCAGATCCAGATTCCACTCTTGAAGCTGGCCCCAGGCACCGATTTTTAGACCCGGCGATAGATCCGCAAGCGTACTCGTCAGATTCTGAATAAAAACTTTATCACGCTCACCCACAATCGAAATCGCCTCGAGTGTCGCGTTAAACAACTGCCAAATCAATTGCTGATCAAGCGCCGACCCCACCGTAAACGGCCCATGTTCTGGAGAATACGAAGGCGAGGTCAAGAACGTTAGATTGCCCTGATACTGAACCAGCGAATCCAGCCAGAACTGCGATGCGCCCTTCATCAGCTTATAGGCGTGATCTCGCAGATAGTAATAGTCCTGCCCATAGAGGTACCGATCCCAGACATGCTGACACAGCCAAGCGCTCGCTGCTGGGAAGTAGAACGACTTTGGTTGTGCAGTCGGCCCAGTGTGCGCCCAGATGTTCGAGTACGTGTACGCAGTCCATCCGCGGGCGCCGTGGTGTAGCTTTGCTGTATCTTGGCCACGCGGAAGCAAGAGATTCTCCATGAAGTCGACCAGAGGGGTCACGGTCTCGCCCAATCCGGTGCCCTCCGCCAGCCAGTAATTCATCTGCAGATCGATGTTCATCTTGTACCCATCGCTAATATCAAATACATCACGATATTGTTAGTCAAGGTACGTTCCTCAACCCTATAGAAGCATCTTAGGGCGCTGCATAATAAACACGATGCCGGGCCTACCTTGGAGAATCTTCGTCCGCATCGGCATCCATCCTCCACACATTACGCCCGCTTATCGGCAAGGATCCCGGTCGTGAGGACGCTATGAGCAGGTAACGCCCGTACTGCACCATCAGCGCTTCCAGGTAACTCTCCTCATCTCCTGCTTTACCCTTACGGCTCGCCTTAATTAGCTCGTCTGTCGCCAATGCGTTCTCTGGTTGACCCAGATCCAAAGCGAACCCCAGAAACAAGCTCTGGTAATCCTGCACATGCTTTTGAATCTGGTCCACATAAAACATCGTCGTTGCCTTATCAACGATGCTAGCGAGTCGGATGTGCGGATCCGAGTCTTCAAAATTCGGGTACGCGCTTGCAGTCCAACCAGTGCCGATGGTGTAATATAATACAACAGCGTCGAAACTCAGCGCGACCACTTGACGGTTATTCGACATCGAAACGCCCGTGGCGCCCTCAGGTTTGACGGCCACTTGTCCTTCGACAGTCATATTGTTGGACGCCAGTCGAGCACGCATGCCGAGTCGGTTGTGAATGTTCGTGTACTCAAGCCCTTGGGCGTGGAAGGAGTTGAGCGACACTTTGATGTTGATCGATTTCGGCTGGGAGGCCGTCATGCGCATGACGCACACCGAATCCGGATAACTGCAAAAATGCTCTCTACAATACATAAAACGCAACAAAAGATGCTGTCAATCGCTTGGTCAAAACTGTCTACTCAAGGAGAGAGCGTCATAAATTTCGTCCCCGCACCTGGTATACTCGATATCACCGACCAAGAACGAGATCTTCGCCACGCCCGTCTCCAAATCCAGTTGACGCCTGTACCGTTCCACCTTCTCAAACGCATACATCTCCTCGACCACAATCTCACCAAATGCCTCCGGTCTTCCAAACCCTCGCTCATCGCCTTGCAGAGTCTTCACAATCGGTGATGAAGGCCTAATCACCTGTTTTTCCTTCAACGCGTCCCTAAACTCCTCCAATGCATCCAATCGTTCTCGCGCCTCGTCCTCTGCCGCATTCCCGCCCCGATACTCGTACCCATCCTCATCACCGCCTTCCATCATCGATCCAAATTTCGATTTCCTGGCGGAACCGGGTCCACCGGACCAGCATGATTCCTCATTCAGGACAAGTCTCTCAACATTAATGTTTCCTCCCACCAACACCTGCGTACGCCCGTTTCCGAGCAGGAATCCATCCTCCTCAACCGACTTTGCAGGTGTCCTGTACCAGAGTCTCCAGGTTGAGTTTCCTGGCTCGGCTGAAGCCTCAACCAATTGAGGTTCAACCTGCGAGCCTAGAATTGGGTGTACTGCATCCAGATAACGCCTGTCTTGCTCTTCTAATTGAAGCCGTACCGACCTGTCGAGCGCATCATCCATGCTACCGTCGATAATTCCGTCGTTACCGAATTCTTCTTCCTGCTCATGATCATCAGAGAACACGGGAGACAGTGCGCCATCGAAATCCTGGATCTGAAACCCCTGTCCACTCGAGGAAAGAAACCGCTGGGGATGATAGCCAGACTCTTGAACACCCTGCCCTAGTCGGTGGGGGATGAGTAAAGCGTCGACCGAAACTGCGCCCCCAAGGTTGTGGTGAAGGTCTTGTGTTGCCAAGAACAAAGTGACGAGCAAGGACAACCTGCAGCGACCTGTCCGTGTGGAGAGTTGTTGACCCATTGTCAAAAAGATATATGTTCTCCCCTATGCGACTTGTTTCTGCGCGTCTCGGTTACTGTCGCCGGTTGCTGCTGTTCGTTGGTGAGAATGTGAAATAGGAATGAGGTGAATGAGTATGAAGCACTGGGCAAACGTCAGGGCTCAGCGCCCCTGTGACCACTATTCAATTTGCTCGCACGGTGCTCTTGGCTCGTACGAGATCGTATAGCGGAAGGGATAGACACAAAAATTCAGGAACATACCTCTGTCGTCGGTGTGAGGGGTAAGGGAAATGACAAAGGAGGGAGGGACAAGGGGAAAGAAGGAGTAACAGAACAGGAGTAGAACAGGAGTAGACCATGTCAGGTAAACGCGAACATTGTCTGCTTCCGTCAGCATGGCCAATTTCAGTGCGGTGAAGAACATACTGCCCAGCTGTAACTGGCATCTTATTTTATTGTAAGAAAGACTCCTAAACCCTACTTTTAGATAAATCAAGTGCGTTCATGTGTCTGCATGTGGGAAGAGATATTATGGCGATGAATTCGCAAGGGAGGGTCGTGTAAAACTATTGGTATGGCGACTGGGAAATACAAGGAGATAAGTACAGATGGTGGTAGAGGGGAGAGGAGGTGTGACATGACTAAAACGCAGTGGTGGTTAAAGCGGGACAAGCAAAGAGAGGATAAACAAAAGTAGAAGCAAAAAAAGAAAAAAAAAATCATTCATCGAGTATAGTAGCGTATTGTGTGTCGGCGATAATGCCATCGCTTGTGGGTTTCGGGGGGGAGGTTGCCCCCGTCAAAAGCTCATTGGGATTCGTTCAGTATCCATCTGTGGTTAACCACCTGGCTCATCGTAAGCCGCCTTGCTGGGTCAACTGCCAGCATGCTCTTCAACAGTTCTTCGAGATCTATACACAACAATAAAAAAATAAGACAGGATGGTAAGAACAACGTCCACGATTCGTTCCGCATAATGCATGCGAATGTATTGAACCAAAGACCTGAATCATGCATTTACCTGGATTGATGTTTTCTTGCAACGTAAAAGGAAACATTCGGCGCGAGGCCCTTCTTCGCTTGTAAAAGGCCAGTTTCTTTGAGTCGGTCTCGTACAGCTCTTTTGGCAAGTCCCCGTGGATCATGGTATAGAGTGTGAGTCCGAGGGCCCAGACATCGGCCTCATATCCATAGAAGAGATCCCAGGTTGTCGACTGGTTGCCTGAGCGCCGGTTGGGCTCTTTGGATTTTTGACGCGCAGCGACGTTGTTGTCCATCTCAGGGGGAGCCAGGATCGTGGTTCCGTAAAACGAGAAGCAGGGGGAACTACCTGGCTGGAGATACTTGGAGTGACCAAAATCACAAAGCTTGGCGCGATACGTGTTGGTGGAGCGATCGATGCTGATTAACGCATTCTCGTCCTTGACATCTCCATGGACGATGTTCTGTGAATGCATCGAGTGAAGTGCAAGAGCAAGCTGTGTAAAGATGGAGCGCACATCGTCCTCTTGGATGGCCGAACCATAGACGGAAGGAGACGAGGATGTGGACCGCGGCAGTTCCTGGATGTTCTTGGATCGCGTCGAGGCATCCTCGTCCTGGATGGGCTTGTGTAGCTCGATGAAATCAAAGAGCGAGAAGCCGGCCATCTCAGTAACGATGTACGAGATGTCCTTGTTGGACTGGTCCTCAGGATCAATGTCGCCATAGAGCGAGGATGTGAAATGATCTAGGAAGGCCAGAATGTTCTCGTGTTCCTTGAGTCGCAAAAGGATCCCCAGTTCGCGCTGCACCTTTTGCTCTACATGGTCACCGGTATGTGGAATCACCTTGATCGCAACCTACACAAAGTCAAGATGCAGCAAGATCAAGCCAGAAACAGTTAGCAACAAGTAGCCGATTAAGAAATAAGTTCGGATATTTGCAATTTATCTTTACTTCTCGTCCATCAAACACTCGCTTGGCAGCAAGTACAAACCCACTGGCTCCGCTGCCGAGATAGCGCGTGACAATGTAGTTCTCCCGGAGAATTCGACTCGTGGCATACGCGCGCTCAAGCGTGGCCTTGTGCTGAACCTCAAAGGCCGGGAAGATAGTGTCCACAACGCGTCGGAATTCGGAAGCAATGCGGTATTTGTGGTTGCGCTCTGCTGTGGGAGCAGAAGTGGGAGTCGCTGGATTGGGGGTCGTGCCAGGAGTTGCCTCAATTTCATCGTCGGAGGAGATTACAATGATCTCCCGTGCTGGCGCTTTTGCGGGGGACACGGATCGGGCTCCCCTATGCTGCTGGGTATTCAGGTCAAGCCTCGGTTTCTTGATTCCAGGCGACAGTGTTTTGCCAGGGTGTTCCTGGGAGGGGTGTGAGGCAAGGGCAGCAGACAGTTTCCTTTTCTTGGGTGGGACCAGAAGATTCTTCAGATGGATGGTCGTAATGTGGCCCCCGATAGTGACAGCATTGTTCCCTTGTCCGTGCTTGAATACGGCTCCTTGTTGAGCCACTGACCTTGCAATCGAGGCAGAGGCCTCAAAGGAGGAAGAGGTTGTGGAGGAAGAGGAGGATGAAGAGTAGGGTGAGAGGGACGAGGTGAGAGAGGGAGAAGAAGGGAAGGATAGTGATGTTGCGGGTGTGCAGGCTGCAGTGAGATCGACGAGGGTAGGCCGGCACGAAATGGAGGCGGGCGTCAAGGGACTGATAGGACAATGCTGGCCATAGCCTTGAGGGGATGGTCGCGCCGGGCTACGTTCCGAAGCGGCATTGTTGAAAGGGCGCTTCCTTGAGGTCACATCGCGCGCTCTGAGGACTCTTGTGCGGGGCAAAGGGAGGTCCTCTGTGCACTTTTGATAGATATCTCTTGGGATGACGATGATGTTGCGGTTGTGATCAATTTGAGCGGCCATTGCGGAGAGAGGACCTGGTGCGAGGGAAGTGTGGAAAAGGTGATGATGATTAGGCAAGAAGAATTGTTTTTTTTTCTGTTGCTTCGTATGAAAGTGTCCGTGTATTCTGCAGGACTGAGGTGTTGCTGCAGGAGAATGAGGAACGAGAAAAGAACTGTGTTTAAAGATTATCTATCCGAAACGAGATTATGGAGAGGTAAGAAGCAGTGGTAGTAGCTGCTACTGTTTTGATAGCCTGGGCAGAACTGCGGAAGATGGGTGTGGCGACGCACAGCAAAATGGTTAGAAATGAAAGTCGACTGAAGAGAAGAAAGAAGGATGGGCAAATGCAAAGGAAAACGGGCTATAGAAAAATAACCTGTGGAGATTGCGGATATAAATTGGGTATGTCCGAATTGAGTCCAAATGCCTCGCCGCTTCCTCTGCGGTGACTGATCGACCCACCGACCCACCAACTGGTTGGCTGCTTGGCCGGTTATTGCAGCTACAAAAAGACTGCGGTGCAACACACACAGACTCGTACTTAAATACAGATACATGGACGAAGAGAGAAACGAAAGTACGCAGCAACCAACAAAGCTGCGGTATGATGATGCCGTCGTTGTTGTTGACGACGATGACCAAACAACCAATAAGTGAGGACTAGCGACGCTACACGAAAAGAGTGCAACAACCAACAAACATAGAAAATCTCCTCTATCCTCTCTTTGAGCGATGCGAGTATGACACTTATGAATTAGATGTGTTTGTATGTGCAGTATTGAGGTCGGCAGGTTTATATTTCTCTTTACAATGGTCCATTTTCAGGGTGAGCTAGGACGAAGACGAAATATGAAAACCACATACAAAAAAAGAAGCCAAGAGGGTGCAAAGAATGATGAACAGTACACGATAACTGGCCTACGATCGGGCAACAGCAACAGGAAATGCAACCTCGCTGCTCCTGCCCCCGGCACTTATGCCAGATAGGACGAGAACAGGGATAACCAATGGCACAGTACTGCCACTGCATGCAACGCCAAAGAAAGAACGAGAGGAAGAAAGAGCCGGGATGGATCAAGAAACCGAACGGCCCACCCTGTGCGCCTGCGTGCCTGTCTCCCTGAAACCAAAAGAGTACCAAGTTCTGCATGGCTGACAAGCGAGCATGCGCTTTTTTGAAGTGTACATAACATATGTGCATACCCATACATAGTACATACACGTACAAAAATAAGCATACACACCCCATTCACTCCACTCGCCCATGGCTGCTGCACCATTTTACCATTAACCATGCCCAAAAAAAAAAAAGAACAATAAATTAAATTGAAAGGGCAGGCTCAATTCGAGCATAGGAACAGACAGATAGAAAAAGAAACAACACCAAGACCTGGGAATGAAAGAGGAGAAATACAATCCTTCATACTGGCTGATCAACCGAAAGACCGGCTGACTCGCCTCAATGCCTGGCCCAAAGGATTTAGTTCATTGAAGAGAAAATGGAGGCATTGGTTCTCCAAACAACATCTCTAGAAACCAGAGAGAGGGAGAAGAGAAAGAAACGTACCTTTTTTTTTTAACGTGAGCAGGGTTTGATCTGGTGCGGGGAAGGTGTGATGTGGGCGTGTGCTGTGGTCAATATGTTTATGTCAAAGAGTAAAAATTCCTCGGGAGGATGTATCCTTGCTTTTGTTCGTGTTCTTTCGTTTCAATTGAGGCGTAGTGTGTCTTAATAACTGTAGTTGCAACAGTGGATGGTCGTTTGGTTACTGCTGCTGCTGGTCGTGGAATCTACTGGCTGGGATATGGGGTTTTTTTTCTCGAGAAGAAATGAGTGTTATAAATGTAAAGGAAAAAGCAATTGAGTGTCAAGGTGGATAGAAAAGGTGGTAGATGTAGAAGATGTAAAGCGTGAGGATTATGCGGAGAGCGCAACGGGCGGGGGTATCGTTGTGGACGACGGCAAAGCTGAGAGGAAAAAGTCCATTGGGGTTCGGAATCAAAGTGGAATGAAAGAAAAGTGAAAGAAAAGGGCGAGTGAGCAAGGAAGAGACGGGTACGTGAGCGGGTGAGATGGAATGAGGAGGAGGAGGAGAGAGGGTGTGGGAGCAGAACAGAGGGAACGAATGTGCAGATGGAGAAAAGGACAAGGAAGGAGAATAAGACCAAGCCAAACAGCTGCACCCTCCAGGGCTAAAAGAGTCAGCCAAGTTCAGGTCAGGTCAGGTCCGTTTCTACACCAAGCAAGACAGAAAGATCACACACACACTACTCTGTATAGGCTAGTCTACAACTGTAGTCTATACAGGATTTATTCAATTGAATTAAGACGATTCAGTCAAGGCAGAGGCCAAGCAAAGCATACACACACCACTCACGCTCATACTCACACACCACACTCAGGTATTCAGTCTATCGGACATATTGCATTCATTCACCCATTCATTTCTTATGGGTGCATTCCGCCGCTCACTTTGTCTTGCCCCGGTCTTGCCTGTTGGTCTGCTGCGACCATGGATTAGATTGAGTTCGGTACTTATTTTACTTGCTGTTCACTGCACATCCCCTTGGGATCCGGATGCCTGCCCCTGCCCCTGCCTTTGCCCCTGTCCCCACTCCTGCCTCCTGTGCGTCTCCTTTCCCCTTTTCCTCTCTCTCATATCGTTTCTTTTTCCTCTTGGATGGTTACCCGCGCTTTGGTCCTCTCCTGCTGTACCTTTATCCGCTGTTGTGGGGAAAAAATAACAGGCCGATTTAATCGATCGCCCAAAAGCCAAAACTATATCCTCTTGAATTCATGACCAACCTCCTTGGACTCGAAAACATCAAGGAAACCCACTGTGGCGAACTGTTCAATTGCCACTTCTATCCAGAAACTACGGAATGCACACATCAAGTAATCGTTAGTGCGCGGAGGAAAAAAAAATATAATAAAGAAGGTCTGCTGGTCATCTACTCGCAGTAATGTCCCTCAATTACACTCCCCTTTTTTTTTTTTGTCGATTTCTGAATGTCTTATTATTGACCAAAAAAAGGGCTTTCAATATAGGTCTTGCATCGTGCATTTTGCCTTGCACCTGCTCAGTGACTTTCTACCGCCAAGGCGAGACAAACAACGAGACCCTAAATAACCAAATACCACATCGCATCTCACCACGAGTACGCGAGATATGTATTCGATGGCGAGTAAATGCTCAAGGAGAAAAGAATCTATCTACTGCTTCCGAGCTGGAAAGGAAAGGACTTGGATTGAACAAATGACTGAATCACCGTTTACATATTTCTTTGTTCGCCTGCAAAAGTAACGGTCATCTGCTTGAGATCTGAATGCGGCGCCTACCCTTGCATTTCAAAAGTCGACGGGGTCCTGTTAAAACTTCCATAGCATTAGCTATAAGAATAAGGACATCCTATTATCCGCTAGCTATTACATCCTACCTTGATCAAAGACGCACAGAACATGGATGCTCGCTCCACGTGCATGGGATACTTTCACGAATGCGATCTCAGACCGGACAAAAAAAAAAAAAAAAAAAAGGAGGGCACGTATGCTTCGTTACCGGCAACAAGCGCGATGGAATGGTTGAACCATTGATAGTTATTGAGGTGATGAAGGTGAGCAACAAGAGGCTATAGGCATGGGCAATGCAATAGCATGGGCCTTGGGACCATGAAAAAAGGGCTCAACATTTCTCAATCTAAAAAAAGGAGGCGTTTGCGTCTGCCCAGGACGACTTGGATGCAATAATCATTCTTCAATTAGCACCATGGCAAAACACTGTCAACAAGTGGTCCCTCTAGCTGTTTTTGTTTTGGAATTGCTTGAAAGCATTTCGTGTGTATTTTCAGTTATTGTAACCGTATATCGTGTGTTATTGGCACTTGCTGTTCCACTTAACCTTCCAGCCATGCCACCATGTACACATGTACACCTGTGTATGAGTAATTATCTTAGTTGTGCGCGGTGGTGACTGAGGCTCTCTCTTTCTCCATATCTCTCTCCTGTGGTGAAACGATTAAGGGACTAGGAAAGGAATCGAAATCGGATCCCTTGAGCAGATAACTGTGTTGGTCAAGAAGTAAATGCAGCAACTGCAGTAGTAAGGTTGGACGAAAGTGAACAATCAAACAGAATGGGTAACAAGGTTACGATAGCACCGGTGCCAAAGGTCGTACGAGACAATGCCGATTCCTTTTGTTATTTGTCTATTTCAAATCGATAACCGAAGGTTTGGCCTTCATTCAACGCCCAATGGTGCTCTACAGGTACTGGAAGGACATGTAGACATTCTTCAATAGCCAACAGAGAGTGCCAGTGGAGTGCCAGGGATGGAAAGAAAGGGGACCTATTCTCACCTCTGTTTCGACAAGTGAGCCTTGGGCCCTTACAACTTGTAAGACAAAATAAAAGAGAGCAAGAGCACATACGGCTTGTGCGGCCATGCTCAACTGGTTGCAGTGAGACAGGGTCGACACGAACATCCATAACGAAATATATAAACCTTAATCTCTAGTACAGCTGCGCCCTTTTTATGAGGAAGGCGCTCTCTGTCTGCGTGTGGGGAATGTGCAACTGCTCTATCTCCTCCTCAAGCCAATACGAACAAAGAGTATGTGTATTTCTGAAAATACGACGTAGCAGACTGGAACCGTCAACCTCAGTCTTCATTCTACTTCAATTGTTGATGTACAGTTTGTATATTGGTAGCTGTTTCATGCAATAAGGTCGCCATCATACATGTAAAGACCCACCAACGATACTTAGATTGTACGTGGCAGAAAAATGCTCTCCTAATATGAACGCTATCCCTCCGGCTCTACAACATCATTAAGGGCCCCATTGGGTTCATATGGCAGGGTTTTACAGCGCGTCTCCATCGCTTGTTCTGAGGGATCTACATCGCTACAAAGCTCTGTCACTTCTTCACCACCCCAAGATCTCGCTGCTGAATCAACTTTTTGCACATCAAAGCACGCCGTAGATTGAGACGAAGCCTTGGATGCTGTGGAAGATGACCTCGACTACTACGACATACAAGTTGCCAAAGCCACGTCCTTGTCTGAAGGACAGAGCTCAGCGTTTGGATATACCACAGACCCTTAGAGAAATCAACGCATACATCAACCGATACCGGCTCATTGGTAAGTCAGCGATGAACGCCACGTGATGCATTGGGGTCGGGCCCTATTATAACGTACCCGTATCGAATATCTTACTTTTATCCAGAGAGTCAGACCGATGAGGATGAGTATATCGATATTGAAGGTATCGACGAGCCTCTGGAAGAGAAAGGTGCCAATATCAGGAGTACCTCTCAGCCTTCTTGCTCAAGAACGACGGCTACCCAGGCTATGAGGCTGCCCAAATCTAACAAGATGACTGCGCGCCAGGTGGACGACATCCCCTACACACGAAGGATAGCCAAGACGCCAGAGAAGCGTTTGAGCCAGCAGGAAAACAACAGTATCCAAGCAGCGTACCAGGAAATATCCAAACGAGAGAACTCGCTTACGGAGACAATAATTATCAAGGAAACCAATACGGCCCATGACGCTCGGAAAGATATCCGCGGTATCCTTCAGGCGTTCGAGTCCTCCTCAGGTCGCCAAAAGGAGTTACATACGCAGCATCTTCGAACAACACGCGCATGGGCTAAGCTCTGTGCTAAGGAACGGCCTTATGTGCGACAGCGTGCACTCGAGGAGCATAAGAGTAGGTTCATTTTTTTACTTTACTTCTTTGGAATAACTTCTACATCCATTACGGAGCTGGAGCTAAAGAGATACTGTACTGTTGCCATTACCGATGAATATCGTTCGTCCAAGACGTGTATCTTTTGCTTCCACCAGGTCCGTCAAGCCCGGTCCCGTCGTGTGATAAAGGACAAGATCAAAGTCGTGAGCGTCCACGGCACAGTTGAATGTATCAATCCAGATTGCCCGTCGTTCCAGTGCGGACATGTCATCAAACCCGGAACTCGCACGCCGCTGTGGCAGTCGCAATTGCTTGTCTGGTGCCTTTTTCCTAAGCTACTCCCGGTTCTAGTGCTACCAGCATCACAATCACCGCCAGTCAGCAAGCACTGGAGTCATTTTCAAGTCCTCGACATCCAATAACGATGCCACGGGCTCCCAAAGTGAAATGGGAATTAGTCTATGATAGACTACTAACGTTTCAACTATGGGCTGTAGGACTATTGACTATAAAGGGATGAACTGCATGCAGAGAGTACCCTCCCATGTTTATGTCTCAACTGTGTCATAAGCAATTTGAGGAAGGGTAAGCAATGTGGCAATCATACGAAGAGTCTAGAGCATACAATCACACTCGCCCCCCTCATGTTTAAAAAAAACAACAAAAAACAACAGCCGAAAGAAAGATGACAGAATAGAAGGAGAGAGAGAGAGAGAGAGAGATGTAAACCGCTTTCAAAGAGTCAACAGTCGACAAGGCTACTCTCCTCGTGGGATCATCTTTGTCTCTTTCAGAATTGATGACTAGCACGCTTCGGTTCCCATCCTCTTTGACTACCATCAGTAGTAATTGGTTTAATATGAAAAGAGGTAGAGTTCCCGAAGGAACCCTTCAAAAATTGGTTTCAGCAGAAGAGAAAAGGATATGGCCAAGGGCGCAATCCCCTCTGGTTCTGTCGCTTGTTTTCAACTACCCAGAAGAGGGGATGAAAAAGCATGAAAAGGGCCCAGAGAAGTAAAAACAAAAGTTCACCGAGTTTTATATCCGACGTGGAATTATTGAGTGGCTTGCTTTGTTTGTTTTTAGGAGTATTTTTTCAGGCCTCTTCTGGCATAAAAGCGCACTGGAGCTCCCTCAACATGATCGCCTTTCTTTCCACTCCCCAGCCCTCCACCTTCAACTCCTTTGCATCTTCTTTTCTTGGTAAGTTTCTCAGCACGCGATTCCCTTCTTTCACTCTGTTCTTCTCGGAAATAAAAAAAAAAGCCCAAAGGATGATTGCTTTGCCGCCCCAGGCAGAATACATAATGTTGATTCGCTTAGCACATATTTCTGGATCTGATTTCGCTTCATTTTTTTCCCTTGGTTCATCCTTTCTGAACTGAGAAGCACACACGAGAAAACAGCACTTTCATTGTTTTCTTGGCTTATAAATCCAGCTATGTACGATATTAACCACCGTCAATTGGTATGTTTGTATCGCATAGACGTCCTATCTCAGTTGACCAATCCGCCACGTATTGTCAAGCAAATCGGTTGTGAACAAGGTAAATATAAATATATTTGTTGCATCGACGCGTGCCCAACGCAATGGGACTCGGAAGACTTTCGAGGGGAATGATGCACTTATCATGCTAATTCAGACCAAACACAACAATAATGGTGTCAAATTCGTATAACCCTGACCTCGACCTCGACCTCATCCATCTCTTTTTTGAACGCGGATAAGCAAAAAGAAAAAGACGTGAAGAGCAATCGAAAGATTCTAATCAATTGCTTTTTATCTGTTTTTTATTCTTATTCATCAGTTCTAGGTACCGTAAGTGCATGAGTTGTTGATATAGGGATATTGTTCATGTAGCTCAATGTCAAATGTGCAATAAAGATGTGCTTTCTCTTGGTAATTGAATTTTAATTGAGCAAAAGCCTGTTTGTATTACGGACAAAGGCGGTTTGGGGTCGTGCTTCTGCCCATTTGGTCGAAATCGCTCATAGCTCTCCCATGCGGTGGACAACTCAATACCGTGCGTCTTCCAATAGAGGGTTGAGAGCACCGTCCAGTCATCCCACGTTAAATTGAGCCATCATCATCGTTATCGATGTGAATAATGGTGTGTGAATATCAGGTGCAGGTGCAGGTCTAGCGTGCAATTGCCGTCATGGACGAATCTTTCAGGTGACACGGTTCTTTTCTGCCTACATGAACCCAATAAATCCCATCCCGCCGGTGCCTGCCGGGTACCCAACTTGCAGTCACAATAGCTGGGTCTGCGAGGGATTGAGAAGCAGTGGAGCAAGTATCAGCATCATGATCCCGTCGAGCTATCGAGCGAGCTAACTGCCGCTACCAGACCCGATGACGACGATACATTCACAGAATACCATATTCGGGCACCTCTTTACCCCGTCAGACAGCAGGATATTTTTTCCGCTCTTTTCTTTTTTTTTTCCTTTTGCTTCTTCTTCCTTCTTCATCCTCATATCCCCCATACACACTTCCAACCATCTTCACTCTCTATCCTAATCTCTAATCCCATCCTACACCATGAAGTTCCTTACCACTGCTATTGCTGTTGCTTCGCTCGCTGCCGTTGCTAGTGCCCAAAGCATCCAGCTCAAGTAAGTGTAGTATATCACTCCCCTTTTTTCAGTGACCTCCGCTTGAATCCGACCACCTACTGGGAACCCTCATCTCCGCCCTGTTCTGTCCACTCACTTCGTCTTTTCTTCTACCAATCAATAGCAACCCTACCGAGGGCACCGTCTGGACTACCGGCCAATCCGGGTACATCTCCTGGACCGGCAACTGTGCCTCGCAGGGCAATGCCTCGAAGGCCGTCGATATCCAACTCGTCAACGGCCCCTCAACAGCGGTCCGCTTCGTCACCGATTTGGGCAAGCTGGATTGTTCCGGCAGCAACCAATCGGTTACGGTTACGGTCCCCACGTCGATCACCACGGGAACCTACTCTCTCCGCGTCTTGACTCTGCCCCAGAACTCGTACAGCACGCCCTTCCAGATTAACAACCCCAGTGCTCCTACGACCACGACTGCCCAGACCACGACTGCCCAGAGCACGACATCCACTCCTTCTCCTACCGCCAAGCCAAGCTCAGCAAACTCTTTGATTGCTGGCTCTCTGGCCGTCTTGGTCGGAGGTATTGCCGCCGCGCTCCAGTTCGCCCTTTAAAGTATCCACTTCGGTCCCTTGAACAAAGTAAAACAACAACAAAGACAATACATGGCCAGCTATAGGCAACATACAGAGATGGAGGATTATTACTCTTTTTGCATGCTGCTTGTTGATGGACTGGGAAGGCTCTCTCTCTTATTGTCATATTTCTTGGGTTGACAAACAAATATTTTTTTATTTCCCTCACCCCAGCTACTCAGTTAGTTTTTATCCGCTCTTTCCATCTGTTTCTGTTGTATCAATAATCGCGAATTCATTCTATCTTCAAAAAAAAGCAGACAAAAAAAAGCAGACAAAAAAAAATTGTATAGCGTAATAAAGTCAACCTTTGAAAAAACCGTAGCGGCTCTTGCAACTGTGCTGAAAGAAGGGATGCATATATACAACCCTCTCCCAGTACATACGGATACATACTGTACACGGTTGTTGTAGGGGGAAGGGAAGTGTATGGGCTGGGAGGGCCTTTTTGTTGACCTCATAGGGACAATAGGTCGGTTGCACAATCAATGCGCAAACCAAAACGGATGCATATTTTCCCTCAGAAAACTTTGCATACCTGTGCATACCCAACGGCCCTCGTCGAGTCGACGATAAAAGAAGTACCTATTTGTGTCTGTTGTTGTTGTTGTTGTTGTTGTTGTCGCCGCCGTTCGCTCGTGAGAATCCTTTGTTTTCCGCTGCTAAATTTAAAGCAAAGAGATGCATCGATCCTCCAGTATCGATAGCAGCGAGGAGAAATTGACCAGCGCAGGGTAAAACTGATGCTGTGGAATGTGTCTTTTTATTCCGCACCCCCTCTGCTTCCTCCTCGGATGTTCCAAATGGCCGTACTATGCCACGCATGGCCAAATAACTACGTAAAAAAAGAAACAGATAGGTCAAATTTTGCGACCTCGGCTCAATCTTAAACATGCCGTTGTGTCTTTTCCGTTCGTGTATGTAGATAGATTAATAGATATCTCGAAGCCTTGTCTGGCAAGTTGTTGGCCTACATGATATATGACAAAGCAGACTCTCACTCGACTAGGTTTACCCTTCCCTATTTTCTTGCTAGTGGGATTTTCATTGTTCCTATTTGGTAACTGACTTCCCCACTCGAGGCAGGCTCAGTCTCAAAGACGCGCTGCGCTTTTTTTTTTTATCTCTCATGTTGTACGATAGTACGCGACTTTTGGATTTAGTTCACAACAGTCGTCAATCCTAATGACAGTGCTGGGAACCCCTATTTTTGATCACAGGTTAATAATGTGTAGACCCACCAACGATACCTAGATTGTACGTGGCAGAAAAACACTCCCCTAATATGAACGCTATCCCTCCGGCTCTACAACATCATTGAGGGCCCCATTGAGTTCATATGGCAGGGTTTTACAGCGCGTCTCCATCGCTTGTTCTGAGGGATCTACATCGCTACAAAGCTCTGTCACTTCTTCACCACCCCAAGATCTCGCTGCCGAATCAACTTTTTGCACATCGGAACATGCCGTAGATTGAGACGAAGCCTTGGATGCTGTGGAAGATGGCCTCGACTACTACGATATACAGATTGCCAAAGCCTTGTCCTTGTCTGAAGCCCATGCTACTTCGCCGGACAGGCCATTCACGAAGACTTCAAGAAAACGCCCCTTCATTGACCTTCTTTCCGAAACTCTGTCCAACGATCTGGAAAAAGATGAAGGGCCAATAGCCTCTAAGACCATGAAGATGATTGAGAAGCTGCAGAAGGTCAAGCTATTGCAGAGCCGGATCAAAGAGTTGCGAAAGGTCGCGTCTTCCAACAGAACGTTCGTTTCAGTCAAACAGCATAAATGGCCTTCAGGAAAAAGGGTGTCTGTAGAGGAGCGTAGAGCAGTACTTCATTACTACGAGTTTTGCAAGGGAGAAAAAGAATGCGAAACTTGTTACGACATCGGATCCTTTTTTACGAACGGCCCATTACATGGAATTCTCACTCAATACCGTCAAGAATATCGTGTTGAAAAAAGCATCCATGCTACAATCACACTCTATCTTTTGCTTCAGACCTTCGACGAATTGCAATAGAAAGGAACACCAAGGAACAAGCTGTTAACCTTAGAGTCCTGTTTAACGTATCAAGGTGCCATTCGCGGATCAACCCAAGGTTCCAAGCAAGGAAGCGATTCGCTTGTTGATGAAAAAAAAAGGGTTTCCGTTATTAAGATGTCGAGAACACTAGGGATTTTGTCGAGACCGAGGATATCAACGCCAAGAGGCGGCACTACCTTCAAGAGCGACGGTCCAACAAGTATAAGGACACCGTGTTTGTGTATTTGGACGAACCCTACTGTAACCAGGATCATAGAGGATGGCTATTTTGGGCGATCCATCCCTTTGTCAGTTTCTCTCGGTTCAGAAGATAACGCGACGGAGACAGAAGATGCGCCAAACTGATTGTTCCGCGGGGTCTATTATGTGCGCATGAATAAAGATCTGACGCGAGCTAGCCTCAATCACACCTTGTCCTGCAAGTCCAAGCCCTACACGCACAGCTCGCCCAACTCGCGTTTTTTTCTCGAGCTACTCCCTATCCTAGTGCTATCAGCATCACTATCGCCGCCAGTCAGCAAGCACTGGACTCATCTTCAAGCTCTCGACATTCAAGAACGATGTCACGGGGGACCCCAAAGTGAAGATGGGATTATGGTAAGATGAAGGGAGTATGCTGTTTCAGTGCTCTCGTACTACATATTACCAACAGCTCAACTAGGGGTTGTAGGACCATAGCTGTAGGAATCCGATATTGTAGTCAAAGACCTGCCCGGTGGGGCCATTCGCTCTGTTCAAAGTCCGTTGAGGAAACCTCCCGTGTTGGGTCTGTGACGGAGGGGTTAAGGATGATCTCTAGTTCCGTTTGCCTGCTCGCTCCAGACGCTTCAGGCGAGATCGTCGCTTTTAAGGATTGGTCGGTCCAGAGTAAAAATAAAATCATTCTCAGAAATACAAGAGTCGGCAGCGCAGTCCATCACTATCACACTATTACGACTACTACCACTGACAGCTCACTCCACCACTACGGACAGGTGGGGCTTCCGAGAGCGGCTGAGCAAAAATAGTTTCGCGTCAACTGCAGGGTTCGAACCTGCGCGGGAAATCCCATACACTTAGCAGGCATACGCCTTAACCACTCGGCCAAGTTGACATGAAGGATGATCGTCGTGTTGCTTAGGTGCTTTTTTGATAGTATGGTTCATAGACGAACATTCGAATAAGGAGGAAAACGCGCGTTTTTGGCGCGTTTTTTTCGTCGTGTGGGCCCCGGAAAGGCTCCATATGATCGTAATTAGACTGATATAGGGTGTGGATTGCGTTTGAGGCCACTGAGTTCGAGTTTTTTTTATTTTATTTTATTTTATTTTTTTGCGCTTTTTGGTCAACAGAGCCTTCCAACGGGTGTTGCCCTGGCAAGTGAACCGCGGATTATAGGGTGCTGCAGCATTGTTTGGGGCGAGGGAAATTGGACATAATGGAGGGTTTATTGGGTTTAAAACAACTTTATTAACATTGGATCTGGACTAGGAGACGTGTATCGCGCAACAGGTCACGTAGGAGTTAGGTTAGGCTAGCTATGCGACGTGGGTTATGAATTTGACGCCTCAAGCCAACATAGTTGGTAGGGGATGCGGCTTTGCCGTGCATGGAAGGCATCTATGGCTTCAGGGCCTTTGCGGACCATGCGTCTCGTGCTCATGGGGATTTATGTTAATAAAAAAAAAAGCCCTGGCCCCCTGCCCAACCCAGACGCAGCGGATCGGACGTTGCTGGACTGCTTGCAAGGAAGAAGGTGGTCTACAACCATGGAGGGGATGGGGAAGATCCTTTTTTGTAACAAGAAGTTTTCAGCTTTTAACACAATGATGAGGTGTGGCAATTGTTGCACAGGCCCTAGGGGCAGGCCCGGGGAATGTGCCCTGTCTTTTGGCGACTGTGGATCGGCTCTACTTTGGTGGAAAGGATGACTGTAGTAGATCATTGCTAGTTAGGTCTGATAGATTCGTAGGGTCAATCGACTCGAGAGACAAATTGGTATAAAAAAAAAAACGGCCAACAGAGCCATCCTTGAGACATACCTGACGTTCTCAGAAGTAGGGATGAACCTCATAAGGGGCCAATGACGACTATGTCGATAACGTGTCTTCATGCTCCGGCAGGGTTTTGCGAAAGAAAATATATCCTGGGTCGAAAAGCGTTACCCACCTGATGGTTGGTGGTTTTCATCATACAATATCAGTCTTCATTCCTATCTCTTCTTTTTACTTCCTTCTCACCCTTTCTTCTCGACCATGACTCTCCTGCCTTCCTTCACACACTATGGCACAGCCGACACATGGAACACAGGCCGAAGTCACTTGCCCTTCACAGACTTTTCGAATCTCATCATCTGGAACATCGCCGGCTTCGTCTATCATCAAAATCAACACCCGACTGGATCGCAGGACAGGACAATACGTTATCCCCTGGAAGGGCATTCGACGAGTCTTTGAGAATATGCAATATGTCAAGCAAGGCGATTCTGTGGTGTCCTTCGTGAGTGACGACGAATTTGAAAGGTATTTTTTTTTGAGTGGGTGAGTGAGTGATGCATAGGGAGATAAACTTACGCTGCTTGCTTGCTATTTAATCTAATAGACTTTCACCAGCGTGCTCATGGGAATTTATGTTAATAAAAAAATAAAATCTAATAGACTTTCACCGCCAAGAATAACCCCCTGGCCTGATGTGGTGCTCAACGTTGTGCTCAAGAACAATCTCTACGAGTCTCTCCCGAAACAGCAAGCCGAACTACTATCCCATGTCTCGCAACAAGACACTGAGGTCGACAATGGCGACAGCCATCAACAGGCTTCAAACGACAGATATGGCCTGTATTCGACTCTCCAACATGCCCAAGCATCGGGCATCGATCTAGGGTCTTTTGCAAACTATTACCGAGCAAATACGCGACCAGCGGAAATATCTTTCTCACAATGTAGCCGCTGTCAAGTCGAAGGTCGAGACCATGGACATACCGAGGATCAGGAACATAATATGCCAATACCTGGATCGCAGAAACTTTATGAAATGCATGTTGCTCAACTGGAGATGGAATCGTATGATGGTGCCTGAAGTCTGGGATACACTCACGCTTCACGTGCGGTATCCGTCTATGCAAGCTTTTTCTCATTATCGTCATCTGGTGACTACCCTCAAAATCAACAGCTTATTGGCAATGAGTGGCTATCTCGGCAGCTGTATTTCCCCAACCTCCAGAGACTCGTCCTATTGCTTAAATACGATGATATTACCGAGAGATACGTCTTACTTCATCAGCAAACGTATTCGACGCATCTAGATCTGTGGAGCACAGAGTATGGATGGCATTTGTCTAACCAATCGCTTGGTCGTATATGGACGGTCGTCGTCAGACTATCAATTCTTCAGATGCTTAATGTTTATGATGTCGATGTTGATCCTATCGACATTAACACTCCGCCATCAAGCGCACGAGTGCTGACTATAAGGTCCTCAACAGGATACACCTCAGGATTGATAGTCGGCTAGATCCATGTCGTACCTCGATACCCAGCCTTGGAAACCTTAGAATGGCATTCAACCTCTTATAATATGGAAGCAGAATCTGAAAAGTGCATATTCAAGGCTTCCTGAGGATGATCGAGGCAGGAGCCTGATCCAAGTTGAAAAGAATGGCCGTCTATTTAGATCAATTGGACCTGCTTGACAGCACATTGCACCTGACTTGGCAGCCATGCCAAAGGTGACGACTTTTAGTATGCCCGGTTCGGCGTTCGGCTGAGTATCATTACAGCATCTCCGGGCCCATTTTCCGACCCTTGAGGAGCTCCATCTCGATCGTTGCAACCAGGCTACATGAGATATACTTCTGGAGATCTTGTCTTCGCGCCCGTGGCTATCTTGGCCATGTCGAACACGCCTCACCGATATGCCGCCGATGGCTGCCAATGATCATTTGCGTCGCTATACCCGTTCCTTCAACGAGCTCTTCAACGAAAACGAAAACTTCCTACACTGACGAATAGCTGATTTGAATGATTTACATCGCGAAATATGCGAATCTTAGTCAGATAGGCAGACAGAATAAAACACGCTCGTTATCCGCTTCCTGCTTCAAAAAAAAAAAAAAAAAAAACGCGGCAACGGACCCCTGGCGAAATAAGCCTTCATGGAATAAAATTAGATTACACAAGCACAATAGTACCTGCATGATCCATTTCTGGGGCTCCATTGGAGCCACATGAAATATGCCATGAACCCAGTCTCTACGCTCATTGAACAAGATCCTTCTTTGGCTTAATAACCATACCTAAACCATTCTGAAAAGGCCTTGAACAAAGGAAACCTATCCAACATCTGAAGATGTTTTCTTAAATGTTTTGTAAGATAGGAATCAAGGATTCTTGCCGACTGGATGGATGAAATAAACATACTTGTTATTCACTCCATACGGACGAAAATAAAGTAAAAACGACGCGGAGACAGGGTATTTGAAACCCTAGGGTCGTGTTCCAGCGATGCTACTGAAGAAGGCGGCTGGAGCGGAAAATGCGGAACCACAACGCGATTTAAGCGAGGTCGCGAGCATAATGGCGCCTTACGATTCTGCTTTGTGGCTATCTTGTGGTTTGTCGACAATAGGTAATCAATAGTCTATTGTACCAGGACTACTGAGAAGAGCTTTGAACAAAGGTCACTTTCTACAAAAACGCCTGTTAGCAAGACCTCTCATTATGCCGAAAGGCACGATATCTTCGCCCGTAATACCTTTGTGCAAATGTATCCGCGCTACTTTTCGTCGACTGAGTTGGCTATAAAGGCATAAAGGCACCAGGAGAGGCCTTTTTTCTTCTCCTCACCTCTCTCTCTCTCTCTCTCTCTCTCTCTCTCTCTCTCTCTCTCTCTCTCTCTCTCTCTTTACAATCCTTCCCGCAAGTATCAGTCCTTCGCTTCCCCTCACTCCAAAATGACAAACTCAACACTTACCACACACAACAGCTCATCCACGTTAGAGCCTCCAAAGCTCATGGCGATGGATCTACCGGAGATAAGGGATATCGTCGTTCAGTACCTGGACCGCGGGGACCTCGCGAAATGTTCCCGGTTGAGCAAGGCATGGCATGGATCGGTGGCGGCAAAGGTTTGGAATTATGTTAATCTGGGTGGCATACATTGGAAAACCCCATCCTTCGAGGCCCTTCAACACTATGGCGGTCTAGTCAAGATCTTCAGAGTATCCCTTCGTTTTGCTGATTGGACAGCGGCCGAGCACTCCGCGCTGAATTTCCCGAATCTCGAGAAAATGGTCTTGACTCTTTCGAATGTCAACTCAACGGAAATGTTCGGTCTAATCCGTCGACATACGCGTTTGAATCGACTGTACCTAACATATCAGCGCGTCCAAGGCTCGATACGTCTTAATACAATCGGACTGTGACAGGCGATCGCCAGTTTGCCAAACTTGAGCTCTCTTCACCTCCGCGACGTTGATATTGGACATAATGCCGTCGCATTACCGAAACTGCGAGATCTGCGTCTTCAGTACAATGAGGGCAATAATGATTCAGAGACCGACCAGCTGCAACTCATATGTAACTGCCCGGCCTTGGAGACGCTGGGATGGTTTTTCAACTTTCGTAGTCGCTGGCTCAATGATCCCGCGCCTAGAAACTTTGTGGAGCTGGCCAAAGCTGGAACGTGGCGCAATTTAGAGGCATTGACCATGGGTTGGAACGGTTTGATGATTTCCGACGGCGATATCGCATCCATCTTAGCGGCCTTACCGCGGTTGACCATCCTTGATCTGGAAGAGCATGAGTTCGGTCCGCTGTCCTTCCAGATCCTCCGGAGATATTTCCCGGTTCTCAAGGAGCTCAGACTAGATAATTGCTCCAACGTGACAAAGAGCATGCTGTCGGAGATCCTTTCCTCCTGCCCGAAACTATCCCAGCGTAGTCGTGGGGGCCTTGCCGAGTTGCTCGCCGAGTTGGTCGCCGAGGGCGATATTGAGTCGTTGACTGAGAGTGACGCCGAGGTGGCCGATGAGCAGTAGCAGATGGCGCAGATAACCGCATTGTTCATCTTACAAGACCTTCAAAATAATTAGATAGAAAGAGCACACATTTTACCTGCGAATACCTATTTAGATGCTTTGTAGCGCGAGACCTGAGGGTGTTCACTAGATTTATTGAAATAAAGCTTATTTGCTACCTATGTCGTACTATTCCAGCGATTGAGACTTGTGAAAAAATACAGGGTTGGCCCCTCTACTGACGAGTCCTCGCAGGAAGAAGACAAATGAAATAGGAAATCAGGATTCACCACGCGATCTGGACGTGTCTACGAGGGCAATTGTACATTCATGTGTATTTCAATGCTTCTCGCGCGTTTGTTTGTGCCACACGAAAAAAAGAACCATTCCTTTTTTTCTTTTTTTTTTTTGGCTTGGCTTGGCTACCACCACCACCTTGGATAGGTTACTGAGCCACACTTTTGTCTTTTTGTCCAGTCTCGTTCGTGTTCATAGGTTTCTCACCTTGCCATGAAGGTGTAAAGCCTTTGTGGAGATATACCCACACCATTGTCTTTTGACTGAGATGTCTAGGAAGTCATTGAGCTTCGATTCCATTCGTTCTCTATCTCTCTCCAGCCTTCTGTCACATACACTCCATTGACATTTTTCTTTCATACAGAAAGAATCCTATCATTCGTCTTTGAGAAGCAATGACTGGTAACACAGATACATTAAAGCTGCTAAAAAAATCAATGCCATGGACATATCAGAGATCAGGGAAGTTGTCTAGGCCGCTGGAACTTCGTAAAGTATTCGCGACTTAACAAGGAATGGGATAGACGGACCGCGTTGACGAACTGGGAATCGCCCAGGCTAGCAGATCAATCACCAAACTCCCGATCTATCGAGGTTCTCCGACGCTACGGATATCTGGTCAAGATATTCAAAATATCTCATAGTGTTAGTGACCAGATAGTGGCCGAGTGCGCCGCATAGGATTTTCTTAACCCTCAAAAGCTGCATCTGAATCTAACAGCCGGCAACGCGACGCATTTGTGCAACTTAATCTTTCGACATTAAAAATTTTGAGTTCCAAGATTTGGGTTACCTCGACAGGCCCGTGCCGTATTTTAATTCCTCTAGCTTATCAAACTTGAACACTCATTTCATCTGCAACATTGAGGTCCCTAGCGTTTACCATGGTGCTCTCCGAATTATGAATACTGCGTTTGATATATATTGTTAATGACCAGGACTCATTAGACAAGCAGCTTCAGTTCCTGGCTCAAAACCCGGTCTTGGAGTTCATAAAATGGTATCCTAATTCCTGTTCCCCGGACTGGTGATCCTGTTGCTGTTGGGAGTCTTATCGTCCTTCTCACAATTATCTCCATCATCTCGAATAGGCCTCGCTTTGTATTGTGCTTCTCAATAAAGAGATAATAGATCTCTATCATGCGACTAGGTTTGTTCGAAACGTACTGTGCCAGCTCTTCTGTTCAAGCTCCTGTTCCTGCACCTCTTCAGAAAATCAAGACGTACCACTGTGATTCAAATACATCTACGAACGCAATGGCGCCCTTACAATATGTTTCTGTGGTCTCCTGGGGGTGTGTCGTGTAGCTCTACCACGCCTTGGACCGCTCTGAAAAAAGCTTGAATGGGTCACTGATTCTTTTTTACCCAGTTTCACACCTTTCCCGAAGGCGTGACGCCGTTTCCAAGCCTTTGTGGAGACGGATCTTGACTGAGATGTCTATACTCAAGTTATATTTTTCTTTAACTATAACTCCTTCCCACTTTTCACACACACTTTCTTCACATTCTATTCCACATACATCGTACTCGCAAGTTTCCTCGCAAAAAAACGACGAACCTAATGCTTGCGGCAAATACCAGCGCATCTAACAACATGCCTCCGGCAGAGCTGCACAAGATCATAGCCATGGACTTGCCAGAGATCAGGAATGCTGTCTTTCGATATCTGACCCGCAGGTCTCTTGTGAGATTTATGCGGATTAACAAGGCGTGGCACGAATCGGCAGCGGCATTGATTTGGGAATCGCTCAGTTTGACCGCCATGCAACAAATGCCATCTGTCGAGGCTCTCCGACGGTATGCTTATTTGGTCAAGACTCTCCAAATAAGCTCCAATATCAATGACCAGATAGTGGCTGAGTGCGCCGCATTGAATTTTTCAAAACTCCAAAAGTTGCGCTTGAATCTTACGGCCGGCAATGCGACTCATGTATACGACCTCATCTCTCGACATTCGACCTTAACGTCCTTGGATCTGAGTTATCACGGCACGCCCTGGGAGCCATTCTTCGACGACCCTCACCTGGGGGAGGCAATCGCCAGTTTGCCAAATCTGAATACTCTTCATCTTCAATTTTGAGGCTCCTAGCGCTACCGTCATACTCTCCAGATTACAAACATTGTGTTTGATATATGCTGCTGGCGTCCAGGAAGTTGTGGACCAGTAGCTTCAATCCCTCACTCAATATACATCCTTGGAGGTTATAGAATGGTATCCGAGTTGTTTAGTCCGGCATTCAACCGTCAGAACCTTTATGAAGCTAGTCGTGGCAGGAAGTTGGCCTTGGTTGGAAGGGTTGACTTTAAATAAAGTTAGCCGAAATCTTTCCGACGCAGATATTGCATCCATCATGGTAGCCGCGCCACGAATTACCGCTCTTTTTTTGCTCTCTCCATGCTTCGATCCCCTCTCTTTTCAGCGTCTCCGTACATATTTCTCGACCGTCAATCTCCTATGTGACAACCTAGTTACAAAATATATGCTGTTGGGGATAGTCTCCTCATGCCCTCGGCTACACAAGGACTGCAAAGAGCTTTTCATCAAGACCGCTGCGATTCTTGATCAATAACCTGATGCCATTATGAAGACATTTTGAAAACAGAAATGCACTGCAAAGTGAAGCTTGAGGATCCTTATCAGATTAGTAGATGGAATAAATGTCTGAAAAAAAATTGAAAGTGTCCTAATAGCAAGAGCATGATAAAATGTCTTCGTATAGACCTCATGTCCTTTTGTTCAGATGGACTTTATTAATTAAAAAATAGCGGGAGTCAGGAAGATCAAAGGAAATCGGGTTCAGTGCTTGAACTTGAGTATGGCACGTCCATCAACGCTTCATCATTTGCAGTGTCAAATGCTAGACAATAAGTGCCAAGAAAGAAAACACGGGTGTACCGAGATTCGAACGAAGGTGGCATTGCACATTTGGACTAGTTTACGAGCCCAATGGCCATCTACTGTTGATTGCATTTTTGCTTTGTCCACATTGCATATGGATCAGCTTAACAGGTATGGTTTCTGGGTGTTTATTTGAACCATCTCCATGCACAAGTGCTGTAATTTCTACCATGGTGATGGCTGAAGTAGGTCACGGCCTCTCCAGCGCCTCTGCACATCCGAAGTTTGTACAATTAACCGTTCAGCAGGTGCTCGCATTTTTTTTTTTGAGATAGTATTACGCAGAGTTCAGGTCAATGCACAACCACTTCTTCGATTGATGTCTCTTTGTTCTCAACGGCGATCGAAGTAATTGACGCGGACTCGAGCACGCACCATTGAGAGTATTACATCGCAAAACTCTATCTTTCTTCTTCCCTCTGAGTACAATGACCTGCCGCCTACACCCTTTCATTCGCTATGCTGTGCTGTTGACCGTTTCTCGCAAACCCCTCCTCAAGTAAGTAACATTAGACAATATTGGATTCTGCTGAGTGCTGGCATATAGACATATTGATCTCATTCCCCCCATCACGCCTTTTTTTTTTTACACGATTCTCATTTTGTGCAGAAAATGCGTGTTTTTTAAGTTAAACCGCGTCAAAATTGCGTGCAAAGCAGATACATCAATGCGATTATGATGTTTGGGTGGGAATAGCCATCAAAAATACGCAAATGAGTATAAAAACCGGAGAAAACGCGTCCAAATATTTTTTGTTTTTGACAAAAGACGCGCCAGAATTATATCCAGGCATGCTTTCAGACGTCTTTATACGTGTGCATATATGAGTATGTGATAAAATCATCCAGGATGGTCAAAAAACAAAAAACAAAACCAGCAGCAACTGAGAGAAAAAAATTGAAAAAAAAATTGTATTAGGTCAAAGCAATTTAATTTGCCTTAAAAGAATGACTTTCGCGCACAATAGGCCAAATAGGGAGCAGGGGCTATCGGTTCACCACTCATGCGATCATTGATTATGAAATACAGACCCGTTGCGACATAGTCGGATCGGACAGCTTGATGTTTGTATTCTGTCCCACCTGCAGGTTTCCTTCAGACCACAGTTAATAAATACTATCTCTTTGAGAGTTCTTGTAAAACTATACTTGAATACGAAATCTCTTGTTACGGGAAATCGGGAAGGCAGTGAGCGGGTAGTGTAGGTAAGGTAAGTGCAAGGGAGGATAAGGTGGATAGGCGGGGGGGTAAGGCAGCTAGATAGGTAGATAGGGATCGGAGTGGAAGGTAAAAGGGGCCAAGTAGAATAAACTTCAGTCAAGTCGCAAAGGACACTATATCCTTCTCTGGCTGTTCGGAACCGCTTTCTTATTCATGATATCCTTCGCGTTTATACATAGAAGCGGGTCCAGATCGGCGCAACGCTGACTAACCCTCAAGCTTAGATGTATATATAGTGCGTGAATGAGATAGAGATGAGATGGGGAGCGTCCGGGAGCCGGTCGGGTTTGGGCGCAGCTCAGACAAAAATAGTGCAAAAAGAGATGTTGAGCCGCAGTGGTAAAAGGGACAGTCTTTTTTTTTTTTTTTTTTTTTTTTATTAACATCTGTGGTAAAAGGGACAGTCATGCAAATAAGAGGTTGTGCAGTTATAGAATTTTTTTTTTTTTTTTTTTTTTTTTTATAACAACTTGTCTCTCGAGTCAATTGACTCTGCGAATCTATCAGACTAACTAGCAAAGATCTACTATCGCTGTCCTCACCACCAAAGCGGAACCGATCCACAGTCGCCAAAAGACAGGTCACATTCCCCGGGCCTGCCCCTAGGGCCTGCGCAACAATTGCCACACCTCATCAGTGTGTTAAAAGCTGAAAACACCTTGTTACAAGAAGGGTATCTTCCCCATCCCCTCCATGGTTGTCAACCGCCTCCTCCCTTGCAGGCAATCCAGCAGCGTCCGATCCGCTGCGTCTGGGTCAAGCACGGGGCCAGGGCAGCTCCCGTTTACATGGTCAGCGAGTAATGCACCACACGGACATTGGTCATCGTCGCTAATGTATCCATACCCATCACTCCAGTCCCCTCTCGGTCCCTTGTATGGAGTTCGTTTCATCTTGGCTGTGATCCCCCATTCTCGCTCTCGAGCAATAGTGGCCTTGCAGCGTGGTTTCCAGATCAGCTCCGTAGCTTTCTCCTCAATAAAGCCGACGAACTTGTTTTTTTTTTTTTTTTTTTTATTAACATAAATCCCCATGAGCACAAGACGCATGGTCCGCAAAGGCCTTGAAGCCATAGATGCCTTCCATGCACGGCAGAGCCGCATCCCCTACCAACTATGTTGGCTTGAGGCGTCAAATTCATAACCCATGTCGCATAGCTAGCCTAACCTAACTCCTGCGTGACCTGTTGCGCGATACACGTCTCCTAATCCAGATCCAATGTTAATAAAGTTGTTTTTAAACCGAATAACCCCTCCATTATGTCCAACTTCCCTCGCCCCAAGCAATGCTGTAGCACCCTATAATCCGCGGCCCGTCTACCTTCCTGGATCTCCGTTGCAAGTAACCGTCTCCCTTTCAAATCAGAGAAATCACCAACACTACGTTGGTGTCCCCGATCACCGTTGCGTCCTCCGGCGCGTTTGCTCATGAAGGTGATTCCAACTGACTTTTCCCAGGCGACAGTGTCCTCGCATCGTTTGTTCCATATCTTGGTCCTGCCAAATTCTTCGATCCTGCTCACGAACTTTGTCACCATGATCGTCGCAATCCACTTAGTGGTGGTAAATAGCTGCTTCCAGGTCTCAATGAGTCCCGTTGGCACCAAACCTCGGTATAAGTCCTTGACCTCCCAATCTGCCTCACTCTCCGGCTCCTCTTCTTCCGCAACCCGATATGTCCCTCGCCTTTCCGCCGTCCCCTGAATCCACTGCATTGACTCCCAGATAGCCTTCGTTCCTGTTGCCGAGAAGTTGGGACAAGTCGCAGTGAAGGGCTTGTCCTTCCGTTCGGCCTCCTCTCTCTCCTGTTCCCATTTTCGCACTGCCTGTCTCCATGCACGATATCCATTCAACTCCACTTCCTCCACCGCGTCCCTCCACTCTTGTCGCTGGTCGCACAAGGTAGCTGAACAACGCCAAAGATGATCGTTCGTCTCTGGTTCCCTCTCACACCTACGACATATGTCCGTTTGGTAGGTATCTGGATGTCGTTTCTTCATCGCCTGCAATGTCGGCAAATCTCCATGCAGCTTCTCGATCCTGTGCGAACGTAAACGACAGTCTTCCAGGCTGGTGTATAAGCGCTTTGGCGGGTTGTTATCGTGTAAGATCCGTAGCGTGGGCGCCCATGCTACCGACCGCCAATCCTTGATGTAGGTCCTCGTTCGATGCTGCAATGTCCACTGATAATGGTGCCGTACCGCGGACTGCAACTTCAGTATCTTCCTCAAGTCCAGGTCTGCACTGTGCGTTGCAAACTGTGCGTGGCATTTCAAATCATGGTGCTGCGTTGCGTCTAGCCTCCATAGTCCTGTATCGATCCCATGTGCTGCCTTGGCAACAGTGTCTGCAGCCTCGTTGCCACGGTGTCCAGCATGTCCTCGTACCCAATGCACAGATATACCTTGTCCTTGTTGCAAGAAGGCATAATGCACCATCGCCCACCACTGTGCATCTGCAGATCTCAAACGCTGCCTTGCTGTTGCTGAATCCCGCTGCTGCACCAACTCCTTGAAATTGTTGACGACTGTGAGATTGTCGATGTAGATGTCGACGTTCTCTTCCCTTGGGCTGATAATAAAGCCGACGAACTTGTGAATGAGGTTGTGCAGTTATATTTTTTTTTTTTTTTTTTTTTTATTCAACATGGCCTCCGAGAGAGAACAATCAGTGCTGGTTTCCTAGTGAATAGTCTCTGAGACTTGTGTCTATCTGGCCCTAAATCTTCTAGTGTGGCAGTCGCACCATCTCCAACAACTTCACTGTAACCTCCCTAAGCGTCCCGAGGTCTTTCTCCTGCGATCCGCTCGGCTAGCTGGCAGGCTCCTCACCTGCAAATCTGCCAAGACCATCTCTCCAATTGTAACCTGTACATCTGGGAGATGGTCTTGGTTTCTTGAGAGCACGGAATCCGTTCTACTGGCTTGCGAGCCGACTCCTCTACTATTGTAACATTTCCTCCTCCTCCTCGTCCCGTCTTTCCTCCACCTGAGGTCACTGGATGTGAGCTCAGATTAGCCTATTATAAAGTGGGCCTACTCACTTTTGAACTTATACCTGTAACCCCGGCAGGGGTAGCTAAGACGCATGCTGCCAGTGCAGTGGAATAACTTGTACACCCTGGTGTATAGCTGGGAAGTTCTGAACCAGCGCCTCTCGAAGTCCGGAGGCTAGCGCAAGGGCGAAATTTATTCTGAGCATTTTGTCAAGCGTTAAGGAAGGGGAAAGGAAACCCACAACGATTACATGGGGTAGTGCCACTCAATGTGGGGGTCGCCGGGGAAAGGAAACCCACATAACTGAAGTGGGGTAGTACGCCCGACTCATGCTCCAAATAAATTTCTATGCGTAGCACATATTACTGTGCTTTAACCAGGGCTCGAACCTGGTCCCTTCGCGTTACAAGGGAGGTGCCCTGACCAGTATGCTAACTGAGCCATCGGGCCGGACCATTGTGCAGTTATAGAATGTGTGCGAATAAGGAATCCATGCAATTAGAGAAATAAATGTATGCGGCATATATAGGTTCATAGAAATGAGCGTTCATCGGAGTTGTCAACTTGGCCGAGTGGTTAAGGCGTATGCCTGCTAAGTGTATGGGATTTCCCGCGCAGGTTCGAACCCTGCAGTTGACGCGAAACTATTTTTGCTCAGCCGCTCTCGGAAGCCCCACCTGTCCGTAGTGGTGGAGTGAGCTGTCAGTGGTAGTAGTCGTAATAGTGTGATAGTGATGGACTGCGCTGCCGACTCTTGTATTTCTGAGAATGATTTTATTTTTACTCTGGACCGACCAATCCTTAAAAGCGACGATCTCGCCTGAAGCGTCTGGAGCGAGCAGGCAAACGGAACTAGAGATCATCCTTAACCCCTCCGTCACAGACCCAACACGGGAGGTTTCCTCAACGGACTTTGAACAGAGCGAATGGCCCCACCGGGCAGGTCTTTGACTACAATATCGGATTCCTACAGCTATGGTCCTACAACCCCTAATTGAGCTGTTGGTAATATGTAGTACGAGAGCACTGAAACAGCATACTCCCTTCATCTTACCATAATCCCATCTTCACTTTGGGGTCCCCCGTGACATCGTTCTTGAATGTCGAGAGCTTGAAGATGAGTCCAGTGCTTGCTGACTGGCGGCGATAGTGATGCTGATAGCACTAGGATAGGGAGTAGCTCGAGAAAAAAACGCGAGTTGGGCGAGCTGTGCGTGTAGGGCTTGGACTTGCAGGACAAGGTGTGTTTGATAGCCTGAGGATAGCATTCGTATTGGGGGAGCGTTTTTTAACGGTCTTGCCCTATTATAAAGAGTTCATTCCAACGCTTAATCCTAGAATTCGATGTAAGAAGGAGAGAAAGAGCCGACATCGAAGGATCAAAAAGCAACGTCGCTTTGAACACTTGGCTGCCACAAGCCAGTTATCGCGGTGTCTGGTCTTACGCTCCAATTGGGAAGCAGATGTACGATTATTATTAAGGTAAACATTTATTTGCACACCTGTCTTTATTTCGATTTGGGTTTTCAGTTGCGATAGTAGTAATCTATGCTCCATAGTGCCAACGAAAAAGAGGTATGGTTCCCTCAACTGGACTGGGAAGTTCACAACGAAACTGTGGACACGGAGGGGTCTTTAGTAGCGGGTCTTTGTCGTTGCCACTATTTCCCGAAATAGGCACATGTTGAGTGTGGGCACTCTTTTTAGAGTGTGGTCGCCTGAACTCATGGAATTACACAACAAACAATCCAGATGTGGCGCCCTCGATACATAGTTGATTGTTGCCACGTCGCGTTCCAAGACAGGACGCTCAGACCACATTATTTAAGGGCGGCGTTGGCACGTGGAGAGCGGCCAGGACCTTTTCTATGTTAAAACTCGGGAGCACAGCTTGTACCGCAGACCGATTGTCCTAATCCCGGGGTAAGGAGGCTAGAACAGATATCTCAACCAAGGATCCGTACAAACTGCAGTATGACAAAGCCGCCTTGTCCAAAGACAGCACAGGAAGCAGGAAAAGGAGAGATACGGGGTGGAACAGAAGGTCAAACATGCTGTGCGGGGACAAGCATGGAGACAAGACATATCCTCAACTGTACAGTATTCCTGGCATGGATCTAGGGCGAGATGCGGTTCACTGAAGAACTAATACGAGAAACTATGCGGTTGGAAGAGGAGAATCTGGGACCAGTACTCGGCCGAAGACAGGAACAGAGCTTTATGTGGTGGGTATGAACTGTTCTTGGTGGCGATTTCCAGCAAAAAAAAAAAAAAAAAAAGGGGGAAGGAGAAATGGTGTATTATTTGACAAGCATGGATTGTTTTATTTACAAACTATTTACTGTAGATGATGGGCGAGATCTTTTGTTTTTGCTGCTGTAGCACTCAAAGTCCTATATTAGTAGTGGGATCGGTCGCCTTTGACTTCAGCATCTGCAACTGAAAAGCTCATCTCTTGACCGCTGTGAGGCCGCGGTAACTTGATACGTGGGGGCAGTGCAGGGGAAGTTGACACAAAGGGCACAGGCATCGGCATCGGCATATGCATAGGCACAGACATCGAGCTGTTCTGCTGCATTGGTGGATAGAATTCCTGCCTTGGATAGTTTCGTACTCCTGTGTACCTTGCCATCGGTTGAGGGATGATCTCTTCATCCTCGTCCAACTCCTGTTTATCTCCAAAGTACATCGGTTGGCTTTGGTTTTGGTGCGACAGCGTCTGTATGGGAACCTCCGTGTCCACATCTTGGCCACGCATCGTTGGTGAGTTATGATGGCTGTGGAATGAGGGCTGTTCTTGGTGTGGCGGAAGGTTGTTCCTGAACTCGTCCGACGAGCTTATTGACACGTTGTCGTCGGATGAGGCGTTCGATAGGTTCGAGCTCCTCTTTGCATCAAACATAATCGAGGCGCTCGAGAACCGCGAGGGATCAAAGTTGGGGTCGAAATCGATGATCGACGTGGCAGAGAAGCGGTTGTTATTGTTCGACTGACTGAAATCCAGGAAGGCCGAGAATCGGTTCGGGGCGACAAGACTCTCACCCTCTGCAAACTTGTTAGGATGTCCCGATTCCTCGTCTTCGTCCTCCTCGACCCCTATGGGAGCATTACGGCTGTTGATGGTTCCCTGGTTGCTGTGCTTGTTGAGGCTGACGCTGCGGTGAAGCGAGCTCTTGACCTGGGCAGCAGGCGCAACCACAGTCGCGGAGCGGGAACGAGTAGACCGGCCAGATAAGGATTGTCTGGGTCCCAGCTCCTCCTTTTCATTGATGGGTTCGTCCGAGGTGAGGGAAATCTGCTGGAACTGTCCCAAGGACTCCTCACGCTCCAATGTTCGGCTCCTATGATCTCCTGCGCCCTTCTCGAAGGCAATCGGTGCAGATCGTGTTCGGTGATGGACATTCGAGGGTGGTGACAGGTCCTTGGGAGCAGGGGCAGCAACGAGGGTCGAAGACGAACTATGTCTCTGGAAGTACTTTTCAGTCTTTTCTTGGTCCATGAACGTAGGCAGGAAGCGCTGGAGCTGGCCGATCCTCCGCGATGCGCGTCGTTTACGGACGCAGCAGAAAAAGAGCGCGAGGGAAAGAATGAGCACGAGTGAGCCCCCGACTGCTGTTGCGACGACGACGGTCTTGTTATCGGGGGGAGCTGGTCCACTGTCATCCGACGGGGGAGCGCGCTTGTAGTGAGAGAATGGCAATCGGTTTTGGTATATGCAATCCATTGGATCCACGACGCAGGAGGGTGCCATGTTGGTAGTTTGATACGTGACAGAAGGGTTTATGTACAAGAGGTGTGCTTGAATCGCAGTCTGGTGCCTGGCGAAATGTTGTTGCTTGAGCAGAAGCGTTGGGGCGATTATGGCAGAGAAGTAAAGATAGCACGCACGGATGAGGAGCAAGAGGGACAATGGAGAGGAGCAAGCGGTGTCGTCGTCGTCGTCGTCGTCGTCGTCGTCGATTAAAGAACAAAAACACGAGTAAAGAGAAAAAGAAGAGGGGGCACTGCATTATTCATGGACATATAAATACATTTTTAACGCGTTTGGTTGCCGTGTCCATTCCAGTCCCTGCCGGTGGTTGGTTGGTTGGCATGGGCGCAAGGCGAGGCAAGGCGAGAAAAGGTCATTGGATGCCTGTTGATTCTCCTAGCCTAGCCTGGAACTGCCTTCCGCCATCCCGAGTTGGGCAATGCTGGATGCTGCATGACAACAGAGATATCGAAAAGGTAAAAAGGGTCAGTAAAGACAGCGGTATAATATAGGGCGTACATAGACACACGGACGGGGAGGGGAGAGGAGGAGGGAGGAGAGGGATGGCTATGTTGTCTACATGCATACGCCTAGACAGCCAAAAAAAAACCCCTCCCCTCCACGAGCCAGCCCATGCATTCTGACATCGTATACAAACTCAGAAGGTTGGCTGTGGACACGGGCGCTGTTCCTCCCTCTTCAAGTCGATTCCCTGCTGATAGATTACTAGTCTATTGGAGGTCATTTCTTTCTTTTGGGTCAAAGGGTGGGTGTTGTGAACTACTCGCGGTTGTAGAGTCTACCGTGCGAGTGTATGTGTGCGAAGAAAAGGTGTTATTTTTAGGGCAGTGCGTTCTTTCTTTCTACAACACCGCATGGTCTCCGCTTCTTTTTCTTCCTTCTTCAGTAATGAGCGCATTGTTCAACCGACAGATCAGAAGACGAACAACAACAGCGGCAGTACACAAACACGAGCTGGGAAGAGAGAGACCAAAGAAGCAAAAGACAGGAGAAACCGATTTATTTTTATCACACCGACTACCACAGGGCGCACATGTACTAAAATAGATAAACAAATACAGCAGTGGGCATAGACCTGTCAATGCATTGCCGCCCCTATCCAGGACTGCAGCTGACAAACAGGCTGTTTACATGCTTACAACACAACACCACACCTATGCGTCCTATCTATCCTCCTATCCTATTCTACATGAACAGCGCACCATGGTCATCATTCCACCTCCCATCCCTGCTGTCTTGTCTCATTCATGTCTTGTCTCATTCATGTCTCTCCCTGGGGGGTAAACTACGAGGAGATGTACCATGTCCACTCTAGGTGGATAGGATACGGCGTTGCATTGTAATGATGCCGTGTGTATATGTGCAGATGTTGTATCGGGGCTGGCTGGCTGACTGGCTGTCAAGGTCTGCTGTATGTATGTAAAGAAGATCAAAAGTTGATTGGTCAACGCCACACATCTTTCTGTGTTGTTATGTTGTGCGCCATTGTACTCCCGCAGCCTGGTCTTCATGTACCACAACGGGCCTTGTTCAACTCTTCGACCGGTGGCAGTGTCCAAAAAGACAAAATCATCAAACAATTGCTGCTTCGCCTATTGGGTAGTTAATATCTGTCGTTATCCCGATGAAAAACTATCGCGCGTAGTCTGCAAGCTAGCCCTGTAGCCCAACACAGCCTCATCTATAGGTTTAGTCTAGGTTAAAGGCAGCCCAATTACCCCCAAATCCAAGAGAAAGGTGGGGAGGGGAAAGGGAAAGGGCTGTAGAAGCACAACGTGTGGGATATATGGTGTCCATCTTGGAAAGGAATCGGGTATAGACTCAGGTACAGGACATGGGCTTGACCGCGCGGTATCACTTTTTACCAGGATTGAGACTTGGCTCATATTTTTTCTTCGTGTCACTCCTCTCCATATTACGTATCCACAGCATGGAACCATTGAATGCTCTGTTCCTGCTCTCTTGACATTCAATAGGGTGCACAGCGCGCACCTTTCCTTGCAGTGAACATTGTTCTTCCGACTGCCCCGACATATCCGGCCACAGCCCTCCCCAGGGATTCATAGGAAGCCCGATAGAATGATTAAATGACGCAAAGTAAATTGCGGCTGCAGCCGCGAAATCGATACGAGAAGGGAGGGGGGAGCCGATAAAAATACAATGGTCTGAGAGGCGAATGTGGATGTATTAACCAGCATCTCTTTTTATCCCTCATTCCAACCTCACCGACACCATTCATTCATCCCTCATCGACATTGCTGCTCACGGAAACCTTGTCAGGAGAAGCAGAACCCCCCACCAGCGAACATAGGGCTTACGGATAAAACAGGATGCCTTCAATTGACCAAAAGTACCACCAGTGGCGCGCAGATTACGTGCGAGCATGGGGCGACCTACTCTATATCGACTACAATAAGAAGGGCGAAGTCGAGCAGAAGAACGCTATTACTTGTTCTGAAGGTACAGCATAGCAATAACAATGCGCCATCCAACGGAAACGAATTTTTTTCTTGCACTGCCGCCTTCTGCATACACAGCCTGCTCGTCTGTTTGTGTGCTGTTTTTCTTTGTCGTTGTTAGCAATTAGGCAAGTGAACCCTAACACTGACAATGCTCCTTTACGTTTGGTTCTTTTCCATATAGCAATTGGATATGGCATGTTGATCTCGGTCTTGATGCGCAACCAGCAGGACTTTGACGGACTCTTACGCTGGTTCTTGCACTTCAGGAACGCCAATGGACTTTGTTCCTGGCAACAGATCGACGACAAGCACAGCCAGACCTACTCCAACGCTCCGGACGGTGGCTGCAACTCTGCAACGGACGGCGATATCGACATCGCAACCTCTCTATTTTACGCTTCCAAGGCCTGGGGTCGCTCTCCCTGCGGTCGCTACGACTATCGACAGATCGCCATCCCCCTCTGCAAGGCGATTTGGGACCATGAAATCAACCACCATACCTTCATGCCCACGCTCGGAGATTGGGTCAAAGTCCCCGAGTACTCGGGTGGAGCACAGTCTGGAGAGGAGAGTGCGTACACGGATGTTACACGACCGTCGGATTTCATCCTGTCAGGATTCTTGACTTTTTACAACGAGGATCCGGAGAGGTCGTCACAGTGGGCCAAGGTTATGGACGCCATTGTCACAACAGTGCAGCATCAGGTGCAGTTGAATCCCACGGGGCTGATTGCGGATTTCTTGAAGCTCGCAGCTAATGGATATTTTGAACCATCGCGGCACAAGATCCTCGAGAGTGACAATGACAAGGTAAAGATGACGGCAGGAACAAGGAGTTGGATCAAGTACATGTTGTGGCGTCCTGTTATATTTGACACTCACCGTGCCATTGATTTTCTGCTATCAATAGGATTATAATTGGAACTCTTGCCGTGTTCCGTAGGTCTTGACAACTATTTGTGTTTCATGTTTGATGTACTGCTGAACCTATAAGGCTCTAACAATAACCTGCCAATGGCTTTCTTCAATGTCAACAGTTGGCGTCTCTCGGTCTACTATCTTCTCACAATGGATGCAAGAATCCAACCAGCATTGATGGCCATGTCATCCTTCTTCGGATCCCTGCCCGAGATCCACGCAGGATATCATTTGAACGGTCATAGGATCCACGACCGTAGCTACTCGGACATGTCCTACACTGCCCCGGCATCGATCGTTATGTGGACGATGCGCCATCCAAACCTGGCGCAGGTCCAGGCCCAAATGGAGGAACTTGAATCGGACAAGTCCTATTTCGGCGACTCGATCCAGCTCCTGTGTCTCTTGCAGGCGAGAAACCCGAAAGGATTCTAGTCGAGGTCCATCAAGAGATGAGCATGGGTGGTATTGGTCACATCATGCATGGGAGTTCACCGCAGTAAAGCTGAGAAACAGTAATAATAAAGCACCATCGCGGTTCGCTCGCTCGCTTTTCATGAAAATTAAGGATCTGAAGGAACTACCTGCAAGCGGGATCGGGTCTTTGCCTGCGATAGATCGGTATGGATACCCGCGTTTTTGTGTCCTGGAAAAGTGCTTTTGAGGTCATGAGGACAGGAAAAGCCATGTGGACGATATTTTCGCCCATCGGATATTTGCTCCGGCAGATGCATGGACGCGTTTTTTTATCCCTCTTTCTCTAGTCCGACTGTGTGGACACCAACGTCTTGACTCATAACTCATATGAGTATACGACAGCTGGCGCGTCATGCCCTTCCCATCCCAAAAGTCGGAATTGAGAACTCATAGACGGGGCCTGAATTTGTGGGCTTGGGCTGTCTTGTCGGTACTCTCGTTCGATCGGTTCGAGACCCTGACCGTGGGATTGGGCGCGGGAAGAAAACCAGCTCACATGCTCCAGGAACCACCTTGCAGGTATGGACTCAACCAATGAACACGAGCCTGACCTTACAATAGGGTCCACGAGGGGGCGCTGGACGAGGCGAACCACCCCTCATTTCCCGATGAGCAAAGAGCAATCCTAGTGATCTGGATCAATGGGGCTTCTGGATGGGGGGAGGGGTTTCAACTCCCGATCTAGGAACGAGCAGAAGGATGCGCTTGAAGCATGACAACGAAGGAAGGACTTTGAATATTTGAGGGCGCCTCATTGGCCAAAGGCAGCGAGACCCAATCATTCTGCTTCGGAGGGTTTAGCTGTTTGGCCCCTTTTCAATAGTGGATCTGACACTCATTCAATAAAAAAAACCCTCCTGCACCTGCTAGCCAGGCACCTTTTTCCAGTCAGAGAGGCGAAACAGCGCGGACAAAAAAAAGCTGTATCCAACCTGCAAGTAGAGTAGTCTGTATTCCAATCTAGATATCGTGTGTACTTTACGGCCAAGGGTAGGGGTAGCCGTTCAGCCTAGATTCATGCTGTCCCTCTTTCTCTCATATTATGGTTCATAGTAATACAGTCCCCAACAGTGGGTCTACGTTCATCTGGCCATGTTGATTACCATATGTGTTCGTTCGCTGGACGAAACGGTCTAAAGACATTCGTTCGTGAGAGGAAACGATCTGAACATGTGTGATGGTGTGATCGTTTTTTTCCTCCGGGGGCTGTGTTGTATGAATATCCTGTACAAAAACAAAAAGAAAACAATGGCGATCTGTTGTTGTTGTTAGACTGGCGGTGATAGTAGTGGTGGGTAGTGGTGGTATGTGTGCTTCTCATGTGTTTGCAGGCCTGCTTGAGCAGCCCCCGTGGGCAGTTGGTTTGTTTGTTTCCCAGGTTTGTTTGGGTGCGCTAAACGAGTGGATTTACTGGTCTGTCTCCACTTGAGGAGCGAGGTGTACACTACGACACACAAACTAGAAAAAGAAGGAAGCTCTTTGTATTTCTGGATTCCAACCAATCATATCAGCCAGCCGAATTTCTTTTATGCCTTTTCGGTCCCTTTGGCCTTGTCTCTCGCGTGCGACTGGTCCTCCTCGAAAATGGAAATAGTACGCAAGTGGTAGAGGTATGTATGTACTCACATGTACCCGTGGTTGCCAAAAGGGCGGCTGTCCCCTGGTTCCTGATATAAAAAGGAGGAGCGGATCCGACAACCTTCTCCTCTCATTCCTTCGTCTCTCTCTCCTTCACTCTCCACATTCCCTCTTTCAATCTCCTCGATCTTCGGATCTTCCTCCTCTCTTTAGTCTCTTTTATTACCTAATACAGTTTCTTCTCGACTATACCCCTCCCCATCTACCATCACCACCACCACCACCACCACCGCCACCATCACTTCTTCAGTCATCATGGAAAAGCACGAGGCCACCGAGATGTATGAAGTGAAGAGCGTCAAGAGCGACAGGGAGTCCGTCCAAGTCGATCTCCTCGCGGAGAGACCTGAGCAGGGATCCAGCTTTCTCGCTTATGCGAACGTCGTCTGCGTCGTTGCAGGTAAACACCCTGCACCAAACAAATAGCACACAGCCCGTAGTTCTGTTACACAAAGGGGTCCACAAATCTTAACCGCTTTTACCTGATTCGTCATCACTTCCCTTTGTCCTACAGGCACAGGCACGCTCGGTCTGCCTTACGCCCTCAAGCTGGGCGGCTGGATCGGCGTCGGCATCCTCCTGCTCTCGCTCCTCATGTCGATCTACACCGCCATCCTCCTCATGAAGTGCCTTTACTACAACGGCAAATACCGCCTCTCGTCCTACCAGGAAGTCGGTCGTCACGCCTTCGGTCGTGCAGGACTCATCGCCGTCTGGTTCTTCCACACCTCGATCGTCATCGGTGCCCCCGTCATGTACCTGATCCTCTCCGGTACTGAAATGAAGGGTCTCGTCGCTAACGACGCCATCAGCACCAAGGCCTGGATCTGGATCTGTGCCGCCATTGTCGCCATCCCCTTCGTGGCCATGAAGACCCTGAAGGAAGTCGCTGTCATGTCCGTCTTTGGTGCGCTCGCAACCGTTGTTCTCGTCATCGTCGCTGTCCGCGGCTCGATTATCGATCTCCACAATCCCGCCTACGCCAGCGTCGTCCATGATAACGTCATTCTCGCACACTTGCCCACGACCGTCGCATCCATCTCTATCTGCTTCGGAGGAAACGTCGTCTACATGCACGTTGAGGAGGCCATGCGCTACCCCCGCTCCTGGAACCGTGTCGTCGCCGCAGCCCTCGCCACCTGCTCCATCCTCTACATCGCCACCGCCATCCCCGGTTACCTCACCTACGGTTCCGAGGCCCAGTCCCCTATTCTCGCGAATTTGCCCAACGATACCGCGACCAAGATCGGAACCGTCGTCATCATCATCCACGTCATCCTCGCGGCCCCCATCCTCTTGACCTCCTTCGCCCTCGAGTTTGAGCGTCTCCTCGACATCACGGTCACCCGTCGCGGCAAGGTCATGGAGCGCGTCTACCGCACGATCTCCCGTCTCATCCTCGTCGGAATCTGCGGTGGTATCGCCTGCACGGTCCCTTACTTTGGTGACTTCCTCTCCCTCCTCGGAGCCCTCGGCAACTGCACGTTGATCTTTGTCTTGCCGATCCTGTGCTACTTCAAGTTGATCGGATGGAGACACCTGAAGTGGTATGAGCTCCTCTGGTGCGCCATCATCGTCATCATCGGTGTCATTTCCGCCATCATCGGTTCCATCGATGCCATCAAGGCCCTCAAGACCGACTTCCAGAACGATAATTCCAACTAAATTAGATCTGGACCTGGGAGTCTTCTTTTTTTTTCTTATTCCCCCCTCTCTCTCTTCGTTGTGTATATTACAATGTCTTTCTCTCCCTCCCTCTCCCTCTCCCCTGTACAATAGTCCTCACTCTAAAGAGCCTTTTATTAAAAACATGAATAACTTATGCTATTACAACTACAACTACAATTACACGAGTGCTGTAAATACATGTCATTCTTGAATATCCTCTAGTCCTGTCTTTGCTTAAAATGCTGCAATGTTGCAATGCTTCAGAGAATAATTCACTTTTGGAAACACAAAGAATATAAGGAAACAAGGCTTAAAAGGAGTATACAAAAAAAAGAAAAAGACGCATACATTTTTCACACAATCGCCCAGTCCATTCAAAACATAAAACAACCGACAAAGACCATTAACAAAATATATATATATTGTTTAGCATCCCAAGGATCATACCCTGGCATGCTGTATATTTGACACATTCTTTTATTTTAGTAGTGGGCGTCTAACAAAAAAAGAAAAAAAAAAGAGAGAGAGGGTAAGCGGAGAGGAGGGAGAGAAAAATGAGGAAGGAGGGTAGGTCGTGTGCATAACGACCTGAGACGAACAAGAAGTGTAGGGGAGAAAAAAGAAAAGATCGGCAATACGAAACGAGCACGATTGACTTTAATGGTACTTGGCGACGACATTGTCCATCGACACTGCAGAGCCGGCCTCGATAAGTTTGCCAGAAGCATTGTTCATCAAGCTATCAAAAGGGAAAAAAGTGTGCCGTGTTAAAATACAATGTCCTGTTTAACATATATGCTCTCACGGAAGAGATACAACCAATGAAGCAAACAAACAAGTTCGAGATACGTACTCAGGGTAGCGAAGCTGAATCTTGGGAGGAAGAGAGGCTTCATTGAAGAATTTTCTAAAAAAAAAAAAGAAAAGAAAATGCGCACATGCACATAATCGCCAGCGATGAATAACAATATCTTCCCGATCTCAAGCTGCATATCTTCTTCGTTTTTCAATGTCCAACATCAAAAAGGAAAAAAAACCCCCTGGTTTCCTCTCATACCTTTCCTCGGCGGCCTGCTGGGCGAGCTGGATGTGGTTCTGGTTGAGGCGGTTGGACTCCTGCTCCGAACGCATGTAGTACTCGATGTAGCGGGTGAAAGGGTGCTTCTCCTATTTTTCATAGACATCAAGACGTACAGTGTATGTCCAGAATTCCTCGTTAACAATCGCTCTCTGATATTCTCGTCGATAACTTCCCAAAGCGTACAATAGAGATGCTATCGACGCGATCCGTTTCCTCCTGCCATTTGTACGAAAAAATAATGAAATAATCGTCGAGTCCTATGGTCGAAATTTGCCTCAAAGATACCCATGTCCCGCAATTGCTGATCCAGTTGCTGTACGAAAACATAGTTCCCCTGACAAAGTAGTATCCAACCAATGCAGCAACGGTAATCTGATTCCGATAGCGATTGTGTTGCGCTGAATGTATCCATGACATCCTGCTCCTGCTCCAATTGCTTAATCTGTCAGGCTCATTTACCTCGCCCTGGTTGGTAAGGTGCTCATCGATACGGGACCAAGCGATCAATCCGACAACAGCGAGCAAGGTCAGCTTGAAGCCCGATGAAGTAAAACCTATTATTTTATCACCATCCAAAATGTTAGCTTCCCATCAAGAGCTGTTTCGCGGTCCGCATAGACTCTTTCCCAACACGCGATGAAACAAAGGACGTGTCCAGATGATTCACTTCCAGAGTCGATCCGGTGTGTGTGTGTATGTGAGATCGGTACCTTCTTGAGTAGGAGGAGCCTCGGGTCCGTGATGGGCCGTATGGGAGCCGAAACGCTTCTGAACAACGCGAGTCGAACGAGTGGCAGCAACGCCTGCTCTGTAAAGAAAAGACATGGTTGCTGAATAGGAGGAGTGGTGGTATTCGGGGGGATGTGTGTTGCAATGGAGGGGGTTGATGAATTGCACCGAAACCCGGACCATAATACATTTCGGACCTAATGCGTCACCGAAGAATTTTTTGTACGTGTTTGTATCTCCCATACCATTTATTCTGTGGATCTCGACCCTCTTCAACAAACTGCTTGAACTATGAGTTTAATGAACTTTAATGCATATGCGCTTTGGGACCATGTCAAAGCACTTTTTACGCCATCCTTTCAACTTTTCTAAGCGCCCTATCAAGACGCTGTAGCCCCATAACGAAAGTAAAAGGATCTGAGCTTCGTCTAGCAATCTGGATTTGCTTGAGAAATTCGGATAGCCGAGGCTAGCAAGACGGCGCCGCACTGACGGGAACTCCTTTTGGACAATGGCCATAAGAACTAACTTGCTCATCGTATTATGAATGAGTGGGATGAGCCAGAGTCTATAAGTTCGAAAGACCTACAAAAAGCAGTCGGTGGTCTTACTTAGTGGAGGCCGCTGTACAATATTGATAATAGTTTTCTTTGATGGCCTTCATCGAACACCTCGGAAAAATAATTGTTAGGAGTAGATCCTCCTTGGACTCCAGTGCGTCAAGTAGGATGACATGGTGTTTGGTGGCGGCGAGGACATGGATGGAGACGAATCAGATAGTGAGCGCATCCGCATCCGCATTGCTGAACTCGACAGCATTTTTGACCCTTGATGCTCTTCTTGAGGCTGCTGACTGTGTCCACTAAGGAGACAGTGGAGTATCAGAATGTCGGCCATGGTGGATGAATAAATGATTGAGAAGCGGTGTGGGATTGGGAAAGACGAGCAAAAGGTGGATGGGAAGGAGTGAACGAAGGGAAAGAGAAGATGCAGTGATGGACCATTGGCGCGTGTGTGGGGTAAAACGTTTTGATGCTGCGACGCACTCTTCCTTTCAAGACGTAGACAGTTTCCTCCTCTTCCTCCTTCAATACAAGGCTGATAACGTGGATCGCAGAAGCAGACGTTAGGTAACAAGAGATCTCACGGACAACAATCCATAAGCACACTCGGTAGCTGTCTCATCGTTGAAGTCAGGAAGGTTGATACAGCCGAAAGCGGCCATGACCCATGGCGACACTGGCGCAGGAAATGATGTGCAGACTTGGAAGCCTTCCTTGTTCACGAACGTGGGAAAATAATTTTCGTACGTGCACAATTTTATTTTTCTTCTGAGGGTTTTCTCCCCCCGTGAATGAATATCATGGGCTTTTTTTTTTTTTTTTTTTTTTTTTTTTTTTTTTTTTCTTTCTTGGCTCGGACATTGCGTCCGAACGAAAGGCTCTGGATATCCGAATCTTTGTACGTTCATGTGCGGAGCTTCAAACACGCGTCAGGATCAAGCATGTGTTTGCAACGGACGGCAGTCAACCTGGTTTTATTTTTGGGTGTGCGACAGGGGTGGCAGGCTTGTGTCTGGACGGGAGTGTCAACGTATGTTGCCGTTAAAGGGGTCCCTGGACGAAGAAAGAAAAAGTAGAGTGGATATAGACAGCAAGCATGAAGACAAGGGTGTGGATGGAAGGCTGGGTGTGTACTGCTGAGGAAGGTAAAGGCGGGGGTGTGGGAACGAGCAAAGTGTCATCAAGGGCTACGTCGCATGACAGGCAGGAAAAAGTGGCTATTTCCAGCGGCCTCACCACGCTGCGCCAAAGTCCTTTGTTCCAGCCGAGCCCTCATTCTCTCCTCCCCCCAAAGAAACCAACTTGGATGTAGCTGGTTCTGACCATCCCCGCCATGGCAACGACAGACGCATGGAGCCAAGAGAGGGGCAGGCTGTCGGCGGTGCGTGTCATGCGGCGTGCATGGCCCATTGGTGTAGGTGCAGGGCGGGCAGGAAGGCTGGTTGAGTCATGGCCCTCTCCCGTGACGACGGCTCGACGATAGGTTAGTGCGGGTTGGGGAGGTGTGGTATGGGCAGGTCAGATGGGCGTGGAAAAGTAGGCGAGACTGCACCCCATTTCGCCCAATTTGCAGGCCGACAATGGCCCATACAAGAAAAAAATTTGGGCGACTCGTTTCTTTTGTGTAACGATGGTTTTTTGAATATAAGCCCGCCCGCTATTCAGTCGCAATTCAGTCGCGAGAATCAAGGCGACTCATTTCTTTTGTGTAACACCGCCCTCTCTTTGGCCGTATTTAGACTCCATGCACTATGCATGGCCATCCATCCACTGCAGTGCACCCTCCACCAGGGGGAGGCGTCCATGCCCCTCCTAGGAAGGCGGCCCCTGTCCAACGACCACCCGCAGGGAGGGCTTCTTCACAGACTCGCCCACAGCGCCGCTCCATAGCCCGTCCGTGTACATGGGCACTATATCCACTATATCCCACCTCATCGGATCTGATCCCCTCCTCCTCGCTCCATTCAGAACAGAGCAGCAGAGCAGACGAATCAGCTCCCTCCGAAGGGGACGTCCTCTGCGCGTATAAAAGGGAGGGGCATTCTCTCGTCCTCTTCTCTCCTCTCCTCTTCTTCCTTCTTCTCTACTCTTGACTCTTTCTTGTTGCCACCAAATACATATACATAAAAGAGCTACATCCCTTCCCCCCTCTCTTTGAACCGCATTCCAACCCCAACTTCCGTCTCCGCTCCTTCTCTCCACTCTCTCTCACTCCGCTTCTCACACCAAGCACTATGCTGCGCCAGACCCTCAACATCCAGGCCAACGCCGCCCTCAAGAGCCTCCCCCACCTCGCGCCCGCACGGGCATCGACCTCAGCCCTCGCCGCCATCTCCCACTCCATTCGTCTCCAAGCCCAGGCCATCCGCGAGTACTCCGCCCCTTCGGCCCCCTCTGCCTCTCCTTCGTCCTCGTCCTCGTCCGCGAACCCAGGCCAGCAACCCAAGTACCGCCAGTTCCACACCACGGACATTGCTCAACAGGCCCGTGAGGTCCCTGGATTCCCCATCCTCGAGGACCCCCTGGTCCACAACCACTCGATCCCTAGTTTCATGGTCGGTACCCAGAACGGATTCTTGCCCCGACAGGATCCTTTGGATGTGTTGCCAAAGGAGTATGAGGCCCTAGAGCAGTTGCTCCAGAAGATGCCGTTGACACTCAAGGATGGCACCCCTGGTCTGTTGGCCCAGGGCAAGTTTGGAGAGGCCTGCAAGGGTCTCCCCCAGTACGACCTGTCGAACGTCGAGGACTCGGAGCTGTTGTCCGGTATGTGTTATTTTTGAGCATTTGTGGGGGGAGATTTTTCATTTTCATTTTTTGCTTTATGGAAGGTTTTTGTGGATGTGGTAATGTCCAGAAATGGATGAACTCTAACTAAATATCCCACGCCCTTTGCTCTTTTGCTCCCATGACCTCTTTCTGGTCCGAAACAGCTCTTTACCGCGACTACACCTTCGTGGCCTCGGCCTATTTGCTCGAACCCTGCGATCTGCTCTACCGCAAGACTGGCGACTATGGCCTCGGACGCTCGGTTCTGCCCAAGAACATTGCTGTGCCCCTCGTGCAAGTCGCCGAGAAGATTGGCGCCAAGCCCTTCATGGAGTATGCTCTTTCATACGCGTAAGTATTCCAAAAAAAAAAATGTACCTCTAGCTTGCACGAACACTTTCTACTTCATCGTTACGTCCATTGACTGTAATCCATGCTAACGCTAACCCTCTTTTATATGTTATTACTCCGCAGTCTCTACAACTACCGCAGGATCGACAAGAGCAAGGGCCTGGTGTGGGGCAACCTGGAGCTGATCCGTCCCTTCTCCGGCGACCCATCCGAGCTCGGCTTCATCATCTCACACGTCACCATGGTCTCCCATTCCGGCGAGCTCGTCAAGAACACAATGCGCACACTCGAAGCTGCCGATAAACACAACCGCCAGCTCTTCAACGATTCTCTCTCGAAGGTGGTCTCGACTTACGAAAAGATCAACATGGAGATGGACACGATGTGGGAACGCTCCCTGCCCGCAGACTACCTCAAGTTCCGAACCTTTATCATGGGAACCAAGAACCAGCCCATGTTCCCGAAAGGCGTCATCTATGAGGGTGTCTCAGACGAGCCGATGTTCCATCGTGGAGAGTCTGGAGCGAACGACTCGATGGTCCCCATGGGTGATAACCTCCTCCAACTGACCGAGAGCATGCCCTCGAACCCACTGACGGCTGTCCTGAAGGACTTCCGAACCTATCGCCCCCACAACCACGCCGAGTTCTTGGAGTTTGTCGAGAATAAGGCCCGACAGGCCCAGGTCCGGCATTTCGCTGAGCAGGACCCGAACTCGGCGGCTATCTACCTCGCTGCCGTTGACCAGATCCGCAACTTCCGAAACCGCCATTGGAGCTTTACGAAGGAGTACATTATCAAGTACACGAAGCACCCTGTCGCGACCGGTGGATCGCCTATTGTGACCTGGTTGCCTAACCAGTTGGCGACGGTTCTGAAGACCATGCAGGAGGTCGGAGCCAAGATCGATGAGAACAGGTTGTTGCCGGAGAACAAGGACCTCGTCAATGTTCTGACAAAGAGGGCAGATGCACAGGCTCGTATCCTCGAGAGGGAGGTCGCTCATCTCCGCACCGAGATCAAGGACCAGGACAAGGTCTAACTCCTCACCAATGCCTTCTTGCTTTCCTTGCATTCATCGACATATATATATATATATAGTTAGCTCCCTTTCATTGTCACATAGTCTTCAACGTAGAAAAAGAAAAGAAAAACAAAACAAAACAATTGCCAAATAACAGCTGCGCTGCATTTTCAAACACTTTGCTTCAAACCGTATTTATTCTCTCTTTCTTTCGCACCCTGTGCAATGAATGTCATGTCAGATGTTTGTGCATGTAAAAGTCCTATGGAACAATGGTCCTATGTACTCTTTAACGATTGGTCTTGAAAAAAAACATCCTGCTATGATGCGGCAGCCACTGCTACCGTCGCTGTGGAGGGACTCCCTCAGACAGAGTCCCTGGGATGATATCCCAAAGATTCTGGATGGTCCAACAACATAGTCTTCCTCGTCTCTGGGTTCGCGGCCAGGTGGAAAACAGACTTGCGATGCTCCTGTGCGACATCCGGAGCCGATCCTAACAGATCCTTTGCTTCCAGACCTCCGGCCTTTCCTGCGGCTACTTCCTTGGCAGCTGCTGCCTCCTTTGCTGCAGCTTGCTCATGCCTCAGATGGTCCTGAAGTCCCTCCAGATAGATAGTCTGATCACCCGCTTCTTCCGCCCCGCCGAACGCGACCTTGGCGGCTTCTAGCTTCTCCTCTGCAGAAAGACCTCCAGCCGCCGTGCCTGTCGTACCTGTCGTTGTCGTTGTCGTCGCCATGGAAGAAGAAGGAGAATGGGCGGGGGGTCGTTGTTGGATTTTGTCGAGGACGACGTCTTTGAGTAACCCGGCGACCTCGAGGACGGAGCCGACGAGACCGGCCTTCTCGGGGGAGAGCTCGTGGGACCAGCGACGGCCGCCCTGGCCGCCTTGGACTAGGGTCTTGGAGGGTGGGCTCGTACCTGTGCTCGCGCTGGTGGGATAATCGGCGGATGGTGGAGGGAGGTCGGAGGATTCGTAGAGGATCGAGCTCTTGGAGAGTCTCCTATGGACATCTTTAGGGTGGCGGATGGATTTGAAAGACATAAAGATGCTTCTTGTTAATTTATGGTTTGCCGCCATTTTTCGGTTCCGTCACTGCTGCTGTTGCTGATGATGATGGTGCTGATGCTGTTGATGCTGATGCTGTTGATGCTGATGCTGCTGCTACTGATCATGGCACCTTGACACCCATAGTGTCGTTTTTCATCAACCCCACATTACGTTATGTTATTATAAAAAAAAAAAAAGTCCCTTACCGTTTCCATCCCCACCATCGTTTCCAAGCACATTACCGCCACTGCTCGGATGTGATCCCTCCGCAACACTCTTAAACGTCGCATGATGAATATCCGCCATACGGCCCTTGAACCCCGGAAGGATCTCCGGCAAGACCGACGGCTTATCATGCTCGTACTCATGTCCCGCACCCGTGCCTGCGCCACCCCTCTCCATCGAATCCATAATCGCCTTTGAGGGGAGCTGGTTCGAACTCATGCTCGCCAGTGACTGCCAGCTCCGATCCGCTTGCGTCGCCGTCGTCGCCGTCGTCATACCACTCAGCGTCGGACTCAAGTTCGTCCCCGCCACCGCCGCCTTGGTCTCCTTCATGTTCTTGTCCCTTGAAGAAGACTCGACGGTAGTGGGGTCGAGTGTGACTTTGGATTGCGTGGGTGAAGATGATGGGCTCATGGACACAGGGTAGTCGTCGGACGATGGTTTCCTCCTATGAGACTCTTGGGGTCGTTCGGGTGTCGATGTCTTGGTCAAGGGAACGGCCTCGGATTGTTGCAGGATCTGGTCGACGACATCGGTGCCAACGCCGTCGAGCGGGTGGAGTCCTCCTCCTCCTCCTCCTCGGGTCGCGGTCGCAGAGTGTGGGAAGGGTCCTTCGTGCTGGCTCATCCGGGTCTGTTCCAGGGTGTCGAGCACCGGATGCTGCTGGTGTTTTGTGGGATCCATTGTTGGAGGTAAAAAGGAAAAAAAAGAAGAAATATAAGGTATTATTATATCGCGGGCGTTGTCGTTGTTTTGGAAAGAAAAAGGGAATGTGAAGAGAGAGAAGAGAAGAGGGGAAAAGGTGGCAAAAAGGAAAAAGACTGCTGCCTTAAAAAAAGAAAAAGAAAAAAGAAAGGTGTCGTGAGAAGAAGAGAGAGTGGATATGAAAACGGTTTCATCCCCCATTGCCTCAATTGGTCATCACCGTTGTCTCGCGTCCCTTTTGCGCCCCCCTCCTCCTCTGTTACTCATTACCCGCTACCCGTACGTGCCTTACCCGAGACCAGAGGTCACCCCTCCCAAGCACTACCTACCACACTCGTGGACATTCGGATGCTTGGATGCAGAAGGATGTCCATCCTTCCCAGAAGAGAGACCAAGAAGGTCTCTTATCGTCTTGTTGCAATGGGCGTACAAAAACCAGTTCAAACAGGGTCTGCGCGGGAGACAATCCTTCCGCACTATTATGTCATCTCGGTCAATTACAGAGGGGAATGTTCATTTATGTGTTTTGCGGGGTAAAGCAGACATCGAGCCAAAAAAAGACGAACATTAGCACCATGGCCATTTGCAGTACTGTAGTTTAATGTGATGTCTGGACTTGATTTATTCCATAGAAAACTAGTAGTGAAGTGAATATACACGAATATGACAACAAGAACAGCAACAGCCGCGCGGCTGATGTCCTTCCCCCCTTCCCGTCCTTCTTTTCTTTTTTTTTTCTTTTTTTCCTTTCTTTTTTTTTTTTTGGAGGAGGGGAAGGGCTTCGCTCCAGCACTTTTCATGTCCGCTGTCCGCTGGCCTTTCTTTCCTCTGCTTGTGTATGCCTGACCTTGCTTGCTTCCGTGTCGTCAAGACGACTTCTTCCTTACGCTCCGTTCGCATGCAGGACGGCACTTTTGATTGCTTAGCAGCATCCGTTACCGGCAGGCTTGTCCTGGGGAGTTGGCGTTATGCTGATCGAAGCGCCTCCAGCCTTGAGTTCATCCTTGCCACCCTCCTTTGGCATATGATTCGTCACAACCTTGTAGATCTTTTGTATTGCAGCGCAAACAAACCCCACAAGAGAGAATGGAGAGACAAAAAAAAAAAGAAAAAAAAAAAGAAAAAAGAAAATACGAGTCAATACACTGTCCAGCTATGCCATGGATGACGCAGACCATTTTTCTGCTCCCGCTCAATGATTTCTTTCTTTCTTCTTCTTTACCTCAGTCAACAACCGAGTGAAGGCCATGTCAACGTTCGTCGCGTCCAGGGCCGAGGTCTCGATGAACATCAATCCGTTCTCCTCCGCAAAGGTCTTGGCCTCCTCCGTGTGGATCGAGCGCAGATGTCTCAAATCCGACTTGTTACCGACCAGCATCACAATGATGTTCGAATCCGCATGCTCGCGAACTTCCGAGAGCCATCTTGACACAGACTCGTATGTGCCGTGCTGCGTGATATCGTACAGCAACAACGCGCCCACAGCTCCACGGTAATAGGCCGACGTAATGGCTCTGTAACGCTCCTGACCAGCTGTGTGAGATGTAGACAAAGGACAACAAGGCGATGAGGGAGAGGGTTATTCACTGGTTCAGTCAGTAGACATATAGCGGCTGCTTTTTTAGTCTAGAAGGAATAGAGCTATTACCTGTATCCCAAATCTGGGCCTAGAAGGGTGAGGGAGAAAATAACATGATCCTTGGTTAGAACTAGACCCTTTCAAGGCTGAGTTGCATCTTCAGCACTAGAGATGATACCCATGGCGATGCAAAAAAAGAAAAAAGGAAAGAAAGAAGAAAAAAGAGGACCACAGATGCACTGCGTCCAAACGACTCCTGTCGTCCTCCATCTCCCCCCCTTCCCCCAACCCCCTTTGATCCTGCGGGCTGCCCTGCCCGCGAATCATGTGTGATATTGTGGCCCGTTGCCAAGTCAAGTACCGAGTCATACACAGCCATTGAAGCGTTTGTCGGTCGCTTTGGTCATCTGTCCAAAGACAGTCGCCAGTTGGATGGCAACATTGTCATCATCTCATCGCGCCCTTCAGTCGTGTCCACACTTTTTTTTCTTTTTAAAAAAAAAAGTGGTGAAATGAACAGGGCATGTCAGTTTGGGTCGAGTTTGAGTTGGTTAAAAAAGAAAAAAAATACCTTGATCATCTTGCCGTCCTCGACTTGGACGGTTCTGGCACCAAAGTCAACACCGATGGTTGACTTTGATTCGAGATTGAAGTCGCCACGGGTGAATCGGCTGAGCAAGTTGGACTTGCCGACACCAGAGTCGCCGATGAGGACAATCTTGAAAAGGAAATCGTAAGCGTCGTTCTGGGCCATGGCTTTTCGAAGATGTAGCTAAAGGGAGGATAAAAGGGGGAATAGATGGATGGGATGGGATGAAAAAAAAAAAGAGGGATAGAAAGCGAACACAAAGAAAATAAAGAATACGGCACGTTGGGAAGTTGTTCGTCGATGGTGCAGGACCCATGTATTATTCCCTTCTGCTGCAACGTGTCACGCCTTTTTTTTTTTTCTTTTTTTTTCTTTTCTCGCATCTCCACTCCACATCTCTCTTCTCTTTCTCTAAAAGAACGTGCCACTCGAAGCATATCTTGGCTCCAGTCGCGGATGTACTCGATCGTCGCGTCCAGAACATTGTATCCCTGGTAACGACATGATAAAGAGGGAGATCACCAGTGGAGAGCAAAAAAGCAGAGAGCTCTGCCTGATAAAGCATGGCCGTAGGTCAACACCCTGCTGAGCGGTGCTCTCACCCGTTGCAAAGCGAGAGCAGGAAAAGGCGCGTGGGCGTATTGAGAGCGAAGGAGAGTGAAGGATGCGTGAACGGAGACGAACGTACATAGAGCGCCGCTGCGCATGCCAAATGGAAGGATGGATGCCCAGGTCGGATACCTGTCTTGGAGTAATAAATGAATGAATGATTCATCGTGATATGTGGGCACATGTGCGTGCATACTCTGTTGTGGAAAGCCTTTTTTTGCTTTCAGGTTTTTATTCCCCCACGGCATCCAACGGTGGGTAAACTCATCTTTATTGGACCACGAGTTTTTGTTTTTTCCCCTTCTACCCTATTTAACAACAAAACAAGCAAAGGCTGCGACGTGTTGGGCATGGGTTGCATCCAATTTGTCTGCGCTTTGCAATGTGTTTCTCTTAAATATGATAAATATGACTTGAATGGCCTGCTTGCGCCTCCCATGGACACACTCCGCGCCTTTATTCGTCTCAGCGGATGTGTGGTGCAGGGCGACATTCCTCTCTTCATTCTTCTCACACCTCCATCAGAAGTGTACACTCATTCACTCACTTCTTTTTTTTTTCTTCATTCACCATCCATTCCTCTCGAATCCTCCTCCTCCTCCTTCTCCTCCTCGCGCCTCTTCTTCTGCAGATTCCTTTGTTTCCCGCTCCTTCTTTCTTCACCCTCTTTCCCACTCTTTGTCAAACCCCTCGTAAACAACAACAATAACAAGGGCACATTCTCCCCCGCCTTGATTTCCCACCCTACTTTCAACACGTCCATCCCCTTTCCTTTCCCTCCACTTCTCTTCCCTCGATTCCCTTTCAGGTTCCATCCTCACTTCCCTCAATGGACTCCACTCCCACCGCAGCTGTCTCCAACCGAGGGCATATACACTCCAATCCCTCTTCTGCCAAAACTCCTTCTTCCTTGACAAAGACGACTATCGGTCATGCAGCATCCACAGTCGACAAAGACACCGACGAGGATGCCCTGGTGCCCTCGCTCTTCCCTTCAAAACCAATTGTCCCGGAACCTGCTCCCTTACCAAAGTCCTACTGGGACCATGCCTTCTACAGCAGCACCCCAACACCAACACCCCCTCCCCGTCTGGCTCCTATGCCCAAATCCCCTACCTCCAATGCAACTGCCCGGTCTCCGCCCCCGCCTCTCATCATCAGCTCACAAAAGAACGATTCTTCGGCTGCAACGCCCGTCGTGAACCCAGCAGACCGACTAGAGATGATGGGGCCGAAAAAATCTAGATACGCTTCCGCCTACCATGCTCACCATCATCGGTCGCTCTCTCACACTCAGGCACACTCGAACAATCATGGCAACAACATCTTTGCGCTCTCTACGTCGGACTTGCTCGCCCATCCGAACGCCGCGGGGGTTTTACCCAGCCTGGGCTCGCTCTCGACCCTGGGCACAGAATCCGGTCTCGCCTCAGGACTTGCAGTGACACGCTCACTTTCGAACACAGCCCTCTCACATGCCTCGCCGGTCGCCGCCCGATCTTCATCTCCACTCCACATCAGCAACAACGATACCAACAACAACGATATCAACAATAACAGCAACAGCAGCAGCAACAGCAACAACGGCTCTGGCGGGGGAGGAGGTAGCAGCGACGGAGACGGGGCGCGTCATCGTCATCTTCATCCTCACCCACCACTGCAAATACAGATGCCCCACCTTCGTCGTCATCTCCCCAATCAAAATCCCTTGCTCACCCCTTCGAGTTCGCAGTCTAGCTTATTCTCAAATCTCCCGTCTCCCTTAGCCCGAACAAGTCTGTCCTCCACATCCAATCCCTTTCGAGACCCTCTTCCTGCATCAACCCTCTCGAGCTGGGTGTCTTCGCAGTCTGTGAGCAAGTCCAGTGACCAAGACAGTTCCGAAACCTCGATGGGAGAGCAGGACTCTTCGACAGCCGATGCTACAGACGATACAGCAGTAGCGGCTGCTGCGCCCAGCAGTGTGAATTCCGGTCCTCCCAGCTCAAGTCAGCGTAAAATCTATCCGGGTCTCAAAAACACTGTAGGCCCTTACAAACTGCTCCATAGCATTGGGCAGGGTAGCTTTTCGGAGGTTAAAATGGCGGTTGACACGCGGACGGGTGATCATGTTGCGATCAAGGTGATGAGCCGTGCCATGATCCAATCCAGCGACCGGCTGGGGATCAGTGTACGAAGAGAGTCGGATCTATTGAAGGTAAATTAGATCATCCACAAACAATGGGCCCCTCATGCCACGTTTTTTTCTTTTTATTATTATTATTATTATTATTATTATTGCTTTTTACTGTCATTTGGAGTCATCATTATTTGAATAATTTTTTTTTTTTATGCACACCCCCTCTGCAGTCAGTCGTGAGGTAACCTTAAATATTCTCACTAACTTTTCCACGCTCTACCTGATTTTGAATTCAAATTCTTGCATAGTCGATCCATCATCCCAACATCATCGGGTTCCGTGAGGTAGTCGAGACTTCGACACAGATGTGTATTGTTCTGGACTATGCATCCGGAGGAGAGCTCTTTGAGTTCGTTGCCGAGAAGCGTTCCAAGGCGTCCGAGCAGGACATCCAGTGTATTTTCGCAGAGATTGTCGATGGTGAGCAAAGGCCCCCTCCCCTCAAAAAAAAAAAAAAAAAAAAGACAAAAGACTTTGTCAGGTGTGTCAGGGTGCAGAAAGCCCTGTCCAGATTCATGCGTATCACTCAAACTGACAATGCATCTTTTTTTTTTTTTTTTTTTTTGATGATCTCTATTCTTTATTGTCCCTTGTATGAAAAAAACCCCAAATACTTAGCCGTGAACTATTTGCACCAGCACAACATTGTTCACCGGGATCTGAAACTAGAGAGTAAGTCGGAAATCGTCCGTTTGAATAATTTTACTAGTGACCCCACACACATATTTGCCTCATACCACCATCACCATCGCCACCATCGCCACCATCACCGTCGCAACCAAGTCTATCCGACAGAGGAAAAGACAAGGCATTCAGTCCCAAAAAAAAAAAAAAAAAAAAAAAAAAAAGGAAAAGAAAAAAGAAAAAAAAAGGGACAGGTTTACCAAAACAAAAAAGTGGAGGAAGCAAGTCATTATGGGCCACCTTGTGATCTTCATAAGCCCATAGATGGATGGATGCATGTATGGGCCGAGGCCAGGCCAGCCTGAAGAAGCTTATTTAGTATTATTATTATTATTATTATTGGTTTTTTTTTTTTTTTTTTTTTTTTTTTTTTTATGAGATGAGGAGTACATGCATTATAGCATGAATGCATGGGGAAAAGCAGGGTCTACTTTACGCGGTACGCCACCAAAAGATACAAAAAAGGTTTCGAAGTTTCATTTACTACCCAGATATTCGGGAACAACGATTATTACAAAAAAGAAAAAAAAAAAAGGCGCGAACAGAATTACATGGAGAAGGAGGATAGGACAGATGGATTACAGTGCACACACAGACATGCAAACGTTTGTGTTGTAACCCAGGCATGTTCTGTTTCAGTTGGGTTTATGTGCGGGAGGTTGTTCAGGACGAGGGGGGGGGGGGACGCGTCTTCTTGGGTTGCGGGGACGCAGGTTTATTCAGCCTTGTCCCCATGCTCCCGCCAAATACCCCAAATTCATTCTTATTGTTGTTACACGGATCATGAGTCGCTAACCATCGTTCAACGTTTTACCCGTTCATTTTTTATTTTTATTTTTTTTTGTCTTAGACGTCCTGCTGCAGCCACGAAACGGTGCCCCATTGCGTCCGACCGTCAAACTGACCGATTTCGGACTTGCCAAAGTCATTGAAGAAGACTCGCCTTTACTCACGACCCGCTGTGGGTCCGAAGATTATGCTGCTCCGGAAATCATTCTCGGACAACCCTACGACGGCCGCGAGGCCGATATCTGGTCCCTGGGCGTCGTCCTCTACGCGTTACTCGTCGGGTTCCTGCCCTTCAACCGGAGGCCGGGGATGGACAGGAAGAGCTTCTTGAGCATGATCGCCAATGCCGAGTTTGGATTCCCGGGCGAGAAGGTCTCGTTCAAACGCGCGAGTCTCCTGGATTTGAGACAGCGGTCCTTGTCGACGGCGAGCACGGCCTCGAGTACGTCGACGGTCACGTCCTCGGTTCCTGTGGCGGCTGCGGATCAGGCCACAACAGGGACGGGGATGTTGCTCCCGGTTGTGGCGGCAGCGGCGGTGCCGGATACATCTTTCACGACAGCGGATGAGGTGGCGACGACGGCGATCGTGCCAAAGATGCGGGGGGTGAATTCGGTATCGGATGAATCGAAAGAGTTGGTGAGGTGGCTGTTGCAGACCCAGGGAGCAAAACGACCGACCGCTAGACAATTGAGTGAACATCCTTGGGTTGTTGCTGGACGAATGCAGAATGCAGCTGTGCTTTGAGAACTGCGTCTGAGATGAGAGGTTTGAGGAACTCTAAGATACACTTGCTTTGGTAGTTTTTTATTTTTTGCTTACTTGTTTCGTATTTGCTTTGTCGATGTTTTACGTGTAAAGTTCTTTTTTACTTCTGTACCAGTTATCGATGTTTTCTGTATACCACCTCCTTTTTTTTTTTTTTTTTTTTTTTACCCACTTTTGTTCATGTCCCATGTCTTTCATACTCTAGCCAGCAAAAAAAAAAAGAATAGCTCCCCACCCTCCACCTTTCATTCTGTAAAAAATTTATTTGCTTCGTCTATAGTTTACATGTGCACACAGCATGTTCAAAAAATACCTGTTGTAATAAAATACAAGGGAGGAAAAAAGAAAGAAAATAAAGCGGCGTGCGTGTAAAATGTGATTTAACGCGCGCCTAATTGGCGGGTTTCACAATAATTTATCTCCAGTTCAGGGTCCAGTTTCAGACAACTATTTATTTATTTTTCTCAGTGGTTATTCTATTTGACAAACCCCCTCCCCCTAGTTTAACAGCCCCATTTTGTATGCTATTTGGCAACCCCATGGGCGTTTGCCCAATAGCGCTTCGTCTTTTCATGGGGGCCTAGCGACGCATCCTCGCGTTCCACTGTGTATAGATGGATAGCCCTCAAGTGCACCAAAGAATCGGTGCGTGTGGATATGTGTGTTGGGACGGAGTGTAGAGGTGCAATTCCTGCTGTGTGGATGAGAAGTGCCAGACTATATCAGCATTGGTTCTCGAGGCATGTAGAGAGTGTGCAGGATACAGGACGATTTTGGATGCGGTTCTGAGTATGAGTGTGGGTGAGTGGCAGGTTTTGCTACTTGCACACATGGCCAAAGTGAGCGTCTCTACTTTTTTTTTTGCGGGGGTTACGGGGGTCCTAGAAGGTTTAGCTGCTTGCATGCGTGGTCAAAGTGGGCGTCTCTAGCAACTCTATTCCTTTTTGGCTTTTTTGGACCTTGCGGGAGTTCGTTACGGATGAGCAACATTCATGATTTTTTCAGAACGCGATGGCAGAGCGTTGTAGCTAGCACATATCGAATAATGATCAGTGCTAGGCGATCAATGCAATGTCAATCGTAATCTGGATCTCTGTTAGCGACACCCTGCTTCCCTCTAATCGTAGTCATCGGGAGTGCCAACCTATGTTGTAGCGAGGTTTGCGTTTGTTTGGTTGCCTTGATCCGTGTCAGCAGCTGTACTATATTATTTTTGGACTCTCCTACAAAGGCAAACTTTAGTCACCATCAAGAGTTGGGCCCGAGAATTGGTCCTGCTCCCATGAACATCTGGCCTCTATAAATGGTGCTCTTACTGTATGCTCTTCCCTGGATGCCTGCAAAAGGTTTATGCTCGGTTCAGTATATTATGGTGTCCTCGGTGCTTTGCCCATTTCCTACAACATTTCAGAACACTGTTGGCATCGACCCAGCCAGTATATAAACCCTATCTACGCATAGAACTAGATAGCAGTATTCACACAAATAAAGTCCTCCTTTCTCCCTAGATCGAATCTCTCAGGATACCATCGTTTACATCAAGAAATCATAGGTCTGCGGATGAAGGCAAATGTCATCTGGTGCAAAATAATGATATCCAACACACTGGGGCACTTTTGGCGATAGAACTGCCTCTTAATTATCATGGATTAAGGTTAAGAAGAGTCAGGAAACCCTCTCTTTTCTTAGCGCTGCCTTGTCGATCCCTATACGAACATTCAGAATAGTAACCAATAAAGCCGAGAAGAATTCTGGGCTATTAATTTTGTGGGCTCCTCCCACTTGTTTGACAGGTCGAGAACCGGGGTTTTTTTCTCATCTACCTTACATTTAAGAAGATCTCGCTCTAGACAGCACCTGTGCGCCTGTGCGGACCAAATTTGGGAAACCTAGGCCCTCGACACGTCATATATTGGAAGGATAATACGAACAGGACCTAAAGACAAACGGCAGAGAAGGTTAAAATACAGCTGGGCTGACAAACAAGTATCTATGGCCCCCGAGACCAATGAAGCAAGTGTATCCATCTATTTAGGGGATAATCGTTCCCGGTAACAAACCTCACAAGTACGAAGGTACACATGAATGGCATCCGGCGACTGTGTGCATTTCGGCACACGATCCAACCGACTTCGAACGGACATCCCCGAAGAAACAGCAGTCATTCTTGCCATTAATATCCCACCCACACAGGAACCAGCTGGAGCGAACGATAGGCAGGATGGTATTTATATCGGCTACCATCCCCTGGAAACCGGCTTCTTCTTTAGACATCTTCGACCTCACCACCCTACATCGTACCATAACCCTTCCTTATCACGCCCTCCTTCTGAACTCCTCCCTCTTCTCCCCTCCCCTCCCCTCCCCTCCCCTTTCCCACCTCGTTAATTACCCCTCACAGTCTTCTACAGACACTAGTCCCTACCTCTCACTATGAGGATCACCGCCATCCTCTCCGCTCTCGCTGCAGCCACCCTCGTCTCGGCCGGCAAGTTCCACTCTCTCAAGCTTGGAAAGACCAACATCATCAACAACGGCTTCATTATCGAATACAACGATGGTGTCAAGCACTCAGATGCTCATGACGCCCTCAAGTCCCGCAATGTCAACTATAAGGTCCGCAACGAGTACAACATCTTCAACGGAGCCGCCATCACTGTCGATTCCCAGCATGATGGCCGCGCTCTCTCCATGATCCCTGGAGTCAAGAATGTCTGGCACATCTCACTCTACGACATGCCCAATGTTGGGAACCCCAACCCGATTCCCGATTATGACTCTGCGACCTCGGGTCACCGCATGACTGGTGTCGATGTCTTGCACAGCAAGTACAATTTGACTGGAAAGGGTGTCAAGATTGGTGTCATCGATACAGGTATCGACTACAACCACCCTGCCTTCGCTGCTGCCGGCGCTGATGTTGGATGCTTCGGTCTCAATGACAAGAAATGCCGTGTCAAGTATGGTTGGGACTTTGTCGGTGATGACTACACTGGATCCAACACTCCCAACCCCGACAGTGATCCCATGGACTGCCATGGACACGGTTCTCACGTCGCCGGTATCATTGGTGGAAATGCCCTGAACATCAAGACCTTGCCTCAACCCCCACAGCCCTTCGTCGGTGTCGCCCCCGAGGTTACTCTCGGTGCCTACCGTATCTTTGGATGCGATGGCCAAGCTGGCGATGATGTTATTCTTGCCGCCATGGAATTGGCCTTCAACGACGGCATGGATGTAAGTGATCGAGCTATTAATTACAATCACACAGACATGTGGGATGAGGGAAAGAAGAATGGCCACTCATTCACTTTGGTCAATACGGTATTCTTGAACATTTAGGTCATCAACATGTCTATCGCCGGTGGCTCCTCCTACAAGACCAACGCCATATCTGTACTTGCTGAGAAGTTTCTCGTCCGCGGCAAAGCTTTGGTCGGCCCTGCTGGTAACGAAGGTTCTGATGGTGTCTGGATGGTGTCTGGCACTGGTCTTGGCGACCACGCTACCTCGGTCGCGTCGTTCGACAGTCAATCCAGTTTGTTCTTCTACTTCACCTATGGCGGCAACGACCTCCCCTACAAGTTCTCTGACGCCTACGGCGAGACCATTAATCTGCCCGCCTCTGCCACCATCGTTCCCTTGCTCTCCAACGGTAAATTGAGCGACGGATGCGATAAGTCCCTCTACAAAGGTGTCGATGTCAGGGGCAAGACTGTCTTGGTTCTTGGCGATATCGCCCGCTGCAAGTCTGATAAACGTGGCGCTTTGGCTGTTACCAACGGCGCTGCTGGTATGATCATCCAGTCCAACGGTGCTGGTATCGACTCTTTGGGAGGTGTCCGCAATCTGCCCATGGCGTCGATCGAGTTCGATGCTGGTGTCCAGCTGCTTGCTACCTGGATGACCAACCCTGAGTCCGTTGTGACCTGGCCCAATCGCCAGAGACCCTTCTCCATTGACAGCTGGGGATCACCCTCGTCCTTCTCTTCCTTCGGATTGGATGGTGATCTCCGCTCCAAGCCCGATATTGCTGCTCCTGGTGGCAACATCCTCTCGACCTACCCTCTCACTCGGGGTGGTTATGCTGTTCTCTCTGGCACGTCCATGGCCTCATCCTACGTTGCTGGCGCCCATGCTTTGTACATGTAGGCTAAGAAGGTCAAGTCCCATGGCGATAGGATTCGCAAGATCTTCAAGAACACAGCCACGATCTCCAAGAACTACAAGTCCGAGACCTTTACCTCTGCTGCCAAGCAAGGTGCTGGTTTGATCAACATCCTCAACGCTGTCCTGGCCTCGGCCGAGTTCTGTCCCGACCACATTGATCTTCTCGATACTGTCAACTTCCGGAGGCGGGCCAAGGTCATGATCAAGAATACCGGCAAGGACGCTGAGACCTACACCCTTACGCACGTCCCCGCTGATGCCTTGAACTCGTACAACGCCAACAACAGCTTCCCACTCGGTACCCCTATCATTGAGGCCGACTATGCCAACGTCAAGTTCGATCCAAGCACCGTTACGATCAACCCTGGCGAGACTGTCAAGATCACCTTGAAGTTCACAGAGCCCAAGAACGGCAATGCTGCTGAATGGCCCTTGTACTCTGGTTTCGTCGTTGCTACCCCTCGCTCCGAGGGTGGTGTTGCTGTCCATATTCCCTATACTGGTATCAAAGGTGATATCGGCGATGTGCCAATCCAGGACACCAGTCTCGGCTTCCCCAAATTGATGAGGCTCGACTCGGCCGGCCAGTTGAGCAATCACCACAGTGGCAGCATCTACAACATGAAGGACAACAGACCCGTTGTCTTGACCCGCTTTGGTTCGCACTCTCCCGATGCCACCATCCGCATCTATCCTGGGTATGATGAGGGGGATCTTATCGGGTTTTTGACCTCCAAGGATGGCGGCGCTGCCTTTGGCGCCACCGGCAGAATGAAGAACGTCGATAGCGCCACCGGTCAGGTGGCCTATACCCAGTACACTTGGGAAGGACTGGTCCTCCCTGCCGAGGACACGATCTTGGCCCCTATCCAACTTCCTAATCTTCCCGTTGACTCGACTTATGATGTCCTCCCTTACCGTATCGTCGTTGCCTCTCAGAAGAAGCTCACTGAGGGCAACTACCCCGACGATTTTGAGGTCTTTGACCTTGGCATAGTTAGGCTCCTTGGCGAGTCCGTCCCCATTCTCAATGGAGATGATTAAATGCAGTCTTTTTCTTCTTCCCTTACCCTCTTCTACCTTTCCCATCTTCATTGTCATTGTCACTATCATCTCAACCTCCATAACCCATCCCTGATGGCTCTTCCTTTCCCCGCTCGCGCGTACAAAAGTAACTGAACTCTTTATTTTTCTAGACCAGAAACTAGAGTAACAGCAATGTATACCAATTCATAAAACCATTGTTCAAGAGCTGCATATCTAATAACGGCCGCCAACTCTTGTTCGCTGTGATATCTGATGAGCTTTGTTAGTTTTAAAAGAAAAAAAAATGGACAGGGTAGAAAAAGACGAGTGCATCAAAAAAAAAAGAGACGGAATGGAGGACAGATGTACTCGGATAGCGCTGCTAGAACCTATTCAGGATCGGCTGAACCTCGCGATCAAGGTCCTTGCTTTGCTCGATATCCTTGGCGAGATTTAGGATCATCCGTCCACCGACCATGGCTTCCTCGTAGTTATCCTTGATCTCGACGTTGATCACATGCACCAGATTATTGTGCAACTCGCCTCGTCGAATGAGATTTGTCCGATTGTTTGTCAGGATTTCCAGCGGAAGATGGGGTTAGCCAAAAAAAAAAAAAAAAAACCACGGAGAGAAAGACTAGGCACATCAGGCAATTGAGGCGTTCACTATGTCCTATAGCAGCCATATACATCGTCATTGCACATTATGAGTACCCTCTTAGCGTTCATCCCTAAATGCGCCTCAATTGCTTCAGGACTCGCTAGCGAGAGCAAAGGCTCCTTTAGTTCCCTCTCCCCCTCCCCTATTTCGTCGTGATTTCGTTGAGGCAACGCATTCGATACATGTACAATGGTGCTCTATCACATCGCGTAAGCTGAGAGGGGCTCGACTCGTGCCTTGCTTGGACCTACAATAAAAGTGTTCTCTGTGCAATAGTATTGAGCTTTTTTTTTTTTTTTTTTTTTTGTTGCTAGATAGCAAACGCCATTTCCTTCTCGCTTTGGAAGGCTAAAGTACAATGTTTCGCCAGCTTGAAAAAAAAAAGACACTACTTGCCCAAAGGTCATGTTTTGTGATGATACTATCTGAATAGAGTTAATTGCGCGCGCCCTAGTATAACCCGTACTAAGAAACAAGGACAACATAGATTCCTGCAATTCTTTGTCAGCACATTTAAATCCAGTTCGCACTTTCTCTTGTTCCTTTCTTTTTCTAGATGTACGCCTTTTTTTTTTTTTTTTTTTTTTTTTTGGACTTCTTGTGGGTGATGGTCGAGAGGAAAAGTCAAAGAGAGCTTGCTTATTTTTTTGTGGAAGACATACTCTGATCTTGTATCAAAGTTAAGAAAAAAAAAATACAACGGTCCTGTGTACTCAAGAGTCCATTCTTCGGCCAATCATCAGTTCAACCGACAAAATGAACAGTTTTGAAGAAAAAAAGTGCGAGCGCTTGAAATAAAAAAAGTACAGCTCCTTGCGGTCAGAAGAAAGGTACAAGGGCTTTTCCTTATTTTAGTTCTCTTTATTATCTGCTTTCATAACCCCCTCCCCCTGCCCCTGTCCAGTAAGCAGGCATCTTTGTCCATCCATCACTCTACATAAATACATTTGATGCTGATGAATAATGTATTCACTGGGAAGGGCGAAAGCCCATCCGGAAGAATCCATTGGCCATTCAAAATTCGAACAAACAAATAAAAAAAAATCGAGAGCAAAAGCAGCCAACAATCTGCACTTTGTTTTTCTCAGGACGGGACCACTACAAATAGTCTAGCACAGAGTGATGTTAGTTATTGTCCGGCACGTAAAAAAAAAAAATTCTCCCCCTGCATAGACTTACTCACCCGTTCCTCTTGGTTCTTATTCACCTATTGATAGCCTAGAGGGGTGTATTTGTAGACTAACTAGGGATTTCCATTTGTTATCAGCCGCGAAGGTACAGCGATCGTAAATAATAATAAAATACCTCCTCCTACAAGAATGTATGCGACATGTACCTTGCCTGCGGGACTATAGTCCCTTCAAGACGCGTCGTGGGATGCATTATTTTCCCATGGCGGGGGGGGGGGGGGGAGGAAGTTTTTTTTTTTATAATATAAAATACAGTGCTGTACAGTAGTTCAATTAAAGTGACCTCATGTACGACCACTTGTGCTCTCCATGTCGAAAATTACAATTCCCCTTTCCGTCTTCATCCTCCTCCACCTCCACGGCGTGAGCATGCGGAAATACACATGAAGGTATTAAGCGGGGATAAATTCTCTTTACTCAATTGAATGTCAACTGAAAAGGTCGTGCGGGTTAGAAAGTAAAAAAAATAGAAAAAAAGTTCCGTAATATAAATCGATCGATAGTCATCTGTTGATTATAATTCAAAGACTGTACGCGGAGATGTGTAGAACTGAGCGCGCTCGCACGCGTTCGAGTAATCTACAGTGACTGTAGGGACAAGTCGATTGAACAGTTAAAGAGATTCGCTTATTCCCACAGATGAAAACATGCGCCGATGCTCATGAATTCTCCGCTCCTGCATCGTGCTCTTCCCATTCCCATCAACGGTCCTCTTCCTGTTCATGCTCTCCTTAGCTCCCTCGCATCCATCCCTTTCTCAGGCTCTGTCTATGTTTCTGTTCTCCTCTGTGGTATAATCACCCTTCCTATGTACAGTAAGTTGATTGCCTTGTTGGGAAAAGATACCTCTCTCTGCAGTAGGGAAAAGAAAAGGGTTCCATGGTTCTCTTCTGCCATGAGAGGAAATGGCACTAATATGAGGGAATTTTTTTTTCTCCTTGTGCAATATTGCTGTACTTTTGTGTATGCCACGCCCACACAGAGTCGATTAAAACACGGACAAGGGATACGGTTTAATAGTGGGCCACATGTTTTACGCCCAGGAAAGAGAAAGGAAAACGCGCCCATTGAATTACGCGTCGCGCATTTAGAGCCTAGCTATATACGTATGCTAAGTTTGCTGGCGACATTTGACGAAAGCAACTAAAGAAGATCGAGATGGAGATGGCTGCGGGGAATGAGGTTTTCTAAAAAAAAAAGAAAAGAAAAGGAATCGCTAGCTCCATTTCTCTACAATTCATCTCCGCCATCATGGTCATAGCTGCTCCTTCCTTGGTCTGCTTTGCTTCTCAGATTCTTAATAAAGTGAATAACCAAAGAGTGTGCTTTGCAAAGCCTAGATGTCACATAGAGTCAAGGATCCCGGATCTAAGAATATGATCGACATTTGGTCATAAAGAGACGCGTTTTCGAATAGTAAAGAAACAAGAACGAGAACTGGCCTTTTTTTTAAATTTTTTTTTTAGATACCATTTTAGTTAAGAGCCGAATTGGCCGCCAGAGTTTTTGTCTAGAAATCCTCATTGCTCATGACTTTTCCCCGATTGGTCCACATCAACCAGCTTCCGTATGCACCATGATTACGATCAGCCGTTGTTTTTGGCACTTTGCTTTTGTATCTCGTCAATACAACAGCGCGAGAGAAGAAAGGCCGGAGGAGAAAACACGAACACAAGATGAGGGGTGGGACAAACACTATCACCAAACAGTATCACCAGCGAAGCGTGGCATGAGCCAGATGGAGGGTGATGATGGTGATGATGATGAATAACAGGAAGAAAAGAGTTCAGAAACGAGGGGCACATCGTGATCGTTTGTTTGTTATTTGGATGTGTGCATCATACTTTACATAGCCGTATGTAGACTATGTAGACTACTTTCAATCCTGAAAAAATTGTCTCATACGCGGTTATGGTATAATTATTCAGCCTCCGGAAGAGTTGCCGAGATGGTCCAGGCTTTTCTTGTCATGGGAAAAGAATGGGAGAAATCCAGGTGTGTATTACTATAACGAAAATCTTGAGAGCCGCCACAGAATAACACAAGGTGGTAACAAAGACTACATTGCTCTGGATGGACTATAGAACCTTACGGATATATGATCCGGTCGACTATAGACAGGAGGGTCATTTAGGCTGATGCTTCGGTGTACATTCCTGTATCATCATCATCGAAAAACGCGCTTCCGGGCGATGTGGTGGCAATCTATTAGACGGGATAGACCGAAAGTTCATTTTCTCGGTTTAATCGTTGGCTAATTATATTGTAGTAAGCGGCACGCACCCACAGGAACCGGTGAGTTCCTACGGACTCAATCCATAGATAGTCCGCAGATGTTGCGTCTATGTCTGGGCATGAATTGACCTAAAAAAAGTGGAGAAGGAAAAGGAGAAGGCTAGGGAAAACGGAGCGAGCAGCTCTCGCGACTCTCGCTATTAAATAACGTTTGCAAGGAGAATTTTCTTTCGTTTCCAGTGACTGGGGGGATGCTCCATTTAGTCTACCTAGTATTTTCATCGGTTGAATGAATCGGTTCGTCAATTGATTCAATAGCAGTCCAAAATAGAAATGGTAATTCGCATCAATGCTAATGGACCATGCGAATATCCCAAAGAAAAATTGTCCGGCGCTGATTTCCTCTCCTGTCCTATACAGAATACGCCCGTCAACCTATGAGAGACTTTGATGTCTCCTGCTGTAACAGTAGACTACGGATGACCATCGGCTTGATGGGGAAATCGGCATTGGTGTAAAGAGACGATTGGATGTGTTGCATTCAGATGTGCCGATCAAAAAGAAATATTTGTTTGTGTTGTTTGTGTTTGTGTTGTGGGAACGCACATCTAGGGGAACGATGATGATAGGGGAAGGATCTTTGAAGCGGAGCTGAGTAAGATATGAAACGGCTTTTCTCTTAAGGGAAACAACGGCACTTCTTTCTTGTTTCCCTTGGAGGTTTAGAAAGACGGCCAAAGGTTAAAAGGACATGGCCATAGGAGAGAAATGAATGGCCCAATTTATTCCGCACCCTTTCAGGCGCCACCGCCACCATCCACAACAGACCCGAATCAGGGACAGAATATGACGGTGGTAACTAAACCTCAAGACAATGGAGGAATTTTAAATCGTTTCCATTTGCGGGTGCAATTGCATTTTCTTTTATTTTTTTCTGTTTAGCTTAAGTTGAACTGAATACAATAAAGTTCGATAAGGTCAACAATCTCAAGCGCGCTGATTGGGCGGAGGCACGCTAGACACGGAATTAGCCAATGGGAGAATTTATTCTGGCGTGAAGTTCGCATCCCCTTCTTTCACCCTCGATCACATCACAAAACAGATGTGTCTTGTTGTCTATGCTTTGGGCGCATCTCTTCTCTGCACGAAGCGATGGGAAAGCAAGTCGACACACGGGGCAGGGGTCTAGGCCAAGATAAAATTAATTTAACAGTGCACATATCCAAAGAGGACCATAAGGGGGGACGCCAATGACATAGACGCACTGTTGATCGGCAATTGCGCAAGTGGCCATGGACTAGAACTGGGCGAACTGGACAATAACCAAAGGGTGTCTGCTGTGTGCGTGTGCGAGAGTTATGAATTCTTGAGGCGAGACATTCATTTTGGCTTGGACCTACTCCCCTTCTCCTTTCCCCCTTCCCTTCCCCTTCCATGACCCCTTTGGTAGCGTTAGTCTTGTTTGCTCAGCTCATTATAGTGAGCACGATGAACATAAAAAAAGAACTGCGAGTGGTCTAGTTTAGTGGGAGCAGTCAGCTCAACTCCACGAATGCAGGAATGCAAGGGTGCATGCGAAGAAATATTCCGCTTCAGCTAAATCGTCTTCAAGGTACACGCGAAATGGACCAGACCAAACCTTTTTATCATTCTCATTCGGATCACTTATCTTCTTTCATTCTATTTTCCGGCACGAAGACTTGCGAAAATCAAGAAACTGTAATGTGGTATCGGGCTAGTTGAGTGATAGGTGGATGAGGAGGAGTGGTCTCTCGGTTACTTTGTCGGCCATATCGGAAGACTCGATTCATTTCTTTTGCAGGCTGTGTGTTTGTATGTATGCGCGGTGAGTTCATGTGTGTCCAGCCTTGGGATGTTTCTGTTCCATTTGCTGACCCCTTTTTTCGGTACACATGTCTTCTGCAGGATGCTCCTCCCATTGTTTGTTTCTCGCGAGCAAGTCGATTGTCGTTGGGCAACAATCTCGTGAACAGAGCCAGGCGGTGTCACTCGCTTTGTTTTGTTGTTTGTGGATCAACAATTTCATTTCAAAAAGACAAGGCGAGGAGTAAGAAAGGAAAGTGTCTACGGAAAATTTATTCTTGTTCTGTTTGTTGCCTTCTGGGACACCATCAACAATAAACAGCAGGCATGGGGACCCTCTAGCGATCAATGGAGATGGAGTGCCAACACTACAAATAGCCAACGGTCCCTAAACTGCATCGTGTTTCTGTTTCTTGCTCTGGTGTGAATGGACTCGGGTTGCGTGCACCTGGGTACATTGAGTGAAATGAAGGGTCGGTACTTCGTTTTGGGTATTTTGGGTTTATGGTTCCCTGCCATCCTTCACACGGTCAGTCAGTCTGGTTCCAGCATAGCTTTTCGTTGGCTGTCTTTTGAGTAGACTATTCAATCAAATCTGGTCTTAATTTGGTCCTCATCCCATGCAACTGTGGAAATGAGCTTTGGCAAAGCACAAAAGCGACAAGGAAAAAAAGTTAGGGCAAGCCAAGAGATGAGAGCGCGAGAAAGAGAGGGCAAGAGAGCCAGAAGGAAGAGAGGTAGGAAAATAAAAGTTGTTTACTGTACACGTTTTGGAATATAGTTGAGTTAATCAAAGCAATTCAGTCCTCGACTAAATTGTCCGTAGACAAACAGAAAGACGAGTACTCCATCTGAGGTAACGATGGGCAACAAACAACGATTGAATTGAAGCCAATTGAAGCGACTTGGGGTGAATTGAACTGAAGGTAAAGTAAAGAGCTCGCGGTGGCACCTGCTTGGGTTGAGTTGGCGTGGGTTGCTTGCTCGTTCTGGTAACGATGCCTAGAATTACCCCGGCTCATAAAATTCTCATCTTTGTCCTCCCCCAACCACCGTGTGTAAAGTGTATATCAGGAGGGCGGTTTTATTTCTCCGGCCTTTTTTCTCACAAGCACACCCACCCCTCCTCTCCTCTCTTTCTTTTCTTTATTCTCCTTTCGCATCACTTTCTCCTCTTCCTCATCCACTCATTCCTCCATTCCATCCATCCCTCTTCGCCCGTTTATTTTCCGAAGTACATCTCTCATCCGACTCATCCGCACACTTCGCGCCCACATCACAATTCATACTTCCACACTCACTCTCCCCCCTCCTTTTTTGCACTCACGCCTTTAATTTCTCCTACCACTCTGCTACTCCTCCTTCGTATCAATTGTATTTTCCTCCGTTCTTTGACGAACTTTGAGTAGCATCGATAAATAATTTCATCCGCACTCCTCGCACCAAACCAATTGCATTGTAAGTTAAAGGCGACATCCATACACACACTCCTTTCCCCTCATATTTATTATTATTATTATTATTATTATTATTATTATTATCTTTCGTCCCTGAGTCTGATCGAGAGAGACACGCTGCTCTGTATAAGACACATACACATCCTCACGACCCAACTGCACCTAATGCATGTATGCAATACATACACACGCATGTATCCGCGTGCCCCACTGACATGTCATGCCCGTGTCGCTCTCGGCGACCTTCACACTCTACGCCATCGTTTATTGGTGCTACGTTCCTGTCAACCCCTTTTTCTTCAGCTATTTTTGTTTGGCTATTTGACGTTCAGCAAAGAAAAAGGTGTCTCGAGGGGGTGCAGCATGCCTTCTGCAAGACCAATTGAGAGAATGGGATAGTGAGCAGCAAAGCAATACAGGCAGGTCTCTTCATTCTCACATCCAGACCGGCTAACTAAGCCATCCTCGCCTTCAGCTGCTCCCTCGAAGAGAATGAGAATCGAAAAAAGGCTGAGCGGTCCCCTTTTTCTTGATCAATTTTCCCATCGACACTCAAATAACCCCTGTTATTCCTTCGCCCTTGACCTCTACCCTTCACTCTTTTTTTTTTTTTTTTTTTCTTCCTTTCTTTCTCTCGACTCGGCTTCTTTACGTCTGCCTTTGCATCCATGCTGCCTCCTGTTCCTCCTGTAATGTGCTGCTGCTTGCCATCGTGTTTCAATCGCAACGAAGCTGTCATATATACGTATGGGTTTATGTCAATGACCATGCTTAACGCACATAATCCGCCAAGGGGTTTGGTAGACGGGTCAGCCTGCCCTCCAGGGCTGCATTATGTCAGAACAGACAAAGATGGTGTGTCTAATTGCGCCGTGTGAACTCGCGTGTGATTTCCTTTGTTGTACATCCCTCCCCCCCCTTCCCCTTCCTATGCTGACTATATCGACTATGTCAGTCCAATGACTACCGCCTATCTGGCACGCGTCTTCATTAGCTTATTACATACTCTCTTACTTTACACCTTCAGTTTCCAGATGGCGTCTTCTCCGTCATCTGCCCCAAGTTCCCATGAGCCATCAGCTAACCACATTGCCTCCCCTTTAACTAGATATTCAATATGAAGCCAGCCTTCGCATCCGCCGGCCTTGAGTCAGAGCCACAACTACCCTACGACCCATATTACAGTCATCCTTCTTCGTCCTCGCCCGCGTCCTCATCCTCGACTTCATATCCTCATCATCATCACCCTCACCCCTCACAACAGCACTCCTCTTCATACCCGCGCGAGTCCGAGTCCTCCCCACGCCAGCATCAATACCCTCCCTACTCATATCCCATGGAGCAGCACCATCGCTCTCAGCCTTCGCGCGAACATGAGCACTATCATTCCCAGCGACACCAGCAGCAGCACCAAGAATACCCTCCTCGGCCACAAAGCCCTCGGCGCCAGCCATCTAACACATCACCACACTACAATGGCTATAGCAACGGGGACAGTCGCCCCTACTACCCATACCCTGAGTCCTACCCATCCCATGCCTATCCTCAATCTCAACGATCTGTAGTAAGACACACAGAAGGCTATGAGGGCAGAGTCCGCAATAGCAATAGGGACCAGCACGACCACCTCCTCACGACCGACCATCACTCCAACTCCCATGATCAGCAGCAGCATCACGATCAGTATCGCCGAGACCCCTCCTTTGGTTTCCACAAGCACCAGCCCTCCTCGCCCTATAGTCAACACTCTGAACATCAACATCGCCGTGCTTTTGATGACGTGAACAAGTTCCATTTGCCACCGATCCTGGCACCCGAGGAGCCCTTCTATCGCAAGGATCTTCCTGGCCGTCATATGCGCTACTTCCGCAATGTGACAAGCCAAGATCGCGAGGATAGAAACGGCTATTACTCCTCAGCACGCCATGTTGCCCCAAGCAACACCACTGGCAACTTCGGTCATGGTCCTCCCATTGGCGCTGCCTTGGATCGGTTCGCTGCGAAACAGGCACAGCAGCACCAACAGCAACAGCAGCAACAACAAGAGCATCACGAGGGCCATCGTCTCCCCTCACTCTACGCTGCGTTGCCCGAGCAGCGTCCCGCCTCCTCAAGCGTCTCCCATCCCTACACCCACTCTGATTCCAGCTCAAGCGAGCGGTCAAGTCCTCCAGGTGTTTCATCCCCACTGCACCGTGGACCATACCAACAGCACTCTCCCGTGCAATCCCCAGCTGAGAAGCCCATGGTCTACAGTCGGCCGCTTGCTTACCCGCAGCCACAGTCCATCAAACACAAGGCCATCCAGCCTCGCTCGATCGCCCCTGCCCCGATCTCGTCCAACGGCCCAGCTTCTCCTGTGATGCAGCAGCCAGCGCTCTCGCCCCGCGCAGCTTCCAAGCGCACCGACCGTCAGATCTACGTTAAGATCGAGCCCAAGGATCAACCCTACTACCAGCCTGCCCCTTCGCAGTCTCAGCAGCAGCGCATCTCACCTCTTTCGATGCAGGTGAAGCGCAAGTGGGATCGTGACCACTCTCCTATCCGCCAGGGCCCTCGCGCCAATGCCAACGTCCCTGCTGTAGACCCCATGGATGAGTCCTCGCAGGAGTTGCATCTCTTGTCTCGCCGTGTCCAGTATGCGCGTCCTGCCCAGGACTCGTCGGCCAAGAAGAGCCATTCCATGACGAGAATGCAGCGCTACCAGATGACGACCATCCGCTGCTGGCATGGTGCCATTGCCCAGAAGTCCTATGGCATTGAGAAGCGATACCTCTGCCCGCCTCCGATGGTGCACGTCTCTGCCGGCGTCAATGCCAAGCAGATTCGGGCCGAGAATTCCCATGTTACCATGTCAGTCATTCACGAGAAGGTCAATGGTCCCCACGGCGAGAACTTGATGGAGCAGGATTGCGCGCTTGATGACGGCCTCAAGTGCTCGTTCCGCAACTTGCATGTCACTGGCACCGGCTCTGACAGCTCCAAGCGTTTCAAGTTAGGCCTTCAAGTATACTTGAACAAGCATACGAGCATGCCCACGGCCATTATGGACTCGAACCCGATTCCCATCATCTCCAAGCCCTCGAAGAAGACCGCCAAGGCTGGTAATGCCTCGTGCTTTATCCTGAATGGCATGAGCGTCTCGCTCCTGAACCGTATTAACGCGCAGACGGTCCGCACAAAGTACATGGCGGTCGACAACAACGCCGTCTGTGCCAAGATCGGATCCTGGTCCTCGTTTACGATCAAGATGGTCAAGCCCCCGCCATCGCCTCCTGTCAAGACCGCTCCTGCAAGTATGGGCGCTTTCAGAGCCCCCAGCCATTCGACCAAGTTTGTACCCATTCGCATGAAGGGTGAACTTTCAGGTGCTAACCCCGCCGCTCAGGGCCAGTCCGCTGGCATGGCGAGCTCGCTCTCGAACCAAGGTCGCATGGAGTCTGCATCTGGCTTGAACCAGACGGTTGGCTCGCCGTCGTTCCAGTTCCGTCACCAGCAACAGATGCAGCAGGAGCCCGTGTACGTGTTCTCAAACTCGGAGCCGGTCCTCTACGGATCGGAGATTGTACTGATCAATGACTTGACAGGCATCATGACCGACCGTTTGATCATCCGCAAGGTTGAGAACGGCAAGGTCTCGCGTTCGGGTACGGGTCCAGTGAGCCAGATGCAGAAGATTGTCCTTGAGCATCCTGATCGCGTTCACCCCGAGGATGGCCGTGCATATTACTTGAGCGCGTCCTCAATCGGAAGCCCCAAGATCGAGGGCAAGATCCCTCTGCAGGCGGCTATGGACCGTAGTCCGTTGCTTGAGTACCGCACGTCCTCGAAGAAGGCATCGATCATGGATATGACGGATGCGAACGATGAGGAGGAAGATGAGCTCAATGAGGAGGACGGAGAATTCAATGGTCAAACAAGGCGTTCGGGCCGTAACCAGGACAGTGTTGCAGTCGACGATTTTGTTTGCTGGACGATTGCCGGTATTGGTATGTATTTCAATGGCACTGTGCGCGTGTCTAGATTTTTTTTTTTTTTTGTTCTTGTTCTAGGGAACTCATTGTCATCTCTTTATTCTTGAAAATTCTACAGCCAAGTTCGATTACACATACTTTGGCCCTATTCCCGCGTCCGTCGACACGGATGTCGATCCTTCCAAGGTCCCTACGGTTCTCTCCTGCCCCCACTATAACTCTCAGACGAACACTATGACCATGCCTGTCAAGAACGTCTTTGAGAAGCTCTCTGCCGAAGAGGAGGCTCGTCTGACCAAGCAGCAGGACGACCATCACGAACGCAAGCTGACTCTTTCCGAGTACGTGTACAAGCGTTGCGAGGATGTCCGTCAGCCCATGCGCGATGAGGAGGGTCCGATCCAGCTCTGGCTCGCCCAGCATGGCCCCATCCGCATGCGTCGTCGTCAGTTGAACGAGGTCGTGTCCGAGGAGGAGGGCCAGCAGCTCACTGCAGAGCAGCAAGGGGACGACAACGAGAGCAGCAACGAAGAGAGTGATGCCGAGGGGGACGGCGATGAGCGTGATAAGGCTACCGCTAATGAGGACCGCTTGCCCAAGGTTGCGACCAAGTCGATCGCACCCAAGGACGGCACCAACGCAGCTAACAACACTGGCAGAAATGCGACGAATGTGCAGGCGAACGGACAGCCGTTGATCAATGCTGCGAACGGACGACACTACGGAGGCAGCCATCTCCCGGCGTCGATGAACTCTGCCCTGCAGAACCAGAAGAAGCGAAAGATGATCAAGCACCCGATGGGATTGGAGGCCGAGTTGCCCTATGGATGCGAGGTGCGCGCGGCGCATGATGCCCAGGGTAATGCGAAGGCGGAGTTGGATATCCTGATGGTGGAACGGGGAAGTGGAGTCGCGTACAGAACTGGTTATAAGGTCGTGTACTCGCGCGAGCGTGAGAGAGTCGATTGGGTGGTGGAAGTTGTTGGTTAAGTAGAAGGGAAAGAAAAACTTTTCAGTCGTTTTTTTGTACAGTATTGCCCTGTAATCTTCCTAAAAAAAAAAAAAAAATTGTATTTGTAGTAATCCAAAACCAAACACAAAACAGAAATGAATCAAAGAATGTTATGAACATCTAGAAGTTGTTAAAAGTTTAGTCTTGAGGCACCGTGATGTCGACGCGAGGAGTTCAAACGGCCGTGAGTCATGACCACCTTTCGCGAGAAAATATTCTTGCTATCCATACATGTCCTTTACGAGGAGATATATGATGTTTTAAACGGTTTTATTTTTATTTACGAACGCGTCAATGGCCATTCACTGTCAGTTTCTAGCTCCCCTTATGGCTCGAAAGCAGCCTGACGGAAGGGCATGATCTGGTAATGCTCCCATACTTTCTCTGTGACATACAGGTCCCTACACGTTAGCAAAAATAAAAAATAAATAAAATGCGCTCTAGTTGTGAGAAAAAAACCCCCCCTATGTCCAAAAAATACATCCAGGGCTACATTCTCTGCAGATCAATTGATGTTCGCATCCGGGTCTTACCTTTCAACAGCCTTAATAACTTCCTCCTCCGAATCCGCGTTAAAGATCATAACGGACCCGATCATCTGTCCAGACTCGGAGTGATTCGTCAGGAGCGCACCCCCGAGTTGGAGCATGCCGGATTTCTTGAGTTCCTTGGCGCCGACCAAATGCTTGGGACGGACAGTAGCCCGGCGGTTAGGAGCGTCAGGATCCTGGTAATCACGGGCGATGAGAATGAACTGCTTCTTCGCATTCATAGCGGCTGTAATTGGGGCGTTGTAGCGTTTAGAAGGATATGAGAGAAGAGGGGATTTAATTTGGACGTTTTTGCAATGAGGGGAGAGAGATCTGCTTTGTAGACGAAGAGCGAGGGAGTAGACGTACTGGCTGCAGAGAAGGTGCGCTGGCAGACGCGGGTCGCAGAATTGCGTGCGATGATCCTGGTGGATGAGGCGATCGAGTTGAGAAGCATGTCCGTTAGTGATGAAGCTGTGGAATGAGCAGGAATGTGGAGGGTGGGAAATGAGCTCTATGCCCTTGAAGTATAAGCGGTTCGTGACAGAGATGCTTGGGGGGTAGGGCTCACTAAAGGTCGTGGAGAGACTCACGAAAGAAGAGCACGCGAAGGGAGAGCTGCGGCACCATGGTGATCTACATCTCATTCCTTCACCTCCGCCAATCTCCACGGACACCATGACCGCGACCTCCTTGCAGGGATCAGACGTCCCAGCGCCCAAGTCTCTGCCTCGTCTGCCTGCCGAACTTCTGTCTTCCATTTTCCGGCACCTTGAGCCATATACTCTGAAGCGCTTCCTCACGGTCTCTCGTGCATGGTATACCGAAATCATTCCAGTCCTCTATAGCCGCCTAGTCTTCAGCAAGTACAATCACGAGTCTCTCTTCTCTGGATTCAAGACGCACAGGCGACATATCCGCGCCGTAGAATGGACAGAAGATTTTTATGAAGGGATGTCTTTCGAGGACGCCCAAGATATCCTGCTGGACATCCCAACAACGGCGTCTACGGATGGATTGGAGAAAAGGACGCCACTCACACCAAGACCCAATCAGCCGACTCTTCAGTCGCTTCGTCTTTTCAGCAATTCAGATAATATGATGTTCCAGGACGAGTTCATCTACCACTTCATTAGCCTGACAGACTTGAGCCTCACCTTCGAAGGAGAATCAACGATCTATATTGCTCTGGACCGACTCTTTGAGGGTATGCCCCACTTGAGATATTTGTCGTTGGAAGGCGTCGAATATGGACCCTTGGATCCTGAGAGCAGGTCTTTGGATAGGAATGCGCCTCCGTACAGACTGGAGACGTTTTCGTTCAACGTATGGCTACTCTATGGGCAGAGCCAGGGTATCAACGTGCTCCGACGACTCCAGAACCTTTCGTCAATTCGCATCATCGACAATACTTTCCTCAACTTGCGAAAAAATCAACCTCTCGCTCTGGCTCAGAGCTTACATGCATCCTGCCCTAAGCTCAAAATGATCGAGACAGAAGGAAAGGTGCCTTTTTACTTCTACCTCTTGCCTCCGTCCGCAGAATCTTCTCCCATGAACAGTCATGGACGGACCTACGAAGCCCAGCAGCATCTGGAAGAGCAGCAACGACAACAATGTGAGGACTCACTCGAGCTCTTTCCTAAGCTAACTACCCTCATCTCCAGGAAGAACTGTGCCCTCTCAGCCGAAGATCTGCGCTGTTTGGGAGCACGCGCACAGTTTCTGACCCACGTGGAACTGGGGGACTGGAACATCGATCTAGATAACCCAATTGGATACGTCGCAGATTCCCGCGGCGATAGCCATGGTCAACGGGACCCAAGGGCGCAGTGGAGACATCTGCTCACCAGTCTGGACCTGCAGATCTTTTTGGAGACATGCCAACATCTGAGGCATTTCGTCGCGAGGCGAACTATTCAACTGAGTGATATGACTCCACCGAATAGGACCCTGTCCGCGATCTATTACATGCCCAATCGTAACGGCCGGACGGTTCGAGCGGCGAAACCCTGGGCGTGCGAGCGAACGTTGGAGACCCTGGAGATTGGGTTCAGGATGGCATCGACGGTACCGTCGGATCATCGAATTGTATTCGAGCAACTTGGACGATGTAGGCGACTCAAATCTTTGGGGTTAACGCGGTCGAATTTGATCCCAACGTTGAGGCATGGGATGGATCTTTTGGAGGATTTGGCCGAGACGTTGGAGGAGGTGATTTCGTGGTCATCAAACTGGGTGTGCGACGATAAGGAGACGGTGTTGTGGTTGATGGAGAGGTTCAAGAAACTGAAGAAAATGGGGGTAAACTGTAAGGGTGGTTCAACGCTTGCGGATCGGGTGCTGGAGTGGACACCGCGTTCGGTAGCAAAGTTTCTGTAGCGATCGTGGCCTTTCGGCGTGCGTTGTTGTCTAATAAAGTTGAAAGGCGCAATGTGTAAAAGGAGTGGCGGCAGTGCTGTCCGGGAGTTGGAAGTATCGACATGGCCTCATGGTCTTCATCTTGTCCCTAAAAGCGGAGGTTTTCATATCGAGTACTGTTTCTTCTCGTATTGGTCTGCTCTTTCTCCCACTAATTTCGCACTCCCATTCCTGTAGCTTTCACTCGTCTCTAGTCATTGCCTTTTCTCTCGCGTATCACGACGAACCTTGAGACGATTTGCCTACTCGAAGACTTTCAAATCTCAGGGTCATTGAAATATCGGGCGATGGACCTTTTGGAGAGAAAGGATCACGTCTCTCAGACTCAGACTCGCAAAGACTCCGTCAAATGGATGCGGTCTAACAAGATATGGCGTGGATGGTCAGTACCGGTAGTCTGGAGAACAGCCAAGATATCCGGCTCACACTAAAAAACCCATCCATTTAGTGCTATAGTCATCTTATTGAAGTCACAGAAAAGAACCTCTACTCCCTAAACCCTGTGGGTGCTCCGCTGCACCTACGATTTCATTTACCGACACGAATACTTGACACATCTGCGACTCAGGCATGTGGATGAAATCCCCAGGACATGAGGATTGGTATGAGAGTCGTGAGCTGTGAGGGGCGATTATCAATATTGATTTTCCGTTCGCGGATACCAAAGCTCGAGCCTACTAGCGCTGCCATGCGCCAGCAGATGCAATTCCTTTCACAGTTCCCATTCTTGAGAATCCTAGGATGGGCTCCACATTATCTTCCTTGGATGCTGCAGCAAAGGACCTTGTGCAGATATTCGAGGCCAACGCTAGAAGACTCAATCCTGGGATGCATCCATCGTGGGAGCCGCGCTACGAGTAACCACCCTTTTTACGCTTTGGTCCTATCTCAATAAACAAATTCAGCCTTGAAACTTGTAAGCAATTGACAAAAGTCATACTGTCGGGGATTGCCTATCATGACTGCAGCTACAAAAGACCTACAGAGAATTACTAAAGGCACTGCCGATCCGCGGTGCCAATGATCATAAGCTAAAAGGCCGGGCGTACATCCTATGTCTGTGAGCAGCTTTCTGAAACGCGTAGTATGGTGACACCGGCAAGTCGTTGCTACGAACTAAACACATTTTGGTATCCGTTCCATGATGCTTAAATGATAACTGACTCCCTCCATGAGCTGGGTCTTGTTCGAAATAGAGCATGCAGTGTTAGTTCTCTACAAGGGGGTTCTCCAGGGGACGAAGACAGGCAGAGTAGGAAACCAGCATACATCGCGCGACAGGCGTCTACGGACGCAATGGTACTTTTTACACAATGCCTTCCTTCCTCTGAGGCCGCAACATCCGGGCAATGCTTATTTGTTATGTTTCGAAACCGATGCATTGCGATCCACAATGGCGTAACCCCCGCTCGAAAGGAGTTTGGTTGAAAACGGTGTTTATCGTTGCAGATGCCTTCACCTTCCAGGCTGAAATATCATTGATGTATCGCCCTCTTTTTCCTCCTTCCTTCTTCCCTTTCCGTTCTTTCACACTTTCTCGCTTTTCCCCACACGATGGCAAATCCTACGTTCGCAGCAAACCCCGAAGCGACTAGGCCTTCACAGGCCTTTCGAGTTCCACCGTCTTCCTCTACCCTCAGCATCGACGCCCACCTGGACTACAGGACAGGTCAATATGTCATTCTCTGGCTAGATGTCCAACGGATTTTTGAGGATGTGCATTATGTCAAGCAGGGCAGTTCCGTTGTTTCCCTCATGAGCGACCAAAACTTTCGAGAGTAAGAGTTTTTCTTTTGAATGCTGGAGGGATATGCACCGGAAACAGTGGGTTTACAAGTTATCGCTCTGGCTCATCTGATAGGTTACAGCCACCTAGAATCCCTTATCGGCCTGGAGTTGTCTTTGACGTTGTGCTCCGAGATCCGGTCCACGAGTCTCTCCCTGAAAAGCAGATTGATCCAAGCTTTGTTGATACCAAAGTCTTGCAAGGTCTCGAGACCGGGAACGATACCAGCGCTGATCGCGTCTTGAATGATCTACAATCGACCCTTCGACATCTTCCTGAATGCCTAACTTCCATCCGGGACCTTTTACAAGTCCTTGCCGAGGACATGCACGCTCTGAGTGATCAATTTTGCGACACAACCGCGGCCAAGCCAAGAGTCGAGCCAATGGACTTTCCGGAGATCAGGGACCTCGTCTTCCAGAATTTAGATCGCAAGGATTTTGTAACGTGCGCGCGACTCAACAAGGCATGGCGCAGTTGGACGGCATCCATGATCTGGGAGTCGGTCGACATATGTGGCACTCGACGATTAAACCCGTCCGTCTCAGCCCTTCAGCACAATGGCCATCTAGTCAAAAGCTTCGAGATTGCTGACCACTATAATGGCAGGATCGACCACACCCAGTACACCTAGTACACCGCATTGGATTTTTTAAACCTCCAAAGGCTCACTATGGAATTTTCTGATGGCCGCGAGAAATCATTGGGTGATATGATCTATCGACATAGGTATTTGACGCAGCTGGTTTTGTATGTCACCAAGGGGCAATACACTTCCTATATACGGGATTTGTGGGGGCGATCGCCAGTTTACCCAACCTGAGCACTCTTAGCCTAACGAACTTGGAGACCCCCAGCTCTACCATAACACTCCCAACATTACGAACACTATCTCTAGTGTGCTCCCAATATGGCGGCGTGAACCGGCAGCTGGAATTCGTGTCTGGATGCCCAGCCTTGGAGTACCTGACTTGGGGTCTGTGCTCTAAAGTTCGTTTTATTGCTAAGGACTTTGTGCGGTTGGTCGAAGCCAGCACCTGGCCTAAGTTGGAGGGATTGAACTTGAGTGAGGTCGGCTATGGTTTTTCGGACGCAGACATTGCATCCATCTTGGAGGTCATGCCACGAGTGGTGTGTTTCAACATGTCCAGTTCAACATTCGGTTCATTGTCCTTCCAGCGTCTCCGGCCTTACTTTTCAACCCTCAAGAAAGTCAATTTAGATGGGTGTGAACAAGTGACAAAAGCAATGCTGTTGGAGATCCTCTCATTCTGCCCACAACTATCCCAGAAATGTCGCACACGCCTTGCCAGGATGACCAACGATGGCCGCCAATAATCATATGTACCGCACCACTCAACAACAGGATGCTGTAAAACTCTGTGCCTGTAGCAACGCTTAACATAGCGACACTGGCGAGCCATTGCGACGAAATAAACATGCTTATACTATGAAAAGGGATTCTACCAAGGCTTTGGGTCTTGTTCAAATAGTCTATGCTATGCTTGCCATCTCAAAAATCAGGACACACTGCGCATTCAGATACTTCAATGGGCGCAGTCATGCCCTTACCGCACCATACTCCCTTCTCTGCCTATTTTTTTTCCTCTTGCCATGTCAGGACACATGAGGCTCGAGTAACTGCTTAATTGTTCTATTGTTTTATCGTGCTGGGGTTTTTATGACAAAGTATGGTGACGCACTCATCCCTGCATTGGGTCCACCCCCAAAAACTTCAGTTTGACAAAGTGTCCCGTTGTCCTGCTTTGATACCCTCGCCTTTTTTCTTAAAAAAAAATAACATGAGGAAGACGCCGCATGTTTGTGGTGGGTTAATGCCTTCGCCTTTGTGGCACAAATTTCATGCACCCTTCTTTCTTCTTTCCTTCCATTCCCTCGCATTTTTCCCACAGGATGACAACCTCGATTCCTGTAACGAATCCTGAAGTGACCTGTCCTTCACAGTCCTTTCGCATCTCCAACACATCAAGAACTTGTTCTGTCATCAAAATCGATGCCCGATTGGATCATACGATTGGACAATACGTTGTCCTCTGGCGAGACATCCAACGGGTTTTCGAGAATGCACAATATGCCAAGCAAGGTGATTCTGTGGTCTCCTTCATGAGTGACGACGCCTTTGAAGAGTAAAGGCATTTTTTCTTCTATTGAGCATCGGAAGGATAGGTGCAAAAAGCGGATGGACTCACAATTGCTTTCGCTCTGTTTCATTTGGTAGATTGTCACCACCCAGGATCCTCTGTCGCCCTGGTATTGTTCTCGACATTGTGCTCAAGGACACTATCGACGAGCCTCTCTCCAGACAACAAACTGAGCCCACCCCCCTGATCTCACAGCAACTCACTGAAGCTGATAGCGATAACAACTCCCGATCCGACTCAGACGACAAGACCGGTCTACAAACGACCCTTCGATATCTCCCTGAATCCCTGGCCTCAATCCGGGATCTTTTGCAAACCCTTGTCGATCGAACACATGAGCAGGGGAAAGACCTATTCCACGACAAAATTGAGATCAAGCCAAGGGTCGATCCAATGGACCTTCCGGAGGTCAGGAACCTCGTCTTCCAGTATTTAGATCGCAAGGATTTTGTAAAATGCGTGCGACTCAACAAGGCATGGCACAGTTGGACGGCATCCATGATCTGGGAGTCAACCGACATATGTGGCACTCGACGATTAAACCCGTCCGTCTCAGCCCTTCAACACAATGGCCATCTAGTCAAAAGCTTTGAGATCGTTGTCCGGAATACTAATACTGGGGACCACTCCACTGTGTACGCCGAGTACACCGAGTTGGATTTTTTAAACCTCCAAAGGCTCACTATGGATTTCTTCGATGCCTACGGGAAATTATTGGGTGACATGATCTACCGACACACGTATTTGACGCAGCTGGCTTTGCGTTCCTTCGAGACGTACCGCTCTAAGGACTATATGTGGCATTTGTGGGACGCGATCGCCAGTTTACCCTACCTGAGCACGCTTAAGCTAGCGAACTTTAAGACCTTCAACCCTACCATAACACTCCCAAGATTACGAACACTGTCTCTAATGTATTTCCAATATGCCGGCATGGATGAGCTGCTGGGATTCATATCTGGATGCCCAGCCTTGGAGTACCTGACTTGGGGTCTGCACTCTAACTTTCGTTATATTGCTAAGAACTTTGTGCGGTTGGTCGAAGCCAACACCTGGCCTAAGTTGGAGGGATTGAACTTGAGTGAGGTCGGCTATGGTTTTTCGGACGCAGACATTGCATCCATCTTGGAGGTCATGCCGCAAGTGGTGTGCTTCAGCACGTCCAATTCAACATTCGGTTCATTGTCCTTCCAGCGTCTCCGGCCTTACTTTTCAACCCTCAAGGAAGTCAATTTAGATGGGTGTGAACAAGTGACAAAAGCAAAGCTGTTGGAGATCCTCTCATCCTGCCCACAACTATCCCAGAAATGTCGTACACGCCTCACCGAGATGACCAACGATGGCCGCCAATAATCATATGTACCACACCGCTCGACAACAAGATCCCGTAAAGCCCTGTGCCTGCGGCAACGCTTAACATAGCTACGATGGCGAGCCATTGCGATGAAATAAACGTGCTTATACTATGAAAAGGGATTCCCACCAGGTTTTGGATCTTGTTTAACTATGCCATGTTTGCTGTCTCAAAAATCAGGACACACTGCGCATTCAAATGCGTCAAATGGCGCGACCATGCCCTTACCGCACCATCCTCCTTCTCTGCCTATTTTTTTTTTCCTCTTGTCATGCCAGGACACATAAAGCTTGAGTAACTGCTTAATTGTTTTATTGTTCTGGGAGTTTTTGACAAAGTATGGTGATGTGTTCACCCCTGCATTGCGTCCACCCCAAAAGCCTTAGTTGGACAAAGTGTAGCCGCATGTTTATGGTGGGCCAATGCCTTCGCCTTTCTGGCACAAATTCACAAATTTCATGCAAACATTAGCACCCTTCTTTTTTTTATTGACGCCCGATCCTCCGGGCATGCAGGCATGCCAAAGGTTGCATTGGTTAGCATCCTTCTTTCTTCTCTCCTTCCATTTCCTCGCATTCTTCCCACATGATGACAGCCTCGGTTCCTGGAACGGGCCCTGAAGTGACCTGTCCTTCACAGTCCTTTCGCATCTCCAACACATCAAGAACTTGTTCTGTCATCAAAATCGATGCCCGATTGGATCATACGATTGGACAATACGTTGTCCTCTGGCGAGACATCCAACGGGTTTTCGAGAATGCACAATATGCCAAGCAAGGTGATTCTGTGGTCTCCTTCATGAGTGACGACGCCTTTGAAGAGTAAAGGCATTTTTTCTTCTATTGAGCATCGGAAGGATAGGTGCAAAAAGCGGATGGACTCACAATTGCTTTCGCTCTGTTTCATTTGGTAGATTGTCACCACCCAGGATCCTCTGTCGCCCTGGTATTGTTCTCGACATTGTGCTCAAGGACACTATCGACGAGCCTCTCTCCAGACAACAAACTGAGCCCACCCCCCTGATCTCACAGCAACTCACTGAAGCTGATAGCGATAACAACTCCCGATCCGACTCAGACGACAAGACCGGTCTACAAACGACCCTTCGATATCTCCCTGAATCCCTGGCCTCAATCCGGGATCTTTTGCAAACCCTTGTCGATCGAACACATGAGCAGGGGAAAGACCTATTCCACGACAAAATTGAGATCAAGCCAAGGGTCGATCCAATGGACCTTCCGGAGGTCAGGAACCTCGTCTTCCAGTATCTGGACCGCAAGGATTTCGTCAAATGCATGTTATTCAACAAAGCATGGCATGAATGGTCAGCACCGATGGTCTGGGGAACACTCATGCCAGGCGGCGACCCTCATAGGAACCCACCCACCAAGGCCTTTGCACGCTACAGCCATCTGACCAGAGTCTTAATACTGCAGCCTGCCATCCCTGACTTGAGCGACTATTCTACACTCTATTTCCTAAACCTTCAAAGACTGACCTTAACCCTTTCAGCCGAAAGCGTCAAGTCCATGTGCACCCTGATCTATCGGCATACGTATTTAAAGGAACTAGACCTGACCCTCCCCTATACAGGACTTGGCCGTCTACCCCTCGATCCTTCGCCTCTGTGGAAAGCGATCTGCAGTCTACCAAACCTAGAGACCCTTCATCTCCACAATATCGAGGTTCGCTGCTTTAGTTTCGAATTGCTCGAACTACGGAGGTTACGCCACCTGACTCTCCACTACTGGAATTCGGACACGATTGGGGAGCAGATACTTTTCTTGTCTCGGTGTCCTTCCTTGGAGGTCCTGGATTGGTACCCAACTCAAGTCTATGGTGAATTCCGCCACTATGAAGAGCGCGAACGCCTCAATGCTACCGACGCCGAAAACTTTGTCTGGATGGTAGAACGCAGGACTTGGCCAAAGTTAGAGGGTTTGATCATCCGTGGGTACAGTTTAAATCTCTCGGATGAACATATTGCTCGTATCTTGGTTGCCCTGCCACGAGTGACGAATTTCGGCATGCGCAACTCTGCGTTCGGTGAATTGTCTTTTCAGAGACTTCGGGCTCACTTCCTCACCCTGAAGGAGCTTGATCTCTATAATTGCCTGAAGGCAACAGAGGAAATGCTGCTGGAGATCGTGTCGTCGTGCTCTCGACTGTCCCGCATATGTCAAACAGACCTTTTCGATATTATTAGCCAATATGGTAGCCAAAATGACAGCTGGTAGTTGCGAGGGGGATTGAAGAGCGAATGGTTAATGTAATGACTAAAGAAGTTATGCGCAGGACCAGAGGCGGATTTAAAGAATAGTGATGGAATACCTATGCTTACCATGGCTGTGGGAATGTCTTTTGCAATTGCCCTTGTCTGAGTTTGCGTAGGAAGGTCTCCACTGTGATTGTGGTTCTGATAGCCTGGTGCTGATTCCGGCTGCTCATGATTATACACAAAGACATCCATCGGATGTTAGAAACGATTAAGATCGCAGCTCACGAATGCACTATATGCTAGCACGAGTTCCTCCGCTATCAATGATGTTCAGGGTCTTGTAATTTGCAGCATTATTTCTTTCCACGTGGAAGGCGTAGTCATTCTCCAATAAGTCGACAAACGCGCGAGGAGTTGTTGCTCCGCGCACCTACAGATCGCCAGAACAATCGCAGACAGTTTTGTTCAGAGTCGGCATGATGATACTGGGCACGCTCCTGCGCGGCAAAGAGCAGAATTTGTAGCTATGACATAGGCTTCAGAAGACGCGCCGTTTCTGCAATGGTGATTACCAGGTCAGATGAGCTCGCTGGACTGTCGCTCTTGTAGGGAAATTTACAGACGTCCCAGCCATGGCTCTTAAAGTATGCAATAACGCCACCCGTCGACTCGACAGAAATCCCAATGCTGTTTGGGTGTCATTGTAGGTAGAGCGGGGTCTCCCCGGGCTGGGTAACAGCTCCAATTGACGTAGACATGGCTGATCTCTTTCTGTCCTCAAGTTGTAAAGTAAGTCCACATTAGCATAGCTCCGTCCTTGCGCGACTCTTGATACGGATTTCAGTCGCATGGAGGATTCCATGCTCTTTGATGGACTGTGGGAAATTGACTATCTTTATTCTTGCAGTGTCAAAGATGAGTGAAGCGGACTGGGGCTACGTAAAGGCTCGATCTCAGACGGAAGATTATCGGTTATAAAGGCATTCTGGCTTTCATGCTGTAGCATCGAGCACATGTGGTCATACATCAAAGTCCAGTTGTAGCACCCTACTCCTTCACGAAGCTGCCAGGAGATATGGAGGCGAGTATCACTTGAATGGTACATGCTCCCAGGTAAATATTGCTGTGCACCCATCAAGACCATACCAAAGAGACTCAGAGCGATCCGCAGAGCGAAGGACAGGCATACAAAATATTAATCTGGCTCATAAATCTCTGGAGACGCACAGCAAATTCATCTGAAAAGGCGCCTCCAATGATATTTCTACAAACAAAATTGGTTGCATTACAGTGATGAGAACTATGAACACGGGAACCGGTGAGGCAAGTTGCGCAGGACTGTAATTCGACTCTTAGTGCTTTTGAGGCGAGGTCAGAGAGACGGTAGCATGGGCCAGAGTGCGTGAAGACTGTGTGTCTGAATTCCACCATGTAGATACTTTATTTGTTGTGTTTCTCGAGAGGCGACAGCCTGTGTTAACTTCAGGCTTTCTCTATTATTCTGACAGTTGCGAGTGCAGTGCTATATTTGTTGTCAGCGTACCACAAAATGGACCTTGAAAGGCTGGTTCTACAGTCTTCATGTTCACCTTGTGCTACAGGCGCTCGCTCATGGAAGCCATTGCCGGAGCAGAGAGTGTGGAGGTCGTTGTGTATGCGGACTGCTTCGAACTTAACCTCTCTATTTTGATAGTGGTTTTGTTCATCACTGCACTTATGTTCCACTTCGTACCACCTGGGGTAACATCACGAATGCACCTGAGAACTGGTTTTTGAAAAAAAGCTGTGCTTGGCCCTGTACCCTCAAAGCTTCAAGCCAAACGAAATAAAAATGCACCCCTTCAACTCAGACGCGCATTGGAGTCTTCGTGATCCATTTCTGTGGTCTCTTGTGGTGGTCGCACAACACGGCATCATGAAAGGTCTTTGTTCTGCTTGAGGACCACACCCGGGACCGCTCTGGAAGGTCTTTAAAACAAGCGACACCTACGTCTTTTGTCGACTGCAGATTGTGCCCGTTGGCCTTCACATCACAGTCAAAGAGGTGGCGCCGTTTCTGGCGAGGATAAAGTCGTTTCTGGCGAAGGTTAAGGCGTTTCTGGCGAGGGTAAAGCCTTTGTGGAGACATATCCACACCATTGACCACTGATAGAGGCGCTTATAAAGTCATTGGACTTCGATTCCATTTATTCTCTCTCCCTTTCTCTTTCCCTCCCTCTCTCTTTCCCTCCCTTCTTCCCTCTCTCTCTCTGTCAGCACTCCGTTGGCATCTCTTTTTTTCCACAAGCAGAATCACTGCACCCTCTCGCGCACAACAATGGCAATCCCGATACTAGCGGCAAACACAAGCACATCTCTCAACACCGATACACCAAAGCCGCCGAAATTCAGTGCGATGGACCTACCGGAAATAAGGGACATCGTATTTCAGTACCTGGGTCGCAGGGATCTCGCGAGGTGTACGCGGATTAGCAAGTCATGGCACGGACCGGCGATGGCGATGATTTGGAAATCTGTTGAGCTGAGCGGCGCGCATCGGAGGAACCCACCCTTCGAGATCCTTCAGCGCCATTGCAATCTAGTCAAGGCTTTTAGGATATCTCTCCGTTTTATTGGCTGGACAGGTACCGAGTACTCCACGCTGAATTTCCCCAAGCTCGAGAAAATCACCATGACTCTTTCGAATGCCAGCTCAGCGGATATGTTGGATCTAATCCGTCGACACACGTGCCTGATGCACCTGGCTCTGACATATCAATGCACGCATCGAACATCGTTCCTCAATGCCCCTCAGCTGTGGGAGGCAATCGCAAGTTTGCCAAACCTGAGCACTCTCCATATCTGCGACGTTGAGGTCCTCAATGCTACCGTCTCACTACCAAGACTACGAGAGCTACGCCTGCTGTACTCCGGAGGCACTCTCGATATCGCAAGCCAGCAACTGCAATTCATAAATCGATGCCCAGCCTTGGAGATCCTGGAATGGCATCCAAACTGCACAGTCCGCTGGCTCGGTGACCCTGCCACTAAGAACTTTGTGAAGCTGGCTAATGCCGGAGCCTGGCCCAATCTGGAGTCGTTGATCTTGGGTCGGGACAGTTTGGATCTTTCAGACAGCAACATCGCGTCCATCTTGGCAGCCATACCACGAGCAACCATCCTTGGTCTGTCCGATTCCAAATTTGGTCCACTGTCCTTCGAGTCTCTCCGGGCACACTTTCCGATCCTCAAGGAGCTCGATCTTGATGATTGCCTGAAAGTATCAAAAGCGATGCTGCTGGAGATCCTGGCCTCCTGTCCCCGGCTGTCCCGGACATGTCGAGCACACCTCACCGAAATGACTAACGACCATCATTAGCGACCATATACATCGCAGCGCCCACCCCACCCAGCGAGATATTTAGAAGAAAAAAAAAAGGCAATTCATACTGTGTTGGCAAATAGCATTGTATAGCGGTAACAGAAGATCCTTATCAGACAGCCAGATGAAATAAACACATTTAAGTGCTATGCAATACCAATAGACCCCTGCCGAACAATCATACCTTGCTCCAAAAAAATAGAATAAAAAAAAATGCTGTGCTGACCCTCAGAATTTCAGGACGCATCACGCAGTTCAGACTCGTCTATGAGTGCGACGGTAGCTTTGTGATCCCCTTCTGTGGTCCTTTCGCGGTTTGTCGCGCAGAATAGCAATGAAAAAAAACCCCCAACCTTAAGGCTTATTACCAAGTCTTTGCTTAACTTGGTCGCCATAGCCTGGTTCACATGGAAAAAGCTTCGAACAAGCGGCACCTATATCTTTTCATCCATTAACAATTGTACTTATAAGCCTTCTTATTGTGCCGAAAAGGGCGACATCTCTCCCGGTAAAGCTTCTGTGGGCAATATATCCACACTATTGTTCGCTGGCCAGGATATCTTTAAAAGCACCCTGTTCGGGTACAGTTCTCGCTCTCTTTCTCTCTCGCCCCCACTCTCTTTGTCTTCCTGCTTCTCTCCCATTTTCATCGCGTTCCATCTCACACAAAACACTCCAATACCTTACCTCACACAACAATGACCGATAACACAGATACAGGAGGACCACCAAAGATTGCAGCGCTGGATCTTCCAGAGATTAGGCGCCATGTCCTCCAGTACCTGGGGGGTACGAATTTGGTCAATTGTATGCAACTGAACAAGGCGTGGCAAGAAGAGGCTGTACCGGTGCTCTGGAGCAGGATCAATCTAAACAGACCACCACCCATTGCAGAGCTTCGACGCTCCGGCAGTCTTATCAGAACCCTGAACATGGGTTACCTCGATGTTGCCTGGCCAGTGTATTCCACGCTGGAAATCCCCAACCTTCGAGGACTGGCCTTTTCATTTGTGCCCACGAATGGGGATAAGACCAGCGAATTATTTCAAAGGCACACTTTATTGACGCAGGTGGATCTGTGGGATACGAAATGCACATTCGAGGGCTCCGCACATGCTTCGCAGCTCTGGGAAGCAATGGCCAGCTTGCCGAACTTGAGGAAGCTCAATCTTCTCAATTTTACACTGACCGACAATATCGACCTTTTACCTCCTCTATCAAACTTACAGTCGCTGGTTATGCAGCATGTAGATTTTGCAGAGATGTCATTGAATGCGCAGATGCAACTTATGGCCCGATGCCCAGCCCTGGAAATCCTGGAGTGGAAGCCGACTTTAAAAGTCAGTGGGAAAGGACCTATAGCAATTAAGCTGTTTGCACGAATGGTTAAAGCCGGGACCTGGCCCAAGTTACAGGGATTGACTCTGGGTTGGAGTCTGAATGGTTGTTTAGACGAAGACATCGCTTCCATCCTGGAGGCTATGCCGCGGGTTTCGATCCTTGCTTTGCCCGCCTCAAAGTTTGGACCGCTATCTTTCGAGAAACTGCGTGCCCACTTCTTGACCCTTCGAGAGCTTGGCCTCGAACACTCCCATCGGCTGACAAAGGCGATGGTGACGGAGGTTTTGGCATCATGCCCTCGGCTGTCTTCTGCATCTTGGGCACGCCTCACCGTACACCCTGCATACACCCACGTTTCTGCAGCGCAGAAATAGAACGACTTTTTTTTTGATGCAACTTCGGTGCTGTGCTTGCGAGGTTTTGCAAAGTATCTCCAGAAGATAAAATAAATCGCTTTCTGTTTTGACGCGACTTTGTTGCTGTGCTTGTGAAAAAGTTTTTTTTCTTTTGCCTGTGTCGGCGTTTGTACGTATACTCGTAGCGGGGATGTTGCATACGTGTTTGGTTCGCTGCAGCACACGTTTTCTTAAACATGCCCAAGGTTCGACGTGCCTGAACACAAACAGCGAGGCGTGAAGAGGGAGTGCTCTGCCGTTTTGCTCTTCATCCTCTTTTTTTATCATCCCGCCATACTTCCATCAACTCTTCTACTTCTCCATCCCTAATCCTTTCGTCCATCCGCCTCCAACTCAGTCTCATCATGGCCAGCTCAAACATCCCTAGTCACGCTGATCAGTCCTATGACCATCACGACTTTGTGGACGATGACGACGATGGCTGGCAGGTCGTCTCATCATCCTCTTCTCCATCCCCAGCTGCAGCAGCAAAGGAAAAGTCATCCTTCTCGACCGCCTCCCACTCGGCTTCTGAGGTCACCGCTGCTGACGTCCCTGCTGTTGATCAGCTCAACCCCGACATCGCTACTGCCACTACTTCCAGCGTCTCGTCAACATCAGCACCCCCTGCCGAACCAGAGACGACCGAAAAGGCCTCGAAAAAGAAAAAGAAGCAGATCTTTGGCACCGATGAGTTCCAGCCCGTGATCTCCAAGAAGCAAATGGCTCGTGCCAGCAAGGTTCCTGCTAGTAAGCGACCCAATGCCCCAGTCGGCGTGTCCACCTCGAGCTATTTTGATCTGTTGCAGGACACAGAGGATGCAGAGGACGCCGACAAGATTCTGGAGCGGATCACCCAGGAAGAGGAAGAGGAAAGGGAAAGGAGCCGTCTGGAACAGGAGGCGAGGGAGCAAGAATCTAAGGAGGCCGAGAGGCGCGAGATGGACGTTCATGACCAACAATTGAAAGAACAGGAACGTCTGCAACAGGAACGTCTGGAACAGATCGCACGCGAACAACAACAATTGGCTGAGGAGGAAGAGTTGGCAAGGCTTGAAAAAGAAAGAGAGGAGGCGGTCGCCACTGCTACTGCTGCTGCCGAGACAGCCCTGCAGAAGCAAAAGAAGGAGGACAAGAAGAAGAGGGATAAGGAAGCCAAGGAAGCCAAGGAAGCCAAGGAAGCCAAGGAAGCTAAGGAGGCCAGGGAGAAGGAAGCAATCTTGCAAGCACACCTAAAGGCTGAGCAAGAACAAAATGAACAAGCGGAACAGGCAGCAAGGGATGCACAGGAGTCCGAAGCGGAGGCACTGAGGATCGCTGAAGAAGAAGCTGCCAAGGGAGCGGAAGAGCCAGAGCAGGCATCGCTACAGACCGGGTCCGAAGATTCGTGGCAGGTCGAGGACCATGAGGATCAAGAGGAGGACGACGACTGGCAGGAGCAGTCAAAGTCCAAGAAGAGCCGTAAGACGCGATCTTCACAGCAAGCTTCCGCATCGACCGGACTCGATATTCAGTCAAAGATGTCGATCTATGTCCTTCAACAGGACGAGATCGCGGACCAGGAAAGCGACGAGGAAAACACTGTGGATGAGACCTCGGAGGAAGAGAGAGCGAAGGAGGAGCAGCGCGCTGCAGTAGCCAAGATTGCAGCCAAGTTGAAGAGCGGATCAAGCAAGAAGAACAAGAAGAAGTCAACCTCGAATGCTGCATCAGCGGTCAATTCACCACGTATGGAGGGCAAGAAGGGGAAGAAGGCTGCGTCTACCTCGGGACCAGCATCAGCATCAGCGCCAGTACCGGTCCTGTCAGCTGTTGTAAGCGCAATTGAGCAGGAGCAGGACTCATCCTTATCTGCAGCTGAGGCAGCTACACCCAAGCTGAGCAAACGCAGGTCCAAAAAGGCATCCTCTGCCTCTGCAGCCTCCACCGACAGTCCATCAGCAATGGCAACAGCCGCAGGCGCAGCCTCAACATCATCCAAGGAGGGAACTACGGCGGACAAGACAAATGAGTCTTCGGGATCGAGCATGGTTCAGAAGGATGGTCCTCAAGACATGGTCGGAGGCGTGTTCTCTTCGATTTTTGAGAAGGGTGTAAACCCTGGTCTGATCAAGGCCTTGAATGTTGTGTTTGTTGCTCTGTTTTTGTCCCTGGGCTTCCTGGTCTTTGCCTCAGGTGGCAACGGACACGTCATTGCCTTGACAGGAATTGCCGTGGCTCTGTTTATTACCGTGCAATGGTAAGTTTATGGTGTATCTTTGCATAACAGCGCATTTTAGACTGAAACTAACCGTCGGGTTTATTTCTTTTTCGGCATTTAGGTTCCTGCGTGAGATGGAGACGATGAGGATCGAGGAGCATAAGGACGCTTAAAGCATTGAATATTGGATTGTATGGGTCCAACAAAGGCGAGAGGAGAACAGGAAAGATTAGCATCGATAATAGACAGGGCAAGCAGCCCTATAAAAATGTACTTGATGGACCTTTGTCATGGAAATCGTTGCTCAGGAATAGTGCTTACTAGGAACCAGATCAAAACAAACAACGATGATTCTTCTTGCTCTCGTGGACGCTCAGAAAAAAAAAAGTTGCCCGCATTTATCTTTTATCCATCTGAATGACCAGATAAACACGCCAGTATGAATGATCGTTGTGTAGTGTTAGAATATGGTTTAGAAAAAATGCGGGGTATACAAAGAACCTTGATGGGCGGCGACTCTTGTGCGGCCACCTGCCATAAGAGGGAAATCCTGGGGAAAAGCACCTGGAGATGCCAGCTTTGCTATTCCTTTTGACGAACCAAGGAGAGGAGAGGATAGGATGGAGAGAAGGCGGTAACTGATACGGAGCAGCAGTGGATTGCGAGTGGAGAAATGACGACGCAGCATTGGCGGGTGTAGTTCATGTCCCGGAGATAGTTCTTTCGAACCCAGGCAAAACGGAGTGGCCGGTGCTGCTGCATCGTATTGGTGTTGCAACGTGGATTGTGTTCCCATGCGCCCTCGCTTGGATGACTATGCACCCACTTTTCTCTTTCGGTATGTTTTCTTCTTTTGCGGTGCCGATATGATGACGCTGTGGGTTGAAGAAGATCTCATCGAGCATAGCCTATTGCTTGTGCCCCGTTCTATGTTGGCTGACCATTCGACCCAGTTTTCTTGCCCTCCCCACCCAGCTTTGTATTCCTTGCCTCCTCATCGCACTCGACTCATCCCCACTTGTTCGGTCTTCTCATTCCGAAGGAGTGCATCTCTCTCTCTCTCTCTCTTTTTTTTTTTTCCTCTTTTACATACGCATTCGTTATTCCTTGTACATATTCCTGGTCAAGCAGCTTCCAAACCCACACTGTCGCCCCCAAAGTGTTCAGAGGGCTCAAAGGAGGAACCGACTCATCCATTCCATTCCTATTGTCTGATATACATCTCTATCACACTTCGCCTTCCTCCCCTCCCCTAAAACAACGTATTCGCATACTGTACCAAGGATCCTCCACAGCACAGCAGCTCAACAGCTTCCTTCTATACCCCGCATCTTTCCCATAAATTATATCTCCCGCATCTCACACGCACCCCGGAGCGCTGAGAGCGTCGCCTAAAAAAAAGCTGAAGAATGGTCCAGGCACGGCGGTTTCACTCGTACTTCCTGTTCTTCATCCCCCTCACACAAGGTGTAAGTGTTTAAATCAGTTGATGCGTCCTTGTTACTTTCATCCTAATAGGCTAATTTGGTTGGATATCGCCCATACCACGCCCATCGTCTTTGGCTTTTGTGTGGGTCTCTTCTTCCCATTTGTTTAGGTCCTTCTTGTGATTATCCTCGACTTCTGCAAAAACGCTGCGTTCTTTGCCCACCAGGCCCAGAACCTGTCCCCGACTACACCCACAGCTATCGGGAATGGACAACAGGTCGAACGACCCAAAGATGGAGCGTATCTTGCAGCACAATATATCTATGCGATCTGGCTAATATCGATGATGCTCAAGGCCATTGTTGGTCTGCGTGCAAATCTGAAGGTACACATAAACAGGATTACACATGCAATTTACTAGTTCGTTCATTATCATGTACACGTTGCCAAACATACGATTACAACGTGCATGCACTCCCACTCATAGGTCGTTAATAATATGATGTCTTCTATTTCTTCTTGTCGTTAGTTCAATATTCGTTGGATGGGAATATACAATGTACTCTTTGGAATCGACACAGGATTTGAGTTCATTCACACGACTCTCGGGGTGATTTTCCAGGACGTGAGCCAGCTGGACGAAGCAGGAATCATTCGGCACTACTGTGTTGGCTACCTTATTGTGAGTGCTGCAACATAATATCAAGATGTATATGTCTAATGTCTCGCAAAAATGAAGGGTTGAATGGTTCTGTTCACATGTGCTTTAAGCAATACTGACATTTCTATACTTCTTTTATAGTTAATATTGCAGATATATGGACTCTTTTGCTGCTGGATTCATCTCAAATGGGTCAGAGTCGAGATGCCTCAGCTGCTAGCTTCAACAGAACGCCAGGAAACCCTATACGAGCTCATGTTTCCGTATTGCGTTGGAGCAAGGGCACGTAGGGCCGCAGCGACAACCAATAATGTTTCGCCCAATTCCGCAATCGATCCATCGTCGTCAATATCACCTAATGGAGCCAGCACGGCTACTGCACCAGTCGCTATTGATCTTGAAAGGGCATCCACAAATCCAGCATCCAGTGATAGTCGGCCCCCAATATTAGCAAACAACGATACGGTCCAGTCCTCTACTAGCAGTGATAGCGAGATTCAAGTTGCTATACAGCGGTGATGCCTCCAAATGATCGCTAGTCGCTTCATTGCAAAGATCAATAAAATCGATACCTTGTACAGCAGCTACCTATTTGTGCTATACCATGGTGCTCTGCAGTCCTTCTCCAGAGACGCGTTTTTGTGTGTGTGTAGTAGGTGTGTAGTTTGCGGTCACAATGTGGCTGAGTTTGTTGTCCGTTTTTTTTTTTTTTTTTTTTTAGACTTGACCTTGAGTGATATTCTTCCTTCCTCTCACACTGCAAACAGGCACTTCTCCCTCTCAACCCTCAACCCTTCTTCTTTCAATCTCGCCCACCTCTCAACGCTCAGTTGTTCCTTGACCCTTATCTCTCTCCCTTACTCTTACACGCATTCTTTTACTCACGACAGCGTAATGGCCCCCACAAAGCGCAAGGCTGCTCTTCCAGCGCCTGCTCTTGCCAAGAAGGTACAGACCTCGCCCTGTTCTGCGGCCTTTGCTGAACGCATGGTGTACTGAAGCCATATACCGCCCTACTTACATTTCCCTAATTACTTCACTTGCAACGTAGTCTCGTAAAGTCGTGGAGCCAGAGCCAGAGTCTTCCAGCGGCGAAGAGTCCTTTGATGACATGATCGACGAAGAAGAAGAAGACGACGACGACGAGGATGAGGACGAGGATGAAGGCGATTATATCGAAGGTGAAGATGAAGCGATGCAGGGAGACTCTGACGACCAGGAGGATGAAGAGGAGGAAGACCAGGACGAGTTCATGGCAGCAGCCGAGCACGACGCCTCATCAAAACCGCAGAATCTCGCGGGTGTGAAAAACTCGTCTCTTTACAAAGCACCGACGAACGAGGAAATCCAGGGATTACAGGAATCATCAGATCTGTTCAAGTCCAACATTTTCAAGCTGCAGATCGAGGAGCTGCTGAAAGAGGTTCAGGTCGATTATAAGAAGGCCCAGCCACTGGAGGCTGCTCTCCGCAAACTGAAGGATATCTTCGATCGCACGCCGGAGCATCAGGAACTTTCTGTAAGTCATCGAGAGAGCACGTTTGAAGCATTATTGGACATCCTATTGATATTGTCAAAGGCGCACGGTCGACTAATGCGCACATATTTCATACGATTCATAGCTCGCTGCTATCAAGAGCAACATGAAGAAAAAGTCGGTTGTCATCCCATTCCCTCAACCAGAGCCAGCGGCCGATATTCAATATACATTCGGTTACAGCGCCCCTTCCGCCATGCACCTCGTCGGCAGTTTCCCGTTGAAGACCGTCTCAAAGAACCGCCATGGCTGGAGTGTAGATGTCGCTGTTGAGATGCCAGAGGAGCTCTTCCAGGAGAAGGATCACATGAACTATCGCTATTTTTACAAGCGCGCATACTATCTTTCCGTGCTTGCTGCCGCTGTTCGGGATAAGAAATCGGGCATGTCCAACTGCAAGACCGAGTTCAGCACGCTTAACGGAGATCAGCGCAAGCCTATTTTGATTCTGAACCCGTCTGGAGGTACGACATTGGGGTTTGAGCACTTTTGATGTCTACAGAAGGGACGACTACCAAACATTCGGTTGTTGTCATTGTTCTCACATATTCATTTCTCATGTTGATAGATAAAAGCGAGACCGACTTCAAAAAGATGCGGTGTACTATTCGAATTATTCCCTATATCCCTGCCTCAGTATTCCCCGCCCAGCGACTGGCGCCCGGTCGTAACAACGTGCGTTCAGCGGATATCACGGAACAGCCCCCAACTCCTCAGTATAACACAGCCCTCCAGCAGGACACCGCCTTCACATCTCATCTCGCCTTCCTTTACCAGCACAGCAAAAGCTGTTCCGGCTTCAAAGACGCTTGCATCTTGCTTAAGGTCTGGGCTACACAGCGCGGACTTCTTCGCCGTACTAGCGAAGGCTTCAATGGATTCTTGTTGGAGATGCTGATGGCATATCTCTTGCAAGGCGGAGGCGCTAATGGAGGAAAGAAACTGGCGAACGGATTCAGCTCATACCAGCTCGTTAAGGGAACTATCGACTACATTTCACAGCACGACTTTGATGCCCAGCCTATCTTTATGGGTCAGAACACGACATCAGGAGAATTCTCTAAGGAGGCCTTTACCGGGAACTTTGAGGTCGTGATCGTCGACCCTTCAGGAAAGATCAACTTGGCAGGACATGTCTCCAAAGCAGCACTTGATGAGCTCCAGCACGAGACCCGTCTGGCCATGAAATTCTTTACAGAGTCCAGCGATGACAAGTTCGAGGCGTTGTTCTTGAAGAGGGTCGATAATCCCATGTTGCGCTTCGATAATATGGTCAAGATCCATGCACCCAAACATCTCGGACAGCTGAAGAGCTACACCAAGAAGGCGGCCCTGGACTATCCTTCGCCATTCATCCATTTCGCTCACTCGATCGCGCCCCTGCTCAAGCGCGGTTTGACAGACAGAGTTCACCTTGTCGCCACTCGTTTCGATCCCCTGGAGAACTGGGCTACATCAAGCGCAGCGCCCGACTTTGGATCAAACTCTGTTATCACCATCGGACTTTTGTTGAACCACGAGGAGAGCTCGCGTCTGGTCGACCTGGGGCCTCCTGCCGATGATCTGGAGACTGCCAAGGTTTTCCGCGAGCTGTGGGGCAACAAGGCAGAGCTTCGTCGTTTCAAGGATGGCAGTATTCTTGAGAGTGCCGTGTGGGAGGCGCAGGGAACGGATGCTCGCCATTTGATTGTCGGACAGATGATTGGTTACTTATTGAAGCACCATCTCTCCGTACCTCATGACTCGGTGCACTACTGGGCTGGACAGCTCAACAAGTTTATTCAATACAACAGCAAGGTCGTCCCTGAGCGGCTTTTTGACAACAAGACTGCCGCCGCCAGTGGATTCCAGTCTACCGTCGCTGCCTTTGAGTCACTCACTAAGGCCGTCAAGACTGCTGAGGATATGCCCCTTTCCGTCACCCATATGTACTTTACCTCGCCTGCCGCACGTCTCTCATCGACCTTTATTCCCCACCCCCGCGACTTCAACGTACCAGCAACCAATTTCCCGGACAGTGCCCAGTATGTCGAGCCGTTGGATGTTGTCATTCAGTTCGAGTCCTCACAAAAATGGCCTGACAATTTGAAGGCGATCCAGAGAATGAAGACGGCGTTTTACCTCCGTTTGGCCGAGAAGATCAAGTACAAGGGCATGCGCGCGACCGTTGTGGAGGAGACCGAGGAGGAATCCTTGGGCGTGAATGGATACATGGATGTTTGTGTTGCACCTGGTTACGTGTTCCGCTGCAGGATCTCCCACGAACGTGAGATTACCCTGTGCGAGAATGTGATCTCGGACCGCAAGTCGAGCCACAGCCTCAAGGAGCAGCACCAGAAGGCACTGGATCTCTACAACAGATACTTTGTCCAGGCACCGATGCACACATTCCAGCTTCACGCTCTCTGCCACAGGCATCCTTCGCTCTCACAGACGATTCGCTTGACAAAGCGCTGGGTGAGCGCTCACTGGCTCGCACCGTTCTTCAACGATGAGACCTTGGAACTCCTGGCTGCTGCGGTCTACGTCGACCCAGCACCGTGGGCGGCCCCTGCCAGTGGATTCACCGGATTTGCTCGTGTGTTGAACCTGTTGGCAAGCTGGGACTGGAAGCACGAGCCCTTGGTGGTCGACTTGACTGGAGAGATGACTGGCAAGGAGCGGGAAGAGATCCGCCACAACTTTGCGAACACGCGCAAGAACATGATTGCATCGACATCGGCTACAGCGCCCCAGGTCAAGACGACAGCGATCTCGAGCGATCATGCGACCATGTTTATTGCCACGGGCAAGGATACGTTCTCAAAGTGGTGGACCTGGCAATCGCCGTCACCGATGATCGTGGCCCGTTTGCGCACACTGGCCAAGACCAGCTTGGACCATATGACGAAGACGATGTCCTCATCCGAGACGACGAGCTCCTCGGCGTTAAACGCAATCTTTATTACACCGACGGTGCACTATGACCTCGTAATTGATCTGGATCCAGCGTTGTGCACGCGCTATGCACAGAACTTGGCCCCGAACGCCCAGTCCTTTGTGACGAAGGGCGATAAGTACAAGAACTTGGGCTCGTTCCAGAAGAGTGTCTTTGGCGATGAGATCCTAATCGGCTTCGATCCTGCTGCCGAGTATCTTGCAGAATTACAGGTGCGTCCTCGAGAGTTGAGATTGCAGTACATGTACAGGGCAAGGAGCATTCAAACATACATGAGCATGGTTACTAACATTGTCTATTGGTCACTGATGTTATTATAGAGAGCATATGGAGATATTGCACTGTTCTTCCATGACCGATATGGTGGTACGCAGATTGGAGTTCTTTGGAACCCGATCACGCTGAGCCCAAGGGCCTGGAAGGTCAACCTTGGCTTCAACAGCAGGCCTGCAGATGTGAACAAGGATGGGGTAATGGTAAGAAGAGCATGCATGTATCTCCTCTGACTATGTGGTGCGATGTCGTTTGTATAGCCATGAGAAAGCAACCCTATCTAACCATCAATTTATATTTCTATAGGAGGTTAAGAAGGAGCAGCAGGACTCGAAATCAAAGGGCGGCAAGACGGGCGCCGGATCCAAACTGGTGGTGCCTAACATCGAAGCGCTAATTAGTGAGATGGAGAGGGTCGGCCATGGTCTTGTGCGGTCCATCCAGATCAACCGGGATCCCACTGCGACTAACTAATCAGGGGGCGACTTTACTATATTTCCGTATCCATTTCAGCATTCCTTTCATTTCTTGCATTTACTTTCCCTCCATTTCTCATCCCTGTCCCTGCCATACATAGAACTCAATAAAGACACGCGCAGATCCATGCATATGGACGCATGGAAACTCAATAGAAACTGAATTTTCGCTACCGCTGCTGTGTAAAGAATGATTGGGCTCCTCCTTCATTCCCTCCCAGTCCATCATCCCCCTTTCCCTCTCTTTTACAAATTGACCGATCGATGATGACAGCTTGTCCGTTTGTGCCTGATTGCGCGCACCCCCTGCTGCTGTACCTGTTTGTTACCCCTTGGTCCGAGCACGCAGTCGTTTTCTCACTCTTTGAAAGAAAGGGTCAGCATGCGTTTTTGTTGTTTTGTGTGCCTAATGTGATGACCAACTGACCATGTTCGCTTGACCCCTATTTGCTCTGCCAACATGTCACCCAACTCTTACCCCTTCCTCCCCCCCTCCCCTCCTCCTCCTCCTCCTCCTCTCCCTCACCCGTTTATCTTTTTCTTGGTTATGGTCCGATGCTCGCCTCCTTCGCTGCTTTCTTTATCCTCCTTTCGCCTCTGCCGCCAGCTTTCCTTCGACTCTTTTCGCTTCATACCCATACATACCTTCTTCCCTTTGAACGTTGTCATCTTGGCAGGGCACCCAATCCACCGTCCATTCCTCAACTCATGCGCTTCATAGCTTCGTAATAAGAAAGTGCCCTCCAAAGACTTCACTCCAGTCAGACTTGGACCTGAATACTCCCCTTTGTTCCATCCTCTACAACAGCTCAACGGTCTCACTTCTCCACATATATCCTAATTAACGGCAATCTCTTGGACAACATTCCCATTTCATCAACTGCAACGACTTTTTTTTTTTTTTTTTTTTTAATACCACCACAACCCACCTCTTCCCTTTTTTTCACCCTATAACACGGTTTTGCTGTTGGATGCATGTCTGCAGACAACACAACCCACCTAGCCCCTAATGGCTGCCCACTCGAGAGTCGCCCGGAAGATCCGACCCATCTCTTTTCTTCCGAGGGTATCACCCTCGACCTACCAAGGATCGGATGGATAGGAACAGGATGCTGTACGTTAATAGCGACCTTCCTCTCCTTTTTCTTGATCTACCGGCATTACCAATACTATACCAAGGTAAACAGCCTTAGACTTCTACGCTCCTCATACATCACACTGTATGTCCTTGCTAACATTTTCTTCACTCGTTTCTTTCCGATAACCCGTACAGCCTAATCAGCAGCGCTACATCGTCCGGATGTTGCTCATGGTACCGATCTACGCCATCACTTCCTGGTTCTCCTTCGTCTACGTACGTGAGGCGGTCTACTACGACGAGATCCGAGTCCTCTACGAGGCCTTCGTTATCGCGTCCTTCCTGATCCTTATGCTCCAATACCTCGGAGACTCACTCGAGGAACAAAAACGGGTGCTCAAGCGCCACAAGAAGACCGAGCGATGGTTCTTCCCGTTGTGTTGCCTCAAATACAATCCATCGCGTCCACATTTCTTACAGTTCATGAAATGGGGGATCCTCCAGTACGTGCCCCTGAACGTCTTGGGGACGATCCTGACGATTACCTTGCAGATCATGGGGAACTATTGTGAGAGTAGCTGGAATCCAAAGTTTGGGCACGTTTGGATCATGATGATTAACTTTGTGTCCGTTTCCATGGCAACCTATTTCTTGGTAAGGTTTCCATGTCTTTGGACGAGACGCGAGACGCGGTTGTTGGTGGCGAAGAATTTTTTTTTTTTGCTAATCAGTTTTTTTTCTTTTTGGTGGCGGCGGTGGGTTTCGTGGGCAAGTAGATCATGTTTTATGTTACGATCCGCGAGGATTTAAAAGACTATGACCCATTCTACAAGTTCCTGGCTGTCAAACTGGTAAACCCCACCTTCCCGGTCTTCACATCGCTCTCTAAACATGGTAGAATCATTCCTTCCTCAGCTCACATACTATGGGCATCTTTTTTGTAGGTCGTTTTTTTCTCGTTCTGGCAATCGATCGTGGTCGAAGGATTGGTCTACTTTGGTAAGCGTCAGAACCCCTCGTTCTCATCAAGAAAACAGCACCGGGACAGTCAAACGCAGCAGGTCATAACCAGGAACCCTGTTTTTTAATTCTTTTTTCACTGGAATAGGTCTGATCAAGGCAACAAAGTACTGGTCCACATCCGATATCTCTGTCGGTATCAATGCCGTCCTGATCGACATCGAGATGGTCTTCTTCGCATTGATGCACCTCAGAGCCTTCAGCTACAAGCCCTACGTGCCCCGTATCCCGAACCCAAATATCCCACAACTTGAGCAGGCCTTACTCCCCGATGACGATAATACGTACGACAATCCCAGCAGCCGCAGAAACAACAATCAATCCCTATCCTCCATCCGAACAGACCGACCCAACGCCAGTAGGACATATACCTCGAGGACCCAATCCCAGCAGCCGACCGCCACGAAGAAGATGTCGTCGTCCGGCGTAGATTTCGGTTCAGCGTCGAAGGGTCAAAGCGGTGGCAAGGGCAAAGCGAGCGGAAAGGGTGAGGTCAAAAAAGCAGAGGATTTGATCTTGGATTTCTCACAAAAGACGCCAATCTGGAAGGGACTGCTCGACTCGTTTAATCCCTTGGACACCCTGCGCGAGCTAGCGTATGGAATCAAATACATGTACCGATGGTTGAGGGGCATTCCCGTGGACAAGGATAGTCGACGACTCTTGGATCTGGAACGTGCTTTTGGAAGGCAACGACCAGAAGTGCCTTATATTCCACCCAAGGACGAAGAGAAAGAGAAGAAAAAGAAGAAGAAAAAGAAGGGCAGGAATGACGAGGAGAGTGATCTGGACAGCGACAGCGAGAATGGAAGCAGTGGTGACGATAACGATGTGAACAGGCGTCACGATAATGAGAAGGCTGTCAATAAGGACAGTGAGGATGATGGTGAAGGTGATAGTCATGATATGCGTCGGCTCCGCGGAGACGGAGACGTGGACAGAGATTATGATTCTATTCGCGCACAAGGCGTAGGACGCTATCGAAGCTTTGCGGACCAAGGTCCAGGTGTGGATTATGGATATCGGCGGATGGATGCTGCATATGACATGGGATATGGAAACTATGGCGAAGGAGTCAGCAGTCCTGGAGGCAGCAGTCGGCCCACAATCTCATGGAAGCCCGCTAAGCCAATGGGTATCCTCAATCCTCCGTCAAACATCGGCAGTATTTCCGCGGCAGGTGGGCGGTCAGGACTTGGGAAGCAGACGGCGGCTCAAAAGAAGATCAGCCTCGAGTACCTCGAAAAGGAGCAGGCTGCTCAAACTGAGCGCGCGACTCTTCCGGACATCCAGCCTGAGCCAGTCGAGCGAAAGATTGCACTCTCAGGACTGTATGTGGATCTCCCGATACCTGGGGTAGATATACCTGAGCGTGGCTCCAGTTCTGTGAATACCCCGCTGCCCGTAAGCTATCACCGGCAGTTTTCGTCGTACGAATCTTATGGATCGCGCGACCCTTGGGAGCGAGATTGGAGACCCGAGCGAGAGAGGGAGCGAACAAAGTTGCATGCGGGTTCTGGAATGGATTCTCTGCGCTTTCAGTTCCGAGACCGTGATCTCGAGCGATCTGCGATCCTCCACACGCTGCCTATACCGCCCGTCCCACGACTGACAAGACCTAACATCGATACGCGGACTTTGCCATCCGAGGCGCCGGCACCAGTAAACCTCGAACCCCGAAGAGACGATGAAATGAGTCGACCGGTTGACAGGACTCTTGCTGCAACGAGTGATCCGTACCAGCGCGCACGAGAATTCGAGAGAGGCATGGAGTTACTTGCAAATAGGGACCGTAGCGGGGACGACATACTGGACAGGATAACAAGGCTGAGGGACTCTCGTATTGCGGCATTGTACAACGGCAATCAGGGCTATGTCCAAGAAGGATCCGAAGACACCTCGTTTTTATCTAGTGGTCCTTCTACAATAGGACAGTTCTATCACCATCGTGAAGGCAGCCAATCAGACCCAGAGATATCACGCTATATCCTGGAGCGTGAGGAACCGCTGCAATACATTGATGAGCTGGAACACAGACGCGATCTTCCTCCGGAACAACTCTATCAGCAGCAGCAGCAGCAGCAAGAGCCTCACCCAAATCTATTGGCCCCTCAGTCAGTTATCGAGAGAGCCCTCCCTCGACAGCCGATACCGGATTTCCCTGATACAACAATCGACGTTGATCCGATTGTGGCACAGTACAAGCAGCATTATCGTCAGAATCTTGTGGAGCAGCAGCAACAGCAAGAGCGCGAGCAGTTGTTGCAGCAGCAAGAGCAGCAGCGTCAGCAACAAGAACAACAACTTCAGGAACAAGAACAGCAATTTCAGCTGCAGGAACAACAACTTCAGTTGCAAGAACAACAACTTCAGCTGCAAGAGGAACAGCGCCAGCAACAAAAGCGTTTGTCGCGACAATTTCCTACATCTCGGATCCGACGCCGAAACAGTCTGGAGAGTCTTGCATCAGACAGCACCGGTTCCTTCAGAATCCGTGTTGCTTCTCGATCAGGATCCTTTGGCCGTAGCGGATATCGCTACGGCTATGGTTACGGCTATGGCTACGGACGTCCAACAGAGGGACGAACCCAGGACGCCCATCGGTATCCGATGCCTCCCCCACAACCTGTCCCACAGGTCCAGTTCTACAGGTTCCCAGAGGACCGCGAGCTTTATGAGCGCAGGAAACGGGAGATGCAGCAACAACAACAGCAACAGCAACAGCAAGATTCCCCTTATGGGCCATCATTGCGCTCAAACCCCGCTGTACAGCAGCAACGGCAGGAGCAACAGCAGCAACAGCAACAGCAACAACAACCGCTACCGCCACCCCCACAGAAGCAGCAGCACCGGGAACAACAGCAGCAGCCAGAGTCGCCTTATGGACCGCCAGTGCGCCCAATGCCCGTTTTCAAGCAGCTGCAACAACGCGAACGTGAGCGTGAACGCGATCCTAGATTCTACCAACCGCCGCGCCAACAACTGGAACCGTTACCGCCATTGAAAACACCAAGGCAGCAGCAGCATTACCCCCGTAGTAGCTACTACGAAGACTTCTCACTCTACAATCAGCAGCGCGATGATCCCGTGCCCCTAACATACGGTCAAGGTCGTACTGAGAGTCAGAGTCGGTACTCTGCACAACCACTACCTCCGATCGATACTCGCATGCGACCAACATATGGAGGACCCCAGCCAAGACGGTCGGTTAGGGATTATAACAATGAGTACCAGAGTCCAGTTGAGAGTGGTGGCGGTAGGCGTGGGGAGGACGGATTGTTCCCGGCGTCGAGGTATGCGGCACCGTTCTTGAGGGATTATGAGTTGCAGCAGAGGGAAGGCCGTCGTCGTATGCCACAGGGACCACCCATGCCCATGCAGATGCCGATGCCGATGCCAGTGCCGGCGCCGGTGCCAAGGAATGAGTACGGCAGTGGGGGGATGTATTGAAGAAGTGGTAGGCAGTCTCTTAATTGAGGATTTAGAGGATTAGAATAATGAAATAGATTGTGAACAAGCAATCATTGAACCCACGATAGTCCAATTGGAGATGCAGCGCGATGTCTCCATCTGCAACTGTACTCGTGTAGATGGTAGACATTCATAGACTAACACGCGTTCCTGAAAATGCTACATGTGTCTCTTGATATTTGTTTTGCCTCGCCATGTCCGGCGTCAACGAGGCAGCAAAAAAAAAAAAAAAAAAAAAAAAACGCGATGCGTCTGCACATGTACCACTTCACACAAGACGTCCTCCAGCGGATCTGGCACCCAGGGACCTCAGGAACAGGGCCAGGCCCAGTAAAAGGATCAAGAAGCCATCCGTTACGCTTTCCGAGGATGGTCCAGTTCCTCATCAAGGACGAGTTTAAAGGCGGAGTCCGGATCAAAGCTGCGTCGCGAAAAGATCTTCTATTGGAAGGAACTCAAGGAATCCGGACACATGTTCAAAATAAATTTATAGAAATCCTGCATTCTTCTTCAATGGTCTATAGACAACATGGTTCCACAGTATTTTCTTGCGCACGCTCTCTTTTCTGTTGTTTTATTGTGTTGTAGCTGCGTTTGGTGGATGAAAAGTGAAATGGGTGTGTTTTCAACAGTGGGGGGGAGGGAGGGGTAGAGGTTAGTAAAATTTAGGTTCGGATTTGGGTTTAGATGTCTTGACTTCTAGTTTACATAGCAGGGACAGAAACTTGGGAGGCATCCAGGCCCAATGCATGCAAAAACAAGTTCACGTTCGCAATCCTCTGCGCGGCCTTCTCGGGGGTCGAACGCGATGTCTTTGCGGCAACTACATTCTCCAGTACTTGCTCCCTATAAAACAACGTCGGAAAAGATTCCCATACATTATCAGCCTCATGTTGACTCTCAAAGTGACCAAGCACAAACACTGCAAACCATTGCCATACCTGACTTCTGTAACAAGAACATGCTGCTGCTCCACAGAGGCACCGACAGCCATGGCAGCTAAGAAACGCCATACGTGCACATCCTCGGCCATTGTCGCCGTCGGCATGAACAGCGCCGAGAAATGCGTCTGCAACTGACTGAACAATCGGTTATAAAGCTCGTTCCACTGCTGAATCTCGCGCTCATCCGGAATTGGATAGTTGCCATGTCCTTGCTTCAAAATCTCTGCTCGGCTCAAGAACAACGTCAAGAACGCCAGACCAGGCTTGCTCCTTGCCACCCAAATCATGTTGTTGCGCTCAATAAACAACGCCAACAATCCGACCACGATTCTGAACGGCGCTTCCGAGACGAATCCGAGAAGTGGTGGCACAATCGTGTTCATGAACAGCTCAATCTCCTGATTTCCTTGAACGTCCGCATACACCTCCGACTTGCACACGTTCAGCGATTCAAAATTGGCGACGAGCATCGTCAAAAGCGTCAAGGTCTGCTCTGGCAGCAAATGGCGAAGAACACGCGGGATGACCTTCTTGCCCTTCGAGTAGTTCAAAATTGAAATGAATGGATGGGGGTGTCTAATTTCGTACAGCGAATGAAACGGTAAGTGTTCGTATCCCATGGTCATGAGGAAAATTACTGCCAAATCTGGAAGCACAACTTACACTTTGCCGATAGGGACAGTGATTCGGAGTTCGTTCCACATCTTGCGCGCAAGCTCACCGTATTCTTCGCTCCAACGCTGAATCGCCTCTCTGGCCAACTCCTCCTCGCCGAGTCGGGGAGGCGGTGGCAGCTGTCGTCGCTTCTGCTCCAGAGCCAGCACATATGTGTACACGTTCTCGATCCATCCCAACACCGTGTGCGATTTAGTGCTGACAGATCCAGGTGATGGCGGCTTGGGCGAGTTTCCTGCAGAGACATCGTTGGTAGAGCCGCGTTTTGAGACCTGCAACAACTGGCGAGGATTTAGCACAGAGTTGACAGCAATTTTTCCAAGAGCTCCCTCCACCGTAACTACAGAAAAATAGAAATGATCAATTAGGAAAAGCTGCCTCAGCATGAGCCCTTCCAATGAAGCGAGCATGATATAGTACTTATCCGTACCATTGGTGCGCTTGGGGTTACGCTTGGCATCGCTGACAATCCTCTGGACCTGCAACTGCATACGGTGCTCAGTGCGATCATTTCCTCGGTGTCTGTTATCGCTAGGTGCAGATCCGGAATTCATCACGTTGCCGGGAATACCCATCTGCTGGAGATGTCTGTTGCGGAGAGCCGTGTAGACCTGGCAGTAAAAGTCGTCTGCGTAGGGATCGTCTGTCACAAGCTGAGAAATCTGAATACGATTGATAAAGTCCTTGTCGCTCTGTGTCATCAAACCGTTGTGCTTGGCCTAAAGTGTCGTATCAGCAAAAAAACGATTTTGATCGGCAGAACAAAACGCTAGTTAGTCCTGCTAAAATGAGCTTGATGGCATTCATGACAGACTCCCGTACAAAAGAAAAAAAATGAACAACGTACGGTTTCGGCCTGCTTAGCCAGTCTCTCAGCGCGGCGCTTCTCCACACGGGCCCGCTTGGCCTCCTGCTCCGCAATCATTGCCTCAGAGTAAATGGGACGTCCTCCGTTGATGTTCATCAGAGCAGCCTCGACTTCCTCCAAACTCATCATCTTGCGTTCCTGGTGCATCTGCAACTGAGGTTGAGTACCGGCAGTCCTCAAAAGCTGAGCCTCGATCTCTTCCAAACTGGGTTGGTTGCCACCAAAAGCGCTGGGTCGCGAGAGAGCAAAGGTGCCCACGCCAAAGACAGGGTCGTGAGCAAATCCTGCATTTCGTCCGCCAAGATCTAATCGAGTCAAGGGTATATGTTAGTGATCCTAATCGTCGACACTGCATCGGTTCACGCCTGAAATAATACTCCTGTAGACTGTCACCTACCCATGCCCTTAGCTGAGGTGTTGCTGAAGGGACCCCAGATCGAGGATGCGGCATGCGAGGGCTACAGAGACGGTTCAAGAGAGTGCAGTGCATGTCAGTATTACGGTTACGAATCATTACGGTACAATACACAATTCCTGCGTCCCTAGTACTTGAATATACCTCAGGGAGACCCATCTTGAAGCTGTCTTGCTGCGCACTCCCATCATTCCCCCACAGCGAAGCAAACGACGAGCGACGGGCACCTATCCATTTTATTGCAGTATGAGAAACATATACATGTACACAGCCAGACCTTATCATCAGTGCTTATTTCATGGTGGCAAGTAGAGGCATACAAACACTTACCAGCATGCTCGTTCTGCTTAATGTATAACTCCTCTTCCTTCTTGAGAGCAGGGGCAATCTGACGAGTGTTGCTGGCAAAGTCAAAGTCGGTTCCTGTTATTGTCGATGTTTGTTGTGAAGAAAAAACAGAACGTTTGTGGCGGTTAGCCACCATTCCCTTCCTGGTCAGCTCAACCATTATAGGCAGAGATGAGCACTGGCAACCATTGCCATTCTGATCCAGGATTTGATTCAATCAGAATCAACACACTTGCCTTCGGCTTCAACAGCACCAAAGGTCTCGCTGTTGAGGTTGTCTCTGGTCTCCTCAAGACCATCCGCCAGATTGTCATAGGTCTCGCCATAGTCGTAAATCTCAAAGTCCTCGCCGGTCTCAAGGGCATACTTTTGGACCTGGCGGTCGAGCTCCTGCTGCTCTTCCAGGTTCAAGGCGATCTTACCGCCCTGGCGGCCGGGCATGACCGTGTCGAAGCCAAAGAAGTTGGACATGCTTCGTTTATCCTTGTTTGCCCTATGGCACCTGTGTCCTAGTGTCCTTTTGTCTTGGGTTGGTCGTAGGGTGGGCTGTCCAGTTAGTTGTGCGAGTTGGTTGTCGGCCTGTGTTTCTTTTTTTGTTTTCCTGAATACTGCGACCCTTGCTTTGACTGCGGGGGGGAAGAATCCTTCTGAACACTGATGCTTTGAAGGATGTAGAGGGGCAGACAAGAACGAGGACGGAAGTGTGGAAAGTGAACTGATGAAGCTAGACTAGCTGACCGCTGACGTCGACTGTCTTTTGGGTTTCGCGTGTCGCGCTTTTGGAAGCTGTGGAACAGGGGGGCAGGTCGATCGCATCTACTTGTTTGAATAACCCATTGCTTCCAACACTGCTTCATTCGCCACCGCCACCACCACTAAAGACCAGGACCAGGGCTGACCAGGATAGAAACGATGAGCGCACCACCACTGCCAACGGCCGCCGACGGTTACATCGACACCACTGCACCAATCGCCACACTCTCCCAACGGATATGGGACATCGACGAGGGCCTCTCTGACATCGAGTCGATCGACGGCGACTCTGACTTTTCGGAATTCTCCACCACTTCCTCGACATCAACCAGGGACATCGAGCGTGAATGGAACGAGAACCTGGAGCAGGGTCGACAGCTCTTTGCCATCGTCATCTTTCCCTTCGTCGGCCGCTGGCTCGGCAAGAAAGTATCCTACTGGAGTACGTACACACACCTTGCCTATGTCTGCCATCGCTATTATCATGTCAACCACGGGATGTTCAGGGACCAGAGTACTAAACTTATAACATCTAATGCTGTTTCTTTATCCTTCTGCAGTTTGGACAGCCTTCCTAAAACACCACTACAAGATCCGCGCAATAGGTGCCTGAGAAGTCATCCCCTAACCAGGCTTACCTGGGGGGAGAGGGGGAAAAGGAAGGGGGTTGTGGACGAGACCTGAGATCGATTCTTCAAAGGCATTCTTCCCCTCCCCCTCTATCGATACACACTCTTCCTTTTGCTCGGTCATGGACGTTGCTTCGAATTATCAGGATCAGATCGATACACACATCAATTGACCTTTGTACATTACAATGTTTCCAAGATAACACATACAAATATCGCGTTAGAAATAAAAGGGTACAGGATATCACATTTTATTCTACTCAGACAAGAAGTGCTATCTATTAGTGTCTATCGGTCGCTGTTCCGGGGCCAAGGATTGACTCAACAGCGAAAGCAATAGTATCAGAACAACGGCTGTCAAAAGCGCAGGTATAACAACAGACATAATAGGCAATTGGGACGGGGAGCTGGGACTTGCATCCAAGACAGTTGAGATTATCATCCGACTCGCTCTGCACACGGACATAGCCACTAAGAGTATAGGTCTTAAAGGCACCCGTGCACTTTCCAAAGGCATCGACATCGCCAATGTTGATCTAGACCGAGGCATGGTCCTTGGAAGAGATCGGACGGTTCGTCGCGGAACTGCAAACCACAGCCGAGGATCGTGTTGTCAGTAGTATTGCAACAGGGACAGTACAAGGATTAGAGCGATGATGTTATCAATCAGGTTCCTTGTAGAGAAAGGATACTGAACAAGCATAGCTGCGTGGATTTTAAAAAAGAACACGACATACCAGCTTGCGGAGAGTATAGGTCTCCTGGCTGACACTGGGTGCTTCCATAGCAATGATGTCGATCCAGTCGAGACGAGAAGCGATAAGGGAGAAGGGGTCAGTCTACAGGACCAACACGCCTTTTTGTGTACGATCTTATTCACTCACTCGCAACGACTAAGAGGAGAAAAAGACCATGCTCTTCCTCATCATATACCTTAAATCCAAACGCGACGGATCCTATAATTCCAAACACAGTGCGAATCATGGCCAAAGAACCCTTCAACTCCTCTCTCTTTCTTTTTTCTCTTTCAATACATACACACATTCTCTCTTCTCATTCAAATTCCATCAACAATGTTTTCCTCAGTCCGCACCTCATTTGCTTCTAACCTCTGCAAGAGTCACCCCTCGCTCAGGCGCGCAACGGGATCACCTCTCCAACGCTTCGCTGCCATTCGCTTCCAGTCCACCGAACAAGCCCACATCCGCGACAAAGGCTATCCCTTCCCTCTCTACTACCACCTCCTCCCATCCGACGCCTCCTCTTCCACCCTTATTCGTCCCCCTCCCACGCAATCTGATGGCCACCATGTGAGCTACGCTATCTCGTTCCTCCCGACCTTCCCACAGGATCCTCGCCAGGTCATTGGATTCCTAAAGGCAGACAAGAACACGTCCGCCAAGCCCAAGGTTGTCCCCGACAAGTTTGTAGAGAACGACGTCTTCAGCGATATGTTGCATAAGGTCATCAAGGAGCACTTGGTCAAGGACACCATGGTCGAGTCTGTTCTGCAGCAGCAGCTTGAAGGGTATTGTTCCGTCTTGCTCTTTTTTTTTTTTTTTTTTTTTTTTTTGCTTGAAAAGACCTGATCCAGTACAAAAGCGCTATGACTATGTCTTGACACCGCCCTATGGGTTTACTTTTTTTTTTTTTTACTTTTCTGTGTATCTCAATTGACAGGTGGACCCATATTGTTGACTATCGCAATCCTGCACCCTTTGGAAGGTGGGTATTGCGAGACATACTTTGCTAATTGGCAGCTGGCACCAAAAGAAAAAGAAAAAAAAAAAAAACCATCACACTGACGTTTTTGCGGTCATCACATTCCTCCGTATATATTTTTTAAATCACGTATAAAAAACTAAATAGGATCCCATTGCCAGAAGACATCTTTGGCAGTGTCCAGATCCGCGACGGAGTCATCCAGCCATCGACTTACCAGAGAATGCCGTCTCACCGGATCGTCACCATCAACGGACTCTTCCAATTGAGCGACTATCTGCATGACAAACTTGTCCATCATCTCAAGCACCTGTGAGACAAGAACACGTCAATTTAAACCCAAAATCAATGGACGCACAGACCATGGGATTTCTCAGCTGGACGCAACACAGTGCCTGTTCCTCTTTGTTCTTCACGTCTGTTGTATTCTGCGTTATTATGTGTATACAATTATAAATGGTCTTTAAACGCGCTAACTTGTATATAAAAATCAATTTCTTATAAAACATTGTGACAATAATAAAAGAACATTGCAAAGAGAAAGATAACGAAAGGATAGAGTGAAGAGTGTTTGGTACTAAGCATTTTAGATGAAATGCCACTGGGAATAAAGACGCAAGGACGAATTGAACAGTGTGGGTCGACCAGGGGTTATGCAGGAGGTGTTCGGGATCCAGATGAATCATCCTCACTGGGAACAAAGATCACCTTGACCTTGCCTTGCTCCGAGACCTGTGCAGCCTTCGTGGCAGGCTGACGACGCGACGACTCGCCTCGATTGGAATTGGTCGACCAGACAACGTTTCTCTTCCCGCCTTTCTTTCGATCCCTGCCTCCACTTGAACTGTCCTCCCCGCCTATTCCTGGTCCTGGTACGCCGTCCCCGGCTTGAACAGATGACTCTTGATCCGACTTTGAGGCTGTCGACAATAGTTTCGGTGCAGCACTGGCTATGTCGGCCAAGCTAAACTCTACAGCAGCGCGAGGAGCACGTCCTCCATTTCCTGTTGCGCCATTACCACCTCGACCATTCTTTTGTCGGCCGCCGCCATTGCCGCCCAAGGACTTTTTGTTGCGCGAAGTGGACGAAGATGATCCCGTGGAGCCTGGCTTCGACTGCTTGGCATTTCGAGATGACCCACCAGATCGAGACGAGTCACCAGCGCCGTCTTTTTCGTCGCCTTTGCCATGTTTGGACCGATTCCGCGACTGGGCGCGATTAGACTGGTCGTTAACCCTTCTGTAGGATGCGTTATCCTGATTAGATAACGACTTGCTCAAGCCTCCATGCTCCGCACCATATCCCCGACCTGATGATGATCCTGATCCTCTTCTGTTGTAATTCTGCTTACTGTTGCCAGTCGAATTCTTTTTCATGGAGGGCCTGGTGCCAATGTTGAGTGTCTCCATAACGGATATCTCGCCCACAGAGTCGTCGTCGTCATCGTCACCATAATCATCATCATAATAGTTATTCATAGTGCGATATCCATTAGCGTAACGCCGTCCAGGAGCGTAGTTGTGGATGATGGTGCCATTGCTGCCCTTCCGCGTGCTGCCATTGCTGTGGTAGTAGCTTGCGGGGAAGACAAATTGGGCGCAGCACTCGTTGAGGGAAACCTTTTTGTATAGAATTTCCAGGGCCCGCTTGAATTCCTCCTTCAAACCCTTGCTGCTGATCATGTCGGACGAGTTTCCGAGATTGCGGCTCGTATCAAATGGCTCCTCTACACAGAATAGCTTGTATTGCTTTCCAGGTAAATGCCATCCTTTGGATTCTTTGGTCAGATAACATCCCTCCCGCATAGAGACGACATAGTTGTCATAGTCAAACTCGATAGCAAATCTAAACGAGGAAAAATATACATCATTGTTAAGTGAGGGATCTGCCATTAAATTTGAAGTGGTTGTACTGCAGTAGTAAAGAGTTCCATACCTCCGGAAGAAGGCATAGAGCAACCCTCCCAACGTTTCCTTGTTAGGAAGTCCAAACCCCTCCAAGCTTTCTAGATCCTGGCAAAAAGACGTGTTGTTGCCATTGACGACCTGGTTGTCCTCGGAAAGAGCGTGCGGTATTTTGTGCAGTTTAGGCAGGATGGGCGGCGATCGCATCTGCAAGAAGTTGATAACGATGCAAATCCAGGTATATGTCGATATCGTGCCACCGTTAGCTAATTGCACGCACAATTAAAAAAAAAAAAAAGAGAGAACGTAAATCATTAGTCATTGCAACTAGTCCACTGTCCGACGTATCTTGACATCTTGACATTAGAGAGTACGGCTCCGTACCTGCATCATTCAAGACACGTCTCCGTGCCCAATGCTTGATGATCATGGCAAACGGTCGCACTCGAGGATCAATGGCCACATATGTCTTGATCATTTTTGTGTTCAGCAATCCCAGTGATGTGTTGATGTTCATGTCGCATGAAAGATGTCTAACAGCAGCAAGAAGAAGACATTACGTCAATAACCACTACGCAAAGGAAAATCTTCTCTCCCCTTTTCCATATCCATGTCTCGATTCAACCGCTCTTACAATTCAGGGTCCCACATTTTCACGATGGGGACCTTTGCTCGTGGCACGCAAAACACTTTCTGCATGCCATGTTTCCGAAACGCATTCGCCAACATTTGAACGTTCTTAAGTCCTGTCCAAGATGTAATAATGCAGATATCAACGTCGCTTGAACTCGTCCCCAAATCGTTGACGGTGGACCTAATGATTTGGCAGGTATGGAGTTTCAAATTGAACGTTGGCGTTAGCCATTGAACACTGAACCCGTAGTCAAGATGTGTTGTTCCCTAACTCGATGGTTACAAGGCTTACCCAAAAGGCTCCGCCTTAATATCCTGTCCTGGCCACTCTGCATGCAAGATGTTTTCAATCTTTTTGACCAGCCTTGTCCGTCGATCGTGACTCTCCGCTGTTGGCAAAAGACTCTAGTTCATTTAAGTCCCCCCCAGATTAAAAAAAGCATATTGTGTTAGATCAGGGTCGTTGAATGATAGCATAACATGAACATGTTATGTCGTATGATTGTGATGATTGTGAAGACGTGTCGTCATCATACCTCGAACAAATCCACCATTTCCATTGATAATTTAGCCTCGCACTCTGGGGCAAGAACAATAGGAAAGCGCTCATGAAGTCGTAAGCCGTCGGATCTGCGTGCTGTAGGAGTTCGGCCGGTGGGTTTAGGCGTTGATGCTTTCGGTACTGGCATAGGCGCAACTCCTGGCAAGAGTGTTGACCATGCAGACATTTTTGGGACTGGCGACGGCACGATTGGCTGAGGAGCTGGCATACTTGAGCCATCCTGCAAAGGTGCTGTTGCTGATTCAAAGCTGGCAATAGCGTCCTCGTTGTCCTGGTTGAATACGTCCTTTCGCTCGTTTGACGCCTCGCCCTTGTGCTCATTTGCATCACTTCTACCGGACTGGTTGACCGGTCCACTTATTGCTGACTCGGCTGTCGTCCTGAACTCGTAACCATTATCATCATTACTGTCGTCCATGCTCTCCTCTTCTTCGTCTTCTTCGTCCTCTTCCTGCTCGTTCATTAATAGGATCTTAACCGGAGACAACGGAGGCGTTGCGACTTGTGAAGGGGATATTGGCATGTGGCCGTTTGCCAATTCAAGTTGGATCTTCAAATTGTGCCGGTCAGCAATGTTCAGCCTTGAATCGAAAATGGTATCAGCGGCATGGTCCTTTGGGAATCGTGGCGTTGATTGCACAGTATCGGCAGTCTCGACAGAGAAGAAATCGATCCCACTCTCCGATTGCGAGTCCTCGAGGCTGGTGGGTGAATCTGGCCTAGGGTCCTGTGGGTACGAGTCCGATCCGTTTATCTGACAGAACTGCAGCCGTTGTCCTTGCTGTTGGTGGCCCAGCTCCAGGTCGTTTGGATTCCAATCCGATAAAGAAGAAAGATCTTGTGCCACCGACTCTACTTTCGAGTAACCGTTCAGAGAATTGGCGTGGTACTTTTGTAGAGCAGCAGGATTTCGGTCTTTACAGTTGGTGTGTTGCTCAGCCTGGTAATGGTTGGGAATGTCGATGTTGTGCTTGAGTTGGGCGGCGGTGTGGGGTCTAGGCATGGTATGATAAGTCGAAGGCTTGTCTATAGGGTTGTTGTTCTAGCTGTGTAGGCTGCGTAGGCTGTGTAGGCTGCGTAGGCTGTGTAGGCTGTTTGGATGGGTCAAGGAGTGGTAGTGGGGTATGTCGAGAGGAACACAGGGTGGCTGTTTGACCAGGCCAGTCTAAGAGAAGGATGAACAACTGAGGAAATGAGCAAGGGCGAGATCTCTAGAAGAAAGTAAGGAAAAAAGAAGAGTGGGGAAGAATGGGAGAAGGAGAGAAGGAGGGAAGGAAGGAAGGAAGAAAGGAAGGAAGGGAAGTCGGAATGGAGAAGGAGGGGGATGGATGAGATGCAAAGAGATGTATGCAGTGTAATAAGGTATGTTTCTGCAAATACGACTGTTTGGTGGCAAAAGAAAAGAAAGGGTCCTTTCGCTGGAGGAGGAGGGAATGTTTGTCACGAACAGAGGAGAAGAGAGGAGTGGATGCCAAAGGTCGGGTGAGAATGAGAGTAATGGGAGGAGGAAAGGAAAGGAAAGGAGGAAAGAAAAGAAAAGGAAGGGAAAGGAAAGGAGAGGAGAGGGAGGGGTGCTCAACAGACCGGTGAGGGACGTGAAGGCGCTTTTGGATGGTGCTCTCTCTCTCTCTCGGCCGTTGTATGCGACTAATGTGTATCAAAATAAAAATGCGCTTTCTCTTTTGGGCGCAAGCAGAAGAGCATGCATGGCAAGGGGGAAAGAGACACTCACTCTGCCTGTGCAAATGCAATTAAACGCTCTTTATGCACGCACACAAATACATTCCTTCCCTTCCCCCCATCCTCATCTTCGCCTTCATCTTCACATTCATTCCTGGCAGCAAGTCGACTCACCTTCTTTTCTATTTCGCGCGAATGAAGGAGGATTGTGTTTTTTTTTTAGTAGTAAGTATTATGCGGTCCACTGCTAATCGAAAAATACTCTCTAAAAAAAATTCGTTTGTTTACGAGTGTGGAGAGACTGATGTGAACGGGGTCCATCAAATATTGACCGTCCCAGGTCTGGGGGCACCTCTGTGGCAGACCAGATGCTTTGCCCAATCTGTCTATTCTGTCTATCCTCAATACAATGGCCATTGTTATTACGATACACATCTATCCAAGGCACGGAGAGGGCTCTGAATGCACCATCGCGATGGATCGTATCTGTGAACGATTTCGGAAACATCCTCCACATCTGCGTCTTCGTCTGCTTTCTGAGACATTGCTTCCCCCACATGTGCCAGTTAGACCTGAACTGAAGTAAGAGCGGGTTCACGATGACAAAGCAGGCGTCGTTGACATGGATCATGGACATAGAACAACAAATAGAGCCTTACAGAGCTTCACACATCCTGCTTCTCAGCTGCAAACACACCTGTTCGTCGTTCTGTTTACTTAATCCTGTCTTGTAGCGACCATAAACCATGCATATACGCGCATCATGCCATATAACACCATTATAGCTGTAAACAGGCAGTGGTCTTTGTTGAGGAAGGGTCGATGCTCTCAGCATGACACACATACAAGCGTACTCCAAACAAAACATACACACACATACACACGCCTTTTCATTCTAGCTCTGGCATGAGATCGATCGTATTAGACTGCCATGTATATCGAATCAATCGACTCTTCTGCTCGTATACAAGCTCTGGACACAATCGTTCCAAACAATAATGGAGAATTGAAATCATCCGATGACAACTCAAGTCCACAGAACTGTTCGCGCAAACACATTGCATGCCGTTAATTTGCTTCCATGAGGTACAAACATCCTGAAAACTGAAACGCCCTTTCATTCCCTGTTGACGAAAATAAAGAACGCCGTATTTATTGTTGTTCTGCTGCCGCTTTCGTGTAATGTCAAACGTCAGTTTACTTCTTTCCGCTCTTCTTGATGCCACCGCCAACTATTCGACACCAATGAAATAATATATTAAAAAATAAAAAAACAGCCATAATAAAGATAATAAAAAGTTAGCAATTGAGTAGCTTCCATTGATTGTTGACGTCCAAGACGATATAAAGACGATATAATCACTCACCAAGAGGGCCCTTGCCAGCAGCCTTCTGTTGCATCTCCTTCAGCTTGGTTTGCTCCTCCTTCAGTCTGGCCTTGTAAGCGAGGTCCTCCTATTCCATCCGAAGAAAAAACAATAACAACAACAACAAACGCACACGCAAAAAGAAAAACATAAACAAGACTTGTCAGCAACATTTCATCTCAAAGCACACACACACTTAGCACGAGGTCCAGCTCTAGTCGCCCCAGAGACAGGAATCGATCTGACAAAGAGAATCCACAATCTGGTCAAAACCAAGAAAACCCAGGCCTAGACTCACCTCGTCCAAATCGACGGCCTTCTTCTTGGGTGCCTTCAAGGGCTTGGCTTTTCCTCCAGCACGTCCAGACATGGTAGCTTGATGTTGTTTGTGAAGAGAGAGTGAGATGCTACCCCAATCCCCTACTGCGGTTTGTTTTGTTCCCTGGTTCAATCACGTGTAGTCTATTCTGAGCGTATTTTTTTCAACTCTCTTACTGTACACGACCCTCGCCCTCCTCCTTCGCCCTTTTTTTCTTTCGAGGGTCTCTCACTGAAGGACATTTTCCTAGGCAACCCCAACCAACGATGGCCCCGCTTGATATCCACTGCATGGCCCAGCCTTCTGAAACGCTTAAAGAAAATGGATCTGAAACCGGTGTAACGCACATTAACCCTGTTTATTCATCACAGCGATCTACGCCCATGAAGATGTCGTTCAATCTCGATCGGAATATCCGAGTACTTGGACTCCCTGGAGTAAATCACGCATTTCAATCGGACCGGACACGCGTAAATGTTCTAGTTCACACTATCTTCCTCATTCGCTCCTGTCCTCACTGGCTCCGGCTCTTTAACCCTCACCGCTCCTCGACCCCCAACGGCCTGCTCTAGCTCTACCCCAAGTGCACACCCTCCGTCCCTTCCCTTTAGCGCCTCTTACATAATCCTTCTGGGTCAAATCTGGTGGAGAAGAGCCAACTCCTGGAAAATGCGCCATGCAACATCTCCCTCTGTGAGCTTTACCGTCCATGCATCCTTCGAAAGAAAGCTTATCTCGAATATGAATGGTAGGATCCCCTAATATTCATCTTGCTCCTCAACATCGATATCGATCCTGACACACCGTGGATTATTGATCGATCAATTAGACTGGCTCATCTAACTCAATCGCTTCATGCAGATCCAAGCAGCGCTAGGGGATTTTTCTACACCTCTGCTCTCCACAGGAACATCGGAATGCCCTACTATTTTCATTACAAAGTCTACGCAATGCAATCCCATACTCACAAAGGACTCCAAAGGTCGGCCATTCTACATCCAGCCCGTGCACTCTTCCCTCGACGCGTCCTCTCGAGCCGCCCACCGTTACATGCAGCAGAAGCACAACCAATGGTCACAAAGTCGACCGCCTACAACAAAACATTAGCCTCGATAGGTGCGCAAATCGCAAGGGTCGGTGCCACCAAGCACACCAACGGCGCTGGCGCTGGTGTGCAGTCCAGGCCATCGATTTGGGAGAGGGTCAAGGAAGAGTCCGGACACTATTGGGATGGAACAAAATTGCTCGGGAAAGAAATCAAGATCTCTGCAAAACTCGCAAACCGCCTGCTGTATGGCAACCAACTCACAAGGCGCGAGCAGCGTCAGGTAAGTATCGATTGATTATCTTTCTTTTAGCTCCACAGACGAATGTTATATTCCATGACACGTCCTATAACCCCCGCTTCCATTAATTCAACATGACACCTAGTTGAAACGAACCACAGGTGATCTCCTTCGCCTGATTCCCTTCTCAGTCTTTATCATCGTCCCCTTCATGGAATTCCTCCTCCCCTTCGCTCTAAAGTTCTTCCCCAGCATGCTACCCTCAATCTTCGAGGACTCCCTCTCAAGAGAACAAAAGGAACGGAAACTCCTTAGCATGCGACTCGAAATGTCCAGGTTCCTACAGGAGACCCTCGGAGAATCCGCCGTCCCTGCTGGCTCAGACCGTGCCGTGGCCCTGAAGGAATTCGGAGACTTTTTCAGAAAGCTCCGCACGACAGGCGACCAAGCACCCACGGACGAGCTACTTCGTGTTGCCAGATTGTTCACGAACGAGGTGACACTCGACAACCTCGCGAGACCTCAACTCGTCTCCATAGCTCGGTACATGAACCTGAATACGTTCGGGACTGACAGTCTCTTGAGGTACCAGATCCGTAACAGTATGAACGCCATCAAGAAGGACGATCAGGTAAGAAGAAATATGTTTTTTTGCCACCTCCACTTTGTTCAGACGTGCTAAAAAAGATGATTCCTTTTTTTTTTTTTTTTTTTTAACAATAGTTAGTCATGTTAGAAGGCATCGACTCTCTTACCCCCAACGAATTGCTCGCAGTATGTCAATACCGCGCCATCCACACCAAAGGCCTTTCCACACCCCGTCTCCGCAACGAACTCGCCCAATGGCTCGACCTTCACCTCACCCACACCATCCCCTCCTCGCTCCTAATCCTCTCCCGCGCGTTCTCGTTCTCGGACTCGGACATTGCAGGGACGCCCACGCTGCCGATCGAGGCCCTCCAGGCCACCCTATCCTCCTTGCCAGACACCCTTCTGGTCCAGACTGAATTTTACGCCTCTGAACCCGATGGTGCGGCTACTCCTAGTCAGAAGCTCGAGATCCTGGAGCAGCAGGAAGAGTTGATTGCGGATGAAAAGACCCAGCAGGAAAGAGAATTGAATGTCAAAGAAATGATACTGGACAATCAGAAAATGAACGCGCAAGAAGAAAAAGAAGAAGAGAGAGGCGCTCGTTCGACAGCGCAGCGACTGTTGGAATTGCATGAAGCCCTGAGAATCATGCCTTCTCGATCTGAAGTGAGGGAACAGTGTGAATCACAAGGCCGAAACAAAGACGATGTAGAGTTCATAGAATTGAGTGCCGACACCACCACCACCACCGCCACCACCACCACTACAGGAGCAGGTAGTCAACCACGAGTATCACTGTAAAAATAGCGGCTGAAATCCAATGGAAATAGAAATGAACGCGTTATCCTACATATCAGTTATTGACTATTGACTATTGACAACATTCTGCTTCGCCCTGATATGGCAAGAAGCAGAAGATTTTTTTATATATTCAAGAAAGTCGCGTAGTGCAAGCTGCTGGTGTAATATTCTCCTCGCCTCCTCAAAGTTGTAAAAGCCGTCTCCTACTGAATAACAACTCCCCATTCGTCTCGCAATATCGTCCTATTCTTCCCCCCTCCTCCACCGGTACCAACCGCAGCACCTCTATTCGTTTCGGCTGTTGCGGTACAAGGCCTCCTGGGTGACGGAGAGCTCATCAATCTCCGGTGCAACATCGGACAAAATCTCCTGTGCCTCCTTGTAGAACGAGAGCTGAGCAGCAACCAAGTCGGCCAAGTTTCGGAGAGGCTCGGGCTAAAAAAAAACAAAAAACAAATAGAACAATGGGCAGCAACGGTCAAGGAAGAAGAAAAAAAATTAATTAATAAAGAATGAAAACATATATCATTCGAACTTTTTTACAGGCCCTTGCCAAGACACAACTTACGTTTTCAAGAACGGTCTTCATAAGAGTAGTCGCCTCCTCAACAGCCGCAACAAACAAGTCCTCGGCCTGCTCAACCTCCACACGAGTAGCCTCTGACCTCTCAGGCCTGGCAGTCTTGTACTGAGCCTTCGCCGAGTCCAACGACAAGCGCGCATTCTGCACATTGCGTCTTGCCTTCATCGCAAATCCAATCTGCGTGTTCAACGTCGTTCCAAAAGGCTGCACAAACTTCGTCGTGATCTCCTGGTCCATCTTCAGACGGAAATCCCCAATCTTCTCTTGGACCGTCGCAAACTTGAACAGCGCCGAACCCATTGGCTCCTCCAGTCCTAATTGCTCTGATCCCTCAAAGCTCGCGCGAGAGAGCGCGTGCGCAAGAGTCTTTGGTGGAGCCGACTCCTTGCGCTCCTCCAGGGCCGCGGCCTCGGACGCTGCCTTTTCCGCGGGGGAAAGTGCGACCGACTGGATCCTGTCCGTCACAGTACGGCCGAAATCTCCGAGGGTCTCCTGAAGTTGCGCTGGGTAGTCGTACGACGAGTTCTGGTAGGTGCGGGTGACACGGAGGAGGTTGTTGTGCATGTTGCGGAGAGCATCAACGCGCTATTTTCAAGAGTGACAAGACATTCATTCGTGTCAATATTATGAGTTCAGATAACCGTCGATATGGTTATCGCTTATTGCATGTGCACATTATCATGAGTCGTCTGTTACCTTCTCCAAGTCCTTGTACTCCTGGGGAAGTTCAGTAATATCCTCGGCAGTTCCCATCTTTTCTTGGGCGAACTAGAAGCATTCAAAGTGTCGAAACGGGGTACCTGGTCAGTAACTACTCCAGCAAGAAGCACTCTTCGACTGCGCCTGGAGTCGCACCATCGCAGAGTGGGTGGCTGCGCTGCATGCCCAGATAAGGTGGAAGGCCGCGTGCTAGTTCGCTGGTTCTCTTCCTTTGAACCAGTACATATGACGTGCGGCGTGTGCTCGTAAGTGTCAACGTATATCTCATTGGCGGTCCTGCGTCCTGTATTCTACTTCATGCTTCCCAGCAACGACCGTCTTGAGCGTTGTCTCCGGGAAGGAAGGCGCGCGTCCTGCCAAGAAGAGTCTAAAGGCTTCTCCATCACTTTGTTGCCTTAAGCATCGAACAGACATCCAAGTAACGAGAATCCCTACCTGCTTGACCTGACCAAACTGCTTGTTGAGCTTGGCAGCAAGAGGGTTCAGCTGCTGTGAGAATGCCTTGAACTGGTCCATGATGAAGTGATGGCGACGGTGATGGTGTAGTGGAGTTGATGAAGAGTACAGAAATAGGGCAAATAGGGCGATGAGCGTTCTGGGTCTTTTGCTCCTTATCGGGCATTCAATTGATTTTTACTGCGTCTACTCCCACGCGCACTTGCTACGGCCGCGCCCACAAACATTCGACTTGGGTCCCGCGCATCTAAATCGTTGGGAGAATGACGTCGTTTGCGCCAGCTTGGAGTTCTTTATTCTTCAAGTTTGAATACCATTGTACGAATGGACAGCGGCAATTGTGCAGGAGACTCAATCGTTCTTCTTGTCCGTCTCGCTCTTGACTTCTTTCGTCTTCAAGAAGTCCCGCTCCTGCTGCTCTTGGTGCTTCGCTTCGATGTGTTCATGCGCCAGTTGATTCGCTACCACGGCAGAGGAAACTTCCGCTGCAAGTTTGTTCAGTTGCTTCTCGTACTGCTTGCTGAAGACTTCCATGTAGTAGCACGCGCCATTCCAGACACTGGCGGTGAACAGACCGACCAGGAAACCCGTGTTGAGCTTAAAGTTACGATAAAGCACCAGCGCAAACAAACATGTCACGAACTATAATAAGGTCAAATAAAAAACAATGTTAGGATGGCTGCAATGATGAAGATAACGGTGATCCTGCGACCCAATAGACCACAAGAGGGGCAAACCACTATCGACTTACGGTATAAATCAATTGGAGGCCCATAAAAGTGATAATGCTGTACTTTTCGCCAAAGGTATGTGCAGCCTTCGAGATGGCGCCTCCTTTGGGATCGTTCAGCAGCCAGGTGTAGGACGTTACGCGCTTTCCTGCCTCAATCTTTTCCCTCTGCCTCACGACCACGAAGACATAATAGGCGATCTGCCATGCGAGGTAGAGCGTAATGGCTGACTTGAGAGACGATGCTGTAGGCAAGACGTCCATGCCCTCCAATGCTGCAAAACGAGCATGGTTGGGATCTGGGTACAGCCATCGGACAGTGTACAATGTGATCGGTGGACTCATGTGGATGAAAACACTGGTGACCTTATCCAAGCTATTGAAGGGGGGGTTGATCCAAGCAAAAAGCTCATATCCGGTTAACCAAACTGCATAATGCGCTCCAAGCATGAAAGTAAACAAAGCGGGGCTTCCTTTACCTATGTAGGACAAGACTGTTGCGCCAAGTAACGATGGCAAAGGCGAGGGGTCCATGCGACAGCAACCAGACCGCTCCAAAGAGGGCCTGTGATTGAGGAAAAACGTAGAGATAAATGATCACGACGACATTTACCTACGCGGGGGTTAAGAAATATAAATAAGGGTTCATATGATTATCATTCACTCATGTATGTCCGCGAAAAAGAGAGCATGACGATATTATATAACCATCCGCGTGCATATGATGTGCCATATCCGTGGCTCTGAGACGACCACCGTAGCAAATGACACGCCGTTAGTACTTACGAAATAGCACATGTCGAGCAGGAAAAAGTGCCAGCTCTTCTTCTTGTACAAAATATAGCGGACGGCTATCAGGGTCACGGACTGAAGTGTGTGGATAAAAGGTATCCACTCGGGGTATTGAGCGACCAGCCAAGGGGTGCAACAGCTCCCAAGCATCCCCAGGGTGAATGCAACCTTGTCCATGAAGCGTACGACACTCGCTTTCTTCATGCTCTTCTTGAAGACCGCCATGGACGTGTCTATCTGCGATTTGAGGTTATTGGTGGTATTGTCGACCTGGTCGCGGATCTGGCGCTTTGTTGTCCCGACATGGTGGCGTAACTGATGTGTTGTCTTGTTGAGATCTGAGCGTAGGTTCCGGTAAACCTGGTTGGCGAGGACGGGCAACTCTGTCAGATCCTCCTCGAGGTTCTGCGAGATAAATGCGTCGAGACTGAAAGAAAGCTGTGTAAAGATATTGGGCATCAGACTGGGGCCCAATGCGGGGCTCGCAGGCTCGGAGAGGATGGCAGGGTCGGTCGAATGGGCGTCCTCATATGTATATTCGCCTGGTTCTGGTGCGGAGATGGACCGCTCGAGAGGCAGGGCCTCGGTGTCGGACATGTTTGCGGGTGCGTGATTATGAATGTCCTTTGTGGTGGCAGTGTTGTCGCGTGGCTGGGTGTCTGAGCCGTGTTCTTGGTGGGGGTCGTTGTCGCGTAGGTGTGGTTGTGTCGCGGTCATTCAGGATGGAATGAAGAAAAGCGGATGAGACCGAGATGCGTGGAGTGAAAAAGAGAGGAGAGGGGGGTGCGACTGGCCCCTCTGACCCAATTGGGAAGCCGCTACGTTGGGCCACAAACACATGCGGATGTGAAAATGAAAATGTCAGGGTGCGTTGTCCAATGTGCGTCATTTTGCCACCAAAATGCAGCGTCCAGCCTTTTCTGGAAGCCCAGACAACCTTGACTGAGCGCATGATGACATCTGCCCTCTGCGGACAAAACTGCTCCAGGCTGTGTCCCTGTGTGTCCCTGTGTCCCTGACTACTACTATTTTGGGCTCCCTTGGGCCCTATCGCGCAATGGATCAATTGGGCAGACACTCATCTTCCCATGTTTAGTTATGCATGAGCGTAGGATAACCACCTTAAAAAAGAGTCGTGCTTTGACACCCTCAAACAAGTCAAGTCAGGTCCTTGATTCATCCCTGCTGTTCGTCCGCACCTCAATAATCGTTTCCAGGACACGATAGCGGCAGCAGCGTGCATGTAATAAAAGAAAGAAATCGACTGCACGTATTTTTGCTGTGCCTGCCACTGGGCTCCACTTTCTTCAAAGTGTATGTTTCTCTGGCCTCAAAAAAAAAAAATGCCCGCACAGCTGCTGTGTCGGCTGCATTATCCAAGTGAAATAGTCTGGATTAGTTTTTTTTTTTCTAAAGATAACACTTGTTCCCAAGAAGGGCACATTGGACTCGACAAAGTTAATGCGCGCACACATAAGACGGACAAATTCGAAATCGGAAGCTGCCAATGGGACGAAAGCCAATAAGATCAATTATCAGTCAACAGGGCCAATCCCAGAGGGTTCGAGCACGGCACCAGAGGTATAGCACCACCATCGTCATTTACAGAACACCAGTAAATTGAAACAAATGAAAAGAAAAGACAACAGCGCCTGCCTCCTTGAACCTCACGACGGACTTTTTCATTTTTGAGACACCACAAACGATGATGATTCCCCCAGAATGGCTCCCCAATAAGAACAACCTCCGTTTCTCCTCGGAGTAATATAGACTGGCCGTGCTTAAATTTTGGTCTTTTGGCGCGAGTGAGCCTATGCTGAAACAGCCACCACCGCCACGTTGACAAGATGGACAATTTCATAAGCTCCTCGAGGACCAAACCTTCTTTCCAACGGTTAAGAGAAGAGGCCATCCTGACCAGACTCTTTACTGTTAAACCTCAAGACCAACATACCTCATCGACTTTGGTCTTTTAACTTGAGAGATACATTGCGTCTTGAGCAACTAACCATTCACAAGTGAGGCCTGCAGCACCCGTTGTTTGTTATCACAGCAACAGAGTGACACATTTGCACGAGCGTAAGGCTACACACAAACACTTGGTCCAAGAAATGAAAGGAAAGCCAAGAGCCTGACCCAAATGTGCTTTTCATCTATGCCGTCGGCAGGGTATGTACCGATTTGCACAGACAAAAATAAGGAAAAGCCCTGTGAGTGGACACCTCGGCAAATCGAATGCCGGTACCTGAATGGGAACACATGAATGACCCCGGAAGATTATTCCTGCAAGAGTTAAGGATACAATGGACAGGAACATAAAAGGTAAGGTCCGTTGCAATTATTCTTCCGTTCAATTACGTTTGGAGTGGTGATCTTTTCCCCCCACCCTCCCAGCATTTCTACGTACGCGAATGGGTGGACACGGATTTACGTTATTCATATCACTCCGACCGTAAGCGACTAGACAATTGTATTTTTGACGTGGATACATAGAGGTTATACAGCCCATATGGGGCACCACACGCCCTGTGCGGACGGACCGCTCTGCACCAATTGCGGCCTGGACTTCTCCCTTTGATTGCCAATCGTGATGCGGTAAGCAAATGTAGCAATCAGCAGCACCAGCATCAACAGCAGGTACTCGTCCCCCCCACCTGTTTCTGGAAATAAAGCATTTCGGTCAGGTTCCTTATCATGCAAGAAAATATCAGGCACTCTTCCTTTAGAGGCATCGAACAATTTTCCTGGCCTCCCCGCATGTGCCCCAGTCCGTCGTTAATCTATTTTTTGAAGACAACGTATCCACTCTCAATACGCGAATCAACCATATTGTCTCTAGACGACTAAGGTGGATAAGCTCTTATTTAAGAAATATCAGAAGGATCCATTTTTCTAAACGGTGTCAGGGGGAGACATTTTCTCGAGTATCTGGAAACAAGTGTCTCGTTCTTACCAGAGCGTCCAAAAAAAAAAAAAAAAAAAAAAAAAATGAAGTATAAAAGAAAAGATATGAGTGGTTCCAGTCGCGCGCGACAGATGATATGGGTCCTGTCTCCAGGGAACTCAAAAGCAGGCGTGGCGGGGTTTACATTTTCAATTTTCTACGCGTCTTCGCCTCGCAGTCTGTACTTTGGAAATAAACTTCCTTGTAATCTTGTCCGCTGTAAACTCTGTCAACCAGGCACCTCTCCTTACTGCACACTTTATTCGACACCATGATAATATCGAATGTCAAGACTCCTGTCTGTTCTATTTGAAAGACAAAGGTGTCTGGGTAACAGCACCCCTTGCCTTGATTTTAATCCAGTCCCCCGTCCTGTGCGTCCCTGAGAGCCGTTTGAAGTTCTACTTTGAGGAGCAAGGACAGAATAGAACAAAAAAAAACCGCAACCCGCTCTCCTTCATACATCCATGTTTCTATGTCTCCGTGTCTCCATGCCCCACCCCCCCATGTACCCATGCCTCCCCAATTCCCCAAAGAAAAAAGAAAAAGAAAAACGTCGAGCGCTCTTGTGGGGATCTAAATTTCTTGCCCACGGACCACATCCATTCATCCATACACGTCCACCGAACGAGCTATGGATGGAGGGCTGGTATAGTAAGAGAGGAACAGGGAAGGGAAGGAAAGAAAACAGACACAGAAATGTCGGTAGCGCTCACTTGCACCACACAGACGTCCTCTCTGTTTATGAGTTTGGCGTTCTGGGAATTCACTTTCTAAAACGGTGTCTCTTTTCTTTTTTTTTTCGCGTCCTAATCAGCTCGAAGATGTGATCGAGCTGCATACTGCATGTCGCACGTTTCCTGATCTACGTTGTTTGGCCATTGCTTAGTTAGTGGTTTAGCTCTCCCGGTTCGATTGAGCAGTCAAAGTAAACAATGGTCAAAAGATTAAAGGACAAAAAAAAATAAAAAGGCCACGCGTCCTTGCGTTCATTTATGTATACTCCCTTTGACCATTGGTACATGTGGCAAAACCAGTCAGTAATTGCAATCGTCCCAATCGTTGCCGGGAATCTAACCGTCAAATGCCATACCATAGAGCGACCTCATAACCTCAACAATACAATGCGTTAGAAGCAAGTGGGGCGTACAGTGGTGGCGTATGGACATGCACTGGGTGTAAGAAAAGGCGACGTGGGGGCTGTTGCCCAAGGTTCAATGCATTTACCTTGTGCAACCATCCAAATCTAGGGACCGTGCACAGCCCTAAACCATAACCGTATTGGTACGCGCCACCATTTTTGCCAAATGTCGAGAGCCAAGGGCAGGATCAAATGCAGCAGTTTGCAACGTATGCATGCATGCATGTAGAATGTTTTGGACATAGGGTTAAGTGGAACCCTTGTTTTATTTTATTTTTATTCAATGCATACCAGGGATACCAACATTCACTCATTATTGCATGGTCCATTTTGTTTTCCCTCCTTTGCTTCGCTTGTGTTCTACACTTTAACCTGCAAAAATCGAAGGCGACCATAGATCATTTATGCGCCCTGGTGACTACGATCGGAACTTCAAAACGAACATGGTCCTGGCTTTCATCGTGCAATCGATAGTTCTCATGATCATCCTTCACTCGTTCATCAAGGAGTGAGTTGACACGAATCGTAGTTAGCAAGGCTTTTTGTTCTTGCTAGCGCGCGTAAATCAAACCACTCATTCCCCGTATTATTTTCCCTTCGCATTTATTAGGCACGGTTCCTGGCCAGCTCCCTTATATTGGCCGTTGAGGATAACGACTCTAGCGATGATAGAGCAGAGGGGAACGCAGTAACCGTCAAGAGGAACCAGGCTTGCAGAAGCCTCGAGCGGGCTATCGACGGCTTTCGCGGATATGCGATCAAAGGGGGGTAAAGGGGTGGAAGATATGTTGGCATTTGAGCAACATAGGCAACGTTTCATCTTTATTTGATGGTCCGCCAAATACCCTCCCTCTCTTGTCCTGCAATCCTAAGTGATGTTTTCTGTCATGGGACGCCAGGGTGATATGCAGGCTACATAAGTAAACACATACAAATAAAAGCAATCGAGGATCGCCTGGCTCTTTCTCATTGTCGATGTGAACCTTTCTAGTAAATGGCTCTATCGAAGGACACGAATACCTGAAATGTGGTGCCACTCAATATATAAAATAAAAATCAGGGGAAGGAAATTGCCATCTCTCAGGGACAACACCAGGGACGAAGAAACGCGGAGACTAGAAGCTTGAGAATATGCGTTGAAGAGGGGTTTGCTTATCCATTCAGGCAGCATATCTAGCGCCGTAGGATGTTGCTTTTAGCTCACAAGGTCTAAGCTAAACCCTGTTGCAGTAAAGAGACCTCTTCAACCCTTTAAACATTAGCCAAATGATTCCACAGATTGGCTCAATGATCGATCCAACCTCCACAGGACAAAGTGTTTGGGGACGCTTGGGGTTCTTGACGGGCATAGACCGGCCGTTTTGCTACAGCCACTGTTTCTATGAGAAATCAGTTGCTGCACTACAAGCGACCAGAACAATTCGTATCATGCATCGGGGATACTTTTGACGGTCGCGTCGCTAAATCTCAACATGGTTCTAGGAAAGCTCTGGGACTTCAAAAGCAATCTCCATGCATCGCACGTTGGTTTTTTTGTAATCCACAATTCTAAACGAGCCAGAGATCTCTCTCTCTCTCGCACACAAATCGGGGTGGACGAAGACCACGAGTAGAAAAAAAAAAAAGAGTACTTTGGACATTAGTAAGTAAAAATACAACCTGATGTTATCCATCTGTACACAAAGGTACTTCCATCCATACATACTGACCGCCTTATTCGAGTTTCTCAGTCAAGTAGATTAGATACCATATGTGCCTTGATAATCATTCTTCACAACTAAGGCATTTGGACAATTGGTCCCCCCGCGACCATCGGTCCCTTTCATTTTTTCCCACAATGCATTTATGCAGGCATCGTAGTCTTTGTGATTGGGCATATATCATAACACTGCAGTTTCGCGTATATCCAAGCGTCTATATTGACTAGTCGATGTTGGCAATGATAAGTGATGTATGGGGGAGGAGGGGGAGTTTTTTTTAGCTACTATTATGGTGGCAAACAACGGTCCTTCTGAAGGAACTCTGTGGAGAATTACGCTTACAGTTCAGGTCCGCTTGGACAATGAAGTGCAATTCTTAACTGAACAATGTTTATTTGATTGGGTTTCTACGTACAAAGACCAGTTGGAGAGGAGGGGGAGGGGGAAAGGGATCTCCCTACCGTCATCTCGACCTATGGGAACCGAGCAAAGACCCAAAAAAGAATTGTGATCGAATTCCAAAACAGTGAAAACGGCGATTCCCTTGGGCAAACCAACCATGATGTGCAATTCATGCTTGAAAGCAGGATGGTGAACCCTTTGTCATTTCTGGGCCCGTCTACGGATCACCAGGATCCTCAATTATTGCTTTCCAAGAAAAAAAGAAAAAAGAAAAAGAAAAGCGCGGCAAGGCGGGAAAGCGCTGCAGCGTAGTTTGAAAGTAAGAGGGAAAAAAAAAAAAAAGGAGGTAGAAAGATATAATCCTAGCTCTAGTTGCCATTGAAGGATCGTCCGTGTCGAAATCGTTTCGTTGATATCTCTGGAATCCAATGCAATAAATACCGCGTCGTAAGAATAACTCATACGACGAACATATGCAATGAATTCGTTGGGTGTTCAAACATCCCCGAAATCCCATCGGCTTATCTATCTACAGTGGGAGATGCTTGACGTCCGATGCGATGCAATTCTTTCTCATGCGAAAACCCTTCAATGTGTGGTAGATTCTCTCAAAGCGAGTCAGACATTTACTTCATCGCAGCAATCTGTTCCGGAGCTGGAGTCCCCAGTCCTCAGTCCCCAGAAAACAAATGTAATAGCCAGGAAGAGTTGAAATGGACACTGATACAATAAGTGAGACTAGATTGCAGCGAATTTTAGTAGCCATCATCAGAGCCATCGGTAGTGGCAAGTTGTAGCAGATAACAAAACGGGCTAGTAGACAACAGTTGCCCGAGAAGGAAGTGGTTCCTCCTGCCCCTCCCCCCTTCGCCCCTTTGCAACCTTTGCAACGGATTGGAATTATAGGAAGCAATTAACGCAGAGGGCACTCAATTGACCTGGACCTGCTGGACATAAAACATGGACACGAGTATGTGAAGATAGCATATGAGTACGCACAGCGCTGTACACAATGTTGGCATTCGTGTATCCCGCTCTGAAATGCAGTTGTTCTGTTTAATAAGGACTGCGTCGGTTGTCCTTTTGCACCCAAAATAAGCCCTTGAGGACGATGGAGGAAGAAGGATCGAGGCGTGGTTGGGTGGCCAGGAGGGATGTGGACGAAGGGGAGGGATGGCTCATACACAGACACCGACTGGGCTGTGAAGAAGAGAGAGTAGATAGTCGATGCAATCAATAGGGCGAGTGACTGAGTGAATGAATGTATGAATGAATGGAAGTATCTTTGAAGCTGTAACAATGAAAGGAAAATAGCATAATTGAATACTCTCTGACTGAATTGAGGAGAAGAAGAAGAAGAGGGGGAGGGGGGGCAGAGGTTTTGTTGTTCACATTTTACGATTCAATTGTCTTGGTTTACTTTGCTTTAATATAGTTTGCTATACTTTTCTGGTCCACAAACAAACATATACAGTACCTCTGTCCGAATGAATGCATCACATATAGTCAACTCACCCTCTTCCTCTCTTCCCACAGACCACATACATATAAATACCTGTGCACACAACGCGCTTTCCCTCTTCCCTTCTTTGTCATCTCACTCTTTTATTGCCACCAATTTATATCTGAACAAGCCCTCGGATCAACCCTCGTCTTCTCTTTCCTCTTCGCCCGTTCTATTCCCTTGAACGTCCTTTTTCTTCCTCTTCCTCCTCTTCCTCTTCCTCCCCCTCTTCCTTCTTTCTTTTTTCTTTTGGCCAGTAACTGTTCTTCACCCCACAGCAGTCGAAGAAGCAATCCTGTTGAGAACAGAATCCCATCCTGCCAACATCATCATCCCCATAAAAAAAGAAAAGAAAAAGAAGATCAGATTCCACAAAGAACGGTTCATATCATTATATCTACCTTCGCTGTAATTGCCCTTCTCCTGCCATCTCAGAGGACCAACAACATCCAGTATCGATACCAACATCAGCAACGAACATTGACATCAACGTCAACAACAGCAACAATAGCAACAGCAGCAACAACAACAGCAGCAACAACAACAGCAGCAGCAGCGGCATAGAAAAGTAGTCTAACCAGCCAGTCAGTCCGCCAGTCAGTCAGCAAACAAGTCAAGTCAAGTCAAAGCAAGGTCATCGGTTACACGGTCCTGTCTAGAATTTTAATTCTTTCCAGCTACCTTTTTTCATCTACACATTACAATCCCATTGCGTTGGTTTACTTCCCTTCGCGTCCGTTGCTTGCTTTGGTATAAATTCTTTCCTTGTCCTCCCCTCCTTCCCTTTTCCTTCCCTTTTCCTTCCCTTTTCTCCCTTCACTCTCGACTCAGCTTCCTTTCGCCCTCGTCAGTTCCTTCTCTTTCTTTCTCTCGTGCTACCAACCCGTCCACCCATACAGCACCACCATAGTCGACCACCATCATCACCAACAACATGCCCTCACTCGCAGAGCCAAAGACCTACTCCAACAGGAGCCTCGACAAGCTGTTTCGCAGCCCGGTGACCCAGCATATGATAGGTGAGTCCTGAACGGCCATGTCTTTCTCCTCTTTGCGCCTGCCTTATCCGGTATTCCCGCCCCTCTCCCTCCATTCCATCCACTCACATCCAAGGCAACGTCTGTGTCTGTCTGTCCGTTGGTCCATGTTTCTCGCTCCTCCACATCCCCCTCCCCTTCATCCGCACCCCCTATACCGCCTCTATCGCCACGACAATGGACGACATGAAAACCCCCCTCCATCAGAAACCAACTGTTGCCATGCAGGATCCAAATGAATCTATTCTATTATTGACCTCTTATTCTATTTGCCTGTACCTCACCCAGATCACATTGCCTCCTACGCCAGCACAGTCATCGAGTGCAATCCGCCTCCAGCCATTGACGCCTACACATTGCCCTCGCCCCCAAACACCCCCGCCAACCGCTCGCGCATGAGCAGCGGTCACACCGAGCCCCCAACGGTCGTGGTCCCGCCCCTGAACGACTTTATCCGTCTCCTGGTCATCAACTCGAATGTCCAGGCTTCCACTCTGCTTCCCACGCTCGTCTACCTCGAGCGTCTGAAATACAAGCTGCCAGTAGCTGCCAAGGGTAAGTCAGAGATGAGCTGCACGAATCTAATTCATTCATCATTACATCAAGAACGGAGAGCACGGAAAATTATTCAACAGCGAGGGAAAAAAAAAGGGTTCAATTGTCCCGTTCGTTCTCCACCTTCCTCCTTTGCTTCCTGGGTCTGTTCTCTGTGTAGACTGCCCGTTCTTTTTCTTTTCCTTTTCTTTAAGAACGCGGTGTGTCTATGCGATTATGAACGTGTGATGATCATTATGAACTATGGATGGCATACAAAGGATTGCCCGTGGTGTGTGCGTGTCGGAACATTACATTTGAGTTTGTTTTCTAGGGAGATGAATCGTAATTAGATGAATACTGGGGCGTATATGAGCGAGGACGAGTAGAAAGTACTATGTACTATGACGCTTCTGTCAAATCTAAAAAAGGCCAGCAAAAAATGAGCGCAGATGAATCTGTTCCCCAGATCTGGATCGGGCGCACAAGGCAAGCTGCGTGCGTACTACACAGAAATCGAACGGGTGAGCAATTTGGGCGGTCAATTTATTTCAGCTGTCCACTTGGGCGCACGCATTGTAACGGCCATGTCATCGCTGTGGTTCAAAACCTTCTGTGCATCGCGATTCTTCCTGCCTACGATATGGCTATCAGCATCTTAGCACTCGTTTTGTTCTGTTGCATGGAGCTCTGGGTCGTGGCGTGGGTCTGAGAGTCGCGCGCGGTATCGCATTGTTACACTATTGCAATCCGAACTAGTCTAACAGACTAACACAAACAGAACAAACAAAAACAACGGCAGTGGTTTTTTAAGCTTCCGCGAATGCGATCATCGTTTTCCCTTTCCATTTCCGTTTGATTCGTTGCTGCTCTTATCTCCCACCCCCCAACACATGTCGGCTATACGGACACAAAGCAGCTCTTATCCCTCTCTCTATCCCTCCATCGAGTTGGTGGCGGTCACCTAGCAAGCTTATTTGCCTGCAATGCATAATTAGTCTACAAGTGCCAACCGCTGACGTCTTCCTTTGTCATCTTGACACTATATCTCATAGGGATGCACTGCACATGCCATCGTGTCTTCCTTGCCACGCTTATTGTCGCCGCGAAATACCTGAACGACCAGTCACCCAAGAACAAGCACTGGTCCGCACACTCCAACGTCTTCTCGGTTGGAGAGGTCAACCTGATGGAGAAGCAATTGCTCTCACTCCTCGATTTTGATCTGCGCATCACTGAGGAAGACCTTGCCTCAAGTCTCCAGGGCTTCCTACAGATGCAAGCTGCTTCAACCTCCGTTTCGTCCTCCGCAGCTGTCCCACCTGTTCCTCCAATGGATGCTCAGACCCGTTACGTCTCACCTATTTCCAAAGTTGGCTCGGTCCCTTCGCCAAGCAGTGCTTACATTCCTCAGGCTATCCCCATCAACCAGCCTAGCTCCAACAAGCGTGGTTCCATCAGTCGGCGGAGCGTAGCCGATGTTGCTGTTGAGCAGCCACGTCAGGAGCCATTCAAACGACGCCCATCACTGCCTAATCAGCCCTGCCTGGAGGATGGCGAGGTCATGCCTGTGTACAAGGGTCCTATCCGCAACAACCAAGACCAGTATCCATCTCCTGACAGTGGCCCAGACAGCACGAGTGGCTCTTCGGCCGGCCATGTCGGTGTGAAGAAGGCATGGATCGCATCCGCAGGGTCAATGTACAGCTCTACATCCAACCCTCGCCTGACTCGCATGCCTCAGCCAGTGATAGCCATCGTTGAGCCCCAGATTATCAATGCCGGCTACGCTGGCCAAGAGACTGGCGACAGACGAGACGGACGAAAGTACGGCTCTAGTCGCGCTATGTGCTAATGTTGCTATATGAAGTTCCCTCACCAACCACCATCCTTCGTCGTTGCAGCGAATCTCTTATTTTCCAAGAAAGAAAAAAACCCTCCGACCTTGTATTTTTATTGTAGTTTAGTTGCCTTTGCATCTTTTTATTGCAACTCAAAGGTAGTTCCTACAGCTTTCTGTATATTATTAAATTGTATGAAAACATTGCAAACTGTATGAAGATGCCCTTGCTGTGTTGTGTAATTCCATGAGTTCAAGCGACCGCGCTTTTCCTTTTTTTTTGGGAGGAGGGGGGATTTAGTAGCAAGGACAAAGACCACTCCGCGTCCACTGCATCTGTGGATCTATGGTCCGGAAGGTCGTGTCTGACTCTTGCTTCGTTCGTTTTCCAAATACACACGTGATGTTACTATATATCCCACTTTGTCCCTCCTCCCCCTCCCCCTCCCCTTCCCAGGAGTGAACCAAAACCAAAGCCAGAGCTGTTTGTTTGCAGGACCATGGAACCGATAGAAGACCCACCGCAGGTGGCCAAGCTGCGATCGCTACTGAACAGGAGCGCACGGATCGAGATCACGGATGGACGGTTGTTTGTCGGTCAGTTCATGTGTATTGATCATTCCAAAAACATCATCCTCGCGGGCGCCTATGAATCAAGACCTTTGTCCTCTGCAGCAGCAGCAGGAGGCACAGGTGCAAATGCTTCAACGGTGAGTCAGGATATAAAGGCCATTGCGGCAGCCACCTCTGCCGCGATCTCGGCGTCCAATTCGGCTTCGGCTTCAGGAGCAGGATCGCCAGGAGTGGCGGCGGCGGTGGCGGTTTCGGGAGATTCTTCAGAGGAGGCGACGCCGAAACCGAGGCCGGGGATCCTTAAACGGAACTCGGAGGAAGAAGGCAGGTTCTTTTTTTTTTTTTTTTTTTTTTCGTGGGATATGACATTCCCCATGCTATTTTCGTCCTTAAAAAACATTCTCTATGGCAGAAACATGTTTCTAACGCTCGTTTTTTTATTATTATTCATGATCCTGATGTTCTTTCGATTCCTTTTTATAGAAAAGAGATTTGTGGGACAGATCATGATCCCGGGACATCATATTGTCAAGGCAGAGATGGACTGCAGTCATTTGCGGGGCGCGGATTCACGGTTAAAGGCACCTTTGACCTACAACCTCGATTACTTGTTAGGATGATCCGGCATTACATACCAACACTACATCTCCTTCGATATCTCTCATCAGCATCGCAGCCCGAGCATTTTTGTAACATATTAAAACATCGTAATTCAATGTCCAGATCTTTTGACGAGAACGAGAGAGAGAGAGTGAGAGTGAGTGAGTGAATGAGGAACGACGAGATATAATGTCTATGCATGTTGTACATGCCTCTTTATTCCATAAACCACTCTTGCATTTATCCCACCTCAAACCCCCCCCCCCCCCTCCTCCGACGGCTGTCTATACTGTCTTCTCCACGGGACGATTCCACTCCTTCGGGAACCGGACCTTGGGCTTCATATTCTTGGCCGCATGTCTCAGATCCAAGGGTACATCCGCCACAGCCTCGGGATCGTTCTTTGCCTCATTGATCAACCTGTCCAATGTATCGCTCAACCACTTGAAGTTCTGGGATCGATCCTGAAACTTTTCGCAGCTCATCTTCACCACCTTCTTCATGGGATCGTAACGTGATCCGACCAACAACAGGAATTTGTGGAGCTCTGGGTTGGTGAGCGGTAGGGATTGGGTCTCGACGGTGAGGACCACTTTGGGGGCGGCGGGGTGGTTCACTTCGCCAATGTAGGTCGTTGTACGGAACTTGAGGATCTGGGTCTTGGTTGGAGGCTGGAAGGGCTTCACGAAGGCTAATGACAAGAGAAAAACGTGTGCGTGCAAACGTTCGTGTGGTTAATTAGATGGTCGGCTTTTTTTTTTTTTTTTTTTTTTTTTTTTTAAAAAAAAAAAAAAAAAATTGTTATAAAGTAGCATTGGAGCCGTACTTGTCCTGGCGAGATCAGGATTCCAAGATACGGCTCCCAATGGATTTTTTTCAACACAAAAAGCGTTTTCTTTACCCTTCAGCTTGGGGATCTCGTATTTGGCAATACGAAGGTATTTCCTGACTTCCCGCTGGGCCTCCAAAGTATCGTAACCGGCCTATAGATATATATATTTCCAACAAAACGAACAAACAAACAGCATGAGTGTTTCCGCTGTGTAGTTTCTCGCTACACATTCTCCACAAAAGTCCTGTAAAAACAAAAACCCCTGCAGCAAGGTGGAGGAAAAAAAAAAAACGTACAGTGGTCGAGTCATCAAACTGGTATTCCTCGAGGTTGGAGATATCCAACATATCCTTGTTGCTGCCTGAATTACGGATAGCGCCCAATGCAGAGGAACGGGGTCTGTCCGCAGAGATGGGCGAGGTCATCAGTGTGCGGACAGCTTGTCTCTGCATTGAAGCTGCAGTCATGCCCACGACTGGCGTCCTTGTGATTGAGCGCAACATGGCCAATGTCCTTGAGAGTTTGTGAGAAGTCCGGGATGCGAAAGCAAAAAGGGAGGGGCGGGAGGTTCGTATGTTATTGTAGGGGGGCGGTGCTTGGGTCCCGTTGTTTCCGTTTGTTGCGTCCCAGTTCGGTTCCTGACGAGCAAGAGAGGAATGGGTTCTGGTGGAGCTGAGGGGTGGGGGGCTTTTTTGTTGTTTATCGGAGGACAAGGGGGATGGATCAATGGGGAAGGCGATCTGATTAAGGGTATTGCGAACTGACACGAAACTCAAAAAAAATTGGCTCCACAGTGTACGTGGAGGTGGGATAGATACGCGAAGAGGAGTGCTGTTTGTTATCTGCCTCTTCTTCTTTCTTCATCTCTCACCTCTCCCACTTGCTCATATACCACCTTCCCTCAACAGCACTCTAAGCACTATGGGTCTTCTCGATATCGTCCCTGCTGGTGTCATCACCGGCGACAACGTCCGCAAGGTCTTCAAATACGCCTCCGAACAAGGCTTTGCCATCCCCGCCATCAACTGCACCTCCTCTTCCAGCGTGAACGCTGCTATCGGTAAGTAAAGCAAATTGAACCAAAGCCATTCCACTCTACCGAGCGCATTTCCTTATTATAAACTGTCTCTCTTTTTTTTTTTTTTCGTTCCCCATTTGCATTTGGTTGTGTATTTATGCGTGTTCATCACATCGGATAATAGAGGCCGCTCGTGATGCAAAGGCACCGATTATCATCCAGTTCTCAAACGGAGGAGCCGCCTACTATGCCGGTAAGGGCATCTCCAACAAGAACGAGGCTGCCTCGATCCTCGGCGCCGTCGCCGGTGCGCACCACGTCCGCACAGTCGCCAAGGCCTACGGAGTCCCCGTTATCCTGCACTCGGATCACTGCGCCAAGAAGCTCCTCCCCTGGTTCGATGGTATGCTCGCCGCTGATGAAGAGTACTTTGCCAAGCATGGCGAGCCCCTCTTCTCATCCCACATGCTCGATCTCTCCGAGGAGAGCAAGGAAGAGAACATCGAGATCTGTGTCAAGTACCTCGAGCGCATGGCTAAGATCAACTGCCATCTCGAGATGGAGATCGGTATCACGGGGGGTGAGGAGGACGGTGTCGATAACTCGGAGGTTGATAACGCGTCATTGTACACCCAGCCCCAGGATATTCTTGATATCTATAATGCTTTCTCGAAGATCACGGATCTGTTCTCGATCGCTGCCGCGTTCGGAAACGTCCACGGTGTGTATGCCCCTGGAAACGTCAAGCTGCACCCTGAGCTCTTGGGCAAGCACCAGGAGTTTGTGAAGGAGCAATTGAAGCTCGAATCGGATAAGCCAGTCTGGTTTGTCTTCCATGGAGGCTCTGGATCGACCGAGCAGGACATCAAGACCGCTGTGGGCTTTGGCGTTGTCAAGATGAACGTCGACACTGGTGAGTTTTACACGACTGCATGAGTGCCTGGAGATATCTTATCGTGATGACTGCCACGCTTAGTTTCCTGTCTCCAAAATCGATTTGGGCGGAGAAAGGACTGATTGTCCTTGTGGAGAAAACAATCTATTTTTCTTATTTTTCAAGATAAGAAAAGTGGGCGTTTTGGATCGTGTTTGTTGAGATAAAGAACGATATCGGATTATTTCCAGCGGCAACAAAAGACAAGGTCGACGGGACAAAGCAAGTCAGGAATGCGACATCAACTCTAATCGAGCCTTGATCAGAAATGGACTACATCGCATGCATGGGACGCGTCGTCGACATGTCATATTCTTTTATCTTATCGCTGCACCCTCGAACCTTAAACATGACAAACCATCTTTCCTTCCATCGCATGTGTAATAGATACCCAGTGGGCCTACTGGGAGGGCATCAAGAACTTTTACGAGAGCAAGAAGGTGGGTCTACAGCTCTGCAGCGCATGTGCACTACAGACACTCCATGTTGTAAAAACGATCGAGCACGTTGCTGACATCGATGCTTTCTTTTTTTTTTTTTTTTCACACCTATCTTTTTTGTCCCCCCGACAGGGCTACTTGCAAGGACAGGTCGGAAACCCCGAGGGCCCTAGCAAGCCTAACAAGAAGTTTTACGATCCCCGTGTCTGGGTCCGTGAGGGCGAGAAGACCATGTACGACCGCGTCAAGGTCGCCTGCAAGGACCTCGGAAACGTCGATCGCCTGTAAAATAGCCCTACACTGTCTCCCCCCCCCTCCCTCGTCCTCGCTCTCCCTCTTTCTCCTCCTCCGCTCATATATCGAGCTTTTTATTTTTCATTTCTTTCAGTACATTTTCCTCAACCAAGACATGATGAGCGCTCCACCACTGTCGTTGAGCGCAGCTCTTCTTTGTGCAATACCTAGTATGAACTCTGTTCTCTCTCATAAAAAAAAAAACAAACACTGCGATCACGAAAAAGTTTTCCAGTGGAATGGTACGTTGTCTTTTTTTTCGTTTTTCAAAGGAGGACCGGTCAGCTGTTCGTTATTTGAGATATGCACCCTGAACTACATGCCTTGACTAGACCCTCGTCTGAACAGTCCGTGTCCCCCGTTTTTCATGCAGTTCCAAAAAAATAAATAAATAAAATAATAAAATAAAATAAAAAGAAGTCAATTGTATGTAGACTACCCGTTTAGCAACATCCCCCGATTGGCAGAGATGTTTCGCAGCTTGGCTGTCTTAGTCTGTGCACCAGAGACCCATAGAACCAGAAACCCAGAGGAATGAATGGATGCACAGCTGCACCCTTTTTTGGAGGGGAGTCCAGAAGAAACTAACAGCGCGGAGAAAAAAAAAAAAAAAAAAAAAAGATGCTTTTTGATGACGATAGTTGTTAATGCATCGTGACCAAGGCCAAAGGCTATTTCCAATATTAAAAGCAACTGGGGGGGGGACGGGTAGCCGCAGTTGAAGCCTCCAACATCCACACTGGATATATACATGTGTACAAACAAATAAACAAATGAATAAACACATAAATAATAAATATACAAACAAACAAGCAAACAGGCGGAGGAGGAGGAAGAATGAATGAATGAAGGGCGATAAAAACAGAACCATGGCTCTCATGAAAATGACAAATGGATGGTTGGATGGTTGGATGGTTGGTTGGTTGGATTGTACCTTTGGCGTTGCTCACTCGCTATGCTCTCTTTTTTTTCGCTTCTCGGCCTTGGACTATGAAAGAGAGGGAAAGTGAGAGGGTGCATGAGTGCGTGAGTGAGTGAGTGGGGTGTTCAAATAGATTTTGGCTTCGTAGTCACGTCCCTCCAGAATTGACCCGATGATCAGGAGGGAGAGACAGCCGGGGCAATTGAGGCCATTGGAGGCAGAGAAGGACAGGGTGCATGAATGGGACTGACGGGTTCCGGGAAATGGAAATGGAAATGGGGGGGGGATGCATGTGTTATGCACCCCATGTAGCACAGTATATAGCTTCTTCCCCTCTGGCTGGTATCTCTGGCGATGATGATGGCGATGGCGATGATGCGGTTGACGCTGTTGGTGCAGCAGGGAGGGGAGGGAGGGAGTGCCGAAGCGATGCGCGGTGACGAGAGAAGGGGACACAAATTAGGTTTGGTGCCTGAGAATCACAAACAACACGGCCCACTCATGCATCCACGTAATAATAATAATATACATATATAAACGTGTTCCCCATCTCCTTCCCCCCCTCCTCCTCCTCCAAACCCATCCTTCCTTCTTCATCATCTCTCCAACCCATCCCTCTCCATCCGCTTCATCCGCCACTAAAAGTAAAGCCCTCGCTCATTCACCTCCCTCTTTCCCCTTCCTACTCACCGCCCTTCGTATCCAACATGGCTCAAGGTAGGACATCTTTTTCTCTCTCTCTCTCTCTCTCTCTCTCTCTCTCTCTCTCTCTCTCTCTCTCTCTCTCTCTCTCTCTCTCTCTCTCTCTCTCTCTCTCTCTCTCTCTCTCTCTCTCTCTTTCTATTCTTCCGACTGCGCTTCTCTTCTCTTCTTTTCCGTTAATATTACTCTGAGTAATACTCGCTCTAACCGCTCCTTTCCCTATTTCCCTCCTCAATCTCTGCTTCCCTCCCCAAAGTGCTCCATCTTGAACAGTTCCGCCTTAGTCAGGAGGCTGCCAAGTCCTTTGACGACGACCTCGACTTTTGCCCCAGCTTGACCGCCAAGGAGGTAAAAACAACAAAAAACACCCGAAACCCTCTCCTCTTTACCTAGCCACTATCGCTCCTCTCTTCGGGATGAAAAGAAGAAGAAAGAGGCGATACTCTTTACCCCGCACACACAAACATACACAGCGCACATATACACGCGCTTTGATGTTTTATCGCGTCTATGTTCGTTTGGCATGTATTTCCCTGTGGGGATGCGGGATGCCCAGGGAAAACAAAGTGGATGTCTCAGGTCATGTCCTCCCCATCGGCATAAATATGCGCCTGGCGCACATGTAGCCTATCATCTGCTGTAATGCAGCCTGCCTCCCCCATCTGCTTTACATGTTCCCTCTCTCTCCCACTCTTTCTTCTCATCCTCATGCATACTTTTTTCTGTTTGTTTCTCTTCTGCTCGACCGCTTGACCGCTCGACCACAAACACCATTTCACGTTGGCCTCCTTCCCTCCCTCGCTTTTGTATTTGTTTGTTTGTAAATGCAGCATTCTTTGCCTTTAAGGCAGGCTCATCTTTTTTTTTTTTTTTGTCATCATGTCCGTTTTATGTCCATCCGTCGTTTGTTTGTGCGTGGTTTTTATATGTGTGGATGTGGATGTGTATGTGTGAATGTGTATGTGTGAATGTGTGTGTGAGCGTGATGTGTCTGCCCCAAGAGTAATAATACACCTGTCCTTCCCATCCTACCCTACGCCCAATCTCATTTTCTAACGCGAATGGTATTGCTTGCTCCATTTCCATCAATCTGTAGCTATCCGAGATTATCCTGGCATCGATCCTCGCTCAAAAGGAGAACCAGGCCAAGCAGCAGCAACAACGCTCCCCCAACTTGCCCACAACTGCCGCCGCATCGACGGCCACTGCCTCGCGAGCCATCACCATCGTTGACCCGGCCAGTCGCACACCCCTGTACCTTCCTCCCGCGACTACCACACCCAAAACCAACCGCTCGGGTCGTTTCTCTGGCTCGACCACCCCTGCCACAGCTGGACTGATGGCCCAATCGGACTCTTATTTCAACATCATGCCTGCTTCGAGCCGCCAGCACCACCAGCATCAACAGCAGCACCAGCAGCAGCAGTCGATGTTCAACAATCCCTATGGATCCTTTGGCTATGCATTCACAGCGCAGGCCCAGCAACATCAGCAGCAGGCGTACTCGATGGGCATGACCAGCCCCACCATGGCCTCGTACTCCCCTCCCCGTCTTGCCAACCGGATACCGATTGTGAACCCCGACAATGGCACCATTGTCTCCGTTCCTGAGGCACCCGCTGCCTCGCCTGCATGGCACCAGCAGCACTTTGTCGCTGTGCGATAAAGTACTCAAAGCTAATGGCCATTGTAGTTGTACACTCACCCACACTCTGTACCGCATTATTATCTTTTTTTTTTTTTTATTCCTTCGTTCAAGTCTTGTTTATACTCATATTCACACACACGCTGTACCATCTTACACTGTCCAACATAGTACCATCCCTCCACTCTCCACCGTTTTTCTTTCTTCTCTTTGGCGACAAATGCAACTCGATAAGAGTCTGTATGTGTCCCTGTAATGACCCATTTTTGTTTTTGCTCTATATTACATACGTCTATACCCTTTCCTTGTCTCTCCCCACACCTACACATAGTTTCTTTCTGCTGATACAAATACTTGTCCATAAACTTATACACTTATACATACAAATAAACCATTCTATTTAGCAAACATCGCTGGTATCGCATGGCATAGCAATTGTGCGAAAAAGGAGAGAGAGAGCGAGAGGAGCTATGCTCTACATCCTATCAACAATGCGCACAATGCGCTGACAAATGGTCTAGGAAACCCTAGATTCTTCGAGCATCGATGTGAGCTTGGGCCGGGTCATAACCATAGTCCACAAACAACACATATTTTTTTGTTCCGCTCAGACGAATCAAGTCTCATCCACTTTTCACCATTCCGCATTCGCCAAACTAAAAAGACAACGCATCAGGCGGCATAAAAAGACGAATACGAAGAAAGCATGTCAGTTGGCACGGTTGTCCCATTCATCAACGACTTTTTGGTCATCAACGGAGATGCCTCGACGACGATCGGAGGCCCCGTCCCCGAAGGACGCACCAAAGTCGTCGTGCTCGAGTTCTGGGCCACGTAAGCTGCCTGGACTATATTTTCGCATTATAGCCATGGGACATGGACCTTGGTAGAGGATGCTAATGCTATGTATTTTACATTGGCGCGCCAATCGATGTATTACTTACTGTACACAGTTGGTGCGGGCCATGCCTTCAGAGGTGAGCATATCGATGATATATGTTATGCTGCTAGAGGATGTTATGATTTGCAATCGACAGACGATGACTAACATCGACGACGGTACTGGTTCTTTTGAATAGCATCCCGCATCTGTCGGAACTGCAGCGCAAGTACAAGGATGTGGACGTGACCATCGTCGGTGCGACCAACGAGAAGGATGAACAGGTACTTACTATACACGCTACGCTGCGCACGTCGTTGAGCTGTGCTGTTGCGAATGGTGGCGCGAGCATGAAATAAAAACATGGATGGATGTATCTGACGGTCCTTTCTTTTTTTTTTTTTTTTTCTTTTTTTTGCTTGTTTCGTGTTAGAAAATTCGCGACTTTGCAAACAGCAACTCGATGGACTACACGGTTGTCATCGACACGAACCAGTCGTTGTTCTCGAGTATGTCTTTCGTTTTTTTACGCGTCTACCAACATAGCTATGAACAAAGCAAAAAAAAAAAAAGAAGAGAAAGCGACGCGTCGCTCGTTCTATCTCCCGCTCAACCATAGCTCCATCCACTCAACTCCACCTATCTGTTTATCATAGAGGTGTTCAAGGCAAGCGGTGCAACAGGTATCCCCTTCGCAGCCGTGGTCGTCAACAACAAGATCGTGTTTTCAGGACATCCCATGGACCCACAGTTTGCAAAGACTCTCGAGGACGCAGCCTCCAAGGCCTCGTCCACACGCAAGGAGCCCGTGGCCTTGCCGTTGGTCACACAGACGTACGAGGAACTGATGCAGTTGAGACCCAAGGAATTGAGACAGATCTTAGAGGACCGGGGTATCAGGACCACGGGGTGCTCGGAGAAGGGCGATTTTGCCAAGCTCATCGTCGAGACTTGTAGAAATACGCAATATTATCGTCAAGAGTGATAGCGAGCGGGGTGTCAGTGCAGTTGACGAATAAAAAAGAAGTTGGCGGTTCTTCCACACGTCTCTTCTCTCGATACTGCTTTTCATTCTTTCATATCTTACAAAGAACACACACTTTCTTTCTTTCACTCCAACACTTTAAGCTACATTCATCACCCCCCACTAAACGCAAAACAACACCACCCTTTCTGACACTATCTTCCTATAACACCATGGCAGACGGACCCAAGAACCCCGAGATGACCAACCCACACTCCAAGGACGACCACCCGCATCCCTCCCCAGTCAAGATCCCACGCGAAGAGCTGATGCACATGCATCCCAGGGACCTGCTCCATATCCTGGACGAGCGCCATATCGATCACAAAGGTGCTGTCGAAAAGGATGAGCTCGTCGACCTCATCCTCACCAAGTGTTCTCACTAAAGTGCCACGAAGTACCGACCTGGAGGAGCCGGAAAGTCCTGTCAAGACATGAGACTTTGTTTGGCGTGGGAAGTTTGGAGGAGGAGGAGGAGGAAGGGGGAGGGACGATGTCGACAGGCTTGCGGACCTTGGCCATTTCTTTTCTTTCTCATTATTATTACTGTTATTATTGTTACTGTTATTGTTATTGAAGCCTTGCATTATCCTCAAGCGCAAAAAAAAACCCCCTCGTCGAGTAGGACGATGCAACTCTTTGCGCAGAATAAAAAATACTCGTTTTTTCTTTTCATCTCTTTGCGTTGTATCTGCAACGGCATACTCGGATAAAAGCCAGGCTTTTTTTTTTTTTTTTTGTCTGCCTGCCCTTCAAAGAAAAGGGGGACCATGGACGAACTCTTGCTCCGCTGCCCTTCATAGTTTACTACCCTTGCTGAGAGTGAGTAGCCCTCAGAGAAATTTACTGGTGTCGCAGGCATGAAGTAACCCATACACCATGCATACATAGCTTACGCATTGTGTTGATCATTTTTTTTACGAACAAAGCGAGTAATGGAGAACAAATTGTTCTGCACTAGCGTTTTGTCTATGCAAGAGTTGAGATTCGCGCCCAACATGGCTGGTTCGAAACATTTTGACCGAATCCAGGGCAGGCCAGAAATGGGGCAAATGAGAGGTAATGAACGGTCTTGACGTGACATAAGCAGCCTGCACCTGCTCCTGCGGCTGCTTCAATCTCGGGCGAAGGCCACTCAACACACAGAGTCGTACATTTCCAGTCCTAGGCCTGCGATGCATGCTGCTGCTGCTGCTGTTGCTGCTGTTGCTGGGAACTCTGACCCTGATCCTGGGTCTAGGCTTGCTGTTGGTTCTGATCTTGGGCCTTGGGCCGGTGATGACCGAGGGCTTGACGCGTGCGAGCATTTCTTCCGCAGAGTTTCAAAATCTTATGTGGACGCTGCGATAATGTCCTTGGGTGCTGTCGCTGTCCCTGCTGCTGTCCAGCATCCGTGGTACGGACAGTCGTGGTCGCAACACCAGTAACCGTCGCCGGTGCCTTGGCCCAGCCGTTGTTGCCAAAAGCCTACTGCAAGGCCTACTGGGTTTAAAACAAGCATATGGGGAGGTATGAAGGATGAACAACAGAACTTGATGCTTGATGAGATTGTTGTTCTTGAAACGGTTTTGAAGGTCAACATATTGACGTGCATGTGTATGTGTGTGTGTGTGTGGTATCTTTACCGAGATGGAACTGCGGGCTCAAGCGATGATCCAGCGATATCGGAACAGATTCCAATCCATTGCACGGTCGACCGCGCTCTATATGAAAATCATATCGCGTATAAGATTGCCCACCCTCCAAGCACCCGACGCGTTATGGAAAAAAGAAATATATAAATATATGGCACAGTGCACACTTACGCGTTCAATGTCCCAGTCAGGTGAGTCAAAGAAGCGGCTGAAAAAGTGTCGCCAAAGAAGCGACGGTAGGTCAGGTCATCGGGGGGGGGGGGGGGGGGGGGGGGGGGGCTCATGCGGGTCGAGTCGGTAAAAAGTCGTTGGTGATCAGACGCAGACGCTGCAGAGATATTTGAACTAGCACATGGCCCTAGGGCGACATCCTCGCCGCTCACAAAACATCGTGATTAGTGAGTTTGAACAGAAGTAAAAATGGATATACAAAGGAGAGAGCGTGGATAGGAGGGGGAAAGGTAGGCTCCAGTAGGTGGTGCGGAAGCAAACAATAACTTGGCTGATCGTTGGCGCGCTTCTTGTTGGATCTAGTAGGTTCTGGTGCCAGCCTAAGGGTCGACAGTAGGGAGAGAGTGAGGAGGGTCTCATGCGAGAATAGTACTATATCTGTGAGTGTATCTGAGCGCGTGTACGTTGGAATGTGTGGTTGTATATCCACTCCGCAAATAGAAGAGAAAGCTTAGCCAACCAGCCAATTGAACCGCACCTTAACCCTTTCCTCTATTCAGGGTCGAGTTTTAGGGCCTTTTGCAGTAATGCACGTTGTTAACGGTCTAGTTGTCCAGAATAAAATAGCTTGTCTTTATTCTTGCTGCTAACCTCCAGAGTACAAGGTAGCATATCCACTCTTTGGAACAAAAAAAGAAAACATACCTCGCGTCGATTTGCTTTTTCACGTTTATATCTTGTTTCTATTAGCTGAAGCGTGCTCGTTTATTCACGGATGATATACCTCCAGTTGAAGATGGCGAGAGCTCTGACGATGACAAACAGGAAGACAAGGTGTCATTTAAGAAGAGACACATCCGGCCTTGGTGGAAGTTCTTTCTCCGTGTGTCGTCGGAGTTGCGTCCTGTTTTCTGTCCAGTGTCGAAGCTCGGCGACTCTTTCATCTTGTGCTCTGAGGCTGCGATTCTTTCACTTCTTTGGGGCAATCCAAATTCAAAGACGCAGCCTACGCAGCATATCGTGGAATTTCAAGTCTGCTCCCCCGAGATGTCCCACGAACTTGCATCGGAGAAATATGGGAGAGCTTTTCCGACTATTGTTTATCGGAGACAAGGTCGAGGTCAAGGCGGACCCTCTCAAGAACCAGACTTCATATGGCAAGAAAACGACGACCGTAAACCGATTGCTGAAGGACCATTTAAACACGTACGGCTAAGCTGCACTCGATGGGTACATGAAGAGAGCCTTTGCAAATCAGAAGGCTAGGAAGCGAGCAGCTGCCAAAGGCACGGAGCCCCCCCCCCTCCCCCCCCTGGCTTCCCAAGTGATGACAGCATGGAGCAACTATGCCATCAGCAATATGATGAGAATAGACGGTGTCCAACTCCGCCTACGACGTTGGGCAGTCATCCAAAATTAAGGCGCGGATCCCGGAGATTACGTCGCGATTTCCTAACAATTGGGTCTCTCGCAAAGGGTTTCGGTCAAGACCTCCAGAATGTTGCCATTGTGGGGGTGGATCCTGGTGAAGTAATTCCGGCATCGTTTTGTGCGCTGGACTCCGCGGAAACCGAACCGAATCGCGAACCTGTCTATCAGATGCTCCGTTTTCTCTACAGTTCCAGCTTGTCATTCAGAGCCGCGCTGGAGGCTAAAAAAAAAAAAACGCGAATGGGTCAGTGTCACAATCAAAGACGATGCAGGATTGAGCTGGGGATCGTGACCCATATTGCGGACGGACAATGAAGAAGGGTACACATGCGAGACGCTTAGCGTATCGAAATTGGAGACCTCGCTACTGTCGTCGTTGTTCGTAAGCATGGAAGAACACCGGCGCGGTCTTCGTTTCGACAATTCAGCTATGTCCTACAACCACTTCGCGGTTTTTACGGATCTCGCTCGATGAAAAAAATAAAATAAAATAAATAAAAAAAAGGTTGTGGATGCTCAAAAAGACGAACCGGGCTGAGAAGGATCATGCCGTGCGAGTCGTGAACCCACAAGACGGGATGCATACTGGGCCAACGAGACTAGCGATGTTTGTATACGGGTCAGGATAGTTCAACACCCACGAGAGCCTCAAGGGGTATTTTCTCCACAAGGTATGTTGTTATAAACATATTCATTGCGATTTGCTTGTTTTCAGTCCAGTATCAATACTGATGCCATGTTCCCGTATGCCATTGCGCTGTATAGGCAAACTGTGTACGAAAAAAAACAAGCACCGAAGAATGGCAAAGCCAGCGAATCGGGCGTTCGTGTGTCTCGAGGATGGGTGCTAGAGATGGCTAGACAGGAACTGCGTTGGAGTCCAGTGTTTGGCCCCGCCCAGAGCGTCTCCGCTGGCCCCAACAAGAATAACTGTACTGGCCGTATCAGTTAAAATCTATCCTAGGTGGCTGTCGAAGGGATAGGGGGAAGTATGTTGTAGTCTACATACCTCCTCGGCTGTACCTGGAGCTCAACTACATGAACCTGCCGAGAGTGCAAAGTGCTCTCTTCCTCTTCACCTCTTGTCCACTCCCGCACTCCACCTCCATCTCATTCCCTCATCTGCCTCTCCACTCCTCCCCTTCTCCCTCTCCCCTCCTCTTTCCACCCTATCCAACTCCATCCCACCACTCAGCTCCCTCACGCGACTCCTCTACCTGCCCCCCCACCACCACCACCATCTTCACTACAATGACGACCGAGGAACTGGACCAGACGCCACCACAACAGCAGCCACACCAGGATGGTCTTCTGCCTCAGACTACGGCCAAGGACAGCTCTGCAGAGTCATTCACGGGGCTGCTCAAGCACAACAGGGCCTCTGTCCTGATGAATGACTATAAGCAACAAGGATGGGTAAGAGCCTCGCCCCGGAGTCCTTATTTGCCTGTCACTGCAAATCGATTGCCACCAACTGACTCCCTATGCATCAACTCTACAATGGGCCCCACCCTATTTCATCCCACCATTTGCCATTGGTTCGACCCTTAGATCTTACTCAACGATGGCTGCCCTGACTGCAATGTAAGTTTTCCATGCGATCGATATGCTTAATTTAATTCATTCAAAATTGGGACTAAGCTTGACCAGGGCGAGTGCGCCTAGTGGCACTGTAAGCGGTACTCAATTGCAATGTCCCTTATCTACAACTGCTCATGCTCATATCTGTATATCGTGTTGATGCCATGGTACTCCGATGGTGCGACCGTGCCCCACCCTCTGTGTACCTGGAAAAAAATTGTTCTTTTGGAGCCACTGGGCGTGAGCGTGGGCACTCAACTTGTGCTCGGATGAAAAGGATTACCATCTGCATGCACATTTACAGTAGAAGACCATTAACGGTCCCTCTACTTTTGTCCTCCTAAAATGAAGGCTCTTGTCCACCTTGCATTTGAATCGCCATCTTATTCTAAATGATGCTGTAGTCGTTTGTTGAATTACCCTATTTTCGAACAAAAGATGGAAGGTGTCATTGGAACAGGGATCGTATTACTATTTTTTTCATTGTTGTCATTTCTGCCTGTACATCTCTCCAGTGCTCTTTTGCTTCTCTTGTGTGCATTCTTTACCTTTCCTCGTCTTTGCCGCCCCCTTCCTCCATCAACGCCCTCTTTCCTACCCATTGAACCCGTTGACTCATCCACACTCTTTTCTCGCCGCTCTCCATCTTACACACTACAGACGCCGTTGATGCGCAATCAGGAGGCTACCAACCAAGTCTGTGTCAACTGTGAGATCAACCCACCCGTCGACCCCGAAGAAGAAGAGAGCCAGCATCTTTCGCCACTGCCTCAGGAACACCAACCAAAATCAGACTCTCAGCAGCTTGAAACTAAAAAGCCCAACAGTGGCCCTATCATGTCCCTCCCCCCACCGACCTCTGCCTTGCCTGCGATCCCTTCACCCGGGCCACTGCGGCCCATGCCATCACCAAATAACCGCGTCTCTGTCCTGGATCCCATGATGGATGCAGTTCGTATGAACTACCGCACCCCCGCAGGGCGCGACTCATCAGTGCTCTTGCCGTCCGACTATCCTCGTCCTCCTCCACCTCCAGGATCGACTACGCCCTTGCCTCAGCCCACTCGAACACCACCACCCAACAAGCGACTTCCAGGGCTCCCCACCCCAAGGTTGACGTTCCCTCGTCCTCCCCCAGGGCCACCTTCATTAGCAGCATCCTGTCTCATATCCCCCCCATCATCTCCGCCTGCACCCAAACTGATGCCAAGGGACAAGCGGCGTTCGCCGCAGAGCTCTGTTGTGGTACAGGGTAATAATATCCTGCTATCAGCTACTCCGCCTACTAGACCACGAGCGCCGTCACGGTCCAATCTTCCGACTCCGCCCCCATCCATGGCCCTGGACACTGCACCCGGTCCAAACACCATTGATGTCATGATTGCTGAACAGACCACGCACGAGAGCACCGAGATGGAAGAGAGGGGCTCTGATGTGGATGATGCACGTAGCCGCAACACAGGGCTGGAAAACCGTCCCCAGGCTCAGAAAGAAGCGCAGATGATTGAAGAGGATGATGAGGAGAAGGGTCTGGAGAGCCATGACGAATTCGAGGACGCCGAAGAGGAGTACAGACCCTCGGAGGAGGAGATCAGGGTGCGGGAATCAAGGCGAGAACAGAGTGAGCGTGCATCCCGCTTGATAGGCGAGAAAATGCTTCAGGGCTGGACCATGCTGCAGGATCCCTGTCCCAACTCGGCATGCAATGGGGTAAGTTAATGTATCTCTCTTCATATACCCAGCATTTTTCATTTCCTTCAGGCTGATGAAATGGCAACAAAAACAGAATAGAATGCATGGGGCATTTTCTTTTGGAGTGCATACTTGTCTGCATGCGTTTTTGTTATTACTTTCCAGTCGTTCGTGTACCACCACCACCGCCGACAGAAGACAAAGAGGGAAAGGAATATGAAAAAAAAAGAGCGTTTGTGCACCCTGGCGCGTATTTGCTCGCATGATGAATGAGTGTGAATGGGAAGTTGCCCAATCCATATTCGTAACGAACCAGCGCCGAACTCACATGCTCACGCTTGTCCTTGTTGTTTATATTATTATGTATTTTATTAGGTCCCGTTGATTAGGAACCGTGAAAGGAAAAAGGAGTATTGTGTGATCTGTGAAACGACTTTCCAGCGGGAGCAGGATCTCGAGCAGGGCAAGTACACCATCGTGCCACCTCCAGCACCAACAACATCAGTACCCTCACCAGCAATACCGGCACCAGTACCAGCATCAGTAACAACAACGCCACACAGGAGTATCTCTAGTCCCATGGGTCTGCCATCTTCCTTCCATCACACTTCATCATTTCCTGCCCCTCCTTCGACCATGCCTCCTGCTGTCCATCGTATAACCTCGCCTACAGTCGGTCCCTCGACAGGCTCACACAGAGTGACATCTCCTCTTTCGAGCCCGATCTCCGCACGCGCAACCCGCGATCTCAATGGCAGGATCTCAATTCCAATTGTTCTGCCTCCTCCTGTACCCATGTCGCCGAGCTTTGGGATGACAAGCCAGCAGATCTTGAGCAGACATCAAAGCGAGGATTTGGACGTAAGTGTCTCCGAATGGAACTACTCCATAGTCATGGTGCTATAAAGTGATGAATTTCCCGAGGGCCCATGCAATTTTCCGTCATTTTGAATTATTGGGCAATTGGGGCTCCTCTAGGAAATAGCATGGCAACGGTTGCAGGTTTTAATGTCCGATGGCCTCGTCATCTAATCCTTCTTATCAACATTCATTACAGAAACTGGCCTCTGAGGATGAAGACATGCGAAGGCACATGCAATTGATCGGCAAGGTCAGCGAGTTTTCATCTAGATCGTTGCCGCCCGTTCCACCGGTGCCAGCGGTGCACTCAACCTCTCCATCCCGTCCGACGTCGACCCACTCAAACTCTTCAGATAAGGAGAGACATAATCGCCATCATCTTCACCAGACGCACGCGTCCCAGTCGAACAACAACGAGAGCAGTACACCTCCGGCGCCTCGCAATCAATCCTCGCCTGAGGTCAGGGCCATTATTGAAGCGACCTACAAGACCATGTCGACGCTCCTCAGCAAGCTGGAGGTATATCGGCTAGCGTTGGAGATGTCTGAGAGTCCTAAGGAGTCGCAGGTGCTCATTAGCCAGATCAAGGGCCTTATGGAATGTCTAAAGGCCTGTCGGGAGGTCCTGTAAGGCTCTTTCACGAAAACCCGCCAGGTGGCCGGGTTACCATCGCAACGCTACTGCAGTGCGCTTTATTGTACATGCACCTCTTTTTCATGAGCACACACATTTCCTCTCATTCATGTTTTTGTATTGACGTACACGTTTGTTTATTTATTTATTTTACGAGCATTTTACATTTTACGATTCTTTTGGCAGATAAAACATATCTTCAACTTTCATACCTAGACACAAAAACGTTTTGATATAACCAAAGGAGACAAGAAAAAAAAGTCAGTACGACATTCTTCTTTTCTCTTTGTGTTTATAATATCTCAAACAAGAATGTTTCACGTAGGGGGGTGAATGCCTCAGAAGTAAAAAGTGTATGTGATTTGTTTGTCATCCTTCTTCAACTTTGAAGTGAGAATTGCAGAATCGCGTATCATCAATGGCATTGCTAGACTTCACTCGCTCGCTCGCTCGTGGCAAGATTTTTTTTTTATGTATATTTATTTTTCGAAAACACAGATGAAGAAAAAAAAAAACAACGCGTTCTGAGACACATTTTTATTACCTTTTTGACACATCTGTCTTTGTTCAGCGGCCCATAAAAAAAACCCCTATTCTGATAACACGGAAGCAATTGCAAATGCACATAATTAGTATCTCTGCGACTTTTTCATTGTGTATCGAACGATAGACGAGTGGCGAGAAAGAAGAGAATTGCGAGGTTGTTGCTTCAGATCAAGGAAGGCACGATGTTTCAATCAACATTGTATGTTTAGACGCGGAATATCGATACATCATAAGCAGCATTCATTCTCTTTCGGTGTATGAGGGAGAGGGGAATTGGGGGATGGACAATACAGCGCGATGAATGGATGGGAATCAAGAAGACGATAATAGGCAGGAGTTGATTGTTTGCATACCTGGTAATCAAAGTAAAGAGCGTCTTTGCGAAAGAAATGCGACTCCATCACATCACCCCGACTGCCCTGCTGACTGACCAAGATAGCGAGTGAAACTGGCTGTCGATTCATTTGGCGCGTGAAATTGATGGTTGTCCCTGTTCCCCGTTAAAGAGATAGAACGCGATCAATTGCACGGCAAAAGAGTCGACGCAGTTGCACTGGCAGGTCCTGATCAGCAGCAGATCCGATGGTGCTGGTGGTGAGATGATGAAGAGCAAAGGAAGGTGGAGGGTGGAAGAGAGATCAAAGAGAAGACAAGAAGAAAACAAGGGTGTGAAAATTTTTATGTCTGTTCGAGAATCGATTGTTTGATAAAATTTAGATTATCTCACGTGGATAAGATCACGTAATATCCAGTTTAAGAGAACTGCTATCATCTTTGGCAAGGGTGTGTCCACTTGGATGGCATTAGCATTACTCAGACATCTGCTTTGCCCACCCATCCCTCTTCCCATCCCGCATTCATTCCTCTCGCCCCTCGGGACTCACCCCTTCCCTACATCCAGTATCAAGCTCTATCCAGATATCGCTATATTTGCTATCCGATGCTCGCTCAGAGGAGCAACAAGAAAGCAAGGCTGACGGCTTCTTTCCCAACCACTGTTGCCGCTCAGGATCTTATTCCGCAGCCCAGACCCCCAAGCACCATTTTGACAGTAGATGACGATGACGACCATAGGGACCCGATGTCCTTCTTCTCAGAAGAGGTTGCGCTGAGTATCCTTGAGCTGCTCTCGCCAGCGGATCTCGGGAAGTGTGCCTGTGTCTCTAGATTATGGCATCGACTCGTCAACGATCAAATGGTAATGTTGCCTAAAGTGGCCTCCTAGATGTTGTTGTCTAGCAAAAAGTCTTGTTATCGAAGCATATACTGACCTCTCCTCCTCTCAATTTTGTTTTATTGATGTAATAGCTGTGGAGACGCCTGTTCCTGAAATACCGATTTATATACCCCAGAGGTCTAGCCTCCTTCTCCGGACCTCGATCCTCCTCACAATTACCATCGAACAATCGTCTCTCAACCAATAACCACAATCGCCACAGTCGCCTCAAACGGAAACGGTCCTCATTCGGATTGGGTTCTCAGCGACCGTTATCAACAACACAGTACCAAATCTCATACGACCATCAATGCTGGAAGGCACTTTACCGACTCAACCATAACTGGATCATGGGCCAAGCCCATGTCACGGCCCTCACCGCTCAGGAGTTGCTCCAACGCGATCAGCATGCCTTGAAGCTCGCTGCTGCTGCTGCAAGCAGTAGCAACAGCAAGAGCGATGTTATGCATTGGAGTAAGGCGGATCTGAAAAGAGGCGGGAGACATACTCCCATGGTTCAATTCAAGGGATCGGTTATCTTGATTGTCAGTCCAAACGATTTAGTCCATCTTTGGAGAATCCGGGCCGCATCCACATTGGAGAAGGAGGTGGGCGCTTCTGGGCCCGCACAGCCGGAATTCTGGCAGACCTACCAGCCATCCACTTCAAAGTCAAGGGATACACCTATGACAGAAAACAGCCGACGATCCTCGCAGATTACGTGTTTGGCTTTGGATACTTGTAACAGGGACACAAACACAAACACGAACACGAACACGAAGCTATGGCAAAAGGTCATGGTCGGATATGCCTCCGGACACTTTTCAGTCTTTGAATACCATCCACCGAACGACACCATTAACAAGGATCAAAACGAACCACTGGATAATGACGATGCTCATACACCAACACTGCGCGAAATCGGGAACACGGTCGACCTACCAGCTTGGAGCGATGTCGGTCAAATACAAACAGCTTCGTTCCTTCACCCGATCCTCACAACCTGTTCCATTGACGGCACAGTCTCGATTTATATCCTCAACTCAGAATCTCCCACGGACGAAACACGGCCATGGTGTCGGCTGTTGCATCGTCTCTACGGGACCTCGACCGCCTCTCCCATCGGGATCGCACTCGAACAGATCCCGACCTCATCACCATCGTCGTTGTCGTTGTCGTTGTCGTCGGTCGAAAATAAAAATCCGATGGCGATGGCGGTGCGATGGAGGGCACTGCTCAGTTTCGGGCTGGAACTCTATGACGCCTCTTGGACGCTTCGGCTCCAGGAGATCGAATTCGATGAGCGCTCGATCCTGCACTCACTCGAGATAGGAACTGCCGACGGCCATGGATCTGATGAAGGCATCGACGCTGATGCGGACGAGGGATACGGCTCCCCGTTTTCTTACCCCCACCACCACCACCCCTACTATTTCAAATCGGCAATGACTGCCGCATATGGATCTGGATCTGGATTGGAGGCCTCGCATCCTGCGATAGAGCATGGACATGGACATGGACGGATAGGATCGATCTCTGCTATTAGTATCTCTTGGCCGTTCGTCGTAACAACCCATAGCGACAATACTATGAACGTCTTTCTCATGGCCCGGACACCCACGGGATCCAATCCAACGTGCGGACAAAATCATGGGGTCCACCGTTCTGACGAAGCACCTTCCCCGTTGAATAGAGTAACTTTACGGAGGGTGCGGTTAAAGTTCCAGCATTTGTCGACGCTCTATGGACATTGTGGGGCGGTTTCGAGCGTCTCGATCGAGGCGCAGTCAGGGCGGTTGGTTAGTGCGAGTATGGACCGGTCGATCAAGGTCTGGACGATGACGACAAAAGACCAGGATGATCCACTGGACCACCAATTGGAGCACCAGCAGCAGGAGAGGGTTCATCGATGCTCAGTATCGATGAGTGATATCGACAAGAGCTGGACGGAGAGTGGCCAGGTGACGAAGGAGGAAGGGTTGGGGCTCGTTTGGGTCGGTTCGGATGAGGAGAAGATTGTCAGTATGAACTGTGATGGTACTGTCAAGGTGTGGCAGTTTTCTTAGAATGAGAACGAAGGAGGCGAGCGGAGAGTTTTTTTTTTTTTTTTTTTTTTTTCTTTTTTGTTCTTTTGTTTTTTTTTGTGTTTTTTTGTAATTTTTTATTGTACACGTTGCTAGTTTACAGGAATGAAAAAAAAAAAAAAAAAAAAAAAAAGAGCAATGGTAAAGAGGATCTAAATGTAACAGATCTCTCGTTCAGCGTCTAACTCCATGCAGATATCTATATGGTTCGAAGCAGCACAAAAAATGCAGGATTAGAAAATACCATCCAACGTCCTCCAAGAGCAGTGTAACCCAGACAAAATACCAGACGAAAAAAACCGACCTCGGATAAGATCCTAGATGGGTACACTTCTGCGTGAATTCCAGCAAGTTATCGACGGCCCTTTTTATATTTTCCTCATTTCCTGGTGCGCCCTCGATATCAATATAAGTCACATACTCCCACGGCGTCGCCAACGTAATCGTCCTCGACGACGGTCTCGATTCCAGTTTCGTGATATTGATATCCCGCAACGCAAAACACGAACACACACGATGTAATGCCCCGACTTGGTTCTTCATGACCAATGCAAACGATGATTTGGGGCTCATGTTCCGATCAGGTTGGAGGATAGGATGACGTGCGATTAGCCAGTACCGGGTTATGTTGTTGGGAGTCGAATCCGAGCCCAGGATTGTCAGGTTGTGCAGTTGTGCCGCGCGTTTCCCAGCCAGCGCGGCACTATGTCAAGAGAACAAAGTTCGTAAAGGCGTTAGTAGTGTTGTGGGAATGTATGTTGAGGACGAAGGGAACAAGATTAGAGAATTAGGAATGGAAATGGGAATGGATGCATGTGGGGATAGAATGTAGACGTTACATGCCGGGTTCGTTGCTTCGTGCGACTTCTTCGGCGGCGCTGGCAGTGTTGCTGGAGAGGACGGCTCGGTAGCCTTCTGGAAGGGTCGCGTCGAGGAAATCCTGGCACTGTTCCAGAATCGCAGGGTGGGATTGGATCTCGACGATATCTGGAAGGTGGGAAGGAGGAAGGAGGAGAATGAGAATGGTCAGATCCATTCGATCGATATGGGCAGCATGAAATGGTCAAGGATATCGTATATCGCTCGCTTCGTTTTTCTTCGTTGTTTCTGTGAGGAAAAGCTTCCCCCCCAGGATAACAATCCGATCCAGATACTCAGATCGATATAGCATATGTGTCAAAAATCTTTTGCATACCTTTCAACTCTGTTCCTGAACGGGCCATAATGTAATGTGACTCACTGCAGGTGTACTCGCCCACGACCCAGAGACGGGGTTCCTGTTCAGCAAAGAGCTCAAGGACCGAGTGCAATGTTCCCGAGAGCGAGTTCTCGATTGGAATCAGACCGTGACGCACCGTGCCCCTTTGTACGTTCGCGAACAGCTATCCAAAAGTCGGGGGAGAAAAGAAACAAAGAACGGGCGCGTGTTAGGGTTGCTGGCGATGTGGGAAGTGGGTTTTTTCTTTTTTCATTTTTTTTTTTTCCGCAGATAATGCGATTGAGAGGTTTGATCGATCGGTTGCCTAGAATCCTTTGGTTTACCTCAGCCAGGGTGTCGAAGCCTTCAGTGGAGAAGGAGTGCTGGGAGAAGCTGGGATGGCTGGAGGTGAGCTCGAGGATGGCATCTTCGGCGTACGCACCGTTCACACCCTGTTATGATCGTGAGAGGATAGATATGCTGTAAGCATTTGATCGTAGGCATTTTTTTTCTTTTACACGAAAAAAAAACGCCGAGTAAGAAGGAGACTTGCATGGAATCCGATTGTATTCATGGTGAGATGGGGAATGAGAATAAGAAGTGGGTTGGTGGGATGAGTATAGAGGGAGAGAAGGAGAAAGGGAGCGAGGAAGAGAGATTGGTGGCAACAAATCAGGAAAGAGAAAAGCTTATGTCCAGGGTTACCACATGACCTGTGGAAATGGAGGAAATGGAATTCCTCATAGTCATTGTTTTTGGGCAAAGCAACTTGCAGTTGCAGCTTCAGTCAGTCAGAGACTAGGGGCATTCAATTCAGTTCGAGGCTAAAAGTTCGCTCTTGGTGACCCCTGCCCCGCTCCCCCTGCCCCGTTCCCCCTGCTCCAGTCCATGGGTGATTGGCTCTTTTTTATAGGGTGGCAATGGTAATGATAGCGATAATGACAATGGGAATGATATTCCTGCACGCTCGCTCGCTCGCTCACTCTGACAGATCTGCCTGATTCTGCTCCATCACTCACATTCACCTCATCGCTTCATTCGCTTTCTTCATCAGCACCACTCACTTCTTATCTGCATCACCCATCGCCCTTTTCTCTCCTCTCGTCATCGTCATCCCCTCTTCCCCTTCTCTCCCCTCTCTCCTTCTCATCGCTCCTTCCCCTCTCGCACACTCCTTCACACCCTCTTCAACTTCTTTCTCTCTCTCCACCCTTCACTCGCTGTCCAATGTAGTAGCCCACGTAACACTCCTTCTCTCTTCACCATCGCCTGCTTCATCTCATCGCTACCTCTTTGTTTTCTTTCTTCCTCTTCTCATTCTCACCTCCCTTTCTCCCTCCCTTCTGTCTTTCCCCGCTAGAACATCCCTTTCCTCCTTGACTTTCCTCATCCCTTTTTTTTCTTTTTCCTTTTTTTTCTTTCTCTCTCTTCATCCTCACATCTACACTCTGCCACTTCAGTCCTTCAACTGCCATTCTTCTGCCTTGTAAGTGATGCCACGGAACACCCACCCCTCATTGCCCCATTCTACCGCCCTCCTCTCCCGCATACATCACCATGTATCGATGAATGGATTGTTTACTCCTCTCTATCGTCTTTTACTAATCGTCTTTCTCACCCATGGACTCATCTACTTTTAGGTCTTGCCCTCGCATCATCCTAAGTGCACTCACCCTCCACTCACGCTCTACACACCCACACCTTCACCAGCTCTTTGACTACAATCCCCTTTCCCTACTGCTGCTCCCTTTCATTTCAATTCCCCATACTTTCCAGCCATCCTGACGACCCGTGACGGACGGCTGGTCAAACTTCCTCACGCTCTTTCTCCCTCTCTCCCTCTTCACCTGTTTGATTGAAGAGTGTATCATTACCATTGTCATTCCAATGAACACGATCCATCCTTCTGTCCAACGAGTCCATTCCTCCATGTCCAATCTAAAGGACGCAGTCACCTCTGCTGCTGCTGCAGCTTCAGAAAAGATCAGTACGCGTCCCGCCAACTTTACTGTGCGCCACGACCCTAAGCACCGCCGGGACAGTCGCCCTCACACTCTGTCCACGTACTCTGAGGACCCCTCTGAGATCCTTGGATCCGGAAGGCAGGTCTCCAGCAACCACCCCCACAATAACGATGCTGGTCATCGCACTAAAGTATCCCCTGCAAAGCGGAAACAGGACACAATGGTATACATTCATTCTTCGAATATGACCTGATCCCTCCGCTCTGTCCCTCTTATCGCCCAAACGCGTGTAAGATTGTAAGATTTGTCTGAATTATTGATCCCGTTTTTTCCTTGTGTTCCTCTCACGCAACAGATGAATAACCAAAAGGCATCGAAACCAAAACGGCTAAAGGAGCATGACGACAAGGGGCCAGGGCCATCATCGCTCAAAAAGACCAGTAGTGGACCCAAACGGAATGGCGTATCTTCAGGACCGTCCTCCAATCCAGCGCAGCAGAAACGCTGTGGTTATTGCGGCTGCACCACAACGCCCATGTGGCGACGCGGTCCCGATGGCCCAAGCACGCTCTGCAATGCCTGTGGTGTTAAATGGAAGCACGGAAAAATATTACAGGATCCCAACACCAACAACAATGATGGCAACCATCAGCAGCAAACCCTCAAATCTGGTGCAGCCTCATCGACCTCAACCTCATCCACATCACCGCCGGGTTCTTTGGCTTCTGTCACTCCCCCAATCAACTCTAAACCAAGTAAAGAACGCTCTGGGAATGGACATGCGCGGCATGGAGACGAGAAAAAGTGGCACAGCAGCAAGGTGTCGGCCAAGAAAGCGTCACATGGGACATTGCGAGGCGACTTTGAGGCCAGGTCAGGCGAAAAGTCTAGTTCAGCCGAGAGCAAGGATGGATCAAGAGCCCTCGAAACAGAGCGAATTGTCCCTGTCAAAAAGAGGCATTCAGGCAAAGGTACGTACAACCCCCCGTTGTATCCTTATTCTGTTTGTAAGTGTGCGTCAAGGAAACATCCTCGACTAATACATGTATCCTTTCCACGCTTTGCTTAGTCGTGCCCGTAAGTCCTCCAGGTCCACGGATGGTACCGATCCATGAGCTGGGAGACCCTACCAGGACACCATTCAAATTCACCCCAGCAAAAACAAGTCCTAGCAGAAAGCACGGTTTTAATGATGGCGAGGCACAATTGAATGGACGGACGAAGCATATGAAGAGCGAATATATTTTCCAGGACCACTCTGGTGGCACATCCTCGTCTTCCGGTAGCACTACATCAGCACAGTCTGACATTCAGGACGCTCAAGGTGCTCACGATGAGGAGGATGCTCAGGATGAGGAGGATGCCCCGCTTGACGTCGAAGGCGGTATCGAACCACAAGCTGGCGGTGATCACGTCTCATTATACGCAGCCAAAAACTTATACACCAATAATACGGCGACATTTCCTTTGCACTTCCCAACCATCTCGATTGCATTTGGACCCAATAATGCCTATTACACCTACCCGAATTGCGCCGTAGTCCTGTTCGAGAACCACTTCCGAATTAAGCTGGTTCAAGGAGGTGAAAAGACCGAGATTGATGTATGGAAGGAAGGGATTGAGGGAACAGAGTTCCAGGCCGTTGATGTCGGCGATGGAGAGAGCATGATCGTCATGAAAGCCCTCCTGCGACAATACCTAACCCGGTAGGCATTATCTTCAGAATCTACCTTTGATGTTTCATTTGCATGACTTTTCATGGCATGGCCTCATTGTTGTATCGTCGTTATCACCTTGTTTTTAGATTCGACAAGGAACTGCTGAATCCAGACAGGAACGAAAGTTTGATCGTCTTTCGGTTCCGTGAACGACTTGATGGTGGTGGACCGTCCGTCAAGCCATTGCTCGAACACTGGCTCGCGACAGATATCCCCGTTCCACCACCCCCTTCCAATGACTCTTTGGAAGCATGATAATGTCCTTTTTTTTTTTTTTTTTGTACTTTACATACCATTACTCTTTTCTCTTCGTTTTTGTTTCATGTCCTTCAATTTCTCTAGCAAATCCACGCCAATTGTGCCTTCCCAACGTTTTCAGTCATCTTTTGCGTTATACCATGCTAGTAGTAGTAGTAGTAGTAGTTTTTTTTTTTTTTTTTTTTTTTTTAATGTTGCTTTCTACTTACAATCATTTTCTGTTTCTGTTAAACCCTTTCATATAACGTTAAAATAATAATTCGATTGAGAGGCCTCTGCTATATATGCACAAGGAAATACCAATGGCTCTGCATATGAAAACCGTCCAAATGGATCCGAATATGCTTTTTGGGCACGATCCCACGACGCGTGCCGCGAAAGACAGACAAACGCGTCGAGATTCGGCGCTGTCTGTCCTAGAAACATTTTTGTGTCTTTTTTTGTAACACATATCGTCTTGTCCCAGATATGCTATGCAAGACGTGTTTTGAATTAGTAGCATTGGGTGTTTTACTTTCTCCCTTAACCCAAACACCTTCCTTAGCGCCCTCTTCTTCAGGATACTCCTTTCATTTTTTTTCATTTTTTTTTTGATCCCTTTCATCTTCAGCCCATCCTAACTTGACTCCACAAGAAAAAAAAATCACACTTCATCTATATTATGACGAACACTCGTAAATCAACCCGTTCCAAGGCCGCGGCTGCATCGGCTTCAAACCCTGAGCCCCAGCCCGAGCACTCGAGCTCGAATGAGTCGACCCCCACTACCACTGCCGTCGATAGTACTCACCAGGCCACCGAGACCGCACATGCGAAGGACGACCAGAAACTGGAGGCAAACGACTCGGATCTGCTCCAGACCTCCGAATCCTTGCCGACGGAGCAGTTATCCGAGGCTGCGACGACCCCGATCAACAATGAGGTCGAGGAGGAGGAACCCATGAAGTCGACCGACCACCATCAGAACGAGCACAAGGAGTCCGAAGCTGAGGCTAAGGGCTTGAGGGGGGACTGGCTCAAGCAAGCCAATGCTGCGACCATGCAGACCGAATCCGGTGCCCATGCCGAGACTACCGGTACTGCATCTGAGCCTGGTCCTGTTCCTGCTGGCGGTGGCATTGAGGAAGCTCAGCCGATTCATGAGATTACGGCTACTGCAGTTGACCCAATTGCCGCAGGTCCAATTCCGATTGCCAATGACAAGACTCCTCAGGCAGAGATGCTCGAGACGAACAAGCATGCGAAGCGAGCTGTCGAACAGGACTCGAATACGGTTGCGGAGGAGGAGCAGGATTATCTCGGGGGAGCGTACAAGTCCCCCTTCCGACATACACACAAGGCTGAGAAGGCTGGCAAGGAGGAACGCTAAATCTGTCGAGCAACTCTCGCACGTAGAGACTTAGGAGTAATAATGTAATATTGCTTGAATCTAGGCTCGTAACCAGCCTGAGGACGAGAGCACGTGAGTGGAAATTGGATTGCCTTTTAAGGCAACCACTCTCTTTTCTCTCTCTCTCAGGCTGGGATAGAACTCGAGTTATTAGCAGGGACCAGAAAAAAAAAGGAGAGCAATTTTTTCAAAGTCGGAAATAGGCTGTGAAGTGGTTCTTTTGCATGCAAATTGTCTGCCGCACTGGAAAAAAAAAAAAAAAAAAAAAAAAGAATGCATGCATGCTCTCCCACAGTCCATCTATTCTTTTAACACACACGCTCCACTTCTTTCTCATCTCTTCTCTCCTTTCTTTATACTCCCACCTTTCCGCCATTGCATCTTCAAGGATTTCGAAAATGAAACTCGATGACCGTTTGCATATTATCTTGACTACGATGGCCACCCATAACCTCACCTTGGGCAAATTTTTGAAGGCGTGCTTTGCATCGAAGGACCCAAGAGTGCAGTTCAAGATATCGCGTTTCCTCGACAGCACTGGCCCAGCAGGACTCGTGCAGGCCTTATCGGAAGGAGTTACGGAACCCAGGCCAGTCGCGGCTGTCATGGAGTCAGCTATCAATCTTGTCGTCAAACATTGCACGGCCGAACTCGATAGTGCTCGTTCGAGTCGCAGCTTGCATCTCCCCTCAACCTCCATCACCGCAGCCAGCGCGACAGGATTTGAGCTTACCACCTTCAGCAAACGCATCCAACGAGCCGCCCCTTTTCTTTTTCGACTACTGATCGGCTTGGCGAGCATCAATACAGCTACCACTCGGTCAGTTCCAACAGTCATCACGGTCATGTCCAGCATGTTTCTATTTCTTCGCAACCAGCATTGTAATTACTTTCAGATGATCATGGGGCTCTACATGTTCAGTAAAGGTGCGTCACGACTACTCATCAACCTATTTTCAAGGGCTGCCCTATCGGTCTCGTACTCAACCATTTTAACCGGCCTCAGGTCCTTAACAACGGACGCCTCCAAAAAAGTTCAAGCGGCAGTCAAAGAGAAGGATTGGTATGTCGTCTACGACAACATCAACATCGCTTTCCGTAGGTCAGACCAGCGACTCCTGAATACAGATACTTTCGAGAATGGAGCGTTGGCGACCATCATCATTTGCGATACTCACTGCGAGCCCGATCTTGACGACAACCCCGCTCGACACCTTACCCTGGACCACCTCATTCCCCACGCGGATAATGAAGATCATCTCAGGCTGGTTTTTCGGCACCATCTGACTAAGGTGCTTAATCGACGCATTCCGGCGCTTGATTCGCGCCCCGAATGCGTGATGCCTGCCCCCACGAAAAGGCTGCTTCCATATAATGCAACAACCACTTTTCCTTTGCCTTCAATGAACATTGATCAGTCTTCCATCCAAGGGAATCAAGAGATCCTCAATGCTATCATGGAGAGCGCACTGGAGTTACCGCCAGAGTGGTTCAATAACCGGAGACTCATTCTCGCAGGAGACCAACTAACTGTCAGCCGACTTCGATCGTTAAAACAGTTGCGCTGGGATGACGTCTCTACATACCATCGACTGGATTGGGCGATCCCAGTGATGCAGCTCTTTCATATGCAGATGCTTTTAGCCTCGACCATCCTTCGGACTCATTATGGCTCTATGTCTGCACCCGGATCCTTGGCGTACAATGCGGTAATGCTTGGAAGGAAACGAGTCAATTTGGACAAGCCCGACTTTCACGCCACAGATGAGCTCCTCCGACACACTTTTGACGGCATAGTTTTGCGGCTCTGGGAGATAGAGATGGGGCATGATGATATAGAATCGTTTGCATTCGAAGGGAGTGCTGACGAGCTCAAGGACTTCGTTGATCGTAAGGTCACTATCATCCTGGAGAGGTATTTTACCACAGTAAACTTGGACCAGCTTAACGGCACAGCCTCCAGGAACGCTGCCTTATTTTGCGAGACATGATGGTCTACATGGAATTATCGTCTGCCATCAAATGTGGCGATATTGGGCGCATTGAGGAGAGCATTCGATGGATCACAATCATTTTTCAGGCTGGCTCAACCATGAACTATGCCAACGAACTTCTTCACTTTCACTGCGGTCTATTCCATTCCTGGTCTGAGCAGACAAAGCTCGCTGTGATGTCCTCGTTGCTGGTGAACACGTCAGGCCAGAAGGATAGGTTTCTGCCAGCGGATCTTTTCCAGGAGCACATGAACCTCCAGGTAAAGACCATTCACGCCGCTAAAGGAAGCAACGCCAGCTGGGAGTTTATCGCGAAAGCCGTGTCGACCAATGTTGGCGTGTTTGCTTCTATCGAGAGAACGTTGGAGACGCAGTTCGAGGTCCCCAAGAGTGGGAGCAAACACGCACAAGTATCTGCGGCAGCAGACATCCGGAGCATCATCTCATCACTCAAGGCAACCGCCATTCTGATGAGGGATATACCCCTATCTCATGAATGTCACAAGGACCTGACTCCAGTGACAGATTTGTTTGTAAAGGGTATTGTCAAGCTGTCAGAGGGGAAGCGCCTTCAATCATTCCTTGCCGCCCATGCCCGAAATCATAGCCGCCCCACAGAACCGATGGATATTGCTGTCGACATGGATAAGGCTTCACTTTTTGCCGGTTCAGGATCTGACGTGAATATGACTGGAGAAGCAAGGCAGTATCAATGCGACGACCATGACGAGTGTGCCATAGAACACTATTTACATGACAATAACATGGGACCGGCGCAGGAACTAGTCTTTGACATTGATGTGTATCTGGGAGAATTAGAATGAGATCGTTAGAAAATAAATTCTTATTTTTTTTGTTTATTAAAAAAGCCCTGGGGCGTCTGGACCTTGAAGTAGAGTTCTGGCCTTGCGCTAGGTAGCTGTCTCGGCCTCGGCTGTAAAAGAGAAGGAGCAGCCTGCCCTGACGATTCCTGGTCCGATTCAACTCCTATCTCGGTAAATGACAAGCGAGGGGGAGGCACTATCTTGTTGCAGTCAATATACCGCGTTCGAGATTGACGAGTCGGCGTTAAAGGGTGCGGTATGAATACGACAGTGCCGCGCTGTGGGGTCGCTGGACATGCTGGAGTTGTTGGCTGCGATGGGTATGATCGTGGTAGCGATGGGTATGGTCGTGGTAGCGATGGGTATGGTCGTGGTAGCGGTGTGTTTTTTTTTGCTTCTTGAACCTCAATATCGTTGTTGAATTTAACAAGACGATTGCCAAGGTCCTGCAAAAACTCGCTCTTCAGCGGCAGCCAACTTATGGTTGTCAGTATCGACTCCGGTGTTGTGATCCGACCGCACTTCTCTGCAAGTTTCTGAATCGTCGCGTCCGTCATCAGACATTCCGGAGTAAATAACATGAATTTTCCCCTGTAGTGTTCGTCAAAAGTTTGATCTCTCCAGCTCATTATAATCTGCTTGGCTAGCTGCTTCTGGCCCGCCGTGCGAGGTTGTGTTGTTGCCTTCGTTGATGCGCTGCTTGAAGCCTCTGTGCCACAATCCTGCGCTGCATTTATCGCGTCCTTAGGTGCCTCCGTGTCCTCCTCTGGTGGTAAATCAGGGTGGCAGTTGTCGCAGCAGTGAGCATCAACATCTCTGTGCGTGTTCTGGAATACCTCGTTGACGTATCTGCGGCGACAGCTGGAGATGGTCACGTAGTCACGAAGGAACGGGTCGACCAGCGAGGGCGCCTGTGAGGGAACAAGAAAGATGCTAATCCCCTGCAGTGCCGGGTTTCTTCCTGCTCTTCCCAGCCGCTGAAAAAGCACCGAGATGCTGCCAGGATATCCATACTGGACGACACGTATGACGTCGCTGATATCGCAGCCCATTCCAGCTGCTTCCGTCGATAGCAATATGCAGACACGGTTTTGCTTGAAGTCCTCCATCTTGTTGCGCTTATACAGCTCTGACTTGGCCGCATGAAAGATTGCCACGCTATTGACTCCCACTAGCGCCTTGACGTAAACCGCGGCTGACTCGACTTCCATGAGAGTCTGAAAGTAAACAATCGTCTTGACCTTATCCTTCAGAAAAAAAAGGTCGTGAAAAGTGGAACGTCCATGCTTCATGATGCTAACAGTGTATTTAATGTTGATCCTATCGTTGCCTACATTGACGACGGTAGCGTTTTTGAACAGCATGGAACTGGTAAGCGTGGTAAGAAGCGCGGGCGGCAAGGTGGCAGATACTGCAAGGAACGAGACGTCAGGATGAGCCATAGCGCGCAATCGGCCAAGCTGACTGTAAGCCTGTCGAAAATCCATGCCCCAAGTTCCGACGCAGTGAGCTTCATCGACGACGATATTGCGCAAACGACTTCTCCATCCTTTGTCCTGCCATAACGCTGATAGTCGTGAGCTCTTGAAGATAATCTCTGGAGAAGTAAACACGGCTCGATATTTTCCTGATGCCAAATCTGCGATATTGGTACGCGTCTCTTGCTTGATATTGATGCTGGGAATGCCAAGCGCAACAAGCTTTGAGTGTTGCTCGTCGCTTAAAACTTTGAGTGGGCTGACAATGAGAATGATGTCGTTCGGCCAAATGAGCAAAGGCAGAAAGTAAACCAGTGTTTTTCCCCATCCAGTGCCTGCAATCAAAATGCAGTCTTTCATCCGCCCTAACATTTCCACCACTTGTATTTGCTCTGCCCTTGGACGATACCCGAAAGCCGCCTGACAGATTTGAGCGGTGTCTTCTGGAAGCTGCCTCTTGCGGTGCGCCGCCATGGAGCCTGAAGTAAGAGACTGTTGCAGTTGAAGATGCAATGGCGGAAAGGTGGGAGTATAAAGAAAGGAGAGAAGAGATGAGAAAGAAGTGGAGCGTGTGTGTTAAAAGAATAGATGGACTGTGGGAGAGCATGCATGCATTCTTTTTTTTTTTTTTTTTT